CCTCCCTGATTCCCACCTTGACCACCGCCTTGACCACCGCCCTGTCCACCGCCCTGTCCACCTCCTTGACCGCCTCCGTAGTTGCCACCTTGGTTTCCGCCCTGGTTTCCGCCCTTACCTCCCTGGTTTCCGCCTTGGCCGCCGCCTTGACCGCCGCCTTGACCACCACCTTGACCGCCTCCTTGGCCGCCTCCTTGGCCGCCTCCTTGGCCGCCTCCGTAGTTGCCACCTCCTTGGCCGCCTCCGTAGTTGCCACCTTGGTTGCCGCCTTTGTTGCCACCTTGGTTGCCTCCGTAGCCGCCGCCACCATAGCCGCCGCCGTAACCGCCGCCGTAGCCGCCTTTGTTGCCTCCTTGGTTGCCTCCTGGGTTGCCGCCGTCACGGGCGATCAAATCATCGCGGCTAGTGAGGGTTGGGAGGGCACCAACGAGGCCAGTAGTGGCGATCGCGGCGAGATAGAGTTGAGTGAGCTTCATGGTGACTGTGGGAGATGAAGGATCTTGTTAATGGATGTCTTGGACGGTGTTTAATGGTATAGGGAGTTGAGAATGAAGAATGGACAATGGAGAGAGCTTTGATTGTGGAGACTTAAGGTAAAAGTCGACCTGATACTTTGAAGATACGTAGGAGGGCTGAGTCTCTTTATAGCCAGAGATCTCATGCACGTCTAGCTGTGACAACACCAGGTCACTCCAGGTACGGGTAAATCATTGCTGTGATTCGACGATGCAGCAGCTACTCTGCTGCGTGGGCAACCCGTGGGGCCCCGAAGATCCTGAGTCGCCCAAGCTGGAGTGACTGATGATGGTATTACGACAGATGCGGAGCATCTGTTCAAACTTCGTCGTGGTTTCCGCAAGTCCACCTAGGAAATTGTCGGATCGGCGAGGATCTCATGGAATATTGGTATATTCGCTACGGTAGCCTTGCGAATTATCAAACTATTAGATAATAGATGATGGATTGCGCATACATACAACCTTAGCTCGAACGCTAAGAAGCGTCATCTTTGCGGAGACATGCAGTCAAGACGTGGAAGAATCAGGGTTTGGAATGTCTCAGGCATTTTACTGGTAATACTCTCTGCGTCGTAAGCTGAGCTTCCACGCGGTTGGGGAGCCAGGACATGTCGGGATGCTGAGCCAGATGGAATCATCGAACGACATCGGGAAGTCCTGTGCGGTTCCAGGGGCTCGTGTGGAATGTGGTGTAGGAAACTTAAGGCTTGGGAGCACAAGCTTCTGTTAGGAACCGCATTGATCGAGAGATTGGAAGAGCGCCGATCGTACCTAGCTAATGCTGCTTTAGCTGCATGATCAGCGGGACAAAGATGAACAGAGTGAGCTTCCGGATGCTGACTGTGCGCTAGTCTTCCTCTCTATTCGGCCGTTCCAACGTCACAGATGCCACAGGTAAGAGCACCAGCCAACCCGAGCACGATCCTCTGATGAGGTCGTTTTCGTCCGAATGAGAGGAGTTGTTCTTCCTGGGGCTTCAAGATGATGGTTCCTGGATCGTATAGCTACGTGGCTTGCCCCTGATCGCTTCCGTCTAGATCGTGCCAGAAAAGCATGGGTATGCGATAATCGAGACCGCGATTGGCTCTTCTGGAGAGGAGAGAGATAGAAAAGAGACGGTTCAAACGAGGAATCCCAGCCCGCCAGCTAAAACTGTCGTCGTAAGCCGTTGGTGCCGCCGACGTCCGTGTGCAGTCTCGCCCCCCAAATGTATGGCGGGTTCCTGCACTGTACGTTCGATACGTGAGGTTCGATGCCAGATAAGAATCGCAACAGCTTCCAAACACGTAGCACGCTACCGCTTCCCCTACACCGCTTCCTGGCTCCAGCGTTGAATCGTAAGCCCAACTGCTCATCCTCATGCAGTGGAACTCCTCACGGTCCAACAGAAGGCCAAGTATCTCCTGACGCGCTCTGATACAGCAGGGCTAGCCTTACAAAACGCGGGGAATCCCTGACAGGGCCACTCGCATCTTGATACCCACGTCGTGGCTAAAAAAACGTTCCTACCAAGACGCTTCCCTACCAACTTCACGTCCTTGTAATGCTTTCAAGCTTGACAGAGTAACACTCTATTAGCAGCAAGAGCGTGGATGGCATAATGATCAACGTTAACTTATCACTTTAGCGCCTCTATTGATGTTTCTCTTCACAACTGAAAGTGCGATTTTGGTGGAGATGCGGTTTGGTAGGGACATTTTTCTGGTCAGGGTGTGATACCGTGGTTCCACAGATGCGTTGCTGCTGTCATGGCCTGCGCTGTGGCAAGTGGGGAGAAGTGGCGTGTCGTACTATTGCACCACGGAAGCAGGACATGGGCATGTAGGTTGCGAGCACAACGAACCGGAACGAATGCAAGGGGAATTGCTCCCCGCCGCCGATTCATCGGTATGTACTGTACACGATTTCCTGTACATCGTATCAGCCAAGGGATTTGCGTATGACGGGAGAGGATACTTATACCCAGGTAGATTACGTTTTTCTACAACATGTAGATGCCGAAGATGCAGGCTGCAGGTGGTGATGTAGTTGTTATTTGCGGCTGGGTTTACCTCACGATCGACGTCAGGGGACGCCTATGAGATCCAGACAACCGCGCGCCGTCAGCACGCGTGCGCGGCCCCTTCCGTTGGGTCACCTCCACTCCGTGCGGATCAGTCTGTGGGGTACAGCTCCCGTAGCTTGAGACACACGGGAAGCGTTGTGGGGTGCAGGCCGGTGCAGCCAACATGGCAAAGTGCACCCCGAACGCGTTGCTTCCGGCGCTCCCCTCCCGGCAGACCGCTTGCGGCCAAGATCAGCGGTAAAGTGGCGGCTCGAGAAGCCGTGTCTGCGCCTGAACGGAACCCACCGCCGCGGATCCTGAACAAGGAAATTTTGTGGTGAAGGAGTTGATTCCCTGAAATCTCACTCCGAAGAACTGCTCTCATGCAGAAACGCACAACGAGCCAGAGCGACAAACGCAAGCCAAGAAATGCGGGGCAAGAACCCACTACTCCACTCATATCCATGAATGGTTTTAAGTCGAACAAGGGTCAAAATACACTTATCGCCCAATCGGAGATTTTACTGACCCTATCCTGGCTCGTGCTCGATTTAAAACATGTCCTGAAGGAGTTTGCAGTGGCCGATTACGGATTGGTGCTACTGCATGTACCCGCGCACTAGTAAGGATTTCAACCACTCAGCAGTTGGACTTGGAGGATTCAGTCCTCCGAAGGACTTTAAACCTTAAGAGTTGATGTTCAGAATCCTTTAGTTGAGTGCCGGGATGTTATGGACGAATCGCATAACCTGCGATACAGCGCGACGCTTGTAGAGCAAGAAAGAACAGGCTGTATGGGGTATCGAACGAGTGTTGAGACTTTGCGAAAAGGCAAACGGTCGTTTGGAAGGTGTCGTAGCTTTCCGAAGGGTGGCGTGAAGAGGTACAGTATTAGCGAAAGGTAGAGACGAAGAGGCGCCTGTCATCTATGCGCGCTGTTCGTCATCGCTGATGAACGGATCGCCGAGTTCCTCTTCGACGAGGCCACCCGAGTCCCCGCCGGACATGTGCTCATCCTTGTCTCCTGCGTCCCCTCTTTCAAGGCGCGGAAGTTCTTCTGACGGCGGGTTACAGCTCCTTCGGGGGAGGGACGCCTGTTGAGCGTGAAGCTTGCTGCTTCTTCTCTTCCGTCGATGGGATCTCCACTTTTGGATCTTATTGGCTTTGGCAGTCGGCGTCTTCGGCATTCCTGGTGGGACCCAGAAGGCCTGGAGGGTTTGCTTACACGCGCGTCTTCTAGCAGTTGGTCACATCCTCTTCGAGACATCGTCTAGCGTCACGTAGGGCGTCGGCAGCATCATCGTCATGGTTCGTCCGTGACTCGGAAGACCTGAATCTTCCCGCCCCGACGGGCTAAATTCCCTCACTGGCGCGTTCCTTTTGATTGGCTTATGTTAATACTTAGACTCTCCTAACAGAAACGTGCGCGTCGAGCGAAGGAACCTTGGGGATAGCGTGGGATCTGGCGCAATATGAAGACATGGTAGATGATAGTAGATGGCCGGAGGAGGATGGCAGGATAAGGAACGGGTCGCAGCAGGGCAGGTGGGAGCTGAAAGGTGCAGACACGTTGCCCTCCTGTGCAAGCATTAGGCGTAAGCTCAGACTACCTAGGTAGTCACATGGCTTTAGATTGCCTGAAGAGGAGACTTAATAGATAGAGATGAAATGAATAAGAAATTTGAGGAGCTACGAGCTCGGTATGTCTCTCTCAAAAGAAGATAGGGAGAGAAAGAGTGGAGGTGTAAAGACGCATCCCGTAGTGCACTAAACAGATACAGCGTGAGATAGCTAGTCGAGTACAGGAAAGACGTGAGATCATGTAGCGATTCACCACGTTCCAATCGCATTTGGTCAAGAACAAGTCTATCTGGACGGTGCATGTGGTGCAGCAGTGATCCTGCACTCGTGACAAAACGGTAGTCAGGTAAGTAGATAGAATAGAGAAAAGGAACGGCGGGAACAGAGATTAAATAGTAAGAAAGCGGTGGGATAAGCCTTCTCCTTAGTCAAAAGAACCTAAGAGTGTACCATATTACAAGGTGAATGCACCTTATCTGGGTGTGCATAAGGAGGGCGAGTGGAGGGTGGGCGGTGATTAAATATTCTGCTGATAGACTCTTTTTGGGTTTCTTGGCGTTACCCCCGTGTCGAGATCCCATAGTTAGCCGCAACGCGCTTGCTGTGCATGAAGCTCAGCCACGAAACATATCAATTACTGCCTGAAGCTTTGCGCTCCTTTTATCTCTATATTCACTCTGTGCTAGTTAAATGTTCTCTTCGTTGTAGATATATATTATTGCACAATGACTCCCCGCTTCCGCCGCCAGCGATGGCCATTACTAGCAGTCCTTGCTCTCGCGATCTGCTTCCTGCTATACCGTTCCACCCCAAGTATCAATCGCCAAGTTCCTCCAATAGGTAAGATGCAGCCTGTACCACCAGAGAAAGAAGGGCTCTACGACACGGAGCTCCGTAAAACGCACGGCGCGGCCCAGAGCCTTCCACAGCCCTCTCCAGGCTCCGCCGACACCGTCACAAACCTCGATTCGGACGACCTAGACGCTTTCATCCCACCCGCACATTTACCAGCAACAGGCACCTCCCCACCTAGCCTCTTCCCACACCCAACCTACACCCCCGGGATCCCGAAACCGTCCAACTCAACCTACACGCGCACGCTCGTAATCCCTAAGACCGACACAGAAGACGTCTCCTGGGCGCGCGGCCTCCTCGCAGCCGATCCCCACCTCACTGTCGCCGTCTACGACGTCTCGCACCCCACCTCCCCCAGCGACGGCCTCCACGCCATCCCCCAGAACAAGGGCCACGAAGTAATGACCTACCTAACCCACATAATCACGCACTACCACAACCTGTCCGACATAACCCTGTTCATGCACGCCCACGCCATCGCCTGGCACAACAACGACCTGTTGCTCTCCTCCTCCGCCGCAATCGTAACGCACCTCTCCTCGCCGCACGTCGTTCGCCAGGGCTACTTCAATCTGCGCTGCCACCAGGACCCCGGATGCCCGGCGCACATCCACACATCCGGGAACCGCAAGCCTGGCCAGCCGGGGAGACAGGATGGTGAGGATGACGCGAACAGGCCTGAGGTGCGCATCTTTGCGCAGGTGTGGGAGGAGATTTTGCCGGGGGAACGGCTGCTGGAGGTGCTGAGTCAGCCGTGCTGTGCGCAGTTTGCGGTGTCAAGGGAGAGGATCCGCGCGCTCCCGCTCGCGCGGTACGAGTTTTTTCGGGAGTGGTTGCTCAACACGAAAGTCGAGGATCGGCTCAGCGGGAGAGTGTGGGAGTATATATGGCAATTTATCTGGATGGGGGTTGCGGAGTTGTGTCCGGTGGAAAGCGTGTGCTATTGTAATGGGTATGGGGTGTGCTTTGGCGGGGAGGACAAGTATCAGGAGTATTTTAAGAAGAGGAAGGAGGCAAGGGAGATTGATAAGATCCTTGCGGAGAAGAAAGAGGGAGGAAAGCTCATGGAGGCGGGGGAGAAGATGTTGAGGGGCCGAATTGATCTGTTGACCACGGAGATGGAGGTGCTGCGGAAGGAGGCGATGGAGCGGGGCAAAGACCCGAGGAATAGGGCGAAGGAGGCGGGGAGGCCGTGGAAGGAGGGGGATGGGTTTTGAGAGACTCGAGACACACGTCCGAACTTGGCTGTGCGAAGTACGAGATGTCAATGCGATGTCTGCATGCATAAGTCACAACGCCTCGGGAATCGGTCCCACCACGCTGCCGGAGGAAAACGGACGCGTGTTGAGCCTTCGGCAATTGCGGAACTTCCAGACTCGGTCCTCTGTGGTCGCCTGCCCGTACCCTACAGGAAGGGCGCCCGGAGGAAGAACACGGCTACGCGTGATTCTATCGTGGCCAAGGCAGGTAGAAGGAAACGCATATCGGCTGCCCTCCGCTCGAGGAGAGGAACCCATTCATACCGGTAACCCTGTACCGCAGAGCCTAGCTGGTAACCGCAACCGCAACAAGCGCCGATCACGGAGGAGGGAGCGACGCATCACCCTATCATCATAGCCGCAGAATCGCGGTGGCGGGAAGCGGAGCAAATGCGACGAAGACTGTACCCGTCAAACTGCCTGTGGAGATGGCAGAGACGGAACTGTGCTACGGTTCTGTAGCTCAAGGGGACTCCTTAGCTTCACGCTCAAGCTGTGATCACGGAAAGCTGCCGTTGCAGGCCCTCAAAGAGCTTTGGACGGAGAACAAGGAAGAACAATGGCTGTCCTCATTACAACGTGCGTGTTTGAAGCGCTATACAGATTTTCAACAGGGTTGAAACAGGACGCATCATATGAGTAGAGCGCAGAGAATCCGCTCTTTTAGCCTATCTATCAGCAGCCGATATGGAGCTCACACGCAGTTTTTTAGCCCTCCAGATGCAAGCAAGCAGCAAATCCACCCAGCTTTCCAAGCAAATCCACCCCCTTTTCGGTGCCCAGCCGAAGCGAACCGTCATCAATTTCAAACGCCAATCTCGCCGCGCATTTCATGCATATCGCTTTCGTTCCGCTTTCGTTCCGCCTCCATCCCACCTCCAACACATCCCACCCAGCCTCTCCCTCCCTTCCTTCTCTTACGCCGACGCCCCATCCGTCTGCATCTGCATCTCCTTGGTCGTCTTCCCGGCCCTCGAGCTACGGAGGATCTTTTTGATTTCCTCTTCGAGGAAGTCCCAGTCGTCCGTCGGCAGCGGCTTACACTCGACGCCAAAGAAGGCCGCGATCTTCGCCAGCTTCTGCCAGCTGTCCTGGTCGTGGACGAAGTTGACAGCGACGCCGACACGGCCGAAACGGCCTGTGCGCCCGATGCGGTGCAGGTAGGTCTCGTAGTCTGGCTCACCGCGGAGGGTTTCGGGGATGTCCTTGGGAGCGGTTAGCTGATGTATCGGTTGTAAGGGATTGGAGAATGGAATGGGAACGAGGAATGGGGAGGCTGGGGGACTTACGTAGTTCACCACGATGCTGACGGATTGCACGTCTATGCCGCGGGCGAGGACGTTGGTCGTGATGAGGACCTTCGCACGGCCGTCACGGAAGCGGTCGATGATCTCGTCGCGCTGGGGGCCCTCGAGCGCGCCGCTGAGTTGGGCGACTTTGTGCCCGTCTTGCGTGAGGCGGCGCTCGATTTCGGCGGCGGTGTCGCGGCGCTGCGATAATGTTAGTCCTCTAGTGTACCTGAAGCCAAGGGGTTGGGAGACGAACCTTCACGAAAATGATCGAGGAGGCGATGGTCATGAGACCATAGAGCTGCACCAGCACCCTGTATTTGTCGTCCTCGCCGTTGCAGTCCAGGAAGACTTGCTTGATGCCCTCGACCGTGAGCTCTTCGTGCTTGAGCGTCATTTGATGCGCGTTCGGCGCGAACTGGGTCGCATATTGGATAACCTGTGGTGGAAAGGTGGCGGAGAAGAGGACGACCTGGATGTTTCTCGGTAGCAGTCTAAGTTCCTGTTAGCAATGCCGTTCTCACTTGCGCAACCGGGCGAACCCACGCCTTCACCCGCTTGCACTGATCACCTAAGCCCTGCTGATCCAGCATGTTGTCCGCCTCGTCTAGGACGAGGATTTTGATCTGACGTGCGTCGAGCAGCTTCCTCCGGATCATGTCCATCGTAGTCCCCGGCGTGCCCACGATGACCTGTCCTTCGAACTTCTGACCTCGCCGGCTGGGGTCCGGTATCGCTGCGGTGACCACAAGACCCTTTGTGAACTGACCCATAGTCTCCACAACGCCCTTGATCTGTCTCGCCAGCTCCCGACTCGGCGCAAGAATAAGCGATTGTGGCGCCATTGTTTCGAGATTGATGCGGTGGAGGATGTTGAGCGTGAAAGCCGCCGTCTTGCCTGTGCCGGACTGGGATTGAGCGATAAGATTCGCCGGCGGGTTATGCATGAGTATTGGGAGCGCCCACTCTTGGATCTTGGAGGGCGAGCGGAAGTTCATGTTGTAGATGCCATTTAGGATAGATCGTTCACTGGCGCATGCACACGCGATCAGCTGCTTCCCTCATTCGAACGGATTTGGACGAGTAAACCTACAGTCCGAGCTCCTCGAAGGTCTTTACGGAATGCAACGGGTTGTTCGGGTCCGCTTGTAGATCGCTCAGCTTCACATCCACGTCGTACTCTGGCTCTCGCAGTTCTGAGCCGTGCTTCTCGGTTGTCGCGCCGTCACGCTGCGCTTCCTCGACTGTGCTCTCTGTCTCCTCGGGAGCGGTGGTAGAGGCCTGGGGCTCGCTGACTGTCTCAGCCGCTGAGGGTAGGGTGATGCGGCTCTCGAGCGAAGCTGAGTTCGACACTGCGGCGTCGGCCTGTGTGTCGGCAGGAGTTTCGGAAGCCATGTTGTTCAAAGAGGAGAAAGAACGAAGAGTATGTCGTGAGCTTTGTGACGGCAAGACGCTTTGTGGCTGGCGGCTTCAACGTCGCGTCGTGCGTGTAGTGAGAGGTTTTGATATGAGAGAAGAGTGATGGAGAAGATGAGACGAGCTTGGAGCTATGCGGCCGAATGAAGCGAACGAATGATCCTAAGTCTTCGCGCTATTGAAGCTGATGTGTACCTCGATAGCTCTCAAGCGGCAACTTATTCAGTTTCCTGGCGATGTAGGCAGCAGATGCGTTATACTGCCTAGCTATTACTCTTATGGTTGTGGTTGCAGGCAGATAAAGCACAATAACATTTTTCCCCGTTGACATTTGAAGGCGTCGCGGGGCACTCGCCGCCTTGGCCCGCCCGCCGCTTCATCCCCGCGCTCGGCGTCGAGTGTTCGCCAGCAGGTGCAGTCCATCGCTGCCCCATATAATACCGTTGCGAGCTGCAAGCTTTCTTTAGCACATATGTCTGTTCGCCCTGGATATGCCTACACCGGAAGAGTACCACACCAGACTCTGAAGCTAGACCGCCGCATAGAATGGCAGAACTGGATATAGCGCCCAAATTCGGCGCCGAGCTGAAGGTAGATACTGGCTACCCTTGTGTGTTCACTATGTAAGCTGACAACGTGGATGTAAAGGATGGCTATAAGGTTGTCAACGCCTGGGTACGTCCCTATCCTCATGACCACACCTTCTGCATACGAGGCCTGCGCAATACTACCATCAACCCGGTCAATACTTCAACGGGCTAACCAGGTGCTCACCAGGTGTCCGGGGGCATTGCGTGGCTGGACGATATCCAACAGTTCTACCGCGAGCGTAGCGCAATCGAGAAAGAGTACTCCGCGAAGCTGAACGCCTTGGCGAAGAAATACTTCGAGAAGAAGGCCAGAAAGTCTAGCAGTCTCAGCGTTGGGGACACCCCTACCGTCACTCCAGGCTCACTCGAGAGGTACCCTCATACTGCGCCCGAAGACGGATATGTCAGGCTGACAGGCTTTACCCAAGTGCTTCTATGACCACATGGAATGTCCAGCTCACGACGCTCGAATCTCGAGCGGCAGAGCATGACCAGTTCGGCTCACAACTTATAAGTAACCTCGCCGACCCCCTCAAGCAACTCGCTTCTCGATACGAAGACCTGCGCAAATGTCACGCCGACTACGCTGCGAAGCTCGAGAAGGAGCGGGACTCGTCATATGGCGAGCTTAAGAAGATGAAAGGCAAATACGACAGTTCATGTCAAGAGGTGGAGAGCCGGCGGAAGAAGACCGAGAGCTCCTTCGACCACAGCAGAACCAAAGCGCAAAACGTCTTGGTACAGCAGATGGCCGAGATGAACAACGTCAAGGTGCGACCTTTCCTGCAACGAAGTAGAGCATGCTGACCCCTGCAGAACTCATACCTCATCAGCATCAACGTGACAAACGTGCAAAAGGAGAAATACTATCACGAGTATGTCCCCGAATTGCTCGATGTAAGGCCTCACGTGCTCGACACAAAACGTCATCTAGCGACTGACAGTCATGCCTACCCTAGAGCTTACAGGACTTATCAGAAACCCGCGTCGCCAAACTCAACTCGATATGGATGGCCGCCGCTCAGATCGAAACAGCAACGCTGGCGCGAAGTACAGAGTTCCTCAAGCACTTGGCGTCAGAAATACCGAGGAACAATCCAGTGCTCGACTCCATGATGTTCTTGCGACACAACATCGCCGATTGGCGCGAGCCAGCAGACTTCGCCTTCGAGCCCAGCCCAGTATACTACGATAACGACGCGATGGTCACGGACGAACCCGCCAAGAACTTCCTCCGCAACTACCTAACAAAGAGCAAAGGGCTCTTAGGGGAATATCGCCGCGAGCTCGAGACCAGACGGCGCGAAGTCGAGAACGCCAAGCGGGTCCGCAAAGCAATCCGCGAAGGCAAAGACAAGCGCGACGAAGTCGAGGTCGTGCGTGCCATCTTCTCTCTTCAAGAAAACGCGCACGAAGCCGAGCGGCAGAAAGTGACCGCCGAAGTCGAAGTCTCGACCATCACCTCCGCGGTCGGAGACGTCAGCATCGGCGCGCGCAACCACAACTTCAAGTCCCAGACCTTCAAGATCCCGACGAATTGCGATTACTGTGGTGACCGGATTTGGGGGCTCTCGGCCAAGGGCTTCGACTGTCGCGACTGCGGCTACACGTGCCACAGCAAGTGCGAGATGAAAGTGCCTGCCGACTGTCCCGGCGAGCAGACCAAGGAAGAGAGAAAAGCACTCAAAGCCCAGCGCCAATCGTCGGCACAGAAGGCCGCCCCAACTAATGGCGCGGCAACGGATGCGCACTCCAGCAAGCCGTTGATCAGCAGGAGCGACACAGTCAACTCGATGAACACGCTGAGCTCCGGCTACTCGGCGACAGCGCAGCGATCCATTTCCGGCACCGCTGCCACGCCGCCGGTAGAAGAGCCTCAGCCGGAGAGGACCTCCACGATCAAGGCGTCGCCGTCGCGCAGGAGCCGTATTCTTGCGCCGCCGCCGACGAGCTACATTAAGGATTCCAGCGACGGCGCTGCGGAGACTAGAACTGCGCAGCCGCGGGGCAGGATGACGTACCCGTACCAAGCGAACGGAGAGGGCGAGATTAGCGTAAGCGAGGGCAGTAATGTCGTTATAGTTGAGCCGGACGGTGAGCCTCCCCTCCCCTTCTCCTCTCCTTCTCCCTTAGCAAGACGCCCCAGGAGCGCACGAACTAACCCCCCACCAGACGGCTCAGGCTGGCTCCGCGTCACCTCCGGCTCCTCCACCGGCCTCGTCCCGGCCTCCTACGTCGAGCTCGCCCCCACCGCCAATTCCACCCCACCCCCCTCAGCCCATGCGACCCGCCCGCACTCAACCTACTCCAACAACTCCTCTGTCTCTCTAGCCGGCTCCCACGTCTCAGCCTCCGGCGCCTCCTCCTCCGGCGGCACTCTAAAGAAAAAAGGGCCAGCCGTGGCCCCCAAGCGCGGCGCCAAGAAACTCAAGTACGTCGAGGCGTTGTATGAGTATGAGGCGAGGAGCGAGGCGGAGCACAGCATGAAGGAGGGAGAAAGGTTCGTGCTTATTAGCCCGGACGCGGGGGATGGGTGGGCGGATGTGGAGAAGGGGGGCCGCGTGGCGAGCGTGCCGGCGAATTATGTGCAGGAGGTTTAGGGTGGGATGAGGGAGCGTCGTGAATAGAGAATATGCGAGGGCGTTGCGGAGGTTGTGCTTGCGCGGCCTGGGGGGCAGGGGACGTGCCTACATGGTTGGGGCGCTGGAATTGACGTTTTGAAGAGCCGTGGGCGGTGGGCTTGCACGCAGCGCTGGGAAAGGCAGCGGTCTGTTGGGTTGTTAGTCGGTAGTCATTTCTATCAATCATGTCCCTGATCAAGGCTGTCAAGATCGGCTTTCTGGCTTTGCTTCACCTATAATCTCGTGTCTTGTCTAGCTCATTTCACAGCCGCAGACAGCATGAGAATACTGACTTATGCTAACGAAGCGACACAGGTTGCAAGATGGACGTTAAAGAGCTGCGTGTACATAGCTACCACCACTTTCTCACAATTTTCTCGCTGTTTTTACAGCTTCTCACATCCACCGTTTCTCACCTTTTCTCAGCATTCAACATTCGTCAACGATCTACGGACACCATTTACTTCCGAATACGGTAATACACACGCTTTGCATGGAACATCGTTTCATTTCAGCTGCCACACCTCACTTCTCAGCTCACCTCTTGGCTCACCCCTTAGCTCACTCCTCAGCGCACTTCATAATAACTCTCAACTCTCACTTCTCACTTCTCAGCTTTCTTCTCCACTTTCGGATCTCATCTCCCATTTGGTTCTTATCTCTACAGGTTAGGTTTTGGATTTGAGAGATTGCAGCGTGGGGGACGAGATACAAATACAATATCGGTTAAGTGAACTGCAAGGCCTCCCATCGACATAGCACCTAGTACACCATGAACCATCATCCACAAACCCGTATGTGCGCAACCGCTATGGTCGTCGTAGATATCTTAATAATGTATCCGCTGAGCCTAGCAGATTGCGTCCATGCAGGTTGCAGACCTTTGGCTCGAAGCACGGAGGGAGTTGTGAGGAGTGAGATGAGATCGACAGCTTGCTATATTTGTAACCTTGTAGAACGAAGGTCAGCGGCTAACAATGTAGAGAATTTCAAAATGTGGGCCCGCAAGGCCTACAAGGTTCACAACATTTCTCCATCGGCTGCCCCCCCAAGGTTTGAACGTATTACTCTATGCACAGCTTCCTCGAGGATCACATGTTTGTAAGAGTAGGTGTGATGACTTCGTAGCTTATCCAGGGCTTACTCAACCAGCACACATTATGAACCTTGGCAATGTGAGGGCTGTACTCATCTAGATAAAGATTCTGTATTTTGCATGGCAGCGGAACAGGCGGGTAAGAGGAGGGAAAGGTTTGTCCTGGCATCGACACTCGATCCGCCATCGTCGTTTTTCTGTGCGGCTCAGTACCATGCCGTGTGGTGTTGATGACCGGTCTTCCAGATAAGGTCTCAAGTAAACAGGATCTGGACAGAGATTGGGCTGCCTGGATGGGCGCAGTTTTAGGCGTCGATAACGCAAATTGGTAATCCATGGGAACAAGACTTGCAAAGCGGGCCAGTGTCTGTGGGATAACAAAAGCCTCGCCAGCCGGCTTCACATGCTGATAGTGGGCGTAAGAGGTATCTGGGTTTTAGGGTGATGCTCGAATGAGGAACCTCGCAGTCCTACACTAACGTCCTGCTGCTCTATCCAGTAGAAGCCTCGATGCACTACATGGCCATTGAGGGTTGGAATGACTGTCTCTGACTAGAATTCACTCAACGTTGAACGCTGGACGCCAGCCAGTCGGCTTGGGCCGTTGACGGGAGGCTCAGAAGAAGCGGTGCATCCTGATTTGATGGACAGACGACACGGCACAGCGGAGATGAGTCCAGCGGACCCTTTTCGAGCTGCAGGGACCAAGGCTCGGTGCACTTAGTCATTGCCGCATCCTTTCCTACTAAAATGCGCCAGAGATGCGGCAACGTCTAAGTGCGCCGAGCCCTGGACGGCAAGGCTTAAAGCACGCAACGGGATGGCGATCAGAGCGGACGGGACAACATTTCAAGAACCAGTGGCAGCGGTCGACTTGTCATGCGGCAGAGACGCCGGCCGTTACAGCAACAAACTAGATTGAGGGTCCCGTTGATCCCAACGCGCAGGGAGTGGAAAAAGTCCGGACGCCGACAAAAAACTCCTTCGGGAAATGATGTCATCTTCGAGGACCCTGCGACGCTCAACACCGAGCCCAAAAACCGTCGATGCAACGCTGCAGCGGAACTGCGAAGCTAATCATTGGAAACCTCACGGCGTCGCCCGAAAGCCTACTTGTCTTGAGTGGCTGTTGAGCGCCCCTGTCAAATCCTGCGCCGCTATATTGTGGCCACCGACTGACAGCGAATGATAGAGCAACAGAGCTAAGCAGAACATGAAAACCCCTCCAGCTCTCGCCGTCATCAGGGCAATGCTTGGTACGCGGCCTGCACTAGAGTCATCTACGGGTTTGATAAGCATACCGCTAGGGTTTCGATTGTCCTTCAAGGGTCCAAACATGTGGCTCACGGAACGCCTCTGATGCGATGACCGTTGTGGAATCGCTGGGTAAACCCCACTTATAAAACTAGAGTCGTGGGTATTTCCGTTGTAGTCTCTTCATATCCAAGCTCTCAGATGCCTCGCCCTCAAGAACTCCTCCGAGAGTAGTTCACTTCACTCTATCAGTCCTATCCCCTGCATAACATCAGACCGAGAAGCTCAGAAACTCCACTCAAAACCCATATCAGCGAGACACCGACTCCCCTTAATCTGCTTGGGAATTGCTACGCTCCAATACAAACACCGCTGAAGCAGCGAACCTCGAATTATCTTACCAATATGTCGGCCCCATCTCTCATAGTGCCTCCTCCCCAGGGCCGCTTCATGCGGCGCATCAGCTCGACCGATGTCTCCCGCGAGAGCCTCAACCTTGGCCCCACAGTCGTCGTGCCTCCAAAGCACCTCATGGCTCCCTCAGACGCCCATGAGACCGCGGCTGCCATGGAAATGGCGAGACATAAGCTGGCGGAGGGAGCGGTATCACGGGCCGGCACTCCTCCGACACCAGCGGAGACCGCCGTTACTGGAAGGTACGCTTTCGCATTCGATATAGATGGTGTCCTTATTCGTGGCGGTCAAGTCATACCGGAGGCGATTGAGGCTATGAAGGCTTTGAACGGCCAGAATGAGTACAGCATTAAAGTGTGAGTGGTCTGAAACCACGATGCAGTCCGTCGGGCACTGATGTTGCCAGACCTTACATTTTCGTAACGAATGGCGGCGGCAAGACTGAGCAGGAACGTTGCATACAACTCAGCAAGCAGCTCGAGATGGAGGTTTCGCCGGGCCAGTTCATCTGCGGCCACACTCCGATGCAAGAGATGGCGCAGAAATTCAACACTGTTCTAGTCGTGGGCGGTGAAGGAGAGAAGTGCCGACAAGTAGCAGAAGGCTACGGTTTCAAAGACGTAGTCACACCAGGCGACATCATCAAGGACAACCAGGACACCACTCCCTTCCGCAAACTGACACCCGAAGAGTTCAAGAACTCGCGGTTACGAAACTTCGCCGAAGTCGAGATCGAAGCCATCTTCGTCTTTGCCGACAGCCGCGACTGGGCGTCTGACCAGCAGATCATCCTTGATCTCCTAATGTCCAAACGCGGTCGGCTAGGCACACGATCAGAAAATTACGACGATGGCCCGCCCGTCTTCTTCTCGCACAACGACGTCGTGTGGAGTGCCTCCCACGACTTAACCCGTATCGGCATGGGCGCCCTCCGCGTCTCACTCGAGGCCATGTACAAAGCCGTCACGGGCAAGGATCTCAACACCATCGCATTCGGCAAACCTCAGATCGGCACTTTCGAGTTCGCGACCCGCCTTTTGCAGCGCTGGCGGAAGGACACCCACGGTATCGACGCGCCACCTGAGACTGTCTACTTCGTCGGTGACACTCCCGAGTCTGATATTCGCGGTACGAATGAATATAATGAGCGCTCGGAGCATACTTGGTATTCGATCCTGGTCCGTACGGGCGTCTTCCAGGAAGGCACGAAGCCTAAATTCACGCCTAAGGCGACCGTCGATAATGTCCTTGAGGCGGTCAGGCACGGTATGGAGCGCGAGTACAGGAAAGCGCTGAAGGCCACTGTTGAAGAGGAGGCGAACATGAGCGCCATTGCTGAGTAGGCCAAATTCTCATCACGTATCTTCCGTTCGTGATGTTGAGCTGGCTCTGCGTCGCGGCCGGGAGTGAACTGCATTGAAGGAGTTTTCATATTGGTTCTGTGTTGCTTTTTGGTTACCATGTGATATCCCAGCCACATGCGGCATAGCATGCATTGGTCTGCGGCCAGCGAGATTATGTAGTGGTTGTAGGTATCAGGAGCAGTACCTTGGATATATCCCATAGATTAGATTGATGATGGCCCGGCGCACAGGCATCTGTCTGCTAAGAACGCTTGCCGCCTATAGCAACTGGCTTTTACTTTGGGGGTTCACATGCGTGCTTGGGACATGTAAAAGTAAACCACAAGTAACACGACAAGTTTTACAGAGCTAACTATTAGACACGTCTCCGCCGTACAGAGGAGTGCCTGAAGTTCACCAAATAGTAGGCTGTTGCGAGCTTCTCATGGAACCTTTGACACGAGGCATATATCTCGACTGATTAGACTGTAAAGATCAGCAGATATATAAACTTCCCTCATTGAAAATTCTCAATCAGCATTTCGCCCAATTTCCATGGCGCCAAACCGCAGCTCCTATCAACACAGCAGTAAAACAACTGGCGACCACTCACGACCATTTATGAGGACGCCTAGACCCTACTGACCGGTCTACTCCTCACCCCATGCCCAGCCTGCCACCCAAGCGCCCCCTTCGCCCTCTCCCAATCTCCGAAGAACTTGCGCCGGTCAAATGGCGCATCATCGACAGGCATCAAGTTGACGCCCTGCTGGTAGTGGAACGGTCTCCTCGGCTCGGTCTCCTCCCTCTCCACCTTCCCCTTGCCACCCTTCCTCCTCAACGGCTTCTGGCTGTGCTGTCCCGATTGCTGCTGTTCACCAGTCTGCTGCGGCCCGGATCTAACGTTCCTGATGATATCCCTCAACTCGGCGTCATCAGCCGTGATCTGCGCTTTCAGAAACCCGAGATCCGTGTCCCTGGCGCTGAAGGCCGCCATGACCGGGACCCTGGGCTCATACGTCCACTTCGCCAGCTCCGGCTCCCTATTTGGCTGTATGTTTGGATCCAACAACGCCGCCGCACCCTTGTCGAGCAGCTGGACAATGTCCAGACTCTCCCCCGGCGGGATCGGGGTGGAGTGGCTCGGCGTAACACAATCCATATCGACCTCCTTCCTGAGTACATGATCAACATCTACAGCGCTGAAAAACGCACAACTCTGCGGGAGGTCGTGAATCCCCATCTGCTGACTAAACATGGCGCGAGTCCACAGATTCGCAACCTGCAGTGCCATCGCGGCTCTATACTTGTCCTCCTCCTTGACCAGATACCGTATCTCGTCGTGGACGGTGATCGCGAGCCGCGCGGAGAGGTTGTACCGCCGGACCAGGTAGTCCATGCTCACGATGAGCAGGTGCAGGTAGTCCACGCCCGAGGACTGGATGGCCCAGTTGATGCGGCTCGTAATGAAGCCGCCCTTGTTCAGGAAGCGGCGCAGCAGGGCCTCCGTGATTCCGGCGCCCAGCACCGGCGTCCGGGGGCGCTCTTGCTCCGCGAAATCTTCCAGCCGGTTGAAGACCAGCGACTCGGTCCCCCCGCGCCAGAAGGGGCGGTCATGCAGCGCCTTGCGCGTGCTCTTCTTGCCCTTCGTCGCCTGGTACAGCTGCGCGGCTGTCTCGGCTGTCTGCGCCTCCGTCAGGCTCGGGTTGAACTGCCGCAGCAGCGTGGCGGCAAACTTGAGGCCTGCGCCGTAGATGCGGCCGTAGTTGAACACTTTGGCGTCGTTGCGGCTTATGCCCAGGATCTGAGCCGTGCGCGAGTGCATGTCTGTACCGGCTGCTTTGGTGCCTTCGAGCGTCATGAAGCCGATTGCGTTTCCGCCGTGTAGTTGGAACTGTGCGTCGCCGACTAGGGAGGCGATCCAGAGTTCTTGCGAGTCGACGTCTGCGCCGACGAAGCAGTAGCCGGGGGGCGCTTGGATCATGGATTTGAGCTCGGAGCCGACCCGGTTGGGCTTGGCGTTGCTGGCGGTTAGCCAGGTGTTTTCGACGGCGCGCCGGGTTATGGTGCCCATGGGGATGATCTGGGGAAGGATGAAGCCGGTGTCCTTGTCTGGGACAGATGAGGACGAGGGTGTGGCAGAGGCGGTTTCTGAGGCGTAGACAACCATCTGAGACATGATGCGGTCGCGAGCGGAAATCCAATATGAGCATGATGCATTCATCTCAAGAGCTTCCTTCGCGTACGCGTATTCTGACGAAAGTCTGCCTTGCTCAAAGTGCTGCAGATAGCCCTTGGCCAAGGGGTTAGCGCATCGGGCCATTGGTCCATCCTTGTGTGGGACTTTGAAGTACTGATGTTGCGTGTCGTCATGAAGAGTCGGGTTCTCCTCCTCAGACATGTCACACTCACTCATGCCCTTGTCGTTGTACATAAAGGCCTGGTCTATGGGTACTTGATACGTCCATCCGTGCTTGTCTGACCAGACGAGAGGATAGCTATCCCATGCCAGGCGCAATAGTAGAGGCGCTATTCTAGTCCGGACCGTCAGGTTCATTGGGCCATCGTTCTTTACGAACAGGCCTTTGTACCAATTCGGCATCCCTGGCTTCTTCTGTCGTGCTGCCGGCTTCGGAGGATCTCCCTTCTTCTTCGGCTTGAGATACCTTATCTCCTGGCCCGACCAGTCCAGCTGACTCAGCCAAGGATCGTTGGTGTACTTTTCCGGCTGGTCTTTTATTTCTAGCGCTTTCGCCGCGAGAGCCTCGAGGCGCGCTTGAACGGCGTCTGAAAGCTTGTGATAGGTGGCCTCTGCGTTGGCGATGTAGGCGTCCCACGTCTTGTTTACCGGTAATATCTCCGCGGACAAATGTCGCAGCGCAGCGAAGCTGACCGGGTGTGGGCATGTTTCAACAAACAACGGAAAGACCTTCTGGTACACTCGATGGGTAATCTCCACATCGGCTGCACAGTAGTCCAGAAGCTCCTCCAGTTTCCCCCTGATGCCTGCTCGATCAAGCTCTCCAAAGTATTCTCTTTGAGCTTTGTCGATTGTGATACCGCAGTGGAAGTGCGCCACGTCCCGTAACGAGTTGACGGAGCTCCGACCTATCCACAGTTCCTCCTCTTCGCTCGTTAAGTTGCCGGACTCCAGCAGAGCCGATAAATCAGCTCCTTCATCAGAACTCGCAATTCGGTCCCTCAATTCACGCTCTTTCCGGCGCTTGACCCACGTAGGCCGCTGTCTCGAACACATGCCATTTACGGCCACATGCAACGACATGGTGTCCACAAATCCTGTGCTCGACTGCTTGATATCGTACTCTTCCGCTATTCGTGCCCGATCATATCCGATGTTGTGTCCGATTACGATCTTGGCCTGATCGGGGTCCCCTAGCGGTATAAGGTGGCGATCCGAATCCGACTCCCCGAGCAACCAAGGCGATATCCACGCGTACCACGCATCAGGGCTGACGGCGCACGCCATGCAGGCAAATGAGGTCTCCTTCCACATGACTTCCGTGTCAAATGTAAGCATAGACTCATTCGGCGCGTCCACAGCCTCCGATGTCCCATCTCGATTGTATTTTGTCCAGCCACTTCTACGGAGCCATTTTCGGGGTTTCGGCGGAGCGTTTGCACGGGCATACTTCTTCGCTAGCGATAGCCATGGCTCAGCGGCATCCATCCCAAGCCGGTAGAAGTGCTCGTCCAGCGAAGCGCCCTGCAGGCCTGGTATGTCGAAGCCGACCGGCGGCGTGGAGTCCTGGTTCTTGCCGAGGAGGTCATGGCGCGTGAGGTGGTCTTTGGAGAGCTCGATAAGCTCTTGCGGAGGATGCGTTGCGGTGCCGGGGAACACCTGAGGGTGGACGGTGCTGCTGAGCTGCTGGACGCCGATGTCGTTGAAGCGCGCTTGGGATGGGACTACGAGTAGTTAGCCGGAGAGCAAGGGGCTCGTTGCGCGGGTCTATGTACTTGAGAGGCTTTGCGGATTACTTCTGTGCTCTGGTTCTTGCGAGGAGGCGTCGATAGCATAGCATCTTCGCGAGAGGAAGCCGTAAGGGGCGCTGGAATTTCGCGCGGAGGAGGTATGCCGCAAGGGGATTTGCGCGATGAGCCGCGCGCGTCTGCTGACGCGCATCTCCAAGAAGACAATGAGTATACACAACTATGGCATGGTGTAACTACAGACTTGATGCGAAAAGGAGTGGACGCTCTGACAGTCTGAAGCTTCTCCTTCATGCGCGTCATGCATCCGCCCGGCGCCGTCGAGCTTCAGGGCTTTCGTCGAATCTCGCACGGACAAGTCACAGGGCTGAAGAACACCACACGAGGCTTCAGTGCACTTAACTTAGACGTTGCCGCATCTCTATGGCATTCTGTAGGAAACGATGCGGCAATGACTAAGTGTACCGAGCTTTGACCCAAGCACCACCCAAACACCCACGCGAGTGACAGAAATCGCCGGACTCCAAAATAGATAGGTCTTCAGTCAGCTAAGGAAAGGTCACGAACAGAAGCAACTCCTTATAGTATACCACCTTAAGAGTGTGTTCAGGCTACAACTAAAGGTGGAACGGCTGGGGTAGAGGTCTTTAGAAACGTGGCGAGTCCAATAGATTTTGGGGATTTAGGAGTGGATTGGAAGTCCAGCAATTAGCGTGTCTAGGCGAGTTCTATCACTCGTGTACGGCCTTATAACTCACTCCCAAATCACTAAAGTCTGTTAGATTCACCGCATCTCTAAAGATCTTTACTCTAGCCATCCTACCTCCAGATATAGCTTGCACATGTTTATATAGTAGCACATCATGAAGGATCACGCCTATTCATGACCTCCGTAAGCTGACTGAAAACCTATCTGTTTTCCCGAGTCCGGCAATTTCTGTCACTCAGGTGGCACCCAAGCACCCAAGCACCCAAGCACCACCAAACGCCTCACCGGCCCTGCACCGGCCAAAGCTGGAAGGAGCCCACATCCGCCATGGTCGCTCACGACCGGCGTTGTGTAGCGGGTTCTTCGTCCGCACTGTCGGCAGCTACTCACCTTATCTCCATCTTGCATTGGTTCGTTCAGCATGTCCAACCGTGATTTCAAACCTTTGGGACCTTTCTTGCGTCAGACAACCGTCGATCCCCGGTTCATTCACAACCAGATTCGAACGACCGCGAACGGCTCGACGCCCAGTAACAACCTCACAGTCGCCAGTCCTCCGGCGTCTGAATATTCAAACCGCTATCAGTACCTTCCACAGCAAAACCATTCAAGTCCGCCCAGCAATTTCACAGGGCCACTCGGCGGCGTATCACTACCACCCATAAACCGCACCACCTACCGCGTAGCCGACTTTATCACAACCTCGCACTCCACTCACCGACGTCTCCACAACTCGCCACCCCCGCAACAGCGTCCCCAAAGTGCCACAAACCGACCCTGGGCCACAGCTTCCAACCCCCTCCTCACCCTCGCTACAGCCTCGCAACTATCCCGAACGAACTCCTTTGATTTCTCTCGATCTCAGCCCACAGCCCTCTCACCCACCATGCCGCCCACCCGCCGCAACTCCACCGCCAAGCGCACTCGGCGCTCCATCAGCACATCCCCGGGCCCCGCATCCTCTGGCTCAGCCTCCAAGCGGCAGAAGACTACACACCGCCGCGGCTCGCGCGCCAGCATGAAAGAGACCGAGACAATCGACCTCGCGGACGGAGAGCCCGAAGATGGCCGGCTGAAGAACGTGCTGGAGAAACAGCGGATCGAGGCGGTGGCGGCGCAGGGGCTGAACGTACCGAAGGACGGGAGCGGCGAGACGCAGGGGATCAGCAGTATCTGCTGTGTAATCTGCATGGACAACATGACGGATATGACGGCGACGAGTTGTGGTGAGTCAAGCCAGCAGAGAAACGCTAGAGTTCAGAGGACTGATAGTTATGTCGTTGCAGGCCACGTCTTCTGCCATGCCTGTCTTCTACACGCGCTCATCGCAGGCGAAAACAGAGCCGGCCCGGGAGAGACGAAGCGGTCGCAGTGTCCTGTGTGCAGGAAACCGCTGAACCGGAAAAAGCAGGCGGATATCATCCCCCTGTTGCTCAAGAAAGGCCTGCAGACGCAGCCGAGAAAGAAAGCCGCGCAGGAGGATCCAGGCTTGAGACGACGATGAGGAGTGGCATTAATCAAAAGGGGATCCAAGATACGGCAAGCAATCCGAGCTGCAGACTATAAGAATGTAATAGCCGGATCGAGTAGGGCCTGGTAGTGTTGGGGTAACGCCATTCATGAAATAGTAGAGGCGCTCTATGGAGGACGGTATGTCGAGCTCGCCCTACGGAGTGGGCAGTGGTACGCCCTAAGGCATGGCGTTCGAGGAGGCGTTGCAACACACAGCATGGCATAAGATCAGCTTAGGGTGTGTTGGAGTTTAGTGGTGCATGCGGGAGGCGCTCTGGTTGTATCATCCCAACACTTAATGCTACATAGACGCCAAGCATCTTAAGACTCATAAAATCAAGGCGCCGAGCCTCGAACGCGTACTCGATCACCTTTGCCGCAATTCCCACCGGGCTGATGCAAGGCTACAGCCACACTCGGCGTGGCGCACGCTCCCGTCCATCCCGTCTTCCTGCCATGACAACGGGTGTTCGGATGTGCCGGAAGGGGCAGAGCTAGGATCCCCCTGATCCAGAGCCTCAAATCTTGGAAGCGTTCCGTCTCCTCATAACGCCAGAGCTCTTCTTCCGCACGCAATCGCTTGCCCGCTGCTGTTGTAGTTTTCATAGTGAGGAACCTGGATGCACGAATGTGCCGGTGTGACGCGTCCAAGGAAGTGGCCAAGGCAAACGTTCTATTTTCCAGTGTCCCAAGGCGCAGCGCAAAGACTTGGATAGGGTCACGGGACTCGAAACTGGCCACAGCTGAGTCGGCATCGACCGCAGCAGTGCATGCCAAGCCCAGGGCAAACTTGAAGATGTGCGTGTGACTTACGTCATTCGCCATTTCAGTCACCGGGAGCCAGTTTATTAAGAAGCCGCGACTTGCCAAACGCTGACTCCTGCCTCACAAACTCACCATCGTACCATCGCTTCAAGTTACCAAAAGACAACGCTTCAGCCCAAACCAACACTCGCCTTAAAGTTCGCACAGTCAACTCAACCAAGATGCCTTTCACCGGAAGGTAAGCATTCGAAACCCTAATACGCAGAACTTCCGCCGCCTGCAGAAGTCACGGAATACGCACAACTCAGCTTCATCGACCATAGCTAACACTTCTCGCAGCGACATCATCAAGATCATCCTCGCCATTTTCCTACCTCCTCTCGGCGTGTTCCTCGAGCGCGGCTGCAATGCCGACTTCCTCATTAACATCCTCCTGACGGTGTTGGGTTATATCCCGGGCATCATTCATGCGCTGTAAGCATTGTCCTCCCTTCAACTCAGCATATCTAAACTAACACCTTCCAGTTACATCATCCTGAAGTTTTAAGCCCCGGCTTCCGCGATTCGTTATGATACCCAGATTTTCATTCCACCCTCAGCCTTGGTTCGGGTCACCGCCGCGCCGGTTGGCGACGTCGATCTCGTGATGGAACGGGCATTTCGGCGCTCCCCGCGCTGACGGTTTGACCGAGGGTTTGCGTACGGCTTTAGCGTTGCGCGGGAGGCTTGAAGAACGCGGGAACGAAGTAATGAAGGTTTGGGCAATTGTAACATAGGCTATTGAGACAAAATTACATTCATCTGTTAAACCCTTCTGGATCTGCACGTCGTTCACCATATTGCTTCAAGCGCGGCTACACGGATCCGTTAAATGGGCACGTACACAATACAAACTGTCCAACGGAGTTACATCTGGTTAAACACGAGACATGATGGCTACATATCATAGTGACACGTATGGATGTTCTACAGTATCTGATTTCTGAGATTCGCGGCATCTGCCGGAAGCCTCATTCCAACGTTTCACCCGTGGTCTAGTTAAATCTTGACCGTGAATTCGCAATTCACACGCCGCCATGCCAGCAACCGCCCAGATGCATATTCCAGCAAGCAGCAACCCTCACCGAGGCCGCGAGCCCACCATCTTCAGCAATGGACGTCACCGCAACGCTGCCGCCGGAGCTCGTCGCCGTTCTTTCAGACCACAAGCCGACGCTAGGGGAAACGACGAAGCTATTCGAAGGCGCGCGACGCGCTGATCGCGCGCGTGCTGCTGGCGTGTCTCCGTTCGAGGCGGTCTTCCAGGACTCGCTGAAGCTCAAGAACAAGCTCGACGAGCTGGAGAGATACGGTAAGGCGCGGTCGAAGCCCCTCGTCTTAATAGCTCCCGCTGATCGCTATGCTGTAGACCCTAAGACACCAGACCTAGCCCTCCAGTCCCTCCTCGCCGCGGTCCTCAACTGCGAGTATCAGCTCTACGTGCTCAATGCCGCCACGCCGCTGCGGCACAACCCTTTCCTCTCGCACTGGGTCGAGGTTGTCACGGGATGGAAGGAGCCGGCGCAACCGGCAGTGCCGCCGGGCGGTGACTGGAAGGACTACAGCATACGCTTCTCGCGCTGGATCCAGGTCTTCAAAACACGCGTCGAGCTCGTCAAGGCTATACTGAAGCAGGATGATGTGGAGCGGCTGAGACAGCACACTCCTGCGTCGCTGCTTGTGCATTTCCGCTCATCGCCTGTGCGCGATTTCTGCATTGAGCCGTACATTCATGTGCTTGAGGAAGAGGGCATTTACGAGAAGGCTCCGCTGCCGCAATCTTCGAACAGCGCGGCATTGCCAGCAGCCAAAGAGCCAGCGCCAGCATCAGAATCTGGACCGGATGCTCCTTGTTCTCCCAGCACAAGCGCGTCACCGTACGACTCCCTACTCCAGCGCCTCCATACCTCCCCCGCAGACGCGCTGCACACTCTAACCCGGCTCCCCATCACCCTCGAGTCCCTCGAACTCCTCAACACGGTCCTCACCTCCGAGGACACATGTAGAGAACTCGGCACCGAACCCGCCAACCTCGTCCGCGAGTACCTCCAGCGCAGCCTCCGCCGCGTCGAGCGCGCCGACAACGCGCGACAGCAGCCTCTCACCGTCCCAGGCTATCCTTCCCTGCCATCTGGATCTACATCCGCAGCCGACGACGAAGAGAACGGGTTAGACGAGCTCCTGGACCGCGAAGCGCAGATCCGGGCTATGAAGCTGCTGGTGCTGTTCATCAGGAACCTGATCCGGAAGGGCGTGGTTGGTCCGGCGGAGATTTTCTTTGAGATCAGGGAGATTTGTGTGAGGTATATTTGGATTAGGGAGGTTAGGGAGTTCAGGGCGTGGGTAGAGGAGGGGAGGGACGCTGGGAGTGAGAAGTAGGGGAGGAAGATGCTGGAAGGGGCGACGGTCTGGATGTCAGATTCTGAGGAATCTAGGAGATTGCGTATTGGATCTCACAGCTTCTAAGTCCGAGTAGAGTACTTGGCTCAAATCGACGACAGTCACGTGGCAGTCAATACAACACGGAAGCCATCTTCTACCACCGGATGCACCGGAGTCTTTCTCAGCCCATGTCGTGCGTGAACCTCAGCATCACACCACAAAGCAACCGAACACCGTTGAGGCCTCGGTACCCGGAGCTCACTCCTTTGCAGGGCATCTCGCCGGGCCAGTCCCTGCGGCTGAGCAATCGGAGCACAATCGATAAGCGCAGTCCCCACGGCATGTGACGCAACAGGCAGGCGATTGTTAAGCCCTGTCTTACGCCGCGTTCAGCAAAACGTGCTATAGGCATGCAAACCCTCCGTTCTTTCTGTCAACCAGTTTCCACATCTACTTTTCGACAAGCAACTACTGCTCGTGCCATCAATAGCGGATATCTCAGGATCGGAGTCACCTACCAGCCAAAGCAACCCGCCAGCACCATGTCTTCCGCGACTTCGTTCTACGATTTCAAGCCAATGGATAGTAAGTCTCCCTCCCGCCGCCGCCGCCGCCGCCGCAGCAGCAGCAGCCTCAGCAGCGGTAGGACACCACTAACACCCTCCCGCAGAGAAGGGCAAACCCTTCCCGATCTCCAGCCTCAAGAACAAAGTCGTCCTCGTCGTCAACACGGCCTCCAAATGCGGCTTCACGCCACAATTCCAAGGCCTAGAGAAGCTCTACAAGGAGCTCAAAGCAAAACACCCCAATGACTTCGAGATCCTCGGCTTCCCCTGCAACCAATTCGGCGCCCAGGACCCGGGCACCAACGCCGAGATCCAGGAGTTCTGCCAGGTCAACTACGGCGTCTCCTTCCCGATCTTGGGCAAGCTGGATGTTAATGGGCCCGAGGCGGACCCGATGTTTGAGTGGCTCAAGAAGGAGTGGCCCGGCGTTATGGGGTTGAAGAGGGTCAAGTGGAATTTTGAGAAATTTTTGGTGGGGAGGGATGGTGTGGTTAAGGGGCGCTGGGCGAGTACGACGACGCCGGAGTATTTGAAGGGGGTTATTGAGAAGGAGATTCAGGCGAAGGCGTAGGGGAGTGTGGGAGCTTTTCTGGTGAGGGAAAGACTGAACTGGTGTTTGGGTTTCCTTGGCTTGTTGTTGCATTTGTAGTGATACCACGGTCGCCATGACCAGAATGCAATACCATGTTGTTGCATACTGAGGGCTCAGTGTGAATGTTGATATTTGATACACGGGCTCTTGAGCATGTCTAGTCGAAAGGCACCCTCCTCAACCCCCCCGCAACCCCCATTCTCTTCATCTCCCCCTGCGCCCCCACAGCCGCGGGGACCTTAATCCCACAGCAGTCCCCCCATCCCGTCTCCGCATGCACATGCCGCATCCCATCCCTCATGACGACCCCCTCTCCGCCTTCTTGCTCATCCTCCCCTCTCCCAACCCCATACTCCTCCTCCCTGCTCATCTCCTCCACAGCCGGGATGAGCGATCCAAAAAGGAAGTGCTGCATAACCGGCAACTTCCCCAGCACCTCCGCCACAAACATTTTCCGCATGCCTCCCTCGACCTTCCCCCAGTTTCTGGCGGCGCTGATATCGTCCAGCATCGGGGAATGCCACCGCAGACCCTCGACGTTCTTGACGCTGTTCACAAAAGCCACTTGATCCAAATACAAATAGTCCTTGGCGCCTTCTTCCAGCACGAGCGGGTTGTGGATGCTTTTGGGGCGGATGTAGGGGTGGTGCAGTAGTTGGGAGGCGCCGAAGAGAAAAGGGAGGAACTGGTAGTCGTCGAGACCCCAGACGCCGTGGGAGCCGGCGGGCTCGAGGTAGTATGTTGTCTGGAGGGAGCGGAGGAGGCGGAGGTAGCGGGGAAACAAGACCAGCACTATTTGCTGAAAGATCGGTGTCATGGCCGGCGTTGTAAGTTCTGTTGGCGGAGAAGAGGGATTGGCGGGAGAGAAACGCCCAAGCTGGTATAGACAGAGCAGCCACATGAAGAGGTTCAGCTCGTGTCCGCTGCCATAGTCTATGCGTGTTCTGTTGCCGAAGCTGTGTTGTAGGTACGTTGAGACCTCTTCGATAGCGTCTGGATCCGAGAGCCCGAGTTTCCGGTGCCAGCTCTCCTGCGCCCGCTCCGTCGCGTCCAGGAAGGTGCGGAACGCCGCATTGCCGAACCGGCTGCCGCCTGTGTCTTCAGCGGGACACTGTCCCAGAATCTCCTCCGCTTCATCGAGGATACTCAGGATGGCTGCGACAGTGGGAGAAAGTCCGGCGGTGTTGACCGCGGAGATGGGTGTATCGCGGACGCTATCAGAGAGGGTGAAGATGAACGATGTGATGAGGGTGTAGGTCGGCGAGGCGAGGAAGAGCTCGTGGTCATGCTTGGAGAGAATGCGGCGGCTTGGCTTGAGGAAGTGCCAGTTTGCTAGAGAAGGTGGTGGGGGTAGTGGCGGCGTCTCTGGAGGTGAGTTTGAAGATGCTGGCGGTGTTCGGGGCTTTGAACGAGGGACGAGGCGCGGCAGTTTGCTGGAGAGATCTGGCGGGTTTGTCGGTGCTTGGGGATGAGGGAGCGCCATGATGTGTGGTATGCTTTGGAAGGTCGAAACTGAAGTGCTGCTGGATATCGGAGCATCCATGCACAGACAGTCCGTCAGATTGCGGGCCGAGCCTAGGGCTCTCCGTAGGGCTGTCGAAAGGCTTCACATTCAGTCAAATGCATTATTGATGCACGCATACAACGGAAAGATAGATTATCTAACATTTGTGGAGAGTTCCTCAAAGACCGTACTCTGAACAGGCGTAATTCGGACGAAACATGGACGTGGGAGAAATGAGCTAATCAGTAACGAGAGCACAAAGATCACGTCTAGCATTTGTAACGAGTATTGCGTTCAATATATCAAGCTATATACCTATATAAACATAAATGTGTACTAAACTTCGCGAAATATCCGCTTCGCCCGCAGGCTGCCAACCTGACTCCACAAACGCCAACCGCGACCTTGAACCGAAAAGGCAAGCTACATGCCATCTACATGCTGTGTATATCCTCAACTAGCAACACAGTGATCAGATCACTCAACAGATACATCTGTGTGTCACTGCTACATTGTCGCTTCTCGTCGCACTCAAATCTTCAGAAGCACAAGTAAGTCCTCTGTGCCGGTCGGCACGTCCAATCCAGCTTTGTCCACAGGCTCTCAGCATCCACAGGTCCTAGGCGATCCACAGCAGTGGCAATCCATCCGGCATTAGGTGTGATCCTTGCTGGGTAGCAACATCCTCCAGTGGAAAAGCCATATGGAACAAAGAGAAAGCGCACGTGATACACGTCGTGCATTCCAGTGTGGTATCATCCGCAGCGACGAAGCTCAACCCAAAACATGATCAAAGTCCTACAACGGTTAGATGACCACATCGGCCTATGTTGGGAGAGAGCTTACAAGGTGTATAAGCGGCGGCTGATTCGAGCTCATCTCAGTAACCTGCTGCTTGAGATTGTCCAACATCGCAACGTCCGCGGCGATGTCGGAGGGGAAATCCAATGGGCCTTGGATGACCTCGAGCCGCTGTTGTAGCGCTGACAGGCGAGTGTTGAACTCGGCGTAGAGCCGCTGGAAGTGCAGTTGGCGTTGCTTCTGGATGGCGAGCATGCTGTTGGCTGCGTTCGGGATTTTTCCGGGCGCAGTTCGCTGACGCTTGTCGACTTGTTCCTCTCCATCGGCAGCAGACTTGCGCTTGCGAGTGCCCTGCTTCCGCTTCGTAGGTACGCCGGGAGAAGACTCGTCACCCTCGGCTGCCACGTCGTTGTATTCGTGGACCCGCTTCATGTGGTCGACAAGGTTGTATCGCCTCGGGAAGCCTTGGCCAGGGACGGCACGCTCACAGTCCGGGTAAATGCAAAGGTGTGGCTTAGATCCATGTCCGTGCATGCCGTGGGCCTCCCTCTCGTGACGTAGGAGGCAGGCTGTTGAAGAGAATTGTACGTCTGTGCACGTCTTATTCCTGCAGCGGAATGGCTTGAGATGGGAATCGACGTATTTGCTAGAAGCCTTGTGAGCAGATGGCCGAGCGGGGAGAAGACCTCCCAACACTTACTCGTAATTGCACTTCAAAGGAGTCGGCTTATGAGCGCAACCCGCCTGGCCTTCGTGGGGGCAGTGGTAAAGTTCGTCGCCGTGCTTCGAAGCTTGGTACAACGGATGTGCTCGCGCTATCTTTTCCGCGGCATCTTCGCTCGGTGTACGATCTGCTGGGACATTTGGCGAGAGATAAGTCCCGTCGTCGGTTTGTCCAGTAGTCAGCGTCCCAACGATCGCAGCGTGCTCTGCAGCGGACGTGTAAAGCTGGCTGGGAGTACTGCGCATCCACTGTTAGTACATCTGGTCAACGTCTCTACTCAGCCTTGCTCACCTGCTCCCATGCACAAATGTTGGAGGTGCGCTGTAATAACCTTGTTCAGCGGGGGACACGTGTTGGCCACTGGTGACAGGTGCTGTTGGAGAAAGAACAGAAGGTGTGTCGTAGCCGGCCTGCGTATGCGGGATATCCGAAGCTCTTCTTGGTGTAGCGTTGGTGGGATGAAAGGTGGACGGAGGATGTGACACACCCATGCTGGTCACGGAGAGTGGTAGATTGGCAGACTGCACACTTCGGAGACGCGGTCGGCCTCGCTCTGAGATGGACCTTGCAGCCGCGCGAGGGTCGCCGTTAAGATACGTCGCATAAGGCATATAGGCCTGTTGAACAGCACCGCCCTGGCTGGATAGCTGCCTCTGGGCATACGATGGCAAGACAGGGCCATCGCCAGAGCTAACTGCGAACAAACTATTTGTCCTCTGTACACCGGCGGAACTGAGATGGTCATCACTCCCTTCTGTTGCTTGTGGAAAGCGGACAGCAACGGGGTGATATGACACAAAGCCGGTTGGCTGTCCGTAGAACTGGCCATTGGAAGTGTTAGCAAATCCAGCCGCGGCGAAATTGCTGTTCCCAAGGTAGGATCCTCCTGCGGCTGCTGGAAGATACATATGGCTGACGTCGGATTGAGCTCCATGAAAAGTGCCTTGACTCTGGGAGCTCATAGCTGGCGAGTAACCAAGCACTGCCTCGTTGTGATGCGCTCCGAAAGGTTGCGATGCGTCTGACACCGGTAGGTTCATGTCTACTTGGCTCATGTATGTGCTGTCATCCATGCTAGAAGAGATTGAAACGTTGTCATCCTTGAACATACTGGCATCCAAGTAGTCCACGGCCAATTCTGGGAAGTCCTGCGGCACAACAGAAAACAAACAGCCTCCGGCCAAATCCGGATCTGGGATGGTTTGGGTCCACAAGGCAATGTCCTTTGGATTGAACACAGAAAGTGGAAACTCCAGAAAAGAATCGCTGAAGCATCGTGGTTAGTACGGGGACAACCGGCCAAAGTTGGATGTATCGTAGGAATGACAAGTAGAAATTGTGACTTAGAGAAGAGGAAAACGCCAGTGTTAGTACGGAAGGTCCCAGAGTCAGGTGGGCAAGGTTCCTGCTCAAGGGTTAGTTCCGCTGCAACAGTATGACGTTGAGGGTATAAACAGACCTGACGGAGATGCCAGAATGAATCAGCTCTCAGATTTCCCATGGATTTGGCACTGTCCCGAAGGCCTGGAGGGATCCTCATCAGATGCCGTTTGGCAACGCAGGTGCGGTGCCCAAGACTCCAGTTCTCACAGCGGGATTCTTGAATGTAGCAATCCTTTGGATGGAAACACGTTGCGTTGCATATACGTAGCGTTGACAGCAAGTTGGCAATAGGTCTGTAAACGTATGCTGGACTTCACCAGTGCAACATGAATTAGTACTCGATCACGTGAATTCTTCAGGGGACAGAGCGATTGTGTGCCCACGGTGTACGTACGAACAAGGCCAGGCGGCCTACCAAGATGTGTTTCCAATCTGGACGATCCACGGCTCGAACGTATTCCTCGGACCACGTACCCACGTGAGTGATCATCCAGTGGATCCCTGAGCACAGTTCCATAAGGTCGGATCCATAACGACCACTGGGCAAAGCAAAAAACCCCCGGCTGATCCACGTCGGCTGACAGTCGTATGTATCCCGAAAAAGGAGCGCAGTACACGCGCTAGAACTCCAGGCAAACAAACAGCGCGAACAGTTGATCCCAATGTGGTTAGACAGCTAAAAAGCAAAAAATCCATGGCTATTGTCGCGAAACTTGGCCCAAGGTAAGAAATTCAAGCGGAATGCATCTGTTGTTGGAAGTGAGATGGTACATCGGCCGTGCAGCAATCCAGACCTGGAGATCCTCTGTGGAACATGCTCGTGGCTGACTCGCTACCGCTGGCCTCTTAATTGAGAAGACCATTGGTTACGCAGAGCCGCGGAAGGACTTTCACTAGTCCCAGCATTCATTTACGACACCATGTGCTCATATCTACACAGGGTCTGAACGCGTTGAGTGCCTACAACCTTAGCAAGTGACCTGCGCGCGGGACGTGTGGCTCCATTCCCCATTCTGGCACGCGGACGGAAGTCCAGACGGTAATTCCATGGTCCTCTGTCCAGCCTCCCAGGATGGCTCCCAGTGTGGTCCATAAAACCGGTCCGGATGTGGAAGCTGTTTGGCGATGCAAAAGAAAGAGAGAAAATACATGCCAGACTGACTACATGGATCCAGGCGTGACACAATGAACTTGAGACTATGAGAAAGAAACCATCGGGTAGTACCTGGTGTGGGAGCCTGATTCGCGGTTGCGATTGTTCATTCTGAGTCCGGTGGTGTTCTTTTCTTGCTTGCTTGCTTGCTTGATTGCTTGATTGCTTGATTCAAACGCGTAAATGACGCGAAAAGGTCGGTGTTTTTGATATGTTGATTAAGACTTCTGGAGGTGTATCACGACCGCAGGAAGGCTGGTAAAGTGAGGATGAGGGGAAGAAGAGAGCGGGTGGGCATGGCCGAGTAGAAAAGAGGACGGCAGAGGGAGGCTGCGTAAGCGCGGAATAGTCGATGCGTTGGTCGAGGCGGGGTTGTCGACAAGCCGGCTCTCCCAGCCTGTCGCTGCAGCAGTGCGAGCGAATTCCAAGGCAGACGGGTTCGACTGGCTTGGGGAGGCTTGCTCTTAAACGCAAGTTGCGTCAAGAGGTGGATCGGGGGTGTGCGGGCTGCGGGACGGCAATGACATGGTTGGCTCAAGTCCAGACGGCCTCGCGCCGTCCCTCGGTCGCAACACCGGGGCGCCATTTGTCACCTGTCACCTTGCGCCGCTGGCTTGTCCCTTCATGCGAGCGGAGGCCTTTCTGTCACACTGCAGTTCTTTCCAGAATCGGACCTCAGAGAACGCTGGCTGGACTTGCAGCAAGCCGTCCCGAGTCGGGGATCCTTGCTGTGTCTATTTTACCTTTGCGCTTGCCTCGGCCTACCTCAGTTCTGGGGCAACTGAGCGACAGGAGGCCAAGCGGATCAGCATCTCTAAAGTCGACGGACTGATGTCATGCATACAAGGGGCCAGAACTTTACTCTTCGGGTAATGTTCATGGGACAGACAGGTTGAGCCGGACCACAAGTCGCGAATACGTTACTCTGCTCTTCCTTCACATGTACTCGCACAGTACCTGACCGAGACCGCTGGAGCCTCTTGCGAGGATGTCGTACCGGCGTCACTGAGCGGCTGGCTACATTAACGGTAACTGCCACTACGCCTCTGTCCAACCACCAAGCGTGTCCGTTACGAGTGGCACCAGAATGGCTGAGGCGGCGGCTGTGGCAGCTCGTACTAGTACATCCCATGGGGTGATTGTATGATCTGCATGGTCGCTTTGCGCGACGATTGAGTGACCACCGCGATGGTCTAGTCTTGACTCACAAACACCTACCCAGGACCTAGAAACACCAACATGGAGCGTGTCTGCTTCCGCGCTCCTGCTCTTATTGGTACAAACGGAGGAGTGTTCCCTTCAGGGACCTACCGTTTTGCCGTACGCGAATGCCTTCAGCAGATAGCATACGCGCTGCTGTTTCCCATGGCAAGAGGCCAGCTCTTACGAAACGATAATCTAATTGTCGAAGGGAAGAGCTCAGATCACATCAAGCCCTAGTAGCGCCCTTAATCCTACAGCAGGCGTGCGCCAGCCCGCTCCACGACCGGAGAAGCAGACTTGCAAACAGCCCAGAATTTCGGTTTTAGCTGCCGCACTTTAACCACTTTGCCGGGCTGGAACAGTGATCTACAGTGCGAAGACCGAGTTCGTCGTGACGTATCTTCCTGTTGATTACCTGAGTCAGTTGGTGCTCACAGGATGCCGAGGAAAGTGTCTGGTACAAGCAAGGCACAAGCCGATCAGATAGGAGCGAAAGATGGTACGTTTTTTCTACATGACAATTCGGTTGAACTATGCATTTTTGGTTTTGATCATCATAGGAAGGCCGGGATATGATAAGGTGAAATAGGGATAGACGAACCTTTAGAGTTTTGATCTGGTAGGTGATCGGCTGTGTGTGACGTCGGTGTACCTGACGATCCATGTAGCGGACTTGTTTCTGGCGACTCAGTGCACCCGCCGATCAAAGCAAAGTCCGCACGAACGAACCCACAAAGCGATTCCAAAACCGACAGGCGGGTCTTTTCCCGGCTCAACACAAATGTCCGGAAAAGTTCCACCGTTCTGGATGGTCGATCAGGGCGGCTTTGAGCTAAGTCAACGGTTTTGAGTTTCGACCGTCGGGCTGGGTTGGACGATCAACGCGACCGGACCTCCAGTTGATAGCAGACGGCCAGGCCTTGAGTGGTACGGAAGAGGACCCCGAGGGAGTCCAGTCCTAGCCGCATCATCTCCGTTCACGCCAGGACGTGAGAGGATGGAAGAGGAAGAGGAAGAGGAAGAGGAAGAGGGGCCTCGACAGCTGGGGATTTTTGAAGGTCTCGCCTAAGCGGGCTCTTGCACGTGACTGATCTCCCGCCTTTCCGCAACTTAAGGTGTGCGGCTCAAGCAACGTCACCGCGAAGACCGCTCCATTTCCACAGCAGCCAACATGTCGGTGCCAGACTCCGGAAGCCAAGATGTCACGGTGATCAACCTAAGGCGCCTACTATCGCGCCTCGAACAGACACTTTTGTCACCAGATGCCGATCCATATCTCAGGAAGTCCTTGCCTGAGCGGACGAGAGTCGGCGCTGTAGGTAATCAGCAAGAACCAAGGCACTCTCGCAGGCTTCAAACTGATGCGTCCCAGAACCTCGATTACGCGCGCTCCCTTCTCCTCCGCCTTGAGCACGATAGTGCAAACATAAAGATCCAGTCCCGCAAGCAAGCACTGCAAACCGAACTCCAACAGAAGCGTGACCTCATAAAACAGCTGAACCAGCGCCTTCAAGAGCTCGCCCAGCTCGACGACGACTCAATAGACGAGGACTCAGACTTTTCAGAAGCCGACGATGCTGCGCCGTCCTACGCTCCCGCCCAGAATGTCTCCAGCTCCATAGACACAGAACACGCTGCCGCGCCAGGCAATCCTGCGCTGCAGCAAGCTGCTGTCAACGTCACATCCATGCTACGCTCTCGATTTCCGAAGCCCGACGATCCTCCTCAGGATACCGGGGCATCTACCAGCAGCTCTCTCTTCCCGGCACAACCCAAGAATACAGCCAATGGTGCGGATACCGACCTCAAAGAGCGAGAAACTCTACTCTCGCACGACCGTAATGAGCAAGAAGTGCTTACCGAGTCTTTGCTCCAAATGACACAGGCGCTAAAACAGCAGGCGGTAGAGACTGGATCGTTCTTGGAGATAGAAGATAAGGAGGTCGTAGCCGGTGCGACGTCAGGCCTGGAGAAGAATGCTTCAGGCCTGGAGGCAGCATCGACTAGGATGGGGGCTTTAAGGCGTATGACGGAAGGGAGGGGCTTGTGGGGGCGCCTGATGATGTACGCGTGGATCGCTGGGTTGTGGCTTCTGGCTTTTATCGTTGTTTTTATCCTGCCGAAGCTAAGGTTCTGAAAGATATTTGAGGAGACACGATCAGTACGCAGAGCAATCTTTTTGGTAGATACCTACGGGGTGTATCGGCTTATCATCGGCATGTTCTACTCAATAAGTCGGTGACATAACAAACTTGGAGCAGGAGAGGTGAGTAAGTACGAAAGTTCGAGGGGTTTGAGCTCATATCAAGAGCCTAGCGATGGGTAGTAGCAAGTCACCTAGGCAGAATCGCCGGTAGAATTTATGTCCAAATAATGTCGTAAACCGGTCGAGAAATCAAGTAACGACGAATCGCAATCCGAGTCACCCTCTTTCTCAACTTCCAAACCATCATCTTGCACACTGGACCTCTTCAGCATTCCCGGATCTCTCATCCCCAACCTCATCTTTATACCGCTCCCCATGCTCGTCCCCCACACTCCCCCCTTCCCCCTCTCTAACACCAAGTCACACACATCATGAACCCAATTCACACGCCAGAGCCAAAAGAACACTATCCCCGCTACCGCAGTAGAAAGCCATGCCAGGGCAGTGGCCGCGACTCCAATATGTGCGTCGGCCCCGTCCAGCACCGCTTTCTTCATTACACGCGCAGTGGCGATGGACGCAGCAAGCTGCCAAACCACAGCGACGCCCATCAGCAGCGCCGCGCCGCCCGCTGCCAGCACAGCGACGAGTCTCAGCCCCCGTGACGGAGACCGACGGATGTGCAATTCCTCGCCCGTGTACGCGTCTTGTTCCTCGTGCCAGTCGGGGAACGCGTTCACGGCTCCCAAGGCCATGATTGAGAGGACGATGGAAACGAGCCTGTGATCTATGCTGAGTATTTACTAGCAGAAAAGGACCGGTGTCGGGGTGGTGCCAAACGCACATCGGACTTGGGAAGACGATGTTGTTTCTAAATGCTTCCTGTGTCTTTAGGAGGGTTTGGGGATCCTAGTATGCGCCGAGGAGCAAAGCTAGGCTGTGGGCGTCCTTCGAGCATTGCCAACTGCCAACTACTGTCAGATTGACGGGCGCAGAGACCGAAGTAGCCGGCATGGACTACTAGGGTCGGGCCTCCATTGGGGTCTGGAAGAGGCGGTAATAGCAATCAGTATCGGATTCTAAGAACGAGGGCGGGCTAAATCCTTACCTGAGTCACGGTACGAGAGAGATAAGAGATAGATGCTCGGCAACGAGCGGGCGCAACCGCCGTAAGCAGCGAGTATGAGACTTGTATATCAGATAGTTTGTTCAGATAAAGGTAAAATTTAGAAGCGCAGGAGGCTGCCCTCGGCCGCTATGCAAACAATCTTAACCTACCTGAGAACAGGATCCCAACCGCTATCGAAATCATAATCATGTGCTCAGTCTCAACTAGATTTAGCAGAAAGGACCGGAACCGACGGACGAGAAATCTTTTGAGAGCTGGCTTGAGCCAACAATCAGGTGATAACATATCATTCAACATGGAGCGTCCGAAAGGTATCAATTTTTATGGTGCAAGAGATGCCTGAGAAGTGAAGAGGGGTATGATCCAATATGAGCAATACATGGGACATGGTTGACTGAAATACATGGAACGAGGCTTGAGCGGTACAAGTTTGACAGCACGAGTTTGACAGCTCCTAACGGATGCTCGCATGACGGTACTAACTTCGGTTTCGTGCAGGCTAAGTCCTCGATGGAACGAGGAATACTAGTGTATGTTTTCGCACAGATCTATCCAGCTGTGACCTAAGCAAGACACCGCTTAGCACGGCACCGCTTGATACAGGATGCAACCACCCTGAACTACAACACCTCTATAGCTTTTCTCCTCCATGCATGCCCGTACTTACTCCCAACGCCAGGCACCATTTAGAAACCGCAGGTCCTTATTCTCCAGTTCATGGCTCAAACTTGGGGTTATACTTCGCACACGCCGCATCAAACGCCTGCTTCTTCGCCGCAATATCCTCCAGCATCTGATGCTTCGGCGCAACGCTCTCCAGCTGACTCCTATGCTCCGCCGTATCATTCCCCATAATTGTGCTCAACACAATCGTATTAGCCAGAACATCCGCATTATCTGCATCTAGATCCCTCGCCTGCTGCAGCGCCGCCTCGGCCTCCGGCAGCCGTCCAAGATGAATTTCCGAGACCGCCTGGCCCACCAGCGCCTGCACCGATTGCGTCGCCGACGCCTGTGCTAGCTCTTCGAACACGTAGTAGGCTTGTTGGTACTTCTCGCCGCCCTGTTCCAGCATTTTCAGCACCGTCCCCTATACCATTCCCCACCCCCTCGCCCTTCCCACTCACTCAACCTCTTAGGAGCGACCAACATACCTCTCTCAACCCCACCCAGCTCTCTACCAAATTCACCACCAGCGCATCCTGCGCCCACCCCCTCGCATTCTTCGCCTCCTTGGCCGCGAGATCAACCCTGTTCTGCTGCAGATGTATCTGCACGACCAGCGCGACCGCATCAAGCGAGCCCTGGTGTTTCGCCAGCAGCGCCAGCGCCTCGTCGTACGCGCCCGCGTTGGCGAGCACAGTCCCGCAGCAGAGCTGCACCGTCAGATTGTCGCCGTGCTTTTCCGCGAGGTTTCTAGCTGAGGAGACCGCGGCGTCGCCGTTGCTGGGGTCTTTGAGGTAGGAGGCTAGCGTGTGGAGGGCGGCGAGGTCGGGGTTGTTGGGTTGGTTCTTGGTTTCGGAGAGGACTTGGTTGTACTGGCCTAGTGCGATTTTTGCGCGGAGTTTGAGGATTCGGGCGGGCAGGGTGTTGGAGGAGGAGAAGGAGGTGGTGTCGAAGTCGAGGACTTTTTGGTATTGGCCTTGGTGGTAGGCGTTGTGGATGTTGACGAGTTCTAGGGCGGGGTTAGTATCTTGGGGGGCTGATGGAGGGGAGAGTGGAGGTACCTCCTTCCGCTGAGTACGGATCCATGGCTGAAGTAATCGTGTGCTTGCGACCCGTGTGCTGGAATGCCTTGCTCTCAGGCCAGAATGGCGGACGGGCAGTCGAAGCTCAAGCTGTGGGGACAAGGGGGGCTCTCTGGTAAAGAGTGTCCCTTCACTAGACACAACAGTAGATCCGAGGATGCCGTGGACTACCTTGCGATTCTTGACGCAAATTGGGGCCGATCGTAGTAGTAAATGTTCGTCAATGGTCGTCTCAAAGTTGTCCTGTGGAAACACCACCTGTTCGCGAGGTGGGATGTCTCGAAGTCACGTGAGAGGATTCCTTCTCTCTTGCAGCATCCAAAAGGTGCACTCAAGATACACTGCTGATATTACAGATTCCGGAAAGGCAGTGAACATTAAGCCTCGGTGTCTATTGTCTTGTAACAGTAAATCTCAACCGCCGTGTCCCTTCCAGGTTCCAACCAGGCCCGCTCGCGGCAAAGCCTTTAGCATCAGGCTCAGCCATCTCAACCTCGACCTTCCACTTGCTATCCGTGGCGCTACCAACTTGATTCCACAGCTGCTGGAGGCTCTCTTCGTTGTGCCTATACATGGTCCCTTCCCTGTGAGGGAACTCCCCTGGTGCAACGTTCCCCACCTGCCTACCCAAAACCAGGCTTCCCTTCTGTGGCTTCAGGAGCCTGACTATACGGATAGACGCCTCCTTTTGCTGCGGCCAGTTGAACAGATGAAAGAACGACGCCGCGTGGACAATGTCAATCTGCCCATCCAGCTTGCTCAACCCACTCTCCTCGTCAAAGACGTCAGCCTCGATGAACTGAGTCCCTAGCCTGTCCTTGTCAAGAAACAACTCGTAGCCCAGGTCCCAGAACTCGTGTTGGAGGTCCGAAGCATAAATACTCTCAGCCGGCGCGCCGTCAAACACCAGCTTGCGAACGTCCTGACCGAAGCAGCACCCAATATCCAGGAGCTTCTGTCCGTCCTTTACGCGCTGCAGGATCTCGGGGTATTGCGGAGCGGAACTGATGCTGAGATCGAGAAATCTGAATTGGCCGATGCATGGGTAAGGGAACTGCACACGTTCAGCTACGGCTCAGAGGTGCAGGAGGGGAGGCCTACGATATCCCAAGCGCGCTCTCTGACTTCCAGTATGTGTGCAACAACATGGTCTGGAGCAATACCGCTGTACTCCTCGAGAAGCTTTCGCGCCTGCTCGGAGACATTCTCGAGCTCCTTGGTGTACCAGGGGACGTCCTTGTCGCGGGTGCCGACCTCTTTGCCTTCCATAGCTTCTGGCTGTGTTTGTGTAGGACGAGAGAAGGAAGAAGGACGGAAGGGCGCCTTTCTGAAAGGCTGACTTACTGCGGTCCACCAGGCTACCTTAAATGTTTACGACGACGTCACGGCGTTCTTTAAGCGCCGGCACTCGGGGTGCAAACTTACCGTGCTCAGCCCCTCAAGGCATTGCTCTGGTCATATGGAGTGCAAACCGACCAAGTGCTCATGAAGCCTAATACTGTCCAGATGGATATCCAGAGGCCTCTGTGGGTATGGATGCGAGGTTGAGACGAGATGAATGAGCTGCAGGCACTCGTTCGACAGGCCGTGTTTGCCAGCCCTGTCGGCCACAGCCGGCGCTTGCGTGGGATGCATGGTGGGGCATGACGGCACGAAAATTCCCAAAACCGCTGTTGAAAACTTTCACATCAAGACGCTTGCACGCTTCTTCCAGGCTTCTTAAACGAATCCATACCTCATCTTCAAAGTCCTCCAAGTGTACTGTCCGCCAATTCACAAGTAGTTCCGCTTGTGAGCGCTACATCAGGATCAAAATGAGCGAAATCGAGCACCCCACTATCAAAGGTATAGTACCGCATTTCGCGATGCAATTTTGAATTGCCCGTCCGCCTGTTGATAGGAGTCCGTTCCACAACACTGTTAGAACTGTTCATTGGCTAATAAGCTGTCGCAGATGGCTGGTTCCGCGAGATCTCCGACATGTGGCCCGGCCAAGCCATGACTCTCAAGGTCAACCAAGTAATCCACCACGAGAAGAGCAAGTACCAAGACGTCCTCATCTTCGAGTCCAGCGACTATGGAATGGTGCTGGTGCTGGACAATGTTATACAATGTACGGAGAGGGACGAGTTCTCGTACGTCAAACCTACCCACAAGCACCGAATCAGAGGACGACAGCTAATGACAAGTCCCCCAACAGCTACCAGGAGATGATCACCCACCTCGCCATGAACGCCCACCCCAACCCGGAGAACGTCCTCGTCATCGGCGGCGGCGACGGCGGCGTCCTGCGCGAAGTCGTCAAGCACTCGTGCGTCAAGAAAGCGATCCTCTGCGACATCGACGAGGCCGTGATCCGGCTCTCCAAGAAGTACCTGCCGGGCATGAGCGTAGGCTTCCAGCACCCGGCCGTCGAGACCGTTGTTGGAGATGGCTTCAAGTTCCTCGCGGACCGCAAGAACGAGTTCGATGTCATCATCACGGACAGCAGCGATCCGGAGGGCCCGGCGGAGAGCCTGTTCCAGAAACCCTACTTTGAGCTGCTGAACGGGGCGCTCAAGGATGGTGGTGTCATCACCACGCAAGGTTGTAAGCCCTCTTCCTTACCTGGCACTTGTGGGCTTTCGCTGCTGCGTTTGTCACTGCGTTTTCGTGAGCAATGCAGATGATTCGAATGATGAAGCTGACTCTATTGCTTTTACTCACAGCGGAGAACCAGTGGCTCCACATGCCGCTCATTGCCCAGCTGAAGAAGTCGTGCAAGGAGGTGTTCCCGGTTGTCGAGTACGCCTACACAACCATTCCGACCTATCCATCGGGACAGATTGGCTTCATGGTCTGCTGCAAGGATGGGAGCCGTAATGTGAAGAAGCCGTTGAGATCCTGGTCGCAGGAAGAGGAGGAGAAGCTGTGCAAGTACTACAGCAAGGAGATCCACGAGGCCTCATTCGTATTGCCGAACTTCGCAAGGAAGGCGTTGCGGTAGAGGAGTGTTATGGCGGCGCGAGTTGTCCAGTTCATTACTACTAGAGTGCGAGAAACGAATACCCAGAAGGTCAAGAGGTCATTGGTCCATCTGTCGATGAGTGGTGATGGTTTTGCGTTACAATATGTTGGCTAATAGACCCAAGGCAGCACGTTTCTGTCCAGAGTCATAGACCTTTCATTCCAAGCTTCTCTATGATTTCTCCAAGCTTCTAACTGCCTAGCGATCACCCCCTCCAGCAGTACTCAAGAGCCATTGTCCGCATCTTCCAGTCATGAAAAGGCCAGTATTCTTCCCACGTGAGCTTGTCTTCTTCCAACTGCGCAACACATCCAATAATCTCCTCCTTATGCTGCCTCAGCAACCTCTTAGTCTCCTCATACTGTTCATACCCCGCACAACCCTTATGCGGCCAAAACTTCCCAAATGCTTCCCGCAAAATCTCCACAACCTGAATTCCGACATCCGCACCCTCAAGATCGGTTTCAATCTCCTCCCGCTGCGCTTCCGAGAAACTCACCGGGAAGGCAGGATTCACCCGCGCGCGCACGCCCGGAAGATCGGTCTATCGGACCTCAAGAGCGAGCACGTTACGCCGGAAGCGCGCCTCGCCGATCTCAAATAGGTTCCGAACCGTGCAAAGACTGTATAAGGCGCAGTCAATCTAAAAGGTCTCGTTCTTTGCATAACGTAGCTGCATTTCTTGGCGGAGCCTGAAAAACTTCGCTGCATCAAGGCGATTTAAATGAGGCAGTAGAGCACCACCTCCACAGTGCGCTTAAGGCCATATAAGACCGCAAAGTAGGGTGTTTATAATTAGGCTGTCGCAGAACTCTGCCACTTTTGTAATGCTCTGAGTTGTGCGCCTCGAGAGCTGACTGTAGGCACGAAGACGAACAACAACCAGGACCATCATGTTAGGCGCGCAGAGGAAGGCACGGTATGGTTGGTACTGGTAGAATCCGCGCAGGATACGGGCTCAGGACCAATTGCGTACTACAAGTCTAGCCTTCCAAAGTGCCCACTACACGCACTATGCTAGCCGGGCAAGTACAAGTCCCTAGCCTATAACGCCTATGCTACCCGTCGACGCTCAGCGCAATGAGGACGCGGTTTATAGATAAGATTAAGTATATTGGCTAAGAAAACGCTGCTAGAAATTTATAATACTATACTAAGACCTTACCCGCCATCTAAGCTAATCCAATATAGTCCGTTGGTCCTAGAGCCCCCTTAGTCCTGGTCGGTCGGTCTAGTGGTGCGCCCTTACTTGGTCGGATGGTCCGAAAGCCTTGGACTAGGACCGATCGTATATCTACCACCCTGTCCACAACCATAGTCATTTTCGGCAACATGGAGGGAAAGCCTCACTCCAGCCAAACGTATAACACCGCTGGACGGATGAGCTGGATGAAGCAAGACCTCGTGAGCTGTTCTAACGATTTCGAAGCTTCCTTCAAACAAAGACCAGCCATCCGAGCCCGTGGAGCATCCCTGCCGAGTAGAGGTGGGATTGGAAAGCCTCATGTGGGCGTGGTGGGAGCTGGTCTGGCAGGACTACGATGCGCAGAGGTGTTGATCGAGGCAGGTATCAAGGTAACCATTATTGAAGCACGGGATAGACTTGGAGGGCGTGTAAGTCATCACCAAGAACGAAGGAAGAGAAGAGGGCTGAGGCTTGTTGCAGGTTCATCAGAGCAATCTGCTTGGTCGGGCCGTAGACATGTAAGTGCACACTCTGGGATGGCATCCTTCTCGAGCTTCTTGCAGTCTTCACTGCTCAAGACTGTTTCATCGTTCTCAAAATCATCTTCCTAACATTACGCGAAGGGGCCCAAATTGGGTTCACGGAACGGACACAAACCCCATCGTGAAACTGGCTGAAGCAACGAACACCACACTTAGCTTGACCGGTGACACTACTCTATGATCCACAGGGTCTGCCGATAAACAAAGAGAAAGCGGCTGCTGGTTTCGACCTGGTCTGGAGCATAATTTCCGACGCCTTCAAGCACAGCAACGAGAACTGCGCGAACATAGCCCCAAACGTGAGCTTGAAGGATCTCTTTCGAGAAAAGCTCGCAGAACGGTCTTTGAGTCATGACGACCGGAATCTCGTCTTACAGCTGGCGGAGATGTGGGGCGCTTTCGTTGGTGATTCTTGGGAAAGACAGAGTCTCAAATGGTTCTGGCTGGAAGAATGTCTTGACGGAGGTAAGCTATGACCGAAGCAGCCTTCAACGATACTAACACTTCCTAGAAAACCTCTTCATCGCGGATACTCACCACGCAATACTCCAACGTATGGCTAAGAGCGCTATGAGGGATGCCGATATCCATCTTTCTAAAACGGCAACGAGCATAGAGGACCGCAAGGGAAAGGACAAAGATCCGAGGGTACTTATCAGGACCGAGCACTGCGACTTCGAGTTCGATGAAGTGGTCGTCACCGTCCCGCTCGGATGTCTAAAGCGCAACGCTCCCACTTTCTCTCCTCCGCTTCCTCCAAGGATTAGCGAGACGCCTCCTACAGCCGCTTGGAGAAGGTCTACATCGCCTTCCCCGTCGCCTTTTGGGATTCGCCGCTTCCAGGCGCTCCAAATGCAGACTCTACATCTCCAACCACATCCGCTTCGTTCCCAAGCTTCGCCCACTTTCTCCATCCGACTTACGTTCCTGACCAGCAGAAATCATGGACAGTGGAGCTCAACCTCCTCTCCTCAGCTGCCGTCTTCGGCAACCGCGCTCAACCCGTCCTTCTGTTCACCATATACGGCCCTTGTGCCACCCACGTAACGTCGCTCATCGCACCATTCTCGCTCGCGAGCACCCAATACTTCGACGTGCTAAATGACTTCTTCCGCCCGTACTACAGCCTGCTTCCCAACTACGTAGCCGACCATCCCGACTGCTTTCCAAGCGCCGTTCTTGCCACGAACTGGCAAAACGACGACCTAGCCGGAAACGGCTCCTACACAAATTTCCAAATCAGCAGCGAGGTTGGAAATGCGGAAGAGGAGGTTCTACTCGACGAAGACGTCCGAGAATTAAGGGCAGGGATGCCGGAGCATGGGATTTGGTTTGCAGGCGAACATACGGCGCCGTTCGTCGCGCTAGGCACGTCGACTGGTGCTTACTGGAGCGGGGAATCGGTGGGGATCAGGATTCTAGGCGCGAACGGGCTTCTTGCAAAATGTTCAAAGGACCCCAATCCAAACGCGGATGTTCTGCCCTGAAGTTTTTAGTCTGAGAACGAGTGGTTAATCCCTATCCTATTCGTCACATGCTCACTGTGGAATGATGAGAGAGCTTCGAACATACTCCTATCGCCACGCGGCCGCTGAGGACCTTGCCTCTTAGCTTATAGGTCTACCATTATAGGCTCCTAGGTACACTTCCCAAAGGTGTAATGTCAGCTTTTCCGTAGAACACCGCAAGATCGAAAATATTGTTATACCAGAAGATCGATGGATTAAGAAATTATTAGTTGGAGAGGTTACTACTAAAACCTAGCTGAGTCAGGTGATGCGACACATGCAGCAAACCCAGCCTGATTCAAAATCCTTGTTTGAACGGCTTGGTGGCAGGGGGCGGATGTATTCGGCGCGGGTTAAGCCGAAAATCTTATATAGCGAAGAGCAAGCGCGTTGCCTTTTTTTGTCGAAAATCCTGAAGCCGTGATGCGGCGTGATGAAGCCGCGGTGTGTTTTAAGATCGTCAATAAACGGACCCTTAGTCACAATGCTTGGCCTACTCGTGACTCGCTAAATTCAATACTCCAAGCCGCAATGCATCCTGGATCTGGATTGAATCTGCGGTTATCACAAGGGAGGAAGCGAGCCAGCATGGCAGGGGTAAGAATTGCGCTGAGATATGGCGCGATTACTGGGTTGCGGCAAAGCTCCGCATACATTTTGTATTTCTCTTAGCTGTGTGCCTCGAGGGCTGGCTTCATGCATAGGAATAGCACACCGTCATCGCAGGCGCGTAACAAAGGAGACGGCATGGTTGATACTGGTAGTATTCGCGCAGGAGACAGGCATAGTGCGTGTACTACAAATCTAGCCTCCCAAGGTGCCCGCTGCACGCACTGTGCTGGCCGGGCAAGTACAAGTCCCTGGCCTGTAACGCCTATGCTATCCGTCACGTGCTCTCAGCGAGACCATCCCGGACCAACATGCAAACAAACCAAAACATTAGATTCTATGTTACTACTCCTCGATGTCACTCTCATCGACCTCTTCTTCCGACTTCTTCCGCCTCTCCTCGTCCATCTCTCTATAAGTAGCCCAGCTGAGCACAAGGAAAGCGCCGATGATCAGAAGACCGCCGACCATGGCGGCGGGAGTTAGAGGCGAGTAGAGCGGTGGAGGTAGCAGCTGGTCTACTAACGCCACGATGAAGATGGTAAGGAGAGCGGCGACAGAGGAGAGGACCGGTGAGGTGAGGGATATGAGGACGAGGAAGGAGCCGGAGAAAGCTGGTACAGAAAGTTAGCATTACCACAAAACACCGACGGATGTATGACTACTCACTCGCATTAGCAAGGACACTAATCAACAGCATCCACGCCGCCTCCCCCCTGGGCCACTCAAAAGTCTCATACCCCAGCACATGCAGCACGGGCAGCGGAATCCACAGCACCAGCAGTGTGAAACACCCAATGCAGCTCCCGAACGTGTTCGCAAAGATCATGCCCCTGCCCGGACTACACCCCTCCGGCGGACACGCGACCTTCTTGTACAGCACCTCATAGAACCCATACAGCACGCTCCCAACCCCAATAACCATATTCCCCAAGGCCCTGTTCTTTGCTTCCCCGTCCGGCGCCTGTGGCCCGCCCGTGCCGCTGCCGGACTTGGAGCCGTGCTTCGGAACGGCCTTGTCGCCGTACGCGACGGTCAGGACGCCGGCTATCGCGACGGCGACGGCGAAGACTTTTGTCCCGCGCAGCTTCTCGTGCAGGAGCGGGATGGCGAAGGCGTAGGCGAAGAAGGCGGAGCAGTTGTAGATGGCTGTTAGGTCTGAGGCTGTCGTTAGGTCGACCGCGACGTACCAGGAGCCACCGGCGATGGTGAGCGCGCAGGTTACGAAGGCGGTCATCTTGAGCATGTAGGGGACGGGCGAGCTGGAGGATTGGCGGGGAGCCGGGTGTAGGGTTTTGTGCTCGACCATTAGCGCGGTTTGGCGGAGTATTTGGATGTGCCGCCGCCAGAAGGGCCGCCAGGGCATGTTCCACTTCTGGAGACGCAGGATGAGGAGTTGGGTCGGCCAGAGAAGGGACCAGGAGCCGTGGGTGAAGTACCTGAGAGACGTTGTGTTAGTATGAATTACTTGGTAGAGCAGGCGCACAACAGCAACCTGGGAGTTCTTCATCCGGCAGCACGCCAACTCACAGCATGCAGTATGCCTTGTTCCACCCCAGATTGTGCTGTATATACACCGCCGTCTCTGTCTGCACCGTGAAGCTGATCAGACTCAGCAGCAGGAATGCTCCGGCATATGTGTATCTTTTTCGCGTCGCTGACTTGGCTTCTAGATCTGGATCTCGCTCGCGGAAAGTAGATCGTCTGGTTAACAGGGGCGGTCGTGTCGGCGAGTCGTATCGTGGTTCTCCTTTGCTCGCTAGGAGAGGCTGCTGTGACCGGCCATCGTTAGGCCTGTGGTACGGCGGCCGTAGATCGGAAGGCATGTCTGTGTCGTCTTCCCCTCGATCTTCGTCCTGATAATCCTCGTCCCAAGCCTCGAAGCTGTTGTCGCTATCTTCCTCCTCTTTCTTCCCTGCCGGTCCTTGTTGGGGAGCCCGCTCGTCCCACTGGACCGAGCTAGGTAACGCAGTCAACGGTGAAGGACTCCGTGAAGGTTGCCTGGACGAAGCCGGGGTAAAGCGGACGGAAGAGTTGGTGGGCTCCGAGGAGGGAGAGCTGAGATGTATCTCTGGTGGATTTAGAGAGTGGCTGACTGCGGGATGTTGTGCAGATGGCGAGCGTTTTTGAGGCATGCAAGTGAGTGGTAGTGCTCGTAGGGCACACGCAGGGCTAAAAAGAGTGTCCTTGGGGGTCTGATAAGCGGGTCGTTTGACCTTTCTAGTGTACTTCTGGGGCCTGGCGCTGGAGGTTGAGATGCAATTCGCTGCAGACCGCTCGGCAGAAAGGCGCCTGAATTTCGGGCGGCCCTGGCGGATCGCTGGGGTGTCATCTGCAGAGCATCTCAACACCAAGCAAAACGACCGACACGCCGAGCACGCCTGCTGAGCATGAAATCAGAGGCCGCAGCGCGTATTCAACAGGAGAGACAGGGCGAATCAGCTGGAGATCGCATGTTTCAGATCATCTCTCCGGGTTGAAAGCTTGTCGCCGTTGTCTCCAGCCCACGTGCGGGGAGCCCCAGCTGGGGAGCACTTTCTGCCCCTCCAAGCCTGAAGATGCAACGCTTTGTTTGTAATCACTCGTGCCAATACGAGATCACGGCTTCTACAGGCGACGATATAAGCCTGTTAAGTCTCTCGGTACCCGTGATAAGCCTACTACCTAGGTACTAAGGTGTAGCCGTTGACCCTAACGCAAGCATGCCTCTCATCGCTCAGAACCCGAAGCCCAGAGTGATCCTGGGTCTCATGACCTTTGGGTGAGTCCAGCTTGGAGCTGCATTTGGTCTCCGCTATCACAAACCTGCGTGCTTCCTTGTTTGGAGCCAGTGATCCATACTGATTCTTGCAGACCTGACGAGGAGGCCGGTGCTCGTATCACAGACATCAAGGAATATGAGAAGATCCTTGACTACTTCCAGTCACAGGGCTACAATGAGGTTGACACCGCTCGCACCTACGTCAGTGGCAAGCAGGAGGCATTCACCAAGGAGGCTCGTTGGAAAGAGCGTGGCCTGACACTTGCTACTAAATGGTATCCTAAGGAGGCTGGCGCTCACAAGGCCGAGGTTATCACTGAGAAGCTCAACACGAGTTTGAAAGAGCTTGGGACAGACTGCGTAGATATCTTCTACTTGCATGCTGCTGATCGAAGCGTCCCAGTAAGTGTGCTCACCGAGCTCCTTAAGCTTAACGTAATTTCTCAACCACCACCAAACTCACATCCATCGTAGTTCACCGAAACCCTCGAAGCCGTGAACAACCTCCACAAGCAAGGCAAATTCGTACAACTCGGTCTCAGCAACTTCACCGCCTTCGAAGTCGCCGAAGTCGTCATCACCTGCAAAGAGCGCGGCTGGGTGCGCCCGACCATCTACCAAGCCATGTACAACGCCATCACGCGCTCCATCGAAGCCGAGCTCGTCCCCGCGTGCCGCCGTTACGGCCTCGACATTGTCGTCTACAACCCGCTGGCCGGCGGCATCTTCTCTGGGAAGTACAAGAGTACCGAGGCTCCGGCAGAGGGCCGGTATAGTGATCGTAGCGGAACGATGGGCTCGATGTACCGCGCGAGATACTTCAAGGACCAGACGTTTGAGGCGCTGAGGCTCATACAGCCGGTGGTGGAGAAGCACGACTTGACGCTACTGGAGACTGCGTTTCGGTGGCTGATGCATCACTCGGCGCTGAAGATCAAGGATGGTAACGATGGCACCATTATTGGGGTAAGCAGCTTCCAGCAGCTCGAGAACAACCTCAAGGAAGTTGAGAAGGGCCCCTTACCTGATGAGGTGGTCGAGGTGCTGGATGCGGCGTGGATGATTACGAAGGCTACGACGCCGAATTACTGGCATTTGGACCTGAAGTATACGTACGATACCCAGGAGGCGCTGTTTGGGCCGAGTTCCAAATAAAGCGAGGATGGATGCGCTCATTAGCGTAGAATTACAACGTGTAGTGCTAATCTGCGCGCTGCCTGAAGTCAAACAGCATTCGGATAGTTCCCGAGTGTTCGCATTCCTACGCGCGTATATGCTATTGTTGGAGCTCAAGCTTCGAGAATAGCCTTGCAAGGCTGCGAATGACCCGTGCGTTGCGTGCGTACCTCGCGGGCGGCGGAGCATGAAACATCGAAAGTCGATCTCCCGGAACTTCCTGGAACGCAATCTTCCCACCTTCTTCAGTACATATCACACATTAACATACACTCCTTTCCCGCTGCCGAGCGCCCCAATAAGGATTGTGTTCGAATTGAAGCGCCAAATCCACTTCTGGTGTCACATCTTCCTCTACGAAATCCCCTCACTGCGCCGATTGAGCCCTCAGCCCCCACGTCTGCCTGTAGTACTGTCTCCCGCGCAACATGTCCTACGGTGGGTACCAGCAGTATGGAGGCAATCCGTATGGGCAGACTGGGGAGAGCGGCTATGGTGGAGCCAATCCCTACGGCCAGACATCCCACGGCACCGGGCAGGGAAGCGGTTATGGCGCATCGAATCCATATGGTCAGGACGTTGAGGTTTGAAGCTCTTGACGGATTCTCATCAGTATCTCTAACTAACACCCACAAGCAAGGATACGGATCTTCTCCTCCCCCCTTGACTCAACGCGATTCGAACTACTCGCAGCCCTCGGACTACGATGCGCCGATGGGCGGGCCGACGGAACCTCTACCAAGTGCAGCACCACTGCCAAATCAAGGACCGCGTGAGATGCCCAACAGAGAGTTCTTGGCCAGGGTGGAAGGCTGCCAGCAGCGCATACGGGAGCTATCCAGCAACATCTCGAGCATAAGCGCCATGCACCAGCGCATGCTCTCCGAGACCGACAGCACATCCTCCTCACAACAGCTCGAGCACCTCGCCTCCCAGACGTCAATACTCAACACGCAGATCAGGGACGAGATCAAGAAGCTGGAGACGGACGCGGCGCGCAGTGGCGGCAATACGGTGAAGGACTCCCAAGTGCGGAACTTGAAGAAGTCTTTTCAGACTCAGCTCGAGGAATATCAGAGAGAGGAAGCGACGTACAGGCAGCGGTATCAGGAGCAGATCAAGAGGCAGTACAAGATCGTCAATCCGGACGCAACCGAGCAGGAGCTCAATCAGGCGGCGGCAGCGGACTGGGGCAATGAGGGTGTCTTCCAAACTGCGGTGAGTTATTTCTGACTTAGAGCTCGGGATTCGGCCCCGTCCGGCGGAGCATTGTCACGAACGCAAATACTGATCCACTTGCGATCCAGCTCAAAACCAACCGCAGCGGCCACGCCACAAGCGTTCTCGGCGCCGTCCGCGCCCGCCACAACGACATCCAGCAAATCGAGCGCACGCTCGAGGAGCTTAGCAAGCTCTTCATCCAGCTCAACGAGGCCGTCGTGCTGCAGGATGTGCCGATACAGCAGACCGAAGAAGCAACACAGCGTGTACATGACGACACGACCCAAGGCAACAAGCAATTGACCGAGGGCGTTAAGTCGGCGACGCGAGCGCGCAAGTTGAAGTGGTGGTGTTTGTTTATCGTTGTGCTTATTATTGCTATCATTGCGTTGGCGCTGGGATTGTATTTTGGGCTGAGGAATAGGAATAGTGGCGGCACCGCTGCGGCGTAATCGATTTATACGGTGCGCTTGGGGTCTGTACATTCACTCGGTGTTGTAGGGGCATACAGTCGCGCATGGGAGCTCAGCAGCTTGGAGATGTATCTGGTTGGATACCAAAGCTGATAGGTAGAGCACTGTCGATAGAGCGTTTGAACAGTATCTAATAGTTCGCTTCTTAACATCGCCAGCCAGCCAAACGCTCGTTACTTGAGCACTCGCAATCATCTCAAGCGCAATCACTCTAGTGCACTGAGGCATATCGGGCCCAGTTTCATGTGTATCGAGGACCTCGGCTCGGAATTAGATACCCAGAATCTCTTAACTCCATGCCCACCTTCCCAAACAACCACGTCGTCCCATTGACTTATCTCGCGACGCCAGAAACTACATTCATCCACCACAATGTCCACCAAAAACCCCCAAAACCCAAAAGCCCTCCTCTTCGACATCGGCGGCGTCTGCGTGCGTAAGCTTCCTCTCCCACTGTCCATCCACTATCCCACCTCCCCCTCGCGATCCCTATACCGCATCTAACATCTCCCACCAGGTTGTCTCCCCCTTCCAAGCAATCCTCAACTACGAAATCGCCCACTCTATCCCGCCAGGCTACGTCAACTACGCCATCTCCCGCACCGCGCCCAACGGCGCATGGCAGCGCCTCGAGCGCGGCGAGATCCCGCTCGACGACGCCTTCTTCGCAGCCTGGGCCAAGGACCTAGCTAGCGAGAAGAGATGGCGAGAGTTCTGGCTCCGGTCGCAAGCCGCCCAGCCGCTGAGCAAAGAACAGCCGCAAAAAGTGGGGTATGAAGTCACCGACGCGGCCGCCGTGGCGTCAGGCGGCCAGAAGAAGCAGCTGGATGTCCCGCCCGTGCCGCGCATCGACACGAAAGCCATGTTCTGGGAGATGATGCGGACGAGCCGCGCGCCGGATCCGTGGATGTTTCCTGCGCTGGTGCGGCTGCGGAACTCGAAAAAGTTCATCTTGGGGGGGTTGAGTAATACGGTCATCTTCCCCGCTGGGATTAGGGATGAGAGGAATGCGGTTTTTGAGAGTGGGTTGAGGTTTGAGGAGGGGGGCAAGGTGCGGAGAGTGGGTGCAGGCGATAGGGAGGGGCCGCCAGAGGGGCAGGTGGACGGGGAAGAAAGTGAAAAGGATGGGGGCAACACGCAGATCCAAGCGATGTTCGACGTCTTCGTTAGCAGTGCGCATGTGGGGATGAGGAAGCCTGATCCGGCGATATATAAGCTTGCGCTGGAGAAGCTGGATGAGGCGGCGAAGGCAAAGGGGCTGGGTGGGTTGCAGCCGGGGGATGTGTTGTTCATTGATGATATTGGGCAGAATCTACGGACTGCGAGGGAGCTGGGGATGCGGACGCTGAAGGTGGAATTGGGTAAGGCGTGGAAGGCTGTTAGGAGTTTAGAGGATATTACTGGACTTGTACTGCTAGAGGCCGAGCCGAAGATGGGAAAGCTGTAGTTTAGTTTCAGATCGAAACTCTGCCTGTAAGTTACCTGTACCAACCCCCTTCGCTCAGGACGAAACAAGGAATGATCATGTGATCGTCGCGGTTCACGACCTCATCGACGACCAAGTCTTCTCCACCAACCTCAACCTACATAGGCGCTCTACCTACACTCACTTGAAGTCTTCCAGGGCAAAACTTCGGACTGCAAACACATGCCTCAGTATTCTTCACGTGAACATCTGACCGCTTGCTATCTGAGTAGTGGCCCTTTATCGCACCAATGCGTCGTCGAAGGTTAACCGCTATCCGGATGGAGCAACGCCAATCCTCAGACGGCTTACTACAATTCCAAGCTAGAGGCTGCGAGCGCCTCGAATTTCGACAGCATAGCTGGGAACTCTCCGTCCCGCTGATCGAGGCCTTGACCAAGCTAGGTTACAAGTAAGTCGGCGATTATATGGAATTCGCTTTCCGAAAAAGGAGGCCATTGAGTGACTTGCGGATGAATTCAAGCGCAACACCTCTGGAAGATGTTCGCCATGCCTACCTCTGCTGAGCCCCGTATGTCACCTGCTCTCGCGGCGCTTACTTTTGCAAGCAGGGCTCGATGCTTTTCAATATCGAAAACTTCCTGATACAAGACCACATGGCGTTATAGACGAGAGGCATCTTGTCTTTTTTATATGCCGACAAGATACGGAAAGCGAAACTGCCTGTTGCTCTGGGGGTCCGCCTCAGAGACCGAGATGACGCCCTGGCCAGCGATGTTCATCAGCAGTGCGTAGGCTGTCGTAGCAATGTGAGCCTTCTTGATGCTTAAAGCGCCACACGGAGGCTCAATGCTGTCGAACTTGCCTCCCTTAAGCGGACACCGGCTGACTCCGTTCCCGCAGCCACAACTTAAAGTCTACAGCAGCAAGTTACAGCGAAAAAATCGCTGCCAGCATGCAGAAGATCGATGAGAAGGCAAAGCGAAGTGCATTTAAGCTTGTTTGAGCTACAACAAGATGCATTCGCGACGCTTCAAGATCTGGCCGAGAGGAATTGGAAATATGGCCAAAGGCTACAACTCAGCAATAGGCGTGCCACGACTGAAGAGGGCAAAGATCAACAAGATGTAGCTGGAGAGTGTGCCCGGCCTGAAGCTACACTGATCAACTGCAGTCGGCAGATCTGGCTACCAAGCGACAACTGTTCAGGCCGTCGGAATCAGCTAAAAGCCGTTCACTCAATTCATGATGAGTAACTGCGGGAGGGAGTCATTTACGCTAGCTATTAAAAGGTACGGGAGCTACACTGGCATGAACGCTATTCAATCTGCATCATGCTAAGGCTTTTTAAGGTTGCTTTTCTGAGCTTCCCGTCGTAGAAGAGGTAAGGTCCTTAGTTTCGAGTGTATTGGCAAGTCATGTGTACCGCAAACCTTGAGGAAGCGTTACTGAATTGATAAATACTTGAGACTCAATTCACAAGCCAAGGGATCGAAGGAGGAATTTGCAGCGAACCTGAATACGCATGGGTTCACTCCTGTGTGTCTGAAACTTGAGCGCAAAGCAGTTCTAGTGAACAATTAGCCCAGTAACCGGGGTCCGTCGGAGCCCCCGGACAGGCAACGGGCGGATGCAGCAAGCTTTTTTTACACAGGCAGTGTGGGCCTTATCGAGATGGTTGAGCTTAACAAAGAGGCCTTTGAGATTGTGATTAATGTTTGGATCTACGATGGGACGAGGTATCAGCCCCTATATACACCACCGGGCCAGCCTTCCAGGGGCTCTGTCAGATACCTCACCCATTTTGCATGCCTACCATGCCAAGCCCTACTCTGATGTTCCATCGACTCGTCCTGCCTCGTCTGCTCACCAACCCAGCAGAGGCGGGCGAGGCTTAAGGATCTGGACGGACGGCCCGCCGCTACGACCTGGTCGCATAACGGAGCTCGTATTCGGCTGGAGATGGTTTCAGAATCTGGGTCCAACAAGGATTTACCAGAGCGCCACAATTAACAGCAGCAGATCTTCAGTCTCCGAGCTCCACCTGCAGCACCTATCAGAGCAGTAAGCATCGTGTACAATAAGGCACCAGAACAGCTTGGGGAACACAGCGCCCGTTCAGGCAGCCAATATGGCCCCCACCACTTATTACATGCATAGGAAGGCGGACCTCGAACGGCTACCCGCATGTACTCGTGCTTCATGCAGGGGCTCATGCAATTTGGATATCCCCACGGGGTGAGCACGTCACTCTTATAGCCTTCAGGTATCGCCAGACCGGTTTGTAGAGTTTTCATGAAGTTCCATAGCGCATATTTCCACTGCTCTATTACATGTTCCAATGCCAGAGTTGTGTGCGCGTTCAATCATGAGGAAATTGCTACGCTTGACCATCTCAATCTGTCTCATCGCATCAATAGCGGGTAGGTGAAATATTCAGTACCGGAGGCAAGAGAGATGCCAACCGCTACAACGTAGGGACGACAGCAAAAGCCGACTCGCATTCACAATTTCATGGCCTGAATCCTCGTCAGGAACGAGTGTCTTCAAGTAGCTTCAGCTCCTCAACTCGCTCAACGCGTTCAAATGCCTCCTCGACGCGATCAGCCTCCAACGCGACAAGCACAGCACCGAGCAACATAACCCTCGACGCCGGCCTACGAATCTGCCAGACCCGGGACTTTCGCACCGGTGAGTGCAGAACAGTCACTTCCTGTTCGACCCTGAACGGCACGTACGAAACTGGATACTGTCCAGAGTTTGGCGACAACATCCGGGTAGGTCCCATTTCCAACCTAAAACAACAGCAATCGGCGGCGCCGATACTGATGCTCAGCTTCTAGTGCTGCCTCTGGGGCGTCTGCGTAATACCAGAGCCCGTCCGCATACGAGGATATTGCCAGCGTGTCAGCACGTGCAATGGCACATCGACGCCGGGATTCTGTGAAGGGCCAAATGATATCCAATGCTGCACCCATGGAAATGCTTCGATAGGTCAGGGTGGAACTGGAGATGCGGATCTATCTAGCTCTGTCCTCACGAGCTCCGTTCTGGCAACAACATCTTACATATTGCCGACCGCGGCACCCACAGCTAGCCCCGTCAACAACAGTGGGCTCGATTCGCGTAGTAAGATCGGCATAGGCGTAGGCGTCTCTATAGGAGTCGTCATACTTGGCTTCTTGTTTGGCCTTTGGTGGTGGCTCCGCAGATCGCGGCGGGAGCGAACAACGCTCCCGAGAGCAACGGTCGAGGAGACTGCGGGCGTTCCGGTTCAAGAGGCTGGTAACAACTCGATCTTCCAGATGGCTACGAGAGTCGACGTTGCGGAGCTGCAGTCTCCAGTCAGCCCGGCGGAGCTGGATGGTAAAGAACCAGCAGCTGTAGAGTTGGACGGAGATGCGGCGCGGAAGAGCCTACCGTTTGCGGGTGGCTTGGTGAAAGGGTAACGATGTAGCTGTTGCGCGTATGGTTTGCTGCGGTCGTGTGTTACAGCGTCCCAATTGAGTGAGGGAATGCTTGCTGTGAGCTGAAAAAATATTAGACGGAGGAAGCGGAACTGCCGGGATCTGAGCGACTCTTGTAAGCCGGGCCAATTGGGCCGGATGACTTACCGAGAGCAGCAGAATCTTGCTACATGCTAGCAACAGAAGCGTTCAGTTTCATACCCATGAATTGTGAGATTCGAAACGGCATGGAGCTGCAACACTACGTCCAAGACGTTGGTACCATCTACCAAGTAGCGCTTGGCGTACTGCTTCGCTTATCATACTAAAGAAAAACCCCTAGCGTCGATGAAATGCCACAGTCTCGAGCGGTCACTCTCATTCTCACTATATACGATTCCAGGACCAACAAGTTCATGAGTCCCCACGCCTTTCGATCTCAAGATCACGAGCATATGAATAAATCCATACAGGTCGACAACCAGGTCATCGTCACAGGCGAGGGATGGTGCTATGCAGCGGCAGTTCTGGATTGAAAATCTGGGCGGTCTCGTACAACGAGATTGGTCATTGAGCGGAAGGGATCTAACTTTAAACAACCTGTAACCTTTAAATGAAGCATCCCCCGACAATTTTCCCGCGATGTCGCTCTCAAAGTCCGGTATGGTGATCCGGCAAACCGCGTGGCCTGTCACATGAAGGACTCCAATGTCGTCTACGCTCTGCTTGACAGCATCACAAACTTGCGCCACAGACAAAACTGTAGCTCTGCATGGTGGTATCAGACGGAACAAGGACCCCCACAAGTTGGGCTTGCTGCCGGATGTGTACCGCCAGTCAGGTGTCCAGCTAGGCAGGTCAAGGTCAAGGCCACGCCGACCCCCAGCATGATGTAAGACGTGGAGCAAATGGCCGCGGTTGATGAGATATTTTGCAGCGTCTTGGAAGATTTCAGACACAGATTTGCTGTAATCTACTGGAAGTGTCTCAAGGTTGTCCGGCGCAGGACTGTTGTCGGCTTTACTTCGCGTCGCTGTGTCTGTCATGCCCAAGACACCGTAAACGAAATCTCGAGGGTTTGTTGCCTTGAAATGGCCTGCAGTCCGTAGGACGGTTAAGAGGTTTATTGAATCCCCTCCATGCCATCCGATATCGTTTCTTCGTCGTGAAGCTAGAGCAGTAGTCAATGCGACCTCTTCCAGCTTGCCTTGCCGGAGGTGCTCCACGTTACTGAGCGCCCGCAAGTCGGCTGGACTGAAATCAACCTTGGCAGACCGCAGCTGTTCTTCAATCGAATCGAGCACCCTTGGCACAATCAAGAATGTAGACCAAGGCACAGCAGTCTGCCCGCAACGAACCGATAGGTCTCTGGCAACGAAGACCTCTTGCCTGACCCAAGTTCTCCGCAACCACGGTCTCTTGTAGAGCTCTTGTAGGCCTTTGTGGATCTCGCGTAGTTCAGGCATGCATTCGTCTCGATGCTCGTCGACGTCCGTTGAATCCTGCAGGTAGTCTATGGCAGCGTAACCACATTCTTCCTTAAGTCCCAACCACGCGATGACACTCTGGGCCTTCCTGAATATCGCTATCATGCGACGGACTTGGACACTCTTCTCCTCGTCGTCGTATTGGTTGATGCACACGGCGTCAACCCAAATGTAGTATACCTGCTGGGGATCCCGGAGTGCTCTGAGTGCATTGGAGAGGTTGGCAGTAATCGGATAGATGAGGCCATTGACGATCAGAGGATGCGTAAAATTCAGACAACCCCAAGCGTACGATAAAGCGTCGTAGGTAATAAGGACCTGAGAGTCCGATAGCACTACTCCTTCATAGTAGATCATCTCTGCAGTCCGCAGTTGGCAAATAAGAGGATCTGTAGACCGCTCTGCGGGCTCAATGCATAGGATTCTGGTCTGCCATGGCTTGATGGGTCGAAACAGCTTTCGTGCCGCTTCGGCTTGGTCTGGAAGGGTTTTGTATGCTGCATCAACTACAGCACCGGGCGGCTGCGGAGAGTAGGTTCGCAGCCAGCAGTCTTCAGAGCAGACCCTCTTTTGTCTCCTTCGGTCGTCTCCCATGATGTTCGGCAGATGGACACTAGCGGTGGGACCAAATGAACGGCGACGTGGAATCGACTAGTGATCGACGCGATGGTAAGTTGGTTGTAGAGTTCGGCTACGGATATACAAGATGCCTGCTCAGCCTACTGAGGCTAATCTGCACAATGAGTTGAGCGATCAGAGAACACTATTGAAGTTCAGACGCATAAAAAATCCACGTGAGCAGCACGAGTAGATGTTTAGGCAAATAGAGAAGCCATCGAATCCAACAATCATGTAACCGCTGAACGTGATAGAGTTATACAGCAAAGTATGCTGCTGCGGAGAAAACATGTGGTCGATATTGCGGCTGTGCATTGGCTTGGCGAAATAGGTAGCAATACTCTCAAGGGTAGTGTAAACGTAAAATTGAGGTCAGGTCCTTTCTGTCCATTTTTCGTTTGCTATGAGCATACTGTTATGTAGGTATGCTAGCTAGGTACATATCTCACTGAAGCTATCAAAGTCCGGATGGTGGCGTCCCAGTCACGTGATTTGCTGCAAACACCCAACTCTCACGCTGACGTCTCCTCGAGAACATCATACTGCCCATCATTGCTAATCTTCGTCTGTCTCGGCCCACCGCCAGCATCCCCACCCGCCTGCGCAGCTTGCTGCGCCAGCTTCACCTCCGCCAGCCTTCCTGGGTCATTCTCCGTGCCAATCTCATTATTGAAGCTCGCGTTCGGAAGATTAGGATCGAAGCCGCCCTCCGTGATGTTCTTGCCATGCGGGCCCGACTTATCCTTGACACTCTGGTCCACAGAGATGGCGGTAGGTGCCGTACCGGCATTGGCGCCGCTGCCCGTCGTGGTGTTGTACGGCTTCCCGCCCGTCTCGCCCGAGCGTTTGGCAGCAGCGGCCTCGTCAGCTGGCGTATTGTAGGTTGGGCCTTTGCCCGCGGCCTTGCCCTGGCCTCTGCCGGTGTCGAGCAAGTCGGTCGCGTCTCCGCCCTCTTGTGCTTCACGTGCCCCGGCGTTGGGCGCGGGTGGTATGGTTCTGGCGCCGGAGGTGTCGGTGTTTGCCAGCGTGGAGTTGCTGCCGGGCTGGGACGAGACGCCGGCTTTGGGGTTGCCTTCGCCGAATGAACCGCCTGACTTGGCTGACTCGGCCGCAAGGGAGTCAGAGGCAACGGTGCCTACGGCTTCGTTGATGGCATTTTTGGAGGCGGGGTCAGTGGTGACCTGCAAACTAACGTTAATCATATAAACAGGCACAGGTCATAGCTCGAAGAGCGAGGGCAACGCCGGCTGCCACATTGAAGTACAATGTCTCTTCATAGACACGCTTCTAAGAGTGTCACTACTCACCTTCGTTCCTGCAGAAGACATCTTGATCAGAATCTTTGATGTAGATGGTGGAGGTATTCGTATTGAGTATGGCTAGCCTTTGGTGTATTGAGGTTTGTGTGCGTTATGAAGTGTACTGTGGTTTTGAATGTGAAGGTGTCGTTGTATTCGTCCGAGGGGTTGCCCAGGAGCCTCATATCAGAATGACGTGTTCATGCATTCTGCGGCGCTACGCTTTCAACGCCCAGCACATGACTATCTATATTTCGTTCGTAGGAAGAGAGAAGCACACGAAATGCACCAGTTACGGTAGTGGCGTGGATGACTAGCCCTTACGTATCACCGGTTCTCACATGTCCAGAATACGAAATCAGGTGTACTTCAGCAAAGTGGTTCTACATTGTAGCTCTGAATTAAGCTATCTGTGCAGTTCAGCCCATGTTCCTGCCATATCCCTTCAACATGGCTCAATGCTGATGGTGTCCTTGCGACGCTTCCACAAGTGATCTCTGCTTCAGATCGCAATGAGCAGCTCATAGACCGCTCGACGGATCATTCTTCTGCGGATACCCGTAATCCTTCTGCCTCGTCTCAACAGTCCCCTGCTTGTTCCTTGCCTCCTTCGTCACGGCATCATTCGGAATCCCACCTAAGTTGTCCCTGCCCTGCCTGCCCACGTCGTCGCCCGCCGTCTCAGTCTTCCATTCCTCACCCGAGGTCCTTACGGCGCTCTCGGCGGTTGCAGGCTCTCTCAAGGTCTCAGAGCCCTTGCCATACGTGATTTCGGATTCGAGTCTGCCGGAGCCGACGTTCACGGTGGTCTCGTCGGCGGAGTTCCAGTCTGATGCGACGGGTGGTTGCTCGGGGAGCGGGAGGTTGGCCTTGCGTTCCTCGATGATCTCGGCTTTGGATTGAGTCATTCTGAGATACTAGTTTGAAGGGTTAGCTGTCACTTCCTTGACAGGTTGACAGCTGCTGCCTTGGTTCTGCCCGCGGTTCCTCGTGCCTGACAAGAGGTGGGGGCGGGGCAGATGGAGCGAGGTCAAATGCGTACCTACTGCAGTGCTTTGTGCGGAGATTGTGAAGAAGTCGAAGTTTGTGGATGAATGTTTTACGGTGTAATTGATTAATTGCTGCACTATGGATTGAAGCTCGACAGTGAGGAAACAATTTTGAAGGCTTGGTGGACGGACAGAAGCTCCATCATTGGTGGGGCAGCAGTTGACGTCACCAGGGGAATGTCGGTTGCGCAGATCCGACGACATCGAGTTCGTGCTCAAGAACGTCCGACTTCGCAGCACGCAGGCTGAACACCTCATTCTCATTACTGGCCGGAGTCGCTTCTTAGCAACAACCCATTTAGCACTCGCGTGGCCCCCAGTCTTACGATTGGGATACGTATAGTATTATCTTGGCGAGGAGCGGCCGTGGCGGTGTTGCTTACTAGAGGACTGCGGCTTGAGCCTGAGCCACGAGCACAGCTGATCAAGAATGGACGAAGGATCTAACCTTAGTAAGACGACAAGGAGATTGATCCTGATGTATTCAGCGGTGAGATTCAAAGACCAGCTGACACGGACGGAGCGGGAATCTATTGTGCCTGATCTACGGGCGTATCTGAGAAAGATGTCGGAGATCCGCAACGCCAAACGCGATGCGGCAAGTTATGGAGAGCGCATTTTAAGGCAAAAGTACTGTTGGGTGGAAGGAGAGCTAAGAGTGTCTAACGCCGAATACTGAACGCTTCAAATCATGCTATAAGCCAAGTACTACAATACTCCAGATATCAAACCAACCATGCCGTGTCCGTGAGGACCAAATTCTTTCCATAATCGCGCCATGCCATGCAAACGCCTCGTACAAAATTTCCTGAGTGGGAGCCAGCCCGCTATACGCCCGCCCACGTGTTCAGGAACCAGTCTCTAAACGACGTAGTACGAATTTCCGGAAACATAGCGTTCAGACTTCGTGAGGCACCAAGATCGTAGCGACCTTCGGCCGTAGCAATTAAATGGTGTAAGCGCCACTGAGCTGCAACGTCACCTCGGGACGCAGCGATTGCTAATCTTGCCCTCAGAGTGGTGGGTGTTCCTGCCGTCAAGGTCGTCGGCCGTCCTACAAAGCGTCAGCGGAAGTTCGTGGAGGAACGAGGCAGTCTTACCGGTAAGTTGTTGTACGTAACCGACAAATTGATAAACAATCATTCTTTCGGAGTACATGCTCAGCACAGGGGGCCAGTCGGCGAGGTCGACTGCTCGCACTACGAACCGGGCAACATCTTGAACGGCCGTCATACATATCACTGCATGTTGATTCGAGGAGTTGTACAGTGGGGCTTCTCCAGCCATATTGCGGATGTTGAGGAGGTAGTCGCCCTCGCCTGAAATGCCAGAACTTCGGCCGAGTCCGGTGGCCGCCATGCCGCCTGGTGCAAAGCGCTCGTAGAAGATGCCACAGGCAAAGACAGTGTACTGCATGTACGCTTTATAGTGTTCGAGCAGTTGCAGGGCGTTTGCCCTGTCACGATCTAAGGGATCGCCGGCAGGTCGAAGTGACGGGATGCCATCGAATTCAGCAGGCGCAAACCGCCGGACGCGCTTTTGCACTGCGGCCTCAATGAGCTTGTACTGCGGTGGTCCGGATACCGTTGATATGACGGTGTCCACGCCGTTGAGCGCATAGCGAAGCGATTCTTGATCGTCGTACTGGACAACTTGAACGTGGTAGCCCAAAGTAACGAGATTGGGCTGGGCCTGGAATGCCATGTTAGTCTTGTCTGTCTGCTTGCTACACTTCACAAGAAACAAGGAAGGGAAGCAAATTTGAGGTCTAAAAGCCTTGGGCGCGGCATCGCGCTGGCAAAGAAAGACTGTACACACAGATCTTGAGAGCAGTACAACTTGGTGACTGGTATCCTCGTGCAAATGATGTGCGATCAACTGCGCCAAACGGCCTGTTCCTGCTATCGCAACCCTCATCGTTGTCGGTCAAACGATTACACGAGCAGCTTGGACGTAGAAGCTGGAGCGTACGAAGCTCAAGTAGGATGCCCACTTTAGTGCTTCTTCTTAGGCTTCGCAGCGGCCGTATCGCAGCGGTACAGGCCCAAATTATCCTGTGAGGCAGTGCTGTTGTATAGTATACGCGCGTTCGATTGTTCCAAGACCGGTCCTGTGACGAAGCTGCGGCTGGCTGGAAGGTTTTCGCGGGCGAGTGAGAAGATAGATGTCTGGTGGATAGGTTGGCCAGCAATGTCAATGAGAAGCCTGTTCTACCTTCTTGTACATTCCTTGAAGAGCGACCCAGCTCTCAGGCCGCAATGGGGTTCCGGGCTGATAGGATGATTTTAGTGAACGAGCCATTGCACCGCCTTTGACTCACCAAGCCGGCAAGAAGGAAGAGTATAGAAGCGCACCGCCAAGTGCCAGCAGAAAAGGATTAATGAAACCGCAAAGCAAAGCGTTTGAAAAAGCGGATGACTGATAATTATGCGCAGCGGATTGCGGATTTACCATTTCGGTCGAAGCATAAGCCATCTCTGAATGGAGACCTAGCCAACCGTTCTGCAGCACTGACCGGCAGGGTCCAGTCGGGAGATACCAGGCTGCCGTTCTTCTTGTTGTGCTTACTACCAGAGGAGGTACCCAAAAGTGGGGCGCCGCTACAAGATCTAGTTGCCGAACTCGAGGTGGAACCATGATACAGGAATTTGAGCGTGGCAGTGGATAATCTTTAGTCTGGTGGATTGAGGCGGTGTGAACGAGATTTCCGGAACAAAGGGTATCTTGACAGTTTCAGGTGCGCTCATAATGAAATCCCCCATCTTCTCATCGTAGTGGGTGTAGCAACAGGCAGCCTGATGCCTAGATACGTAGGGTGCGCGAGGACAGTCTACTGGTCCTCTTAGCACGTATTGACAGTACCGGCGTGAGCGATGGATCGACATTGGAATACGCGCTAATGATGGCCTGAGTGGCGACTGAGTTGCAGGATGCGTTGCGGTCACCAGGATATCGCACTGCTTGTTCGGATCAAGGCAGAGTAGCAATGATGGCTATGTCTGGCGGGCAGCTGCGGCCTATATCAAAACCACCAGCCCTAAGACAAGGCCAAGCAATCGCTTACACTCCTTCCGCCGCATGATTCGGTTCCGAGTATGCACAACAGGCAGCTCCCATGGTTGGCCGGCCCACGTTATCTCTGTAGTACCAGAGGCATGTCCACGGGTTTCACCAGCAGACAAGTTCTGAGTGGGGGCCAAATCGATCAGGGTACCGTCAGCCCTGTGGGGCCCCTTCCCGCTTAGTGAGGATCGCCATTATTAGAAGATGTGCGAACACATGAATCCATGAGTCGCGTTACACATTGCTTCGGTGGATCCGGTCTAGAACTGTAGCGGATGCCGTCTTCGAGACCCTTTGCGGACTCAAAGGAATGGCGGACAGTTTGATATGGGGTTCGTAGGGCGTCTGCCTTTATGAAAGGAGGCCTGTATTGAACGTAAACAGTCGCCCTGAGTTCCTGCTCCCTACTGTACAATTGAAAAGCGCATGCTGGTAAGCTCGCAAGCGGTTCCGGAAAGCGCCAACACTACGCTCCGATCGTGAATCTCCACAGCCTTGAACGAAGATCGGTAAGGTTACTTGAACGTCTGGGGGTAATCACCGCCTCAGTCATCTTTTACCCAATCGGAGAGTTCACTCAACCGAGAGATCAACTCGGACGCTCCGTTGGCTTCGATGGTTGCAATAGTGGTCTGGCGGGTTAACCGTGAGTACTCGTGCCTGCGGGGAAGAAGCGGCTGCCTGACCACGTGCTCCAGTCTCGATATTAGCATGCACACCCTCCGGCAACGACGGAGACCTCTCTAGAAGTCGTAACAGCGGCGATTGTAGGCTTCGATGAACCCTCGAAGTGAGTTGTATCGGCTGGCTGCACCGCCACGCTGTAGATGATTTCGAAATCTCGGCAGCCTCTGGAGATAGGTAGTAGAACACCTTGCGATTCGCCAGCAAACATTCGATCCAAGCCTGCATATCGCTTCGTCTATCTCCAAGGCACGGAGTGATGCGAGCCATCTCGCAGACATGCCTCGAAGCACACGGCAATCGGTTGCCGCAGGAGCGGGAGTGGAATGTGATAATGCTGAAGCTGCATCGCTCGAACGTCACGTGATGACGCGACATGGCTTAGATCGGAGGCGGGCGAACCAGCTGCTTTATCGTCGTGTCTTCAGCGGTACATGCTGTGCGGCAATCCTGACGTGCTAGAGATGTCTCCAGGCTTTAGAGTGGGCGCTATCAAGGTTGTTAGGAGTGTTGTGGTTTCTCGGATTTGCCTGTTCCAGCGAAGGTGGTCCGGCCCGAAGCGCGTCATTAGGTTTTACGCGACGCACGCAATCCACTCCACTTCTATATCACCACACGTACCTCTTCCAACTGCCCATCCTTTGCTCGCTTGCATATTGTCATTCGCATAGATTCGATGAGTGATCTCGCCTCTCCCACGGCATCTGATCTTGCCAAACAGGCACTGGCGCCCAGCAGCCATGCGCCCAACAGCCTGGCCTTTCTGGTCCATTCCCAGGACACGGTCCAGCACAACCTGCCTCCGGATGTCGACAACAAGTCTCTTGCTCGCCAGAAGCGCAAAAGAACAAGGTGCGCAATTTCAATTCCGCGTACATGGCGACTGTATTGGGGCTTCGACGCGCAGCAGCGCGACCAGGCCCGTGTGCGCAGCTAAAACCCCCACCACGCCCGACCCAACCCGCTGACCGACATTCTCAAAACTATAGTCCTGAAGATTCAAGGGTCCTTGAAGCTGAATATCAGCGCAATCCTAAGCCTGACAAAGCGGCCCGAATGGAAATAGTCAGCCGCGTCGCTCTCGGAGAAAAAGAAGTGCAAGTCAGTATACCATTACGCGCTGCGTCGGTCCAAGGCTAACGCGATGTGGCAGATCTGGTTCCAAAATCGAAGACAGAACTCTCGCCGGAAGTCGCGCCCATTGCTAACGCATGAGATACTGCCTCATCTGCGATCAAATTTCGCCACGCCCGACATGGGTCCTACCCTTCAATCCTCCTCTGTGTCCATTGAAAACCAGCCGGACGACGAAGAAGCGGAGGAGTCCGTCGTACCTGAACACGAACAGCCGTTACTTGCACCTATAGCATCTGTGTCAGCAGTCATCACATCCGGTGTTGGGCCGTCACAGCCAGAGACAAGCGAAATCACCGATGCCACGTCCTTACCGGCTACGCAAGATCCTCCTAACGCAGACTCTCAGACCACAGTCGATACCTCGCAAGAGCAGCTAGCGGACTCACAAGCATATGATACAGCACCAACAGAGCCTAGCAGCTCGCAAGTCATGCCGTCCTCTCAGGGTCCTGTACAGCCATTGCTTCCGAAGATGGGCTATCTTGCGAATCGGCGCAGCGCTTCCTTCGTCGCGACCTGTGATGACGAGCCTCTTTTACCTCCAGCCCCTGAAGCACCGTCTGGTGGTAATGAGCAATCATTTTATTCGTTCCAACGAAGCCATTCATATCTCCGTCTATCCACGACCTCGGATGGCAAGGCTAGAATCATTGGTCTTGACGACCAGTCTCCCTCTCCACCGAGGTCACAGCCGATCCCATCTGTGTCGACCTTCGCGGAGCAGCGCGGTCCTCTTCGCCGCAACCACAGCGCAACTTCATTGCATGACAAGCTGAAGCAGACCCAAGGTCAAGGTACAGCAAAGAAGCTTGGACGGCTGTCGAGCGGCAGGTCCCGTGACTCGAGGACTTGGGAGTTCTGGTGCGACAGAGACGCGCAAAACTCGCTGGCTGGAATTGCGGACCAGGAACGTAGTGGATCGGCGGCAGATGCAATTGGCTTGATTAGGTCGAACAGCAGCCGCGTACTCAGACCGAACCAGAACAAGCGGAACGCCCAGGTCCAAATGCAGAACCCTTCGGCCAAGCGATCAAAGGTCGACAGTGTGGGACAAGCGAAGGCCCAGCTTACGCGTGGATCGTCCTCTGCAGGACGACTTCAGACGAAGGTAATGGCTACCGAGAAATCGCCTGTGAAAGGCAAAGCTAGCGAGGAATTCGAGGTACCTGTCACAGAATCTGACAAAGAAAACTGGGAACCAAGTGAGCCAGACCAATCACCTCGGCGCCGCAGACTGCCTCAGAGTCAGCCTGACAGGGCTGGTGGACGCCGGGTGCTAGGAGAGAACACGCAGGTTCTAAGTCAGAATGCTAGTCTCGGCGCTATGATGGCTCGCGAGAAACAGCAGAAGTCGCCAAGGAAGCGTCCAGCACCTGATGCCGAGAACGTCGACCCGGAAGATGATGAAGAAATTGCTATGTTCATGGGCGGCAGCCGGGCGACCAGCGGCCGGACGAGTGTGTCGAGCGGAGAGGATCTGGACTGCGTGCAGGGCCTGCTCAAGTTGAGTCAGGGGAATTGGAGGTAAGACAATCGAATCGTACTTTTGGATACCACGGAGAGAAGGGCGCAATTTCCATGTATTGGACTGTCAAGATTGTTCGTCGGTGTTGGCGGCATGTTTGGTGGAAGCTGTGGCGTTATTTCATCTAAACTGCATCGAGATGTCTGAACGGTTAGCGAACCTGAAAGCCCGATATCCGGCTCCACGACTTCAACTAGAAGCCTCGCGTCCAGATCAAATTGTGAACTTTTAACCCGCTTTGCTCTTGGACAGATGGGGTGAGGTGACAGGAGAAAGCTTACTAATCCAAGTCTTGGCTGCAACTACGCCGTGACCGGAAGCGCATCACTTGTATCCAAGTACTCGAGGATATCCCAACCGGCAACTTGGTGACGACCTGAGCAGTGAAGACCGTCCACTTTTAGTGCTACAACTGACCGTCAGCTTCAGGGCGCTACCAGGACTTCACTGGACTGCACATAAGGTGTGTGCCTTTTTCTATTTCTGTGCCTCATGTGCCTTCGTCCTACATGCCAGTACGCCTACCGGGTACTCTAAGTCTCTTTGTCTGGTACTCTGAAACGCCGTTTTCAGTTGCGTCACATCTGCGCCGTACACTGTGGCCCGACATGTGCAACGTTGTTACACCGTTATGCGCCGGAGTCGCGCCCATGCGGTCTCATCACACCCTGTGAACCGGACCGGATCAGGCAGTGCTGTGAATTCGCTCGGGCACGAAACACCCCACTGGTTTAAAACCTCCCCGAGTCTCCCATACAATTGTCGTCCAGTCCGTCCTTTCCACTTCTTAGGAGGTGTTCAGCATTATAATGGAACACTTTGCTTATAGCTCATTTTCTTATAGCAGTAGTGTGGGGATGTCTCGAATACAACAGGATCTCTCAAGCAGCTTGCATCGTCAGAATCCCGTGATCTCAAACGGTGTTTCTCCGTCAATGCTGCGGAGGGCGCTTTCGGGTGGAGGGAAACCTCACATCGGCATAGTCGGAGCCGGCTTCGCGGGTCTCCGCTGCGCAGATGTTCTGCTGCAGCATGGCGCTAAAGTGACTATTCTGGAGGCACGAAATAGAGTCGGCGGACGTGTGAGTAGGCCATCACCCAGTCCCAGTAGACGCAGTAACCTAATATGTTCCTCGCAGCTGTGTCAAGGAGAGGTCAATGGTCATCTGGTAGACCTGTAGGTCTGCACAATCTGCTCTCGTCTTGTCGTTGGCAGGCTGTGCTGACCGAATCTCTCCAGCGGACCAAACTGGATACATGGAACAGATCACAACCCAATTCTGGATCTTGCAAAAGAGACGAACACTCTTACCCACACCTGGGACGGCCGCCAGTCCGTCTTCGATCACTTGGGTGATGCCGTTCCCGCACAGGATGCAGCTGAGTATACGGAGCTCGTCTGGAAAGTCATCGGCGAGGCCTACGAGTATGTGAACGAGCATGGCGCCGAGATCTCACCGTCTCGGAGCCTCTGGGACTTCTTCAAAGAGAAGTCGAAAGAAATTTTCCCAGATTCGGATCCCGATGCCGAAAGCAAGCGCGACACCTTGACCAGTATGGCTGAAATGTGGGGCGCTTTTGTTGGCAGCCCCATCCAGCGGCAGAGCTTGAAGTTCTTCTGGCTCGAAGAGTGCATCGAAGGCGAGAACCTTTTCGTAGCGGAAACGTACCGGAAAGTTCTCGAGCGCGTTGCGAAGCCAGTCCTAGCCGGGGCCGAGGTCAAGTTTGGCTGCAACGTCAGCGGCATATCTTCGATTTGGGAGGGCAAACAGGCTCCTAACGTTTATGTTGACGTTGCTGGTGGCGATAGTTTTACGTTTGACGAAGTCGTTGTGACTACACCATTGGGCTGGTTGAAGAAGAACAAGAAGGCGTTCAAGCCTGCATTACCGAATCGGCTGTCCGAAGCAATTAATGCTATCGGCTACGGATGTTTAGATAAGGTGGCCCGAATATCCTGCCCATACTCTGGATAATGTTGATTTGGCTATAGACGTACATAACGTTCCAATCCGCCTTCTGGGAAAGCGCCGAGGAAGAAGAGGCTGATCTCACTCGGATACCGTCCAACGAGCAGCGCAAAGTGCCCAACGTAACAGCAACTACAGCGCCCCTTCATCAGCCAGAGCCTCAGGACGCCTCGTCCAGCAAACACTACCCGGGCTTCACTCACTGGACCAGGCCCTTCTACGCCAAATCTACGAACCCGGATTGCTGGAACCAAGAGTGCGTTAACCTTGCCGCTCTTCCTTCATCCGTGGCGCACCCGACCCTTCTCTTCTACCACTACGGTGCGCAATCCCAATGGATCAGTTCTCTGCTCCGCACCGAGCCCGACTGGAAGCGTATCCTCCTCGATTTCTTCCAGCCGTACTTCTCCCGCCTCCCCAACTACTCGCCTGACTCTGACGACTGTAAGCCTACGGATCTACTGACGACAGGCTGGGCGGGTGATGAATTCGCCGGGCACGGGAGCTACTGCAACTTTCAAGTCGGCTTGGAGAAGGGTGATGAGGATATTGAGGTAATGAGAGATGGCATGCCGGAGAGGGGCGTTTGGCTAGCGGGTGAGCATACGGCGCCATTTGTCGCATTGGGGACGGTTACCGGGGCATACTGGAGTGGGCAGGCGGTGGCCTTGAGGATAGCGAAGGCGCATAGGCTGGAGTGTGAGATGATGGAATAGAACGCGGAGGATTCAAGTACGTGTGTCATCACTCGTATGTGTTGATGTTTCCTGAGCTACGCTTTCAAAAACGCGACTTCCGTTGTTTCGCTTCTCCCTCTTTCTCTTTCCGGAGACTTTTGATTTGAAGCTAGACAACCCTCTTGCCTTAGCCAGTCCGCTTTGCCGTTCCTTCTTCGTGTCCTTCCCCGCAAATTTAGAGAGGTCCAGCAACTGCAGTAACCTTCGGAATATTTCTCGTCTCTCAACTTAGACACGGTGGTCGCTCGCAGATCGCTCCTACCAGTGATACAAACGCTCATGGGCCACACCCAGTTCCCGACATGGTGATGGCGTATGAAGAAGAACATGGGGTATTTTTCGTCTTCTTTCTTCTACACTACCTTTGCTTTGACAAGCATTGATACTTGCCTTCCGCTCCTTAGGCACAATCTTCAGCATCCTCAAGGCAACAAAGATACTCTTTCGAGCGAGACGACACTCCAACATGGATCCCAGAGCAGGCTCTTCATCATGCAGTTCCACTTTATCTGCCTATGAAACAGCATACACCAGCTGCGCGCACCAGTCCTCTGCATCATTAGCCGACGAAAAACAAGGTATCACCCCATTCACATGCGACACAAAACTGTCCAGCATTGCTTGCTGACTACGGTCTCAGTAGCGGACAAACGACCAGTCGCGTTCGTTCAACCGGACCAATGGCGCAAAGGCACTTCGCTCGAACCGCTGATCCACCTGGGTTCTTCATTCACAACACTGACATCAACCAGAGCCGCCTCAAGAGCCAGAGCCCGAAAGCTACAAATCCAGATTCCCCCTCCAGCTCACCGACGAAGACTGGGACCTAGCGCGCCATGCGATCGAGCACAGGGCTGCGCGACATATCGGAGCGCATCCCGAATATCTCAAACGATACCGTAACGCGCTGAAGACGCTGGCCGAGAACCCAGATGAGGACCCGAACAACATCCACGGCCCATTTCAAGACGACGTCAAGAACCTCGAGCTGGCTTACGCAGACCTGGAGGCGGCGGTCCAGGCGTTCATAACCTTGGAAAGGTGGGGCATGGAGTATGACGAGCTACGACGGCTGTACGACAAGGCGGACGGTGCGATGCTCGAGTACGCGAAGTGGCTTGGTTGCGCTGCTACGCTCTATGACGCCCATATTGCGCGGTATATGGAGGCACGTGAGCAGTCGAGGATGAAGAACTGGGCGACAGAGGTGCGAGACATGGCAAAAGCAAGGCCTAAAGCGGAGGGTACAAGTGCGGAAGAGAGGGCGTTTTTGGAAGAGCGGGAGGAGTTGCTGAAGAAGACATTTGTGAGGATAGTGGAGGGGACTGAGGAGCGGCAGGAGTACGAGGAGGAACTCAAGTTATCGCGCTGGCTGCGGAAGTTGGATACCGGAAAGGCTGCGTAGGCGCTTGACGTGTATTCTGTGGCGGTCTGAGTTTCATTCGTTGGACGCTGTATGAGTTTACAACCATAGAACGGCGCGATTCTTCTGCTGCAAATCGCTCCCACCCTGTTGCTTGCTTCATTTCTGTTTCCGGCTGACCAGCTGGATATCGTCGATCTGGTCCTACACACGGCCGGCCGAAGAGCAGATGAAGTGCCCCGTAACGTCTGCCTTCCGGGCTCCCTCAGGTCCAAGGATCTCGAAAGCCTCCATAGTCACATGCTGTGAAGCGCTCGATACATGCAGCGCCCCATTCCGACACAGCTCCATTCCGTAAACGCATCTCCGGCATCCATCCTGGTCAGCTCATAAGCCTTACTGGCTTATTGCCATGGCCTACAAAACTCGTCCTGTCTGCCCCTGATGCTCAGAAAGCATGTTCCATTGAAGCCGCGATACCAGTAAGGACGGGCAGATACTCTTGATACGGAGACAGCGCTGTTCTTTCCATAGAGGGAGATCTGGCTTGCTGAGGATGAAAGACACCAAGTGTACTGACCCGACCGGGATGCGGGTGGTCCAAAGCTGAACGGGGCTCAGAAATCTGGAAACCCTCGACCGGTGGAGATGTTTGGCTCCGAGAAGCTACGTTTCGGTGGTAACTGAGTAACAAAACAACGAAGCTTGGAATGCTAATCGTGCTGACCATATCGGTGCCGCCTTTCCTGGAACAGTTGCACGTGTACCTGGAAACCCTGAAAACCTTCACTGTTTCTTCAGCCAACTTTTTTGGCGAAGGCCTCCTGAGAAAAGGATAAGTTGCAACGCTGCTGTGTTACCGAGGATAACTGCATTCTATATACTGTACGTCTCCCTCGCCGGGATTCCACTCTTTTAACTCCAACTCGCGCTGGTGAGCTCCGTTTATGGCACATAATCTGTTAGCTGTGGACTGACCCCGCGCCGAGGATAGCGAAGGACCGCTGCATGAGCCTGGAGCCATTTGACTTTCAGCGTTTGAGTGGCCTCTACGGACATCTTTGAGGAGCGCATAGTAAAACGCCACGTTCGCCACAGCGCATGCAGTAGCGACCTCCACTGACGCCCACTGATACGTCATTGTTAGCAATTATATATTCCTGCAGATCATTAATAAGGGGGTGGCAAACGTACTAATGAGCGGCGTTCCTGAGATACGGAGGAATTAAGAATGAGCGGCACGCGGGTAATAGTCACTGCAACGACGAATATGCCTACACTGAATAGCAGGGCTAACTGGAGCTTCCTAGAATTCAACCGAAGGAGTTAGGTTTCAACCCGCAATGCTAGTTGTGCTGGTCTTGTCGTACTTGCACATACTTTGATAAGGAGTATGATGTTCTCCAGACAACTGGTACAGGAAGCAGAATCAGAGCCACGTCGGTGACAATGTTCGAAACAGCCATTGTCAATAGGTTGACCACGGCCTTGCGGCATGGAGCTATCTCTTGTGAGCCGGCTTTCCGGGACATGCGAGACAGCAGTAGGATGTCGAATACATACGTTTATCAGGTGGTCCGGGTTGCCAAACTCTAAATGTCAGCGTCAGTCCAGTTCACTAGATAGTGGTGAGGTGGCGGGGTATTTCAGTGTTCCTTACATTGATAGTGGTCTGCATTCAAGGAGCGTTGTTAAAACAACGGCGATGAATGAGAGAACGATGCACCACCACAAAGCTCTTAGGCCTCGAGTGAAGAAGGTAGACACGTGTGTCAATCTCGAGTAGAAATCGACAAGACAAAGTTTCAAACACCACTGGCTAGAGGAGCGGTCAGTTACTCCAACAGTGATATCTCAGCTCCATTGAGTACACACAAAAGCGCATAGAAAATACGCGCAGGTATTATTAACTTCCTGGAAAGAACCAGGTCAGCTGGCGAGGCATCGACCCTGTCGAGTCCCATTGATAGCCCTATGCATATACTCCGGCCAATAAGAGGTAAAATAGCAAAGGCCATCCAGGCATCGTCTTCATGCCATGTCCGGTGGCATGAGACGTGGATATTGCATCTGCTAAGAAGACGGTATCCGCAGCGGAAAGATATCAACCCAAAACAGAAAGCGGACGACGCGATGATGTGCGGGACAGCACTGCTCATTGCGAAGCGAAAATTGCAAAGAGAAATTTGGATCCAGAGTGGTCTAAGGACATTGACAGGGAGGGATTATGAAATTGCCCAAGTGGCCAACCCCGGCCTTATCCAGCTTTCTCGAGTTCGCCGCAGCAAGCCTTGGCCTAAGATCGTTGGGTACGGAGTACGATGCCCCGGCACGAGGAGACAAGCATGCGCCCCGGACAGCTCGTCTCCTGTGGAAAATACCGCCACAGCTCGCTGGTGTAGACACTTAAAAAATTCATGACAAAAATATTTGAAAGTAACAAGAACGCTGTACTTTTATATTTATTGTGCCCTACCAGATGGAGGTCCCTAATACACACTCATGGCCTGCAGACTGTTAGGATCTGAAGGGGTGGTTTTGCGTTGAACTGCGCAGGTCAGGCGGGAAGAAGCCTGTCCCCGCGAACGTCCGAAATCCAGGGCCAAGGGGGGCCTTCATGGCTGATCAGGTTTGCGGGGACGGTTCCAGTTGCCCCCCGCCCACACGCTAGAGCGATGATCCCACCAAAGTGCGGGGTGACCGAGATGACCTCTGGCCAAGCTTTGAGGTTGGCCACCTCACTCGACACTTGGGCATCGCCACGATATCGGCCTTAACTTTAATTTCAAGGTCTTGGCGTGGATTCTGATAGCGCTGCATTTCGCGCTGTATTTCCCAGGCACACAGGCAAGGACAAACTATTCTGCTTCAGTCCGGGGGCGCCCAATAGGCCCAAGACCTCATAGATAAGCAATCGTATACCATTTTTACTAGGCGGTGAGAATGAGCTACTAGCCCAATAACGCTTTCATGAGACGAGATTCATGGCGCGCGTATGTGTTCGTCTACCCCTGCTATTTTATATATCCAATATGTTCTATCTGGTAGTGCACTGTCGCGGACACAACTCGACTGGAATAACAGCATCTTGATATGAAGAGATTGATCGTTATAGAAGTAGTTGATATCAAGTCTAGTAGGATTGGCTACCAGCGCTCTACCAAAGATGCGATTTCGCGAACAAGATCTGCTAAAACAGGAAGCTACTCCGACATTCCACAATGAACAACAATCCTCACAGCCATCAGACGCAGCAGCTACCTGGTGACGATAGATCCACACGCTGGTAAGACCCGTCTACAGCGGGAAATCCATCCCTCTACGCAAAAGAAGCGAGGAGAGTGAGCTTAGTATACATAGAATACCGTCGTCTCATTGTCCATCTGTCGCAGCTTCTTGTTCCTCCTCTTCATAATGAACTTCGCAAGCCACGCTAGCGCAGCCGTGGCCATTGAGAAGCCAGCACTCGATCCAAGCGCTATAGCGTAACGAGGTTCATCAGACTTCGGCCAGAGGTACGGTGTCCAGATGAACGAGGCGTTCATGATAGTAGTGACAATACTAATCGCGACGGCCTTCTTTTCTTTCGTCTGGCCACAGGTGCTGCCGCACCACCCGAGAATCAACGAATTGACGCCGTAGGTGCCGATGGTGAAGATGACCATGCTGACATAGCGGCCCGCCAAGTCCATTGTGGCACACGCGGCGACGAAGCCGATGGTCGCGACAATCTTAGAGATAGTGATGTGCCAGGTGCGTTCGTTGAATTTACCAGAACTCCAGGACACAGCGATGGTCACAGCTCCTGCGATTAGGTACGGCGGGCATGTCAACACAAGCGTGATGGTCTGGTTAAAGCCGAGAGTTTGGACGACGGTTGGGAACTGGAACTGAGATTAGCATGCGGGCGTGCTATTTTAAATCTGAAGGGTGACTCACAAAGTTCTTGAAGCCGTTGGCCGCTAGATGCATGTGCGCCATAGCAGCAAAGATCCAAACCATCGGATCGGAAGAGGCTTGCTGAAAGCCCCTCCACGTGCTTGTCTCGCCTTGGTTGGCAACGGTGTCGAGCTCAATTCGGTTGTGTGCCAGGGCTCGTTCTTCCTCAGTGAGCCATTTGGTCGTGAGAGGGAAGTCTGGCAGGACAAAGAGACCGATGACTGCAATGGCGAAAGTTACGGCGCCTTGAAGGATGAATAGCCAGCGCCAACCCGTCAGGCCCGCGACGTTGTCGAGTCCATGAAAGATGCCAGCGGCAATCAAGCCCGCAAAGGCAGTGGCAAGGATGTTGCCAGTGTACAGAATAGCAATACGAGTAGCGACCTCTTTGCGGGTATAAAAGATGCTGAGAAGATATACTGCACCCGGGTAATACGGCGCTTCTGTCAATCCAAGGAAGAAGCGAGTGAGAAGTAATCCGGTAAAGTTCTTCGAGACAGCTGTAAGTGCACTGACGACGGCCCAGAGCATCATTGCAGAACCCTATTGATTCATGAGCGATCGTCGTGGGATAGGAAGCGATAGACTTACCATATAGTAGCTTGGGCGTGTCCGAGTCAAGAACATGTTGGAGGGAATCTGCCCGAGCAGATAACCGACGAACAGGATACTGACGCAAGTTTGGTACTCTAATCTACAGTCAGTTGACGCCCAAGTGGAGGTATAAAGGCAACGTACGTGTGCTAGTAAGGTTGAGATCTTCCTCAAGATCGTTCAATCGAGCCAGGGCAATCGCATTGCGGTCTAGATAGTTCAACCTGGAAAGCTGTTAGTGATACACCCATAAGAAATGACCATGCTCTACTCACCAGTACATACTCCATAGCATTGGCTAGAGAGCTGTCAGCGATACACCCATAGAGGAATGGCCATGCTCTACTCACCATGATCCACCGATCAAGCTTCCTCACCAGAGCAATTTCTTTCGGATCGGTCTTCTCATGGGCTCCCGACCAGTCGGCCTTTTCAACAATGGGAACAGGTTTCTCCATTCCATCCTCGTAGTCAACAATGGATCTATTCCGCACAGAAACTATCGACGCTTTCCTCGCTCCATAGACTAGTGATCCTCTCCTTTCTTCAGCTGTGGTCGCCATCTTGGACCGAGATATTGGGTTGAAGAATAGATGGAAGCAAGTGGAGGATTGAAGTTGAAGCCCGATGAAGGATGCTGTTGCTCTCGAGGGGGGAGCATGTTGATCTTTATAGGTAGCGGAGTGACGGTGTAGTTCGAGCTGATGATGATGATAGTCACACACGCACAAGTCGATCCAGGCCAGCGGAATACATGCATTGCTGGCCCAAGCTGCAGTACTCGTCCAATTGCAATAAGAGGCCATTGGAAGATCCAGCATCATCCCTCATGCTGTAAAGAGCATCCGGACTTGAGCCGAACAGTCCTTCCTTGCCCGGCCCATACGAGATCAGCGCCATAGGATTTGAGCCTCATGCACGAGCGGATCGAACAGTCCGCTCGTGCAGGAGACTTGGATCCAATGAAGACCTGCAGTGGCCAACGCCAAGACGCCAAAACTCCTCCTGATGCAGCATCAAGACGTCGGGGGCAGCATTCTGATCTTCTCACTGGCTGGAAAACCAGTCCGCATCAATCAGCCTCCCTTTCCACAGGCACGAGGTTGCAACGGCAGTCCCCCGGAGGTGTCAGGATGCTGCAGAAGGTGGCGGGCGCTAGAGCTTCCAACAGATGTGAGGTTGTCTTAAGATGGCTAAGTGATGACGGTCCCCTTGGCACCCCCGCATTTTGATAAAAGAGTTGTTCTAGCGCCGGTCTAGCGCTTTTCTAGCGCAGTTCTCCCCCAGCCGTGCGCCCCGCGCACTTCGTTGCGCACGAAACAACCTGACGGACTTGATACCGGCCCGCGGCTCCCCATACCGCCCCTGTAGGATGTGAATTTGTGTTTCTTGGCCATAAACCCTATCCGTGGCAAAGACACGGCACGGCACTTGGGGACCGGGGGATCATCGTCATGTGCTCTCTCCCCCACACGGGTATTACCGCTTCGCCTGCTTTCTGCTTAGGCCGACATTGTGCCCTAAAAGGAAGCACGAGGTCGGAGGGTTGCGGACCGTTCCAACCCGACATGTTCCATGAGCAGTCGGACGGCAGTGGTGCTCCCAGCTGGTCTGAGCTGGGCTGATACACTCACTCATCACACTGCATACGCATCATGTATGTATCCAGCCTCTTACCTCGTGCCTCAGTAAACTGTTGAACCGATCCAGATCTTAGCTGTCATGTCTCATGCAGGTAGAAGACTGAGCGCAATGATAGATAGCCCCTCGTCTTTTACCTTGAGATCCACACGTGAACAAGAAGACAATACAGCGGGTGTCAAATATCATGTGTCAATTAAAACCCAGAGGCGGGTAGTACTCCATTTGTATGTTGTATATGACCAGCCTCCTCGTGCCCTCGATTCATTGATGAATAAACTTCTTAGCCACCCATCTTACCAGCGGGTGTGATGCACAACTACTGGTCCGAATTCCACAACCACCTTCCTACCATTTTCACCTCTCAAACGTACCACATTCCAGACACCCATCTAGATGAGCGTTTCAGCTCAACACTTCGACTGCTTGGTTGAGTTGCTTTGTTTCCTCAGCATGCAATTCCCAGTCCGAGCCAAACCTTCAAGCTCGGATCGGAGCATCGGGGACGGCCTGTGAGGCACCCGTGTTTTCCTCGTTTCAAGGACACTGGCAACCTTGGTAGGATAACCGGCTCTTTCATGACGAGAGCTTGGCTGCCAAGGGTCGCAAGTGGAACAATTGAAGTGGAACGCATCGATACTCTATTTGATACTAATTCGGAGATCTAGCATCTCTGATACTTACATACATCTTCAGGCCAAATCAATGTCCAATCTCCGAACGGGTCCAAATCAGCGTGCCGCGTCGGAGCTCGTGGACGGGTGCACCAGCTGCATAAGTAGCCCTTCACACTCTCAGATCATCGACGCGATATCCTTAAGCAGTTGCTGATGATGTGCCCTCCATCTCGGAGAATGCTCAGCCAGCCGCAGTCGGCACGCTTCAGAGACCTGACCATCAGTCTCATGCTCAGTGGGGCGGGCTTCGCCTCCAGCCGCCATGTTCAGATCCGCGCGGACAAGGACCAGCAGGACTTGGACCTTCTCTTCAAGCTTCTCGAAGGTGTTCTCGATCAATCCACTCATGTGATTGTCGATCGACTCGGAGATATTGTGGAATAGGTCTCCATTCGTTATGCGGCCTTGCACTATGTTCTGCTGTCGGCGGGTCCTCCCCGTCCCTGTAGGTACGTTGGTCAGCGTCCGAAGCTGCAATGTGATTGATCGAGGGATTTGCGGGATGCCGGAGGACAAACCGATCTGGCGACTGGCGTCGCGGTAGGCAGGCATCATCTCTTTCAACATATATGAGCATTCGTTATCTTCAGACGCGTTACGTCGAATGGTCCTGGGTTTCATCCGTGCACGTCAACAAAGATGTCCAAAGCTGCTCATAGGTAGCGTCGACTCATACCTGATCCCTCGACCAAACTCCCGCCTCGTCAGGCCAAACCTGTACTCGATATCTCTGATCCTGGAATCTATGCTTTGATGCAATGCTGGATCAAGCCTCAGTCCTATTCGCGCTAAGTTAGTACTGCATTATCTCGCACTGAGCATGGGTCTTACGATTAATGGCCGCCTTCAAATCTCGCAACTGGCCCTTGATAGCTTGTAGAAGGTCGTCGAATATGTCAGGGATCTCTTCTTCCAATATGTCCCACTCGAGGTCAAGCTCCATTCTCATCTTCCAGATGAGTTCGGCATTCCAGCAGACATGGTCAAGTTTGTCCGTGCTATGGTTACCGTTGTTCTGGCACCATGCATTGTATTGAGCTAGTGATAAGATCAGCATGCAGTTCTTGTTGAACAGAGGATCTCGTAAGCTGGATTACACTGATGCCACTGCGATTTTGTCAACGAGTGTCTCCATTTCCGGCTTTTGGAGCTGTAACTGCATACCGAAAACCATTCCAAGCCCTTGTCCTTGGCAGCGTCTTCCCAGAATGTGGCTCGATTTTCTGTCCGTGTTTCAGAGATTGTTCTAGTAGAATCACGGAGAGCAACACACCAGTCCACTGGTAAACCCGATTCCGGAATGTATTCCTGAAGCTGATTCTCGCTTCGTCAAAGTCTTTCTTGACCTTCTTCGATCAGCGTTCATCGACTGGAAGCTTTGGAGGTTCGATGACTTAACGTACTGCTGACCCTACTCTCCCCAGCATACTCGACAATGCTTCTCTCGCAGCTTCAGTCGCGACAACTGAACCATCAGGGCAGCGGGTTGTCCAGAGCTGGATGGAGCTCAGCATACTGGAGAGCCTCGACTGAAGGAAATGCTTGGCCTCGAGGAACTGTGCTTCTGCGGTGACGGAGTAACAAAAGCGGCGAAGCTCAGGAATGCCACTTGCGTTGACCATATCGACAACACCTTCCGCGGAATATTTCTCGTAAGTGGTATTAGAAACACAGAAAACCTCTAGCATGCCTCCGGGAACTTTGGTACGGTAGCCCTCTTGAAGGCCATCCTTGACACGCTCGTTCCTAGCATCTACCAGGAGGAACTTTTGTCTACGATCTTGTAAGTCCTGCTGCTTTTCTTTCGAGGAGTTTGGCGTCTACACACCTCCGTTGCAACCTCTCGGTGAGGCTCAGATTGTTGGCATTCCTGGCCGCTTGAATCTCGACATCAAGACTGTCCATCACCGCTTGCTGGATACGTTTGCCAGCCCCGCAGTAGTCTCTCCTCGCCGTTTTCTCATTGATTTTCTGACCCATGTCAGCCACACACCCGAACGTGTAAGCGGAGCGGTTGTACCTACGTCTGAGTTTGTGCACACGATTGCAAAATTCAAATATTTCCCTGCAGCGGCTTCCCATTCCATTGGTACGCGCTGGGCTAAGACATCGTAGACCGAAGACTTCAAGGATTGGTCGGTCACCGCCCGAGCTATCTCCGCAACTATGAAGATGTGGTCGCACTTCAACAGATACTCCTCAGTCATCTTTACTCTCGCAAGGTTAGTATCCTGTAGGCCTAGACATATCTTAGCCGACTCTACGAAATCTTATTGTCTCATGGTCTGTAGACTGTACCTGGTAGGTCCGCGAGTACGATCCCGGTCTTCAGCACTTGAGCACTCAGATAAAGACTTGAGATTCCTTCGTTAGCCATCTCGCCCCAGCACCAGACCGGGGAACAACTTTACTCACCGGATGATCTTTGTAAATGGCCAAAGCCTGTCTTGCATGAACGCTGCCGTTATGTCGCAGCATTCAGCTGCCGTTGCCGCAGTTGACGTCTGTACGCAATTGTTGGGGTTCTCCCCGTCACGCCAGTCCAAATTCTTGGCCCATTTCTTCAAGCGATCAATAATTTCTTCAAGCGCCCCTTCCGACATATTTCTGAGAAAAGTCTCATTAAACTCTTGACGGTGTTTGAATGCGGGTTCAAGCCATGACCAAGCACGCTCCGATTCTTTCTGATAATGTTTGTAATCTTCTGCGCTCACCGTCTCATTCTCCAAGCCTGGCAGATATAGTCGGCGGTAGTTCCATACTAGCACTTCGACAAGGTTGTCAATCTCTTGCCCGGACATGCGCTCCACTTCAATGGTGATCGGCGCGGAGTGGATATCAGTCTTCTGCCTGTACTCAGTGACGACTGAAGTGCAGGCAGCCCCATCATCTCCCTAACGCAAAGAGTGAGTACAGAAAAGTAGCGAAGCTTGGGCTGCTCACTGTGTGTGCGATTTCTGCATAGTCCAGAAGAGAGTTGATGAGGCTACTCTTACCTACGCACTATGAGTCATCTTCCTCTCTCTTCTTAAGGGACGATCAAGTTACCTGCACCAGAATTACCCAACACGGCAACAGTCCTTGTCTCGGATGTCCGAAACTTACTCAGTTCCACAGCGTCTGTCCATAGTCGGTGCAAGTCCGGCCCTACCCTCGTGAATTGATCGGGACTCGCAGTGACATCTGCTACCTCCTTGGCTATGCGTATGCCCCGTTGAAGTGCTGATTGAAAAGCGGGGGTATAGAATGGTTCCACTGGAGCAGTTTCATCTTTGATGTCGTAGGGGACCGGTCTGTGATTCTCGTGGGCAGCCGACGCGGTGAGCTTTGTGCTCGGACCCGGACTTGGACTGCAGCTTGGACCGAGAGCTTGACAGCCCAGCAAAGTCGGCTGAGCCTTCGAACGACCTGGAGACGCAAGACTGACCAACTCAGGTACAAAGTGGTTGGATCCGGATGTAGACACTGGTTGAGCAAGTGTCTCCTCACTGTTAATCGGGATCTTCTCGTCCGAAAACGATATGTACCGTTGCTGGTATGGGTTACCGCGCGTTGAGAAGGATCCCAATACGGGCGGTGAGGTTGGCTGTGATAGCGGTGTACCAAGGCGCGGAGAGCCTGTGCATACCGATTGCGTTGCCGGCGCGGGTGAGATGTTGTAAAACTGCCGAAACGTGAATGACGTGGAATTGGACCGCGGAGTGGATGAATCCTGGCCGAACTGCTGAATTAAAAGATGCTGGTTTTCTCCGGAAAGAGGCGATGGATTCAGTAGACTTGGAGGGCTGGATGTGTAGTTATGATAGGATACGCTTGGCGATGGCGTACATTGGGGTGTCAAAAACGGAAGCACTGGAGACGATCCAGTTGAGGCCGCAGGACTTTGTGCGCTTACATTCTCTCCACGGTTGCTCCTGGATCGTACCGGCAGCGGTGCTATGAGCCGAGCTTCGTGAGACGGCGAGCCTGCCAGCGCCATGTCCTAGAGATGGATAAAGAGTGACTAGAGGACAAGGCCAGACAACGCCCCGTGAAAGTCCGATATAAATATCAACAGTTCCCCCCTTTCAATGACGCATCGAGCGGGGAGGGCTGATCTATTCATAGCCATTGCCCGCTCCATAATGAGTGCTGCGCCGCTCACCTGCAGGCGGCAACCAGCCTGCGCCCCACAGAGCGAAGGATTTCCCCTGTCCGAAACGGCCCATGAACGCCTGCTCCGGAGAAGATGTAGTATATGGCAAAAGAGTCCAGCAGCGGCCCTGGTAGAAGAGAAAAGGCAGAGCCTGAAGCGCCACGGACCCCTTAATGGCTGAAGTAGAAACCCTATGGCTTAGAAGACGGCAAAGTATGTGAAACGGGGAAGAAAAGTGTTTGGCTTGGGAGCTGTATCTTATGGTTGCCTGCTTTTGCATTGTAGCAGCGTCGTCTGTGGTCCATGAGTCTTTAGAACGATGTTGTTGCTATTTCATTTGAGGTGATTGTGCAGCTTCAAACAAGAAGCTTGTTCCACAAGTAACAACATCGAACATACGCCTCATTGCTCAAGGCATTAACGCAGCGCGGTGCTGCGCCAGGGCCGATTGCGTTGGGATAGCTAGGCATGAGTCGTGAGGCTGATGAGGCTGAAGCACTGGTGAGGGCCGGGTCCACGGCCCGGCGGATGATGCGCTGGACAAGCCGTGTGCCATGTAACTAGTTGATCTCCAACAGAAAGGGTTCCCCGTGCCGACGCAATGGAGCAGCGTGCTGCAGAAACAAGTCGGTTGTACCGAGAATACTTGAGCATCCTCCTTCTGGAAACTTAAGATACTAATGGCGTACGTCACATGACTTGAACGTAAACGCATAAGGTACCCCATATCTCACTCACACAGTATCAACACAAAATAGTCTGAAACACCTACATTTTCGAGAGACCTATGGCGTGTTAAGCTCCAGAGTTGTTACAGGTTCTACAGTTGTTGCAGGCTCTGACCCCAACGTGGCATATTTACGTCGTGGGTTGGCCGAAGTGTGGGTCACCTGGAACTCAGCCGGAGTGGGTGTATGCATTTTTCGTCTGGTCGTAGTGTCTGATCAAGTGGTTAGACTCTTTGGGTGTCAAACGCGGTGGCTGTACGCCTCGCTCGGTTCCAAGGCTGCTATTGGTTCTACTCGTACTGTAGCACGTCGTGGCCAAAAAAACGTGCTTACCCAAATCACGAAAACCACGGATGTATCAACCACGCAGTAGAACAACAATGCTAAACCTCATAATGCACCTTATCGATAGGTGTAGAAAGACGTTTAGAACGTTTAGTGCGTATTAGAGGTATATTGATTGTGGTATTGATGGTGGTAGTGATAGTAAAGATCTGGTGTTGATGCGGGAAAAAGCCTTGGTAAGCAAGTTTTTTTGGCCACGACGTGTGTAGTTACCAAGATACTGGTCATGAGCAGGATTGGGTAATTTCATCAAAGTCACCTTTCGGCATCTACTGTCAGCCACATGAGTCCCAATGAATGGCAGTTCTGACCTCTGACCTCTGACCTCTGACCTGTCAAGATTACATGTGGGCGCATTAGCCGCATACTTGCACGCCTGGTTCAGAAACACGCTTACAACTTCCCCTCAGGAAGACTTCCCATGTTCATGAACGCAGCCCTTTGCCACTCCCTTCTGTATATGCACCACGACAAACAGACAACATAACGAGGGAGCGAAGCAGGGCTCCAAAAGTCATGCTCGGTCTTTTCACTGATTTCTGGCGCAGAGACCCAGCATAACTTTTGGAGCCCCGCCTCGGAAATGTCCAGATTGTAGTCTATATTTCTTGAGCAGTTCTTCACCATCCGCACCTTCCAAGCGCACCGCCCTCCAGCCTCCGCTCCGCATGAATCTCCGGCCTAGCACACCAATTGCTTGGCCGAGGTTCTCTGCATCTTCAATATCCCGACCTTCCGCATTGTTAAGATAAGATATGCGACTCCCCAATAGAGCCAAGCCTCCAAGCTCGGATCCCCGGGAACGGTCAGTGCCGCAACGCCCGACAAGGCTGATCTGCAGAGCACGGGAAAACGGAAACGTGGTGCTCCCGAGCCTCCTCGTTTAGTCAAGGCGCAAGGATCCAAATCCAACTTTTTTCATGCTAGCTTGGCTGCCAAGGGTCCGCTCCACCATGCCCGGATGTCTCGGAGAAGGTGAGAGATGGTGGGCTGGGCTGATGCGTTGATCCAGTCTCACCGCAATTACGCCTAGCGACCGTTACACTAGGTGCACATCAATTCGCGTGAGTGATGATCCTTCCGGTGGTATCTCCGTGGTATTACTCATTGCTGAAGACGAAACGAAACGAGAGGCATGCGCATGCTTATGAGGTCGGGACACTTGAGGGAAAGACAAGATTGCAAGCCGTGCCTGTTGGCTTGAAGCGGGCGTACGCAGGGCTCGGCAAGGGCTTGGGATCACCAGGTTAAGGCGTGTTAGGCAGGGGACAGGCGTTGTGTGACCGTTGTAGTGAACATCGGAGTCGGAGATAACGACGACAAGGCTGGCTGGGTGGGCTGCTGACACCACTTGTCTCGTCTGCAGTCATGGTGGGTCTTGGGCTGAGGACAGATGGCCAACATGGAGTAATTCACTGACAGCGTTGTCACATTTGAAGATCGGACTAGAAAGTCCAGGTCAAAAGCCGCTATATTTGTACGACTATCCAAAGCTCGACGCCGATCATGTTGGCGGAGCGCTAGCTAAGCCCAGCTGCGGATACATGAAGAAGGGACGAGAGAAGCGAATGAGGAACCCACGTCCAGCGCTTGGGTGGTGGTGTGAGCGAGAGGAAGAGAACGAATGATTCCCGTGTCGCCCGCCATGAACCCCGTGGTGTGACCGTTCGCAATTTGCCGTTGACGCCATGATGCTTCAGTCTAATGCCGCTAAAGTCGTGAGAGTGTGATTCGAGAGGTCCGCCAAAGCTGGACCGCGTGCAACACATGCAAAGCGAGGAACCTCCCAAATCTCTGAGTTGGGATCGGATTCCGTTGTGTCTGATAAACGCCGTTCGGAGGGGAATGAGTAATGCCAAACCTTCACGTGGTTGATAATAGTTTTAGTCCTGGGTGAAGCCATGGAAGTAGAAAACGTCTTGTTGTACTCATGTGGCCGAGTTGAATCGGGAGCTCCAAGCTCGAGGCGCCTAGCGCCTGCCGAAGGGTGAACTAGAAGCTGGAGGCTGTGGAGATAGTTGGTCTCGCCGCTTTGCTTCCTCGCGAATGATCGTATCTACAATCTCACCGGGTGACGCGCCCTTTGCACTGGCGGCCGCAAGAAGGTAATCGCCGCCTTGTCCCTCCAGCTCAAGTGGCGTGACCGGCCCCGGGCTACCGAGAGGCATCAGGCGTGGGCTGGCCGGCTTGTGGTTGGAGTACGATCTTCCCTTGGCGGTGGACATCAGGTCGCGCTGATAAAGATAGAGCTGCCTCTGGGCTTCCGAGTACTGCTTGTTCTGGATACGCGGAGAGAGTGGTGGCTGCGGACTGCCGATGCCTGAGCTTGGAGTATTGGCGGTGCTCGAGTTTTGAGACGGGAAGTTGGCTGGATGGAAGCGTGGCAGTCCTGGTAGCTTCAGAGAACCGCTCCCGCTATGCTGCCTGCTGGAGTGGCCACGGCGGCGTGCTTGCGTCGGTAGAGCCAGATGGTCGATTTTTGGTGACAGTGGAGAGCTTGGCTGGAAGATCGGAGAGGCTCGACCGGCAGACATCTTGTCTTGATGGATGTACTCCGCAGTGGGACAGTAGATATTTGTGCGTGATGTGACTTCCAGAGGATGCGATGATGCTGACGGGAGGTGTCGTTAATTGTGGCCGGTCAGATGTTGTGTTGAAGTTGGCAAGAAGTGTGAAAGTTTGAATCAAGCGCGTTGAACGTTCTTATCCTGTTTGGGCGGATTATTAAAGTTACCGGAGGATTCGCTCGCTGCGATAATAAAGCGGAGATAGCTGGCCTTGGAAGGGCTCGGTGACGATCAGCCCAGCGGAAGCGTGCCGCCGACAGACTTCAGAGGGTCCTGCAGGCTTGGGTTCCTGAGCCTCTGCCACGGGTCCGGCTTGGGACGGGGATTACTCAGAGCTGATCCGCAGCAATGGTGATGAAGCTTCCGCAACGTGGGCTCTTTGTTGTGGTGTGATCCGATGTTTCAAGAGGCGTCGATCCTTGGCACCGGTTGTTGGCCGTTTCTTTACTGAAGAGGGCTTGGGAAGCTGCTCAAGAGGAGCGCTGTCCGGATTAGCCAGCTTTAAAGGATTGTCACGAGAGAGCATATTTTCTGCGCCAGCGGAAGTTTTGCTGCGAGGCCAGCGTCATTTCCAGTCATGCACCATCGTGACCGCCATCGTGACCATGCAAGAGTCGGCCGGACTGTGTTTGCCAAGCGCTTTCTCTTAATCGCCTCTGATGACATCGGTTCTTCTCTCCGTTTCGCCGCTCTCCGCCGAGTGGCCCAGATTCCATAAGCTATGGGATTCAATAACACCATCCATGACTGCATAAGGTATTCGGGCAAGAAAGGAGCCGGATAATCTTGGACGACGTCATCGACCATTATCGTCCTCGACAGCCTCATTAGTCGGTCCTTCTTCCTTTTGTCACGTGAAGGGCTGATGAACTAAAATTCAAGCATGGGAGAAAGGTGCAAGAACAAACGACATCTAACCAGGGCTCGTCCTGCGAACGGAACAACGCCTCCGTAAATCGTGGGTAATCTACTGTAGAACGATTGTTACATCCTCTTCTCCAGTATTGCTGAATGTAGGTATATAACGCGCTTCACGCTTCACGATCTGGTAATAGCAGCACATTATGTACCCCTGGTCTTAATAAACTGCAGGTTTTAGATTCGGCGTCTATCGTCAAACGCCAATGTATCCCATGATATAACTGCAAGCCGTCCCTAACAAAGCACGCTGTTCACCGTTATGACCGTGCACCCAACTTTTCTAATGCGCGAGAGCCCTGTTCTTGCCATTCCTGCTTCGATATCCACATGTTGTCGCGTTCAGCCATCTGCGCAATAGTTAGCAGCGTAGAGTAAAATTAGTGTTGAGAAACATCCGGAGCACATACGATGTTCGCAAGGACTGCGCCCCCTAAGAAAACCATGTGCCTCCTCCGCGGTGGATCCTCGACGCGCACTTTGAATTTCTGAGGGAACATGTCAGCAACATGATACTTCGCTCGCAACCCTATACATGGCAACGTACGTTTAACCTCTCAGGGTTGCCTTGCAGAATCTTGGTCAACCATAGCTGCTTCAGCTCCTTCTCTAACCGACTGGGCAGACCCGGGTACATGCTGCTTCCTCCACTCAGCACAATCGCCTTGTACAGGTCGCTCCTGACATCTACGTCCGCAGCTTGGATTGTGTTGAACAGGAATTCCGCCATTCCAGGTTGCTCTACGTCGACCAGGTGAGGCTGAAACAGGCACTCCGGCGCCTCGAATCGCTCGCTGCCCACTCTGATGACCCGACCGTCCGGTAACGTGTATGACTCCACTAAGATGGTCGTGTCCTCGCTAAGTCGCTGGTCCAGTTCCAAGTCATATGAGACGTAACATAGCTTCTCTTTGATCTGCCGCACCGTCTCGAAGTCTGCCGTTCTGTTCAGGGCGTACCCCTTTCGTTGAAGCAGCGAGATGAGGTTCCTTGTGACATCCCTTCCCGCGACATCCAGCCTTCTTGTTAGATGGTTCAGCACCGTGCTCTCATATACGGGTACTATATGCGTGACACCGTCTCCTGAGTCAACGACTACTCCAGTGGATAGACCTTGCGCATAGAGAGCCAGCACTGCTTGTATAGCGACATAGACGCCGCCAAAGTTGTAGCGTTCAAACATGACCTCGCACATCTGTTCGCGATTTTTGAGGGGATTCATGGGAGGCTCGGTAAGGAGGATCTTGCGTCCGGTAGGGTCTATCTGCATCTTCTCGAAGAAGGTATAGTCCCAGAGGTGCTGCATGTCATCCCAGCGCTTTACTATGCCGTTCTCCATCTACGGTACGTGAGGGTGAGTCAGCCATTGCTGTTGGCGGATACACGCCGGACATCCTCCACCCGTAGCAGGTAGAAACGTACGGGATATGTGATTTGTAGTGCTGACCGCGCGGCCGCGGCTTCCTCTCCACACATAATGTCCTTGACCACAATGTCTCCATCTCGTTCTTCTGATCGTAGAATAGGCCGACCGACTATTGAGGGATACTGGTGGTCCGGGAAGTTCTAAGACAACACGATCAGCCGAAGCCCAGTCTATGTGCAGTTAACCAGATGAAGACAGCAACGGACCTGGCCTGCGTACCCAGCTTTAAGGAACCCTGTTCCTCCATCAAGGACTGGAATGCGGTCAGTCCACTGCACTGCAGGAAAGACCTTAAGCTTGATCCATACCAATGGGTACTTCCGCCATGATGAGCTCCCCGAACAATCAGGTCCTGCGAGGTTTGAAGTCGAGTGCGCTGCCGCGTGTGCGTACGCCTGGCGGGGTGCACGAGTACCGCCGCGATTCACCATGCAGCGGCGTCACTTTCTCCGATCCCCGGCGAAGCACAGGAATGCCTTATTGCCTTATGGCGCAAGGTGTAGAGCGGTATCAGTTTGAACTGCCTCTATGTGGTCAGGTGTGATAATCTTGAGTTCCTCCAAATTAGAACGCTAGTCAGTCAGATTTAATGCCAGCGTAACGGTGACTTTGAGGCGCGTTGTTGTGCCGGGCCGCCCACCATCGAAATTTGGTGAGAGAGCTTTTGGCGGCGCTCGCTTAATTTCGCGCCCCGCCCACAACCTCAATCCACACCCTCTGTCTATCTCGCCCTCAGCAACAACTTCAGGCATTCGTTTCTCACCGTAAGTCACTCGCAATGGTTTCGATAGCCTTTGCTGGCTTGTGCCTTGGAAACAAGCACGCCCTCCGCTTAAAGTCAATGCAAAATGCTACGGAAGTGGGCACTGTAGCGCAAATTGCTGACTGTGGATGGCTTTGAACAGGTCAAGATGCCTTTCAGCAAGCTCACCAAGAACACTGTAAGTCTCTTCCTCTTCCTACCCGTCCAAGTACCGCATGTTGACCAACTCCACAGGCCTACTACTCCCGCTATCAAGTCAAGTATAAGCGCAGAAGAGCAGGCAAGACCGACTACTATGCCCGCAAGCGGTTGATCACCCAGGCGAAGAACAAGTACAATGCGCCCAAGTACCGCCTCGTCGTCCGGTTCACCAGTATGTCCCAGTACACAGCCCTCGCTGCAGCAGATGCTGACCTTTGTTAGACCGCGACATCGTCATGCAGATCGTCACCTCCGAGATTGTCGGCGACAAGGTCTTCGTCTCTGCATACTCGCACGAGCTCAAGAAATACGGCATCACTCACGGCCTTACCAACTGGGCCGCCGCATACGCCACTGGCCTGCTCATCGCCAGGCGCGCGCTGAAGAAGCTCGATCTTGACGAGGACTTCGTTGGCGTCGAGGAGCCGGATGGTGAATACAAGCTTACCGAGGCTGCCGAGGGTGATGATGGCGAGCGCCGTCCGTTCAAGTAAGCAACACGACTTCTCCCCTTGCAAAGACTAGCTAACCGTATCACCTGTCAGGTGCTTCTTGGATGTCGGTCTGGCCCGTACCTCAACCGGTGCCCGTGTCTTTGGCGCCATGAAGGGCGCAAGCGATGGCGGCCTCTACATCCCTCACTCCGAGAACCGCTTCCCCGGCTACGACATGGAGACCAAGGAGCTTGACGCCGAGACTCTCCGTAAGTACATCTTCGGCGGCCACGTTGCTGAGTACATGGAGACCCTCGCCGACGACGACGAGGAGCGCTACAAGTCGCAGTTCCAGGGCTACATCAACGACGACATCGAGGCAGACGGCTTGGAGGAGCTGTACACCGAGGCTCACAAGCAGATCCGGGAGGACCCCTTCAAGAAGGATGAGGATGAGGGCGAGAAGAAGAGCAAGGACGAGTACAAGGAGGAGTCGCTCAAGTACAGGAAATCCAAGCTGAGCAAGGAGGAGAAGCAGGAGCGCGTCAAGTCCAGGATCGCTGAGCTCAAGGAGGCCATCTAAGCTTCACTAAGTTGCGGAGAATAGTAAAAAGTGGTCGGGCGTCAGGCTTCGCTTCGAATGAAATGTTTGCTTTGCATGTTCGTGGATTCAATGAGGTGCAACTACAGCACCCTGCCTGCAAGGTAGGAATGCCAGACAGACAGATGATACTTTAATGAGGCACATGTGCTATGTTCATGTGGATGCCCGTGAACTCGTTGCACATCACGTTAGATGAAGTGGTTGGTCGAGTCGGCACGTGACCGAACCGCAGTTTCGCTGAAGAATATCCCTTCTGCGGGACCTGGAGATGCGACAACGGCACGATCATGACCTGTCGTACGATCAGCAAACCCATTGTTGGGCTATCGTCACACCGCTTCCCTCTCGCGCCTGTTCTTCGCCTCTTCTAGCCGCTTTCTGCTCGGGGTACCTGCGTCTCCAGGCGTACAAGCCAGCGAGCAGGCGAGAAATCGACACACTGGAGGCCTCCTATGAATATTCCAATACGCTTCTCGTTCCACAAGATGCGTGGCATGCTTCACAGACTATCGTAAAGGCTACACAGCCGAGGCAGGTACGCGGACGCGGCCTTGCGGTTTGCTTTCGACAAGGCTGTTGGTGCGCACATGCGCTGTAACCTTCGTACCGACAGCTTGACAAGCTGCTTGACACCACCTACATGCTGTCACGATGTCAAGACGTCCTGCAACTCTGCGATTTGCGCAGCTCGTTGTGCGATCCAAGAATCCTTTGAGCGCCCTCGCTCTCGCTCTCACCACCCGCCTAAATAGCACGTGTTTCTGTAAAGTGGTTCAAATTTCAACTGCACCGCGTTCATCTCAGGGTCCTGCGCTTGTGCAGGCGCCAAAATAGCGTCAGGTACAAGCCGCACAAGCAGCCAGTCGGGAGCTTCTGCACCTCCCAGGCCTGGGTGTGGAGAGGCGCCGCAACGCCCCCGAGCCTCCCGGCGCTCTATGCGCGTCATTGTGATTTTGCCGGGAAATTGTCCCCTTGAACGCTGTTGCAGGGGCGTCGCGAAGACGTTGGAGGCAACTCTTCGTGGGCTCTGCTTCTCATTCACGGCCCACAACTTTAGATCGAGAAAGCTGCTAGGCCCTGCGAGTCATCAGGAGTGAAGCAAACTGCGGTACAACGAAGAGTCAAGAGTGCTGAGGACATCGAACCACCTCCCGATTTCGACTTGACTAGAGGTGTGCGCGACGCTCAAATTGCAAGGTGAAGATCGTGAGGCCGTTTGATATGTGAATGCCTTGGCGGCGACTGCTACCATGGCCTAGCTGCTTTGACCTCCCGGATGCGGCTGGTCAAGCGCGTGGGCTCGGTCAAAGCAGATAGCGTGCCCTTTGCAGCAATCTCCGCAGCGGGCGAGCATCGTGTGGGTGGCCTTTGTTGTGTGTGCTCTGGACGCTCAAGCACCGAAATTGCATTGCATTGCCGCTTGGCCGCTCGGCCACCCGGCGAGCCGTGCTCAGGAACGCAAGCGACGTTTTCCCCTTATGCTCCCCCAGATCACTGTCCCATCCTCCCTCCACGCCTCTTTGCGACCACATGGTGTAGACTTTCGCCAGAGACAGCATCACAGCTTCCGCTCTTTCTTTATTCCACCAACTCGGGAGCCTGTCTCCTATTCACTCTTTTGGAATATCCATACGCATCCAAGTCCTCCGCCCACGCACACACGACGTAAACACCACCGCTCACGCAGCATTGCTCACCCCATTATCAACTGAAATCCCAGCTCCGTACCGTCAGCCGCTTTCTCCGCGTTCAGCTACGCTGCGCCCACATGTAAGACTCCTTTTGCGATGTCAGTTGCAACAAAGAAACGTTGTGTAAAATCGCGTCCCGCAATGGAAAGCTCACGATTGTCCGCCAGCTCTTACGACAAAGCTCACTACGTGAACCTCCAATCTTCGATCACGCCTGTTCTACACCGCAATGAGGGTTACCACCGCATTGCTCCTCGCCACGGCTGGCCTGGCCGTCGCTCAACCGCATAACAAGCATCAACACCTTCACAACAAGCGAGTACCAAGTGCCGCCGCCGATGTTGTGGTTCCTGGTCCGACCGTCGTCGTGTACGAGTTGAATGGCAAGCTGATCTCCGCCGACGACGTCCGGGCTGGAATCCGCAATGGCTCGCTCGTCTGGGCCGGCGATGGCGAGCTGGAGTCTGCTGCTCCCTCTCCGGTAGCCTCGAGCACGAAGGAACCAGCCAAAGAGACTCCCGCACCTGTTCAAGCGCAAGCGTACCCCAAGTCCTCGACCGCTCGGCCTGCCCCGTCAGAGGCAGCGCCAGCTCCCTCAAGCGCCGACAGCCCCAAGCCGAAACCGTCAAGCGATTCCGGCCACGGCTCGGGCAAGAAATCATGGATGCTCGGCGAGGGGCTCGGCCGGGACTTCCCAGACGGCGAGATCGACTGCTCTCATTTCCCGTCAGAGTACGGTGCTATCCCAATCAAGTGGGTCGGACTCGGCGGCTGGACTGGTGTTCAGAGCCCTAATGTCCGCGCTGCTGGAGGTTTCGACGACATCATGAGCGTTACCACGGCTCAGTGCAAGAACGGCAACTGCTGCCTGGAAGGTGCTTTCTGCTCTTACTCATGCCCGCCTGGCTACCAGAAGTCCCAGTGGCCTTCTACCCAGGGTCTCACTGGCCAGTCTATTGGTGGCATTCTTTGCAAGGGCGGAAAACTTTACAAGACCAACTCTGCGCTGTCCAACAAGCTCTGCATGAAGGGTACCGACAAGGTCTCCGTCAAGGTCAAGAACACCATGAATGAGGTGGCTGCTGTTTGCCGTACCGATTATCCAGGTAAGTTCCTACCGTGTACCCTGAACTAGACACAATCTCTAACATGAACACCAGGTTACGAGGCTGAGACCGTTCCCGTGAGCGCTGGCCCAGGTGAAGAGTGGGATCTTACCTGCCCTGATGCGGCCAAATACTACGAGTGGAAGGGCGCCTCTACCTCCGCTCAGTACTACGTCAACCCCAAGGGTGTCTCCATCGAGGATGGCTGCCAGTGGGGCTCACCTGACAAGCCATGGGGCAACTACGCTCCTATGAACCTCGGTGTTGGCTACAAGGGCGGCAAGGCCTGGCTATCCATCTTCCAAAACGCGCCCACTACTATGGAGAAGCTTGACTTCACTGTTGAGATCGTCGGCGACGACATCAACGGCAAGTGCAGGTACTCCAATGGCCAGTATTGCAGCGGGAATGATTACAGCAACTGCAACTCGAAAGAAGGCTGCACTGTAAGTTACTCTTAGTACTATCAGCAGCTTGAAACGCATTACTAACGCGCGACCAGGTTGCCGTAAATTCCGGCACTGCCACTTTCGTCTTCTCATAATCCTGCGATTTAATGAGGGCAATCTCCTGGCTCGAGAGGGCTCACGGTACATCTTCTGACTTCCATTGCATGGGCCGCAATTTGATTTTACGAACGGGTTTTCGGTGTTGAGCACATGGTTTTTTCTGATCTCCAGGCGGGAAACGAAAGCTGGCCGAGTGTTGCTGTGGGAATTCGCTGCTACGTCACTCAACACCATCCAGCACGTCGGCACGCACTGCAGCTTTTATTGTCTTCCCTCGGGAGGCAGTCCCGAAGGCGTCTGGTATGTCACGACCATCATCCTACCACGAATATCCATCGCCTTCGCATCGCTCAGTCTCGGCGTCTCCTTTCTCGACCCCTTCTCTGCCTGGATCAGATCGGCTTCTTTTACATAGCAATGTACTCATCCACCTCCCCGCTGGTTGCGGACCACGCAGTGCGCGACCTTGGTTTCTTTTGTTTTCTCTCCTTTGTCGCTCCTTTCATGTGTCAACACTCTACTTACGCTCGTGTCTGTCTATACCTGGTTGTGTGTGCGTTGCGGAGAGGGGGCGGAGGGGAGGATTGCTGTGATTCTTGGGGCCGAGGAGGCTGGGTGGGCTGTTTGCTAGCCGCGTGAATGTGTAATGCATTACTCTATTTACTCTCTGACTGTACTTCTCGCTACGGCTCCTGCTTGCCTGCTGTGAATGAACTACTCGGCCCAGCCCATTTCATGTCTCGCGCTTCCGTACTCCTACGCCACGTCGCCCCTCTTTCCTGCTGGCCTTGCGAACAGCGGATCAGATAAGGCAGCTGTGTCTGAGAGGCCTTTCCAACACGACCTGAGTTCGGCGAGGGGTCTTTTTCCACGCCCTGTCGGTTATTCTTTTGATCCACGGCACCTCCCTGATGCCTTCTCTGTAGTCCTTCGTTCTCTTTTCTCGTCTCGCCCGATCGGCTATTCAACGATCTCTACTTCTACTCTTCCAGAGACCCGCTACGATGTCATCGCAGTAAACCTATCAAGGCGTAGTCATGTCTTCGGCTTGTGCTCCAAGGCCACTGCGCCCACATGTTTTGCCACATCCCGTGCACTTCCCACCGGAGGGCCGCATAGATCGAACCATCAAGAAAATCTGCGCCCGCACTCGGCCTTCATACAGTGCACTTACCCATGTTCACGTCCTATCAACCGCCGGAGCGCCCTTAATACACCCCCGGCACCAGCCTTCACCTAACCCTCCTCTCCACCTCCTTCCACTCATCTCCGTACTATCCCACCCGTCAGCACTGCCTCTCCTACGCAACCTCCCCAGCTCAATGTGAGCACTCACCTTCTCCCGCATATACCTCTCCAAGCTCGGCACAGCCCTGCTAGCAAAATCCCGCAGAAAGAACCCGCCGACAGCAACGCCCCACGGCACGCCGGCGGCAGCCATTGCCATATCCGGCGCGCCACAGCACGAAGCCGGTGTAGTTGATGTGGCGCGCGCGAGGGCGAAGAGGCCCGAGCTGTGGACTTTAACCCCCCGGTTGGAAGGGTGAGATTTGAAGGCGCGGCGCTGGAGCTCGGAGACGAGTTCGAGGCAGATGCTAGTGGCGTATAGGGGTCAGACCGAGTGAGAAAGGATAGTGTCGATGGCTTGAACAATGCTGTGGGGCAAACTCGTGCTTGGACAAGGTCTCGTCCCTAAGATTGTTGCCCCTATAGGAAGAGCAAGGTGTTCGCGGTCTCAGCGGCCGTGTTGAGACACCTCCAATCCAATCGCGGCGGAGAGGTAGATAGGGACGTCAGCGGAGCATATCGCCGCGATCCAGATGATTTGCTTGAGGGCGCCGCCGGAGCGCCATGAATAGGAGCACGAGACGGCTATGGGAGAGGCCGAGAAAGCTGCTTTCATTTGGAAAGGTGCCTCCCAGGCCTAGTGCATGTGGATATCTGAGCAGGCGGCATGGCAGGTCGACGTCCGCTAGTCGGAGGTCGTCCCGCGGCGCCGCAGCGGGTTGTCGCCAGTCACGCATTGGTGGATTGGGTAGGGTACAAAGTCGTTTTCTAAGCTGGAAAACTCATGTGCTCGACCTCGCCGTGACGCTGTTGTAAGTTCAGTAGGTTTTGACTAGCAGGGGCTTCGTATCCAGCTTGGATACAAAGCCCCTGCTAGTCGAAGGATTCAGTGGGCCGTCTTGACTAGCAGGGACTTCGTATCCAGGCATGATACGAAGCCCCTGCTAGTTGAAGGGTTTGATCTTGCATAGCGCTTGTCAGAGAAGGTCAATACATTGCCGGCGGCAATGTGGATTGAGCGGATGATGCACTGTGATTCAACACAACATTTCGCACCAGGATTTGATTCTGTCTGTTCAAAGTTTTAGATCTGATGTTTTCCCGCACATACGGCCATAAATCAAGAACACTGGGCAGGGGTCATCCAGGGAATGCGGCAACGCATTGAAAGCTACTCGCGGACGTCGAGATGAACATTCCAGACACAAGTTTACAAACCGAGGATTTTCAGGTGATCTACGCACGGGAGGTGCTTTTTATAGTATGGGACCGGCCTTATCATTCAATCGTCGGCGTGATCACAAGTCCAGCACAATCGTGAATTTGGTAATAGACAAGCTACCAGCCAAAATTGCGGCAACGAACTGTTCGAATACTGCTGCCCTTTCGCATCCCGTCTACTGTAGTTCCGAAACTCGAGCTTTACTCATCCATCGGATCACGTGCCTATTAGTGACAACTTGGAGCCGCTTCGTTCATCGTAGCAATACATTAACGTTCTATGGTCTGTACACGGGCTTTGAATTGGGGATGAACAAGAACCAGGTTGCTTGCTTGAGGGCGCCGCCGAGGAATGTCAAGAGGAGGATGAGACGGGCAGGGGAGAGGTTGAGATAGATGCTTCCACTTGATAAATCACCCGTGCTTCGAAGGTGATTTCAGGCCTGGAACTACAGAGACCTAAGTAGAGGTCTTGCAGGTAGACGTGTGCGCGTAGCAACACTGAGAGGCGGCATCTCCTTGCTCGCTGCGACCGCGAAATTTCTTGTCATGTTCGAGTTCAGTACGTGCCTCCCTCTTTGGTCATTTGGTATGGCGCTATGATGCGGTGTGCTCTTGCTACTGCATGCTTCCTGTCAGAGAAAGAGCAGCGCAGTGTCCGAACACAGGCACTTATCTTCCGTTCGCGCCCTCATTCCTCTTCTTTTCTTCAAAGAATCCAGCATGCCTGTCTCAGACTGGATCACGGCTGTGGCCACCGCCGTCATAGCCGTCGTGGCATGTTGCACACTCAACGGTCAGTTCATCCCCCGCCTTCCCTTCCGCCTTCCCTGGCGCAGAGCCACCTCCGCGGACCCCGAAGCCCCTCCCGGAGACGGTCCTGTGGATCCCGCGGACCTGAGGGAAAGGGTTGTCCAGCTAGAGGAGAGGCTCGAGAGGCTTGAGGCGCGAGGCACTGAGATCCTCAGCCTCCTTACAAATGTCATGGAGCTCCTAGATGATCCTGGTTAACGTTAGCTGCAGAAAGCCTTCCCGGGTCGGGCTACTACAAGACCCGGGGCCCTTCGGGGTCCCCCAGCAAGCTCGCACCTCAACGTGGTGCCGGGGTTTAGTAGCCCTCTCTGGGTGAAGCCAACGCGAGCATTCGACTACCATCTCCCACTCACATTCAACTACCGTCCTCCACTCTCGTTCGACTGCCGTCTTCCACTCACGTTCACTCGCCTTCTTACACTGAGTCGGCCGCACTTCAATTGTCACCATCAGTTTCGGTTCGGATCGGCCCTGTACGTTGCTGCTCGCAAGGCTGTCTTCATTTCGTCTCAATCTCACACAGAGTCCTAGGCAACGCGGTTCACATAGTTGGTAGCGGACAATTGCACCCAGTCGTGAAGAATCAGGATGGAACAAAGGGGAATGTAGTGGAGTTGATACAATGTAGTATTGTTGACCATGTACTCGATGCGTATTGGGAGGTCTTCTGCTGTAGCTCTGATCAACAATGCGGTTTCCTTTCACTCAGGACCAAGTGCCGCTGCCATAATACATGTCTCGGACGCTTCCATGCTCATAGCAGAACTTGGTGCCAGTAAACTGAGTGTTCGTTTTGAAATCCAACAAGTGACTGCTCCAGTATGGATCCATAGGAGAGCTTCCAGACCCAAGGTCCGTCCAGGCATAGAAAGTCGCCCGTCTTTCCCGAATCAAGATGAGGTAATCGGTTGGACACCGATCACATGACCGGAACTCTTGGTATGAGCCACTCTGGCCATCCGCAGCTTGAAATGCAAAACGTATCCCGGCCGTCAAAGGAGTTTTATGGCTGAAAAACCCAATGACCAGATGTGGACAGATTTTGATATTCGTACGGGAAAGAGTCTCGTACGAAAGCGGTGCAGCAGCCTCGTGGAAGTCGAAAGTTGTCATCAAGATAAATCGGCCATGGATGACTAAAGGCTCCGCGGTGAACTCCAGCCTCAACGAGTAAAAGTTTGGAAAAGAGGTTGTGAATCTCTGCAGTATACTTGCTCGGTACCTTTGATGGACATCTTGTCGACGGGTATACTTGATGGCCAGCTGTACATGGCGATGTGCTACCGCGTAGCGGGGACCTAAGCGGTATCGGCTCCAAATGGGCTCCGGCGCTGGACATGGCTTGTAATACTTGTTGACTTCCGTGACGGGGATGTCCTTAGAGTCCACAAGGTGTAATGCGCGGCAATGGGTGCACAGTCGATGATCTGGTAGGATATCCGCCAGCGCACCTAGAAATTCCAGGCGCTCAGCGGCGGAAGCTCTCCGGACGCTCAGATAGCACATGGAGCGCAGTCGTAGCCGTAGGTCTCTGCAGGTTTGTGAGAGTAATATCTTGGCGTGCAACGGAAGCTCGTCAAAAATGGCATGGACGATATCTAAGGGTAGGTTCAGGAAGGGTGAATCTTGCCGGATAGGATTTCTGGGTCGTATAAGGCGTGACCACAGTGCGAGGAGCCGGCGTATAGCCATGCCGCGATAGGTATATAATGGGAGGGAACTAGGAGCGTGTGTCGAAGTAATAAAGTGTACAATGAGAAAGTGAAAGTGATATGGTCGAGATTGGTGGCTAGGCCTTGGCACTTCTTCTGTTTCGGCTACGCAAGCGAGAACTCGACCAGTTACGACAGCAAACCAGACCAATCTCGTATTCTGCATCATATTCTGCGTCATATCCAGCATGATACTGATCAGATCTGGTAAGTTGAGAGGTAGAATGGCCTCCCTCTCCTCAGCGACTCCTTTGCGTAGGGGTAGGCAGCGGGATCGGTAAGGCACTCGAGTCCAAGCAAGTACTTTCCATGAGGAGACTCAAGAGACTTGACGCCAGTTCCGCTATTAATTCAGCCGAACTGTTCAAAGCCATTGGAGATGTCAGCCGCGAGTACATATCAGATTGAGTCAACGCGCAGGCAAACACCAAATAGTATGCGTCATGCCAGTCTTCGATCTGACTCCACGTGGCTATCGATAAGTTAAAGACCGCGCCTCCGGACCACTGCAGCTCTTCCCCGCCACCACCACCTCTCTGCAACGAGAGTCTCATTACCTTCCAGACGCGCATCAATGGTAGCTTCAGTGAACAATCTTACCAAGAGGCACCGATCACTGCGAATACGAAAGATAGCGCCGCGGTAGAGCACATTACCTATATATCTATACTACTCGCACCCAATATGGCACCAACAGTAAAGCCGGCTACAGCGAAGCCGGGGGCAACGAAGACGGCTGCTCACCCAACGCCAGAGAGGCGAAAAGGGGAATCTGTAAGTGACTGCTTGTCTTATATCCTACTGGACGCTGCACCCCGCCAAAAGCCGTGACTATACCACGTCGACCCTATGGTACACCCCATATATCAATCGAGCAGAACCTAACACCACCCATCAGGCCCTCAGCGACTTCGCCGACTACGTCCAAAAGCAGCAGGCCCTCCGCAAGCCCCCATCCGCCAAACCCTCCACCGCCCCCATAATCGAGGACCACCACGACGAGCTCGACATCATCGACCAGCTCAACCTCGGCGACGAGTCCAGCCACGTGCGCCTAAAACAGCTTTTCACAGACCCCGATGCCGCTGCCAGCGTTGCCCAGCTCACCGAGCACCTAAAGGCGCGTCTGGATGAGGGCCATGGCGAAGCGCTGTTCGACCTCGGCCTCGAAGACAATGGCGACAACATGGGCTTCTCGAAGGAGCAGTGGGATGCGGCGCTTGAGCGGGTGTATGCGGCTGCCAAGGCGGCGAATGCGGAGTGTCGGATATTACTGACGCGGAATGTGGGCGGGGACGTTGAGGTTGGGCCGGCTAATGTGAAAGAGGTGGGAGAATGCGGGAAGATAATGATCAGGAAGAATCCGGAGAGCGTGGATGATGTTATCGAGACGAGGATTGCGGTTGTAGGAAATGTTGATGCGGGGAAGAGCACGATGCTTGGTGTCCTGGTTAAGGGGGGCTTGGATGATGGACGTGGGAAAGCGCGGGTGAACCTCTTCAGACACAAGCATGAGATTGAGAGCGGTCGGACTAGCTCAGTGGGAATGGAGATTATGGGATTTGATACCCGCGGTGATGTGGTTACTGCTCAGGTTGCTGGCAGGAAGTTGTCATGGGAGGAGATTGGGCGACGGTCGGTAAGTTCGAAGCATGTTATAACATTCCTAAAGATGCTCATTGGAGCACTCACGGGGCTCTTCATGCTTGCCATCCAATCACTGTACTACCTCCATCTACGACAGATGCTAACAGCTTGCAGGCAAAAGTGATCAGCTTCACCGACTTGGCCGGCCACGAGAGATACCTCCGAACGACGGTTTTTGGCATGCTCAGCAGCGAGCCCAATTACTGCTTACTGATGGTCGCAGCCAACAACGGCCTCATCGGCATGTCAAAGTGAGTATCAAGAAGCCTTGAGCACCGATTGAATGCAGGCTGACAAATCGATCAGAGAGCATCTCGGCATCGCCCTCGCCCTCAACGTCCCCGTAATGGTCGTAATAACCAAAATCGACATCTGCCCCCCGCACATCCTCGAGCAAACCATCACGCAGCTGACCAAAATCCTCAAGTCCCCCGGCGCGCGCAAAATCCCCATCTTCATCAAGAACCGCGAGGAGTGCATCAACACGGCCACGCAGTTCGTCAGCAAGCGTATCTGCCCCGTCTTCCAGGTCTCGAATGTGACCGGCGAGTCCCTCGACCTCGTAAGGATTTTCTTAAATATCCTGCCGCATCATGGAAACTACAATGCGGACGCCCCGCTCGAGTTTCACGTCAACGACACCTTCTCTGTCCCCTTCGTGGGCACCGTCGTCTCTGGCATCGTCAAAGGCGGCGTCGTCCACGCCGGCGATAACATCCTCATTGGGCCGGACGGACTGGGCCAGTTCACAACGACGAAAGTGCGTTCAATCGAGCGGAAACGCATAGGTGTTCCCGCAGCCAGCGCGGGCCAGTCCGCATCGTTGGCGCTGCGGAATGTCAAGCGCAAAGACGTCCGCAAAGGAATGGTGGTGCTGCACAAGCCGCAAGATGACGCCAAAGCCCCGACGCAGCCGAAGGTGTACCGTGAGTTCGTCGCCGAGGTGCTCATCCTGTCTCATGCGACGACTATCAAGACGAAATACCAGGCTATGCTGCATGTGGGGCCGGTCAGCCAGACGTGTGCCATCATCGACATTGATAGAGCCTATATCCGTACGGGCGACAGGGCGACGGTGGCGTTCCGCTTCGTGCAGAGGCCGGAGTATCTCGCGCCGGGCGATCGGATCTTGTTCCGCGAGGGGAGGACGAAGGGGCTGGGGATCGTGAAGAGTGTGGGGTACGATCCAAAGCACCCGCTCAACCCTGAGGCGCTGAAGGAGAGGACGGAGAACGGAGCGAGTGGCGCGGCGCCGGTCTCGGTTACGGCTTGAGGTGGTCGGATGTAGCCGACGTGCATTCGTCTTTGCAAAAGGTGCATACGGTGATTGGGCCTGGCTCTGTGGCGTGACTGTAGCTGCTCGGGGGCTTTGCCGTACTCATGTGACTGGCGAATGTCTCTGCATACGAAGACGATTAATGGGTACATGCCGGCGCTGGTGCATATAGTGAGGCGTTAGAGTATGCAGGTTACGCAGGAGTGCGAGCGTATAATTAGCGGACAGTTTTTACTCCCACGCTGCCTTACTTGAATTGTGAGCATGGTGCATCATACTCTTATGCCATCGAAAGGTTGAAGCTTCAAGCAATGAAGGCATCTCAGGGCTCAGTAGTAGTGAAAAAGCAAAGAGAGACGTGATGGGTCATAGAAAAACAGCTACAGGAACGGATAATCGTCCCTGAGCCTAGATTCAATCACGTTTGTCTCGTGTATCTCATCGCTACCAAACAGCTCCTCACCATCCTCACTTCCTACTCTTCTTCAACCTCTTCTCCGCCCTAACATCCTTCTTCAACCTCGCATCCACCATCTTGTACTTCCCCTTCGTTCCCCTCGGACGCCCGCTAATACCCCTATTCCCACCCCTCGCCACGACAACACTGACCTGCTTCCTCGGCTTCTTCTTCGCCGCCTTGGCCATCAGCTTCGCAATACTCGACGCCTTGTCCTTCTCCGTCATGCCCTCCTCGTCAACTAGCACCGCGCTCTTGCGCTTCAACTTCTCGAGCCGCTGCGCCGCCTTGAACTTCTTGCGGTCTTTCGCCTCGCGCACCTTCTTGATGGGCCGCGCGTTCAGGGCGCGTAGCTTCTCTTTGATGGCGGCGGCTGCGGCGGCGGTGATGGGACGTTGGAGCCGGGAGTGTCGGTTCTCGTCGTCGAGGAACCAGTCGGGCAGGCCGTCGACGTCGCGCAGGGCGTATTTGGTGAAGCCGTCGTCAAGGAGGTCGTGTTTGGTTTTCTCGCCGGTGGCGAGTTGGTGCGCGAGGGTCATGGCTTCGGCGGTTATGATCGAGATGTCTGGGCGGCCGTCTCTTATTGGGACGTCTTGTTCTTCCCATTGCGAATCTGGCTTTGTTCGCACAACTTCGAAACCGGCTTCGTCCGCGGAGCTGTCATCGTCGGCTGTTGGGGTGGCAGGAGGTTTCAGTGATTTCGTCGCCTTCGCGGTTTGTTTTATTGCTGCTTTGGTGGAGCGGTCGGGTGACGAGCCGGAAGTGTCATCGTTGATGTCAATGCCGCTGTCCGCGTCTGCGGCTTCCTCTTCTAGATCAATGTCCACTCCATCGATCCCCTTGAAGATATCCTGGTCGAAGAACTGAGCCGCACGCTTCGTCAGACCATTCGCGGCCCTGCCCCCTGTGTCCAGATCCGTAACCAGCGACCTTGGCTGTGACTCCTCGTCGTCAGACGACTCATTACTTCCCTGATCCTCGACTACCTCTTCGTCACTGCTCCCTTCTTTGTCTGAGAAGCCATGGAACTCTTCATCGGCATGTTCCTTCCGCGCTTTCTTCGCTCGGTACTTGGCATCTGCCTCTGACTTCCGCTCCTGATATTGCTCGTACATGCCGTCCAGTTCCCTTTCGAGCGCGTCCTCCTCTGGGTCGCTCTCCTCCTCTTCGTCCGTTGATTCCTCTTCCAGCTTGCGCTCTGGCACAACAAGGTGCATCTTGCCCCTTGCAATCTGACTGAGACCGCCAGCCTTATCCGCGGTCTTCAGGTTGAACATCGAGCTCTGACCGTCCGGCCCACCTTCTTGCTCCATGCCAATTTCCATGGGCGTTGTCATGTGCATCTGCATCCGCACAATTTCCTTCTGTTTGCGCTCATTCTCTTTCCGCCTATCCTTCTTCTTGCGAGTATTGTCCTTGTCCTGTAATTTCTGCATCTCTTCCTGAATCTGCATTTCCTCATCCATGGGCTCGATCTCTGCCACCTCCTCGCCTGCCGCCGCCTCCTCTGCCTTCTTCTTGCTTGAGAAACCGAAGATGTCCCGAACCTTCAGCCGCCATCTGAGTAGAATCCTGAACTCTTTCCTGCCCAACACCTTTAGGTCCGCACAGCAATTCCGTATTTCCTGTGTCGTTTCCGGTAGCTTATTCAACGTCGCCAACGCAATGTCTCCGTTGGGTTTCTGCTCGAAGCTCAGCTTGTTCAGGCTTCCAAGCATGGCGATTGGGTCGGTAGTCTGGATGAACTCGCTGGCAGGCGCCTCCTTGAACTGTATGTAGTCGCCCTCTTCGTAGCCGTCTCGCTTCCGCTTCTTCTTCTCTGGGTTGAAGACCTTGGCCTCATTGTTCGGGGTCGGGTCTGCGAGCTCGGCGAAGACGGATCGTGGATCCAAGAACTTAGGATCGATCCGCTTGGGCGCTTTGTAGCCGCGGCAGACTACGAAAATCTCGGCGGAGACGTTGCGGGAGGAAGGTGGCTTGGTGGCCTCGACCTTGGTGAAGAGCTGGTTGAAGACCCACAACAGGGAGTTGTAGTCCTTCGACCTGAAGACCTTGGTGACGAAGGTGCCGCCCTCTCTGAGAAATTCAGTGGCGAGTCGCATCGACTGCAGTACCAGCTCTGCCTGCGAGAAAGCGTCTTGTACCCAAGCTGTACCCACGTTCGGTGCACCGTCGTGCAACACAACGTCCGCCTTCCATGTCTTAAGGTGCTGTCGCAGCGTCGCGCGACACTTGTCGGTCGTAATGTCGCTCTGGAAGGTGATACATCTCGGTATGGGCTTGATCGGTGCTAAATCCACGCCCACGATGAGGCTGCTGGGGGGCATAACCTCGGCGGCGACTTGACACCATGATCCCGGCGCGGCGCACAAGTCTATTAGGACCTTGCTCTTCTCGAGAAAGTTATACTTCTTGTTCAGCTGGATCAGCTTGAAGGCGGCGCGGGCGCGGTAGCCCTTTTCTTTGGCAAGCTTGTACCATTTGTCGAGGCGGCCTTTGCCGTGCTGTATATGCTGTTAGTATTGACTTGGTCATGAGGAATTCAAACCTTACCTTCTTCTGAATTGCCATAGCGAATACTGCTCTGTGAATGTTCTGCGCCTTACGTTGCCTCTGCAGGGCCAAAATCTTGAAGTTTTCCTAAGGCGGGATGCCAGGCCGGCAAAAAGTATCTCCGCCGCCCACATCCCACCGCTTAACCGGAACCGCAACATCGGTCAGCCTTTCTCAAGATCTTCCGTCCTACGAATGGAAGGCACTGATTTCAGCGGGTACTGTAACACTCTGGGAGCCCAGTAGAGGCGAAGGCGGACCAGCCATGTTCGTAAAGAGGGTTTCGAAGGCTTTAATCATAAATTTAGGCAGACCTAGCACAAGGCATCTCAACCATGCCTGATGGAGCCAAGGATGGGCTATCAAGGATGCCTATGTAAAGAGAATGAAATATAAATACCTGTTCATCCAGAAATCCAATCGTCAGAAGTGTCATAACGATGATTGTCATTTTTCGCTGCTAACGCTGGCGATGCGATATTGTTCGTGACTGGTTAATCAAATGTAATTGTATAATACAATTGGAATCGTAGTCTAATGGCACCGAGAGGAAGTGATCCCGAGTTCGCGAATCCTGTCGGTGGGCAGGTCCCTGAACGGCCGCTCTTAATTGAAAACACTGGAGCCGGTCAATCTGCTAGAACTACATGTAGACTCCGATGTGGCAACAACTTGCAGCTTTTCCTAGCGCGAGGTCCTGTATCCTCCCGCAGTATTCTCAATACACCAGAACGTCCTCCTTTTTCGGACATGCAAGCTCCCAAGCATCCTCGTGCATCTGTTCAATCGCCATGCGCTGTGCTTCGCCAGCGTACCTGAGAATGAGCATGACGTTGAGAATCGACCAAGGCCTAGTCGGGAAGTGCTCTTCATCGTAGTGGAATTCCGGGGCGACGCCGCCACTTTCGCATCCTGAGAGGAGGACGAACGTGTATTCGTATGCTTGCGAGAGTAAGAAGATCAACTTGCCTGGCTCATGGAAAAGCACACCGCAGCGCACTGGCATGCTGCCTGCAGAGACCATGATCGCGCTGGTCAGCTTTACCGGAACGATGGGGACAGTGGGGGCTTCTGCTTGGAAGAGGAAGAGTCGGGCGTTGAAGACGGAGGCTCGGAATGATAGTACATGGATATCTTGAAAGACTTGCGGATCTATGGCCCACGGCGTGTGTTTTCGTCCTTCCACGCTACGCGTCGGCGTCTGAACGAGAGTAGAAAGATTGTAGAGTTCTGTAGCTAGTCGTGCTGGTGGCCGAGACAATTGGAAGCCCGGGTAGGCGGGCTTCTGCATGTATCCGCTCGGACCGATCCACCCAGCCTAGGGCCAACTAGGAAAGGACAAGTTTCGGGTAGGCAGTGATGACTGGGGAGCCCATAGCAGTGCATGGTCGATGTGTGCCTCAGGGAGTCCGCACAGGAAGGACCCTCCAAGTCTGCTCTGCAACGTAGATAGTAATCCCGCCACAGCTTTCATGGCATCCGTTTCGTAGGATAGCTGCCGATTCGTGAAGTCGCCTACGAGCCGTGCATATATCCTAAACGTCAACTCCCAAGGCGCAAGATGCTCGATCACTCTAGGGCCCGCGATCCATGATGTGTCTCTCAAGTAGTTGAGATGGGCGATGTCATTCTGTACATCACGCATCACTTCTCCTTCGAACTCGGAATAGAGGACTCCAATATCATAGATATATATCTGGTGCTCCGTGAAGTAGAGGCAGCGCTGTGAAAGAAGCTGCTCCTGGAAGGTCCACCCTCGCGTGTGGTATTTGCCGGTCCCTATCGCGTATAGGAACTCCGGAGACTCAGTCGCCAGTAGATATTCTCCGATTTGCTCGGTCACTTGAAAGGGAAGCCTGGTGTTGGGACGTACACCTGACAGACCGGAACTCGCATCGTTAGCGGCGGGCACAATCAGCGTTGCAAATGACCGGCCATAGACTCGATCCATCTGGTTGATCTGTTCATGCTTGATCCGCGCATCGTCCTGAACGGTATAGAGCGAATCGGTCCATAGAAATCACTCTCTTGCTTGGGCGACGAATTCAATGGTGTCGCGGATCACCAGTGCTATCTGAGATAGGTGCGGAAGGAGACCCCCGGGCTGCTCAAGACCAGCTAGATTAGAGCGCATGGTTTGGAACATTTCCACACCGCCCCAAACGTAGCTAAGAGCTATGTATCTGCAGGTCGGATGCGCTTTTACGAGGCGATAGTCATGAATGTCTAGAAGATACAGGTCCGTAGTCGCATTGGTGGGATGAGAGGTAGCAGAATCTTGATCTTGATCGTTATCCACGGTCTCGGGCATCTCTGCGGTAACACAATTGCTTGACTATCCACGCGCAGTATCCTATTTTATCTGCCTAGAGGTCTCGTTCCGAGGAGGGCTCTCATCACGCTCTGTGCGTTGTATGGAGCACTCCGCGTCGCTTCTTCGCAATCTAAAGATCGCTCCGAGTTCAAGCCGTGACATCTAGCGATATGATAGTAAGACGACTAGCCGGTACTTCGGTAGCTATCATGGACGGGAAGCCGGACCTCGAAAGTGCTGCCATATTACTGCAGAACTGGACCTGAAACCAGAAAGGAAAATATGATGCATTCTGAAGTTGCAATACCTCTTGCAATGAAACCACGCGGCCACCTCACACTCCCACTGCCAAGTATATCTTGTCACCTGGCGTGAGCAGCTACAGAACAGGAATATCGCTTACATATTCGTTACCGCCAGTCGCTGTTCCTCTCAGCAGTCAGACCTTGAAACTCACGCCCCTCGATGATAACATTGGCATCAACTCGATCGACTTTGGTGAGAAATCACCGGATTCGCCAAGCTTCGTGACGGTTTTCGGCAGTCAGTGGTAGACAAGTTTGCATAAGGAATAAGTGCTCCGCTCCACAATGTCTTCGACAGGGCCAAGATCCAAAAGCCGGCTACCCCTGGAGTGCCTCAGTGGGTATTGCATGATGTCCAGCTCCAGACAAGTCTCGCACAGCCTACTGTCTGCAAAGAATGCCCGAGTAAAACCTTTGCGATCCTCTATGGAGCAATCGCAGACCTCCCCTGCATCCTGTCGTCGTAAACTGACACTCTCCACACTTGTACCTTGGTCGCGGAATATCAGGAAGACCGCCTACTGCATCAATCAAGATATCTCGCGGGACTGTCCGCCACGGAGGATGCTCAGGTTGAACGGGTATTTACGTGTCGTGGTAACTTCGGCATATGAGCTCAGCCGCGGATTTCAGCTGTGAGGTCTGGAAGCTCTGCCAAGATAGAGGCGTAGTTATAGAAAACATTGAGGATCTTTAGTGGCCAGTGATACCGACTATGCGCAGAGAACCTGTGAGAGGCTTTACAGTGCCGACCTGGAGTCGTCCGTGAAGGGGAAATATGCCGGAAGGGCACCGAAATGCACTCCAGCTGCCGCTGGGGCAAGGCAATTGTCATTTCTTGAGAGCGGGCGCGACCTTACGTGTTCTGTAACCATTAAGCAGGTCAATAGATACCTTGCATATAGACAGTTCCGAGGTGAGGATATCGGAAGTGCAAAGATAGAAGAGCCCGCGCTTTCATATCACGTGGTTGAACGGGCATCGCGCCGCGCTCGACCCTTGACCACAGGAACAGGGCATCACGAGCCGGGGCCAATGACGACGGACAACAAACCCTCGGAAACCGGTCACGGCGAGACACAAAGCCTCAGATCCAACAACTTCCCGGCGTCCCCACTGTTGCTGCATGGATCCCCTGAAGCAATCAGCGACAGGAAGCGTAAGTTCAACATCTTCAGCCGATTGCAGTACCACATCTCTATGGGCCCGCGAAAGAAGTCCAAGTCCGACAACAAGGCGCCAGCCGCTGACACGACAGAGACGCCTACCGGTACTAACGGCAACAACGCTGCATCCTCCTCCAGCCCTCTCGAGCCCAGCGCGCAAGTAAAGTCTGCGGATCTTTCAGAAACAGCGCCCAGAAAGATAAGGCGATCGGACACCGGCAACAGCACCAAGACAACAAAAGCACAGGACAGCGCATCGGGAACCTCGAGCTGGTATGGCGGTAGCTGGCGATCGAAAGCCTCGCCTGTCGCGCAGGTGACACGGGAGAGCATATCGTCGGGGGAAGGCAGCCGGCCCAAGAGTTCCGCTGGAGCGGCCGGGCCCAAACCGCCTCCTCCCACGCGGTACTTATCAAGCAGCAAGAGGAGGGCAAGCAAAGGCAGCTTGATCGCGCCTTCTATGACCAAGTTGCATGTCACTTCAAGCAGCTCCACCGGCCTGAAGACGGAAGCGGAGGAAGATGCGGCGCAGGACAGGGATTTTAAGGAGGGGCAGCTGGATCCTCCGCTACCACCAGACCCCTTGAAGACACAAGACGGAGCGGCTGATGCTGAGACTAAGTCGGATCTGCAGGAGCCTAGCAGAGCGCCTGCTGTGACCTCGTACTGGCGAGGCTGGTGGTCAAAGCCTGACGCAGATGCTACTGAGACCACTAAGAGCAAGGATGCTGCAAAGGATACGTTTGCGGAAGAAGCCCGAAGGACGCCGTTACCTAGTTCCACGGCCGTTGAAGACACTGTGCTGAAGTCAAAGGCCGCTAAACCTGTTAGCGCGGACCCTGCGGTCGCAAAATCTCAGCTAGCAAACGGCGACGTCAAGCCCTCAGCGCCGGAAACACAAGACGAGAGCAAGGACAAAGGCTCGCAGGGCAGATCGTGGTTCTGGTTGTGGAGTAGCGCAGAAAATGCTAAGAGCAACCCTCCGAGTACAGAGGAGCAGCAACCTCAAGAGGCAGCCAGCATTGCAGAGACACCGGCGCCAGCAAAGGACGTTCCAAGCGTAGTAGAGCCGCCGCAGGTACAGCCTCCGGCAGAAGATGCATCAATGTCAAGCAAGTCGGCTGCGGAGGAACCTCGAAAGTCCTCAGCCTGGGCGTTCTGGTCGCGAGAGAAGCCAGACAGCGACACAGCCTCCGATACCGCATCAACACACAAACAGATCGGCGAGCTTGCAGTAGCCGACACACCGTCTCAGTCACATCCTGAAGCAGCTCAGTTCAATGAGCGCGAGGAATCTCCCCAGAAAGCCCCTCCCAAGATCCGCGGCCGCAAACTCTCCAAGCAACTAACAAGCAAACCCTCTACCCCCGCTAAAACCTCCCCTACCGACAGTCCTGCCCTCAAGCCCGCAGATCAGCAGGCGCCAATTAAAGAGACGCAAACCACCAAACCTGCTGTCCCACTCAAGCCCCCGCAACCTAATCTTCTCCTCCCCAACTTCTACGAAACATATCGTCCCGCCAGCCCAACGTCGTACTGGCAATCCTTCCGCCGCTACTTCGCCGCCAACAAAGAACCCGACTCTCCCCACCTCCACATCCACCCGTCTCCTCCGCGGGTAAAGAAAGCCCTCGCCATCGGCGTCCACGGCTATTTCCCCGCGCCCCTTATCCAGAAGGTGTTGGGTCAGCCGACCGGCACCTCGATCCGCTTTGCGAACTCCGCAGCCGCGGCCATCAAGAAATGGACGGAGGAGAAAGGCTATGAAGCCGAGATCGAGAAAGTAGCGCTCGAAGGCGAGGGCTTCGTCGCCGAGCGTGTCGACCTCCTATGGAAGCTCCTCCTGAACTGGATCGAGAAGATCCGGCAGGCGGACTTCGTGCTCGTGGCTTGCCACTCCCAGGGCGTACCGGTCGCGATCATGCTTGTCGCGAAGCTGGTCCAGTTTGGGTGTTTACCGGCTGGCACGAGAGTGGGTGTGTGTGCCATGGCGGGCGTCAACATGGGGCCGTTTCCAGAGCTCAAGATTCGGTTTCTGGGCGCGACGGCGCAGGAGCTGTTTGAGTTTGGGCGGGCGGACAGTGCGGTCAGTAAGATGTATAGGGCGGCGCTGGAGACGGTGCTGGGAGCTGGCGTCAGGATCGTTTATACGGGGAGTATTGACGACCAGCTCGTTTCGCTTGAGGTGAGTGTTCCTTAGATCCTCACCGCCACACACCCAGCTTGGTCGCCCCTCATCCTCTTGTCCGTACTCAGTCCGCTGGCCTGACTGGAACGTGTTCCTTTTCTCTCATAGACGCCTTGACTGACCTTCTAACCACAGTCCTCCACCTTCACACCTCTGACCCATCCCTCAATCTACCGCGCCGTCTTCGTCGACGGCCGCCTCCACACCTCCTCCTTCCTAACAACCCTGATCGGCTTCGTCCTCAAGCTTCGCAACCTTGGCCTCCCTGACCACGGCGTGGTCCGCGAGCTCTCCCCCGCGCTCGCCGGGAGCCTCTACACCGGGGAAGGCCACTCGCGCATCTATGACGACCCTGCAGTCTATCAGCTCGCTGTGCGCTTCGCGCTGGAGACGCTGGAAACGGCGGACATGATGAAGGGGGTTAAGGTTGAGCTGGAGTATACGACGGAGGAGGGGAATGGGAACGGGGCAGGTGCGGTGGTGCCGGGGAGCAATCCGTATTTTTTGCCATGGGCAGTGAGGGGGCTGCTTGAGGAGGAGTATGTGAAGAGGGAGATGGGGAAGGAGGTTGAGGAGTTGTTGGGGCTGTTTGAGGAGTGGAGGCCGGCCAGTAAGGGATTGAAGGATGTGAGGTTTAGGCTTGAGGCGGTGAGGAGTAAGCTCTAGGGTTGTTGCTGTTAATGTGGCTACTTGGGGGCGCTTGGATTTGGTGCGGGAGTTATTTAGCAGGCTTAGCGAGCGCGTTGGTTGGAGTCTGAAGGGGTTTGAAAGGACAACGGGGTAGTTTTGGCGTTATAATGTTTGTGGCGCTTCTTGCTGTTGTGTCATGCCTAGAGGTAGACAGACTAGACACGTTAGGGGAGCCGTCTGTTTCCTCTTCGCCCAGGACCTTCAGTGGCGTTTCAGAAGTACCATACAGCCATACCCAGTGCTTCCTCTTGACTCCCGGACGCCGCCCTTTACTTGAATCTAGCCCTTCACAGAACTATTCCCTACTCCTTGCAACAGCCTCCTGAACCTCCCTTTTGACTAATCTTCCTTCGGATAAAAGATCTCATGATACCGGTGCGTGGCATCCACAACCGCTTCCGCCGCCGCAAAGTCTAGGAGTCGTAGTCAGCGAGCCGTGCTTGCCATCTGCTATTGACATTGAATGTGAAGCCACTTCTTCCACACTTGGGAGGCAACACAGCAGTTTCCTGTCTACCAGATACGGAACCAGAGGACAAGCGGCTAGAAACGACGAAACTAAGAAGGGAAACTAATACCTATGTTGGCGCCAAAGTCAGTGCTTGTCAGCACCCGCACGCTGAGGTCGCTCTGGACTTTTCCGATTATCTCGACGGCGTGGTTCGGGGTGAGATGGGCGTCCTAAGGTATGATCAGTTAGCATGGTAGCGAGTGAGCAAAATGAAAATATTATAGTATAAGCCGGTCACTGGTCTCACACCAAGATCACTACTTAGCTAAAGTCCAGCGGGAACGATGAAGATTTTGATTTGGTGTATAGACAACGTCATCAAGTGCTTGGAAACTAGTACTCACGCGGTTCAGATGGATATTGATCTGGCCGCCAGCATCGATCGTGGCCTGCTCTCCGCGCAGCTGGATTACTTTGCCTAGAATGCGGACGGTCTTGTGGGCGAAGCCCTCGAGATATGGCGCCGTGACGCGAGGAGTGACTTCTTGCATCGTGACAGACTTTTTGTAGGTACAAGACGTGTTTCTCTGGTGGCGAATGTGCTCTTGCTGGCGTGCCGGTTTGTAGCAGCGGTGGGAGAAAAACCGTGGCAGAGACGCGATGCGCTCAACGCGAGATCACGTGTTGCCAAGAGCACAAATACACATCTCCAAACCGTCGACATGCCGCTCGGTAGAACGTTTAACCCCTCACTGCAACTCAATTTGCTGTCATGCACGGTAATAGTGGGTAGAACTGCTTTCAGCAATCGAGTCGAGCCGACATCCCTTATGCGGAAGTTTTATCTGGAACCGTTGGCGGCTACTCATTGACTGGTCCATTAATGCTTAGATGATGCTCCAGCCCGAGATCAAGACTCTTTCAAGCGGCCCCCCGGGAAAAATTGCCCCCTATGCAACTCGTCCGGGGTAACAGGTAAGTGAGCCACTTCTACGGCGAAGGGGCAACGATCTATCGAAGAGTGTTTTACCTGCCGCTTGTTCCTGAGTGATTTTCCCATGTTGCCGCCCCACAAATTCCCCACAATGCGGAGGATGGAGAAGACTCCACTCATAGGATCTGCCAGAATTGATATAAACACGCATGTGTGTAGTGTAGGTGAGACGGATGTCAGTGAGATTTACCTCTTAGGACGCTAGAGTTGCACGGGTAAGTGCTTTCAATTCATGCTTGTACATTTCTATTGCTTCAATGCTCTAAAGAAACCGTCGTGGCTATAGCTGAGTTGTATATGACTTAGCGGACTCTTTGGGTCTCCCTGACGAGATGCTGACTTCGGGTTGTAGATTGAGGTGCAAAATGAAGCTCGCTCAGATCATACTGTTCCTAAGCTTCCACGCCATAAGTGCATTGGCTTTCGAATGCACAGCATCCGCGTTCGACACCATACTCCCCAGCAACGCCAGCACGCTGTATGCAATACCTGTTCCTGCTAATGGGACGTTTGGAGAGGGTCCATCGAACGTCGCCTACCCGAGAAATGCCACAAACCTGCCAGCCTTGTGCGCTGTCTCGGTCAATGTGACCTCTTCGGCTACTTCGTCGTTCACCTTCGGTCTGTTCCTACCAAATGATTGGAACGGACGCTTTCTAGCCGTTGGCAACGGCGGCTTCCTCGGCGGCATCAACTGGCTTGAACTGGGTAGTTCAGTCCGTTATGGGTTCGCCGTGATGTCCACGAATACGGGGCACAACTCGACCAACTCGAATAGCACCTGGGCCTTGAATAATCCCGAAGCAGAGATCGACTGGAGCTATCGTGCCATGCATGGCTCGATTCTGATCGCGAAGGATATAGTCAGTGCATTCTACAGCAACGCGATCGAGTACTCGTACTACTCCGGCTGCTCGACTGGCGGTTATCAGGGTCTTAATGAGGTCCAGGACTACCCCGAAGACTTCGACGGTGTTCTGGTTGGCGCTCCAGCTTGGTGGCACTCTCACCTCCAGACCTGGTCAATCAAAGTTGGCATCTACAACTTGCCAAACACAAGCGCGCATCATATTCCCTCCGCTCTCTTTCCCGTCATCGGTGCCGAAGTCATACGGCAATGCGACGAGACTGACGGTGTTGCGGACGGCATTATCAGCGAGCCTCGTGCGTGCAGTTTCTACCCAGAAGCGCTGCTTTGCACGCCGAGTACGACTAATCGCAGTGCGTGCCTCACGTCTCCTCAAATCGACACCTTGAACAAGATCTACGCCGACTACGTCGAGACAAATCAAACCTTCATCTTTCCAGGCCTTGAATTAGGCTCTGAATCGCAGTGGAATCTAGTCGCTCAGTCCGTTCCTGACGCATTCAGCATCGGCTACGTACAGAACCTTGTCTACGACGATCCGACATGGCAATGGTGGAACTTCAGCTTGCAGACGATCCAGGACGCCGAGCGCATCAACGGTCCCATCGCTGATGCGGACAAATTCGACATCTCGCCGTTCCAAGCACGTGGCGGGAAGCTCTTACAGTATCACGGCTACGCTGACGGTTTCATCCAGCCGGGAAGCTCGAAGTATTACTACGACCACGTGGTGAGGACCTTGGCCCCAATGGGCATCGATGTTACGGATTTCTTCCGCTTCTTTCTGGTGCCGGGGATGCGCCATTGCAGCGGCACCGTCGTCGGCGCGCCATGGTACATTGCGGGATCGGGGCAGGCAAACAGCCTGTACTCGAGTTCGCCGGTTCGCTCCGTGCCGGGTTACGAAGATGCGGACCATGACGCGTTATTGGCGTTGATGAGATGGGTGGAAGACGGGACAGCGCCCGAAGAGATTATTGCGACCTACTACGAGAACAACACGGTAAGTGAAGGAGTTGTCAGGCAGAGGCCATTGTGCCCGTATCCGGGACGGGCTGTGTACTGCGGTGAGGGCAGTGTCGATGAGCCTGGAAGCTGGAGATGCGAGGCAGTGTAGCCATGATGGACAACGCAGAGCGCCGCCGCAAGGCGTCGGTTGGAATGAGTTTCAACCGATGACTGCTTGCGCGATACGCTCTACCCTCTATACAAGCGTGCTTCTATCTCAAGTAGGTTGGGACTTATATCCATAAAGGCCCAGCCTCTGCAGTTGCACACATGACTCTTCGAATGTCTGGCGCTATATATTCCAGGCCTGCTAGCGTTTGGCAAGTGTTCGTACAACCCCGTAGTGCATCCCTGGGGAACGGATCAACGGAAGGCCACGGCCTTGGAATCCATGGTTCGTACTGCGACACCGGATCCATCACCGGCGGTGGTGCGTTCGATCTTGATGCTCCTGCGACTCGGATCGATACCGAAACCGCATCTCAGGGTCTGGTACACATCTAGGCCCTCAACGCTCCCAAGTTTGAACGCTCTATGTTCCTGGCACAGCGCCTGTGGATAGAGCCTTACGGCGCACCACGTAAGCATCCTCGTAGCCATTGCGAGGGGATGAGAACCAGGAGCAGATAGCCTGACGCTTCGAAGGTCGCTGTTTGAACCCGGCGCCTGCCCCGTTCAACCCCAGAATCAACACGGTAGTTCCTCGGAGCACGCCTTGAAGCCTGAAGATATCAAGCACGATGGACTTGCAACCGACTAACCTGGAAACTAATCTTATGAGGGATAGGCTTACTTCTCGGCCACTCCACCGTCAGTGTTTCCACGAACTTTTGTGCATAACATTGGCGGTACTCAGCAGCCCGGCCAGGCTGCGGACGTGGAAGTGCGCTTGTTGAGATACGCAGTGCAGGAACAGTTCTTGGTGGAGGTACGTACTCCTTGACCCATGCTGTGTGCGAAAAGCATCACGCGCTACCCCGGTTTTGCGCATGCAGCCCGCTTCGATTTCGGGTGAGGATGTGGCTTCAAGCCAACGCAACTGGCAGCCAGTCAGACACAGCATTGAGTGTTCATCTTGCGCCGGGCGGATAGCAGACGCAAGGGCCTTCCGGTATTACGAAAGCCATGGAGCGGGGATACGCCCTTATGACTTCATGAGACAGCTGAAGTACCTGTACGAGATCAGTACGGGTCTTCAATATCTTCACCGTTGCACGATCCCGTATCGTGCAATGTCAGGTTGGACCCAAAAAGGGGGAACTGGGGTAGGGCAAAAGAGCCCACCGGCGACCCTACCTGGCGTGCACGGATTAGCACCATCCAGAAACCTGTCAGCTGAGCTGGACTTGCAAAACCAGACCTGGTGTACCGCTTCTTCTCACTACCTAAACTTCCACAACTTCGGGAGTGGGAAGAACGAGGATCGGCAGCCATGGCAAGTACCGGACATAGGGTAATTGCCGTTCAGCGCGGACACGGTGGCAGGCCCCTTTCACGCTTCCTGACCGCCCGCCTCAACTTTGCTGCACTTTCTCTTGAGTCTATCTCGGATTGAGCCTGCATCTGCCTCTCCACCCACTTTTCCGGAGGGCTGATTGCGACAGCAGAGCACGAGCACCGGCTAGAGTTAAGCTTGATGACCTTACCGCAACGACCGCTGCAGCCCAGTTGACTGACCCTCTGGCACACGAATACAAACCGGAGGGGTGGGGGAAAGGGAGGCGCTAAGTGCAGGGAGTTTAGCTCATGCCATTGGCCGTGGCAGGTGTATCCCCGCATAAAGGAATGGTGTTTTGTGGACTCGCTAGGCGAAATCTGGGGATCTTGCCTTTCGGTTTCCCTTGGTCCTATCCTGCAGATCCATCATCACTCTTGCGCTTGAGAAGCTCGACTATTGTAAATACACCTTGCCACCCCTCCCCACCTATCTCATGTCCTTTCTGCCGTCTATTGAACGTATTGAGCTACCATAGCAAAGCAAACGACTCGACATTGACCACAATTACGCGTATTACGGCTGCAGACCTTGATTACGTGCACCCCCTCTGCATTGAATCTCTGCAGAGACTTTACTGCCTCGGCACCCTTGCGCACCACTGTTTTGCGCCCATCTTCCCCCAACACACAATCGAAAGAACAAGAGGGTGCTTCTGCGAATTGTCCGCTGGGTATTAACGTATCTTTCGTACGGCGCGTCCGCCAACCACCGCCTAGATGCCGGGTATACTTCCAATGAAGGTAATCAAGGTGGGCAATGCAATGAACGGGACAACTAGAATCGCGCAGGCTTGCGATCGGTAGGTCCACTTCGATCTTTTGCTTTCTCCGAGGCTATCCGAAGCTCTTTTGCGTGAATTTCGGGCGTCGTTCCTATGGGCAAGCTCGTGCTGATTTGAAACAGGTGCCGGTCCAAGAAAATAAGATGTGACGGTGTAAGACCGAGCTGCACACAATGCGTCAATGTTGGCTTCGAATGCAAAACGAGCGACAAACTAAGTCGAAGAGCGTTTCCCCGGGGCTACACAGAGTCGTTGGAAGAGAGGGTTCGGTGCCTCGAGGCCGAGGTCAGGGACTTGAAAGACCTGCTAGACGAGAAAGATGAGAAGATAGACATGTTGTCCAGGATACATTCGCACTCGCCGCAGTCTCTAAACACTCCCCGGAGACCGAGCGCCGTATCGCTAGTACCAGTCCCCGAGCAGAGGGAGGAGCAGGTTGATAAGGACGACGTCTTCAAGGTTCAGCAGCCTCCTTTGTTGTTGGACGACGAGGAGTCCAATGCATGCTTCATGGGCGCCTCTAGCGGACGACATATGATCGGTATGTCCGCCGTATCATGTTCACTTTACATTGCTGACGTTCCCAGATTCTTACAGACTCAGGCTACAAGAAGCCGGCAAGGCTTACGCGGACATCAGTTCCGAAGCGTTCCTCGGCGCAGAGTCTCACGCTTCATGCCACAGTCTGGTTACTTCATGCCGATCGCCTCCACGCATAGTTTCAGATCAGATGATCAACATCTTCTTCCAGGAGTGGGCACCACTCTTTCCGGTTCTGCACCGTCCAGCTGTCCTTCAGCTATACGGCGAGTACATTTCCGATCCAGAAGCAGTCCAGGACAAGAAATCTATCGCACAGCTGAATCTTGTTTTCGGGATTGCTGCGCTCTCAAGCGATGTAAGGCCTCCTTGAACCTGGCATTCGTACCAGGTCGTACTAACTAAGAACAGTCCTACGATTTGCAACAGCTCGCATCGTTTGAAGCTCAATGGCAAGAAGCGCTCGAGTCGTGCCTAATGGACAGCTCTTTGGCCACTTTACAATGCCTTGTTCTAGCGCAGATTTACTGCCTGCAGAGGTCCGACCACGCACGACTGCTCAAGTACAAGGGCATCGCAGTCGGCTTGTCGTACCGCCTTGGTCTTCATCAGCCCCAGAAGTGCTTTGCGCTGGACACGCTCACTAGCGAGACAAGGAAGAAAGTGTTTTGGACTCTGTATACTCTTGACTGGTACGTTCATTTTATCTCGTCGCACTTACAGCCCACTGACCCTGCGCTAGCTTCTCTGCCGCTCAGCTCGGCATGCCGAAGCTCATGAAAGAAGAAGATGTTCACTGCGAATTCCCGGTCGATACTGACGACGAATACATCACCGAAAACGGGTTTCTCTCAACCCTTCCCGGGGAGTTTACAAAAGTGTCGAGCGCTCTCGCTCTTTTCCGTGTGTCGCGAATTCTTGCCAAGGTCTTGAACGATAACTACACTTCTTCAGCGTCGCATACAATATCATTCCGCGGGATGGCCGCTCTTGTCGATGAGCTGGATAACTGGCAGGTCAACCTTCCTCAGCATCTGAAGCTACAGTTTGCCCAAGACAGACCGAGCACCAATGTTACAGGCAGTCGCTCGCCAATTCTTGTAGGTGATTAAATTATTCTCTGTGGATAGCACTAACAAAGCGTAGTCTTTAACTTACCACTACATCCGGTCCTTGATCTACCGCCCAGCTGTTTGCGCTGGACTGGGCAACCGAGCTTCTTCTGCAGTCGTCGCCATTGCTGGATCGTCCAAGTCTGTCATTCAGATCATCCAGCTCCTAGAGGAAAGAAGTCTCTGCTTCTCCATGTGCATGAACAAGCACGAGCTACTGGTCCTGTCGGCTTTCGGTCTCCTGTTCCAGAATCTTGACCTGGACCCCGAAGGCCGCCTGATCAAAGAAAACCAACGAATGGTATCGACCATCGCGGACATCATCGAGCGCTCCAGCCCCCGCCTAGCGAGTGAAGTCCGAAGCGTGAGCTTTGCAAGAGGTCCAGCCCCTCGCCCCGAGGCCCTCGCCCGTCCGCAACTGTCCCGCCACAACTCAGAAGGGAGTATGCTAGCGCCCCTCAAGTCGTTCAGAGAAACGTCTAAACAACTCAAAGCCATCGCCTCCCGCTTCTCGCCCTCCAAGCACAACCGGCACGAGTCCCACGACCCGAAAGACCAACGCCGAGCCACCGTAGCCAGCATCCCCATCCACAGCAACCATAGCAACCAAAGCCATACCAGCCTCAACTCGACTCGCTCCGAGCCAGCCACCCAAGCCCGCTCCGAGCCGACCATGAGCCCCGTTGCCAAGCGCTCGACTGTGCCCGCAACAGCGATCAGGCGACCCCCCACCGCCGCCGCCGCCCGTCACACTCCGAACCTCGACTACCTCTCCTTCGGCCCCGATCCCGTACCCGCCTACTCCTGCTACCCTACCACGACCCACGCCTCGAAAATCGAAGTTTCCTCCACCGATTGGGAACGCCTCCTCAGCAGCCTCGAGAACGGCCAAACAAACATCTACGACGGCATCTACGGCGGCCCGCCCGTCGAAGCGCTGCTAGATGCGCCGGCGCTCTCGGCCGCGGCGCCGGACGCGACGTTCGACTGGTCGCATGGCGTGTGGGGCTTTGCTGCGCCGCCGGAGTACCACCAGCCGCCGCCGCAGAGCGTGCTGAGTTTTTCGGATGAGAGTTTGACGAGTGGGGGCGCGGAGTATGATTCGAATTATGAGCTGGGCAGCGCGGCGAGTAGTGTGAATAATTCGGAGACGTATCGGGGGATCCTGATTCCGGAATTGAGTCCTTGTGGGAGTAGCATTGGGTTGGGAGGGTTAGATGGGAACTTTGGGCTTTAGATGGCGAGATGCGGGTAGTGGTGTTTACTGGGTGCGACGGTTGGTGTTGCTGTTGACGGGGCTTGCTGCTGTTGCTGTTCATACCCCTTGCCTGTTTTCCCTTGTCTTTTGTCTCTTCTGGCCAGGTGAGGACGATGGGGATCTCGCCGGGAGCCTCCCGATATGCGGCGTATTAGCGTCGTGGTTGGTTTTTATGATGGAAAACCGATCTCCTGAGCGGGTCAAGGAGTGGAACTGATGTGATGGATGTTTTCGTCGTTCCTGTTGGTTGATACCAGACGCTGGAGCCTCTTGCTCGCTCGTGTCACCGATTTGTTTTCCTCTTATTCTCTCAGGGGCTTCGGCGGTATTTTTTCCTCTCGCGCCTGCATCGTTGTGCCAGGCTTCACATTTACCCTTAGTCACGTAACGTTTACAAGAATGATCGTATAATGAGCCGTGTGTTTCTTGACTGGGAGCATCAACATAGGAAGGTGAGAGTTGCAGAGGAATGCAAGTCACAGCTTGGTTGATATGCAAATCATGGTGAGTTTATATTTACGGACTATTTTTTCCGAAGTGACGGCAAACGGAAAAGGAAAGCCGCCCTGGTACGACCGGACTACGGCTTACCCGATCGGGAACTCCCGCGCACATAGGAAAAGGACAAGCGCAGGGGTATGGTGTAGGAATATGTCAGCGTGTTTGCTGGTCTGATGGGATCACTTCGTCACAAGCCGAGGCGTTTACAGACGCTCACTGATTCATTCGAATGGAAGCCGGCATCGCGGTATCATATATCGTGCTTGTGCATCAGTGCGCATGTTCAACCGGGGGTTGAGGGGCTGGGTTTAAGCCTACTTGAACTACATGCAAGGGAGCCAGACAAGAATTAATCAAGCTGAAAGTGGCTTCTACTGCCAGCTCTTGACTGCCTGCTGAGCTTAGATAGAATCCCTAACAGTTTCATCAGATTCAGCCCTGGCCAACTTAATGGGCGACAGGGCCGCCGCACTAACCGCCCGATCACTTGCGACAACCTTCTTTTCCCTAGTCTCGAAGGGCCTGGCCTGAGGCGCATCTAGGTTGCCGGGTGGTAACGTGTTTGCGACTGCATGGTGCCCCAACGCGAGTCCGAAGAGCTGAAGCGGGATTTCGCTCAACTAGAAGTGAGATCCGGCCAGACTACGGACAGTTTGGCGGGTTTGCTGCTTCCGGTTGGCTCCGATACGGATCCTCTCATCCGCATCTCAAGTTATGTAGCTGATATCACGTGCTTCCTTCGGTCGACCGGCTCAGTACAGATGTGGACACATGACGGCGCGCCTGATTCAATGTCCCTACAACACTCCTGGTGATATCAATCTTCGCCCTCCGCTAAGCTTTTGTGTTAGCGCTGAAAACTGTCGTTCAGGTAGTCGACGAAAAGGTCCTTGATCCTGCTCTTCGATAGCGAATGTTGGCGGTTCAGACTGATAAATGCTCGCCTCAGTCGCTGCAGCTGCGGTAGCGTGGTTGGCGATGCTGGTAATTCGACTACTTTCTCAATCTCGGGAATTGTGACCTCGCCGCCGCCTTCGCCTGGATGGTCCTTTTGCCATGCCATTATCTGGGTGAGGATGTCTGACGTGGTCTTGTCGAGCTCGTAGAGGTAGTTTTGCTCCGTGGCTGGCTTCTACGGAAGAATGACACATTAGCACGCTCCTCTAATACAAGGATTCTGTACGTGTATCGAAGTAGATCCACGAAAGCCTGGAGTTCTCGCAACATACCAACACCGTAGCTTGGTTCGGCCTGACGACCTTCGCTTTACCGTCACTGCCCACCATCGCATCCCAGATCTGCTCAAAGGGCGGCGTCTCGTCGTCGTAAAGGACCGTGAATAGCGGGCTGTCCCAACGAGTCATGCCGTTCGGCTCCTCGTACCTGAAAACGAGGTTCTCGAAGTCTTCCTCGCTATACCCCCCGTCTTTCTGGCTATCGGCTAGGAGCTCTTTGTTGATTTCGCGGCATTTTTCTGCAGGCGTTCCTACGTGCACCTCTGGGCCCGTCAGCGCGGTCCCGTTGTGGCAGCCGAGCGAAGCTCTCTTACTACGCAGCTAGGCGTCTGTACTGCCTTCGCTTCGCAATACAGCTGGTACCGGAAGCCCTTGATGTAGTTCAAACCGTCCGCTATAACAATGTCGTCCCGAGTCAGGAACCGCTTTACGGCGGAAGACTCGGCCGCGCGAGCATCTTTCTCCGCGCGTGCTGTGTGGTAGACATCGCGCGACAAGCCGAGTGTTTGACTGTTGATGTGATGGACCTTGAGGCGCTGGGTGCGTGGGTCTGAGGAGCTGCGGGTCTTCTCGTTGAAGAAGGCCTCGAGTTGCGATGCTCTATGAGTCTTGCCGGAGGACGGGTATCCAGAGATTATGATGAGCTAAGGTAGGGATACCAGCAGTCAGTATGGGAATGGGAATCTGCATAAGAGGCTCACAGGAAACTCACTGGCATGCTTCCGATCGAACCACCTTAATCGTTATGGGAAACTCGAAAGCACGTCACATCAATTATCACAACACCTCTCGCTTCTCCACAATCTCTTTGATCTGGCCTCGGTCCGCCAACTGAGCCAATCAGTGCTCTCCTCGGCGCATCCGAAAACGTATCTGCCGACATCTCTGGGGAAACATTGGGAAAACCGGCCGCGCTTCTGTCCGCCATCACACCCACTTGAGCCTAGCAGCCAGCCGAGGAGAGAGATCCTTCCAGCTTCATTCGATGCCGCTGCCTCGGTGACGCATAGCGGGACGAAAAGCGCTCCTTCGTTCTTTGAACCGTCTCCTGCCGTGCGCCTCGCGAGCAAGGCAGCACATGAAGCGGACCCCCCAGGCGGATATCTACCTCCTAACAGCCTCGAAACGATATCGCTCCACACTCCAGAACCTCTGCTCCTGTCTCTCTACACCTCTTCTTCCGGAACGCTCCAGCAAAGTACTCCTACAAGACCGCACATCGGGCCCAACCGGAAGCCCCTCCGACCGCGCCCACACCACCATCGCCCCATCTCGCCCTCCCCGTGATGGACTCGCCGCGCGGGCCGCAGTACAACAGCGCTCCCTTCAACCGACCGACCCTCTACCGCCCCGCCCCATCCTCTTACCAGTCCTCCCCGATCTCATCCACAAGCTCAACCTACCAGAGCTCGAGCAGCCTCTCCTCCCTCTCCCTCCCACCCGCCATGTCACCCGCGCCCGCGCCCGCGCCCCCGCAAACCACCGCCGCACACTCGCGCCAGACGTCCACTGCGCCGCTGCCGAGCCCGACCGCGCAGGCGGCGGGCGCGCCGCAGTATTTCGGGTCGCTAAATCCGCAGATGCCGGCGCAGGCGCAGTCAAGGCCACAGGGCCAAAGGCAGCAGAGCTACGAGTACAGGCCTGATAGGACGGGCGCGGGAACGACGGCGCAGGAGACGGCGAACCTGCTCAATTACAACGCGTTGGTGGCGGAGGCGGCGAAGAGGGCGCAGATGGCGGTGCTAATGAGGGATATGGGGGAGATGGAGATGTAAGAGAGGAGACATGGGGTCAAGAGGGGCTCTCGGGGTCTGGGTGGATGTCCGAAGGGTCGGCGCTAGGGTCCAGCATTGCCTGAGATCGCGCACATGGAAGGATCCTGGCGGTTCGGATAGGGGCGGTCATGATCGTTAAGGACGACGCTTTGGGACCAGATATCCGGGACAAGACATTTTTCTCATCTGGATTAGTACGAAATGGGACCAATCGATGGAGCTGGACTGTGGTTGGTCTCTTGGGGACAGCATAGCACGCATAGACGGATTTCGATAGAACCCTGGGTGGAATGGAGGTATAGGGGTTTGGGCATCAAGAAGGGAATCGCATGGGCACCGGCGTTGATATATACGGCGGACTTAATACTTCGCAGCGTTACTATTCATGGTTCGCTTCCCTTTTCATCAAACTATTTCGCTGTTGTCGCGGGTAGCGCGTTTCTCTGGGAGCACTTCTTGTGATGCATTTTGCAATCTACACCTATTTCTACTACGTCCGTCAAATCGTTGATTATTTAAGAATTCCTACTCATACCCCACTGTGTCATTCGAGTTTAACCGCGTAGTAATACCCCTTACGAATCAAAGTACAGAAACGACTTGCGTTCTACACTACTTTCTCTTGACCTATATCACCTGGTCGCGTCCGATGAGAAGTATGCATGGTGGCTTTCTGTCTTACAAACAATGTTCTGAATCACTCACTGGCTCGAAATGCTGAGAAGTCGTGGTAGACGCGTTTCTCACCACTCAGCCCTTGCTCCGGCAGCCTAATATACCTTGGCGCCATCTGCAGGCCACCTATCGCGTGCGACCAGGTGGTGTACGGGAAGGCTGGGTGCCAAGCGAGACCGATAAGAGAGCTGTTGCGGATAATGCTGTTGACGACCTCAAGAGGTTCAAGCAGAGCCGCAAGAGTGTCCATCTTTTGATCTTGTGGTCTCTAAGATCGGAAGGCTGCTCCATCCCTCAGCCGATTGCGTCACGAGCATGGAATCATGCTATGAAACCTTTGGCTGTCCGACGTGCGTCTATCCGCTTCCGGGTGGAATGAGGGGGTTTTGTACCATAAAACCTACCCTGAGGCCGCGTGTACGGTCGGCAAACTGCACGCAACTCTGGGTAGCTACCCTTATACCGCAGCATGCGCCATAGATATGGTTGGTCAGAGTTTTTAAGGCTGCCAATCGAGAAGCCTGCCGCAAGGCTGAAAGCACCTTGGGGGTCGATTTTGCGGCCGCAGACGGGCGTTCTGCACATCGGAGAGCGGAACACCGGGCCGGAGCCTTAGCAGGTGTGCTATGGGCCGAGCTGGTACAAGCAAGCCGTGGCGCGTCTTTTAGATTGTTTTGAGGGATTAATGAGCGTGAGCCGCTCATAAGTCTAATGCTAGCAGGTTGATAGTACGAGCGAGAGTGTGAATAATCATCGAGAAAAAGCCGAAGAGCCGCATATCTTGGCGTCGACGGAGCGGGTTCGACCTCCGATTCGCCAATATCTTCTCATTTTGAGCCTCATTCCATCCTGTCTCTGTTGCCCCGACAGCTTTCGGCCCCTTGCATCCTTCCGCACCTGTTATCTAGTACGATCTGAAATTGGCCGTGTGATCGACCACGGAGCGACTAGGTTGTGCTAGCCACGTATGAGCGGATATTGTGCAATAACGCGAACATCAGCGTCAGCCCGGCCAAGCAAGAGCCTCGACAGAAGTCAATCTCAAAATACGGCTCTAAGCCTCATTGCTACCTTAGAAGCCAAATATGTCCTTCAGGCTGCTCCGAGAGGGAGGCACCTTTTCAGAATTATCCAAGTCATGACTCAAGATCGTGGATTCTCAATAGCTTGGCTAACAATCCACTCTTTCCTCCTTTGTAACTGAGTAATGCTGTCGTTTCACCCTCCTGTTCGCAGAACTGCAATTGTCTCCTGTCATTCTCATTTCTTGGTTGATTTGATACGCCGTTACGATAGAGCGCTGCTCCTTACCCGGAAATTGAAAAAGTGGCCAAACTCAAGGGTCGATGCTATGTCACCAAATCTCGATAGTCTGCCATTTGACCTCATCTTCGAGACAGCAAACTACCTCAGCTTGGAGGACGTTATTCATCTTAGCCGCACGTGCAAGCAACTCGGGTCTGTACTGGAAGCGGAGACGTTATGTCGCCGAACGGTGGAGGTTCGTGCCACTCTAAGAAAGAAACCTCACGGCCAGAGCATAGCTAATACAGGCATATCCATGATTGAAGGCTTGCGCTCTTTACACCAAAGAAGCCAAGCTCGCGCAAGCAGGGCGAATATCTTACCGTCACGCCCTCCTGCAGATCTATAGGCGGCGGAAAGCCTTCTCCTCAGGTGTACCTCGTGCTGCTGGAGTTGTAGCTCACGCCACGGCCTTCATATATCGTGAAGGTGTCCTTTGTTATATGACCGAAGACTCGCTCATGGTATTGCAGCTGTATGAGACTGATCGGCAGATACCCCATCGCCTAATCAACCTTCAGTCAATCTTGGCAGGAGCCGGTCTAGACCACTTGCACTGGGATCAGGTGAAGTTCAAATTGATGCACTACTGCGATGGGATTGTTGCAATCCTGTGTGAGTCGCGCAGTGGATATGACGGTGGCAGTTGGATCGTCCCTATCGAGGTCGGGCAATCTTACAATATATTTATCTCGCCCATTGGACCACTTGAGTCGACCAGTAAGATATTCGTACGCCATACGGCAACACATCTCTTTTATGGCATGCATTGCGGCACTGGAAATCACGACTACCCAGAGTGGAAGATTAGGGGAGGCCCACTTAGCAGAACGCGCCATTACCCTCCGGGGGCTACAGACTTCAACGATTTCATCCAGCTTGACGACTTCGCGGGATCAGATGTTGGATCCACTGTTGTATTCGAGATCCATGACGGATACTTCTACGCCCTCTCTAACCAGACCACGTTCGAAGCGGAAGAGGTCGACTGGACGTCCTTCTATCACTGCGTTCGCTTCCCCCTGGACCGCCCAGAAAGTCAGGCGGCTGAAACTAATAAAGAGATATTCCGGCGGCAGCACGCAGAGGGACCTATCAACGACTCTTGGACTGACTTGAGTCTTCAAGCCGATGAGCGAACCAACGACTTAATGATTGTTGAAGCGCGTCGGGAATGGCGAGATGGGGGCAGCGAGCAGCATCGGACATTTTACACACGGTCAATCGAATTCTCATCACCCTCTCCGAGGCCCCTCTACCCGGACGACCCACTCGTGTGCACCATTGACAGTCGCAACCATCCCAATTGGATGCCTTCGGAAGAAAGACGTCCTCGAAACGTGCATCCAGAATATGGAGAGCGTACGGCACCGAGCTATGGGCTTGCCGGCGATTCAGCACCGTCCTTCATGCTCTCGAAGACCAAGCTCCGCGCTTACAACCGCTCGTGCAGTGCATTTCTGGACCTCGTGGAAGACAACTCGTGTTGTCCATCCAGCGCTCTTTCGTGCTTGCGTTTGCGCGTAGGCTCCAGAAGAGTCGCGCCTTTGCAGCCCTTGACTGAATCTGAAGTCAAGAAAGGCAAACAGGCGGTTCGATCCGAGAACATGGAACTGATGGAAAGATTCGCAGCTGATCCCGAAGACCGCTTCGTCCACTTGCCAGTAACGATGTGGCCATCCAACTTGTCGGCAGCCGCAGAAACGGAGCGACTCCATCGCATTCTGAATGCGCATGCCTGTTCTGTACAAACGTACACGGGAAATGCAGAATTTATTGGCGTGGTAGATGAGCGGAGTCTCGTCTACATGGCTCGTCCTGCTGGGTCGAAATATAAGCAGGAGCTCGCACCTATTGTCTTTGTGAGCTTTGATCCGGATTCTGCGCTATCCTTCGCTCGACGGCACGGAAGTGGGCTTGAAGCGGACTCTAATAGCGGAATGGGCTGCAGTTTTGCGTCTGACACTTCGGTATGGTCACGTGAATTCTAGCGTAGTGCTTCTGTCCATGGAACTGGATTCAAGACTCCTATACGGCCTTGCGTGTATGTGTTCGATCGTACATGGCTTGAGAAATAATTTTCGGTAGAGAAATCAACTTTCGGCTGCAAAATTGATGATGAAACCTGCGTACCTGTTGATAGGATACACGTTTAGAAAGGGAATGAATCCGATCTTTGGCTGTGAGTCAGAGCGTCGGTACGCATGAGCAAAGCGGTGTCAACGGCCACCCGAAACCGTGGAATCATTCTGTGTTATTTGCGGCAGCCGGGGCGACAGCTGAAGTCATCGAAGACATGGTTGACAAGTTATCGCTTTTCTGGGAGAAAGTCAAGTACCATGATACCAATCAATGCCGTACTGGAGACGGCCAATCAGTCTCAATAACCGCAGCAAACCTGTTTCCCACCACCGCAAACGCCAGCCAAACCCCATCCCTCAGTTTTCGATACTCCCGGGACGCCCCCAACTACCTCAAAGCAGCCCCCACTGCCCCTTAAATCACGACCACCCCCTCCAACATCCCCTCCAACCCCTCCTCAGCCCCCCTTCCCTTCTCCAGCCACATCTCTGGAAACGCCCCTTGTGGCTTCCCTCTTGTCGGCGCGCGATATACAAACGGCTTCCCGCTCTCCCCCTCCAGATGCTCCAACCCCACGCCCTCGGGCGCCCTAACCTTATCTCTTGCAACCGCCGCGGCAACGACGGCTGGGCTGCGGCCCAGCTCGTGCAGCTCGACGGCCGACAGTAGACGCTCGTCCCAGTAGAGTCGTGTTTTGAGGCGGAAGACGTGCCGAAAGGCCGAGAAGGCGGTGGCGTAGGGGGAGTTGATCGGGATCAGGGTCTGCAAAACTGGAGGCGTCGAGGGGGCGGTGTAGCGGAGGGCGGTAGCGTAGGTGTGAGGCTTGGTGTTGGATTCGAAGAGCTAGGGGACGGGGTCAGTAGGTTGATAAGATGGCATGGGGAGGCGGAGCGGGCGTTTGGGGTTAGGAAACACGATGATTGTAGCGGGGGATGAGGGACGTACGCGCAGCTGGTATCTTTCGTTGCGGTTGTGTTCCCAGTCAATTCGCGTCATCGTAATGTCGTAATCGAAGCCGGTTGCGTCGCGGTAAACGTGGTGGTTTTCTGTTGGCCGGCGTGATCGCTAATGTCAGCCAGCAGACCTTTCCGCATAGTGGCATGATGATGACTGTCTAGGACTTCTTCATCTTCATTCCTCTATCTTCCTGTGTCGACAGGTGGCCTTATTGTACAGCCTTTTGAATGCTCAGCAATATCAGACTCACCAGGCACGGTCTCCTTGGCTGTTGCTATCTCGAAGTCGGCGTTCTTCACCCTCTTTTCACGCTCTTTGCGCTCCTTGCGCACTTGAGACAGCGCATCCACGGCCCAGGACGTCGTTTTCGATCCGGGAGGCGATACTGGTGAAGTTGGGGTTGAATCTGCGGAGGACCCACCTGAGCCTAATGCCGCCTCCGCCGCCTTCGCGCCCTTTTCGAACTCCCTAACGTCCTTCTTGGTGGCCTTCCATTCCTTCTCCTTGCGCTCATGCTTCTTTTTCCTGTTATCTTTCACAACTGTCTCCAGCAAGTATGGCGTCTCCCGCTTATGGGTCTTCTGGTGCAGACAGTCCTCAAGCCAGTCATAGGTAACAATCTTAACTCCCTTGTGTCGGATGGCTTGCTTCACCGCCACAACCTTCCTTTTCCAGTGCTCCACTGTGCAGATCAGGTGGGTTGTTTCTTGATTGATCTCTGTCGCGAATTTGCCGCCATGGTGCTGGATCCAGCGTTTTATTGCCTCATGCGTGCTGGTTTTGCCAAAGTCGCCGGTCAAAGCGATGACGTCCTTGGCTAGCGGGTTCTTCATGTTGTTGAGTAGAAGAATGTGAACAGATTGCCGTTTAGAGAGATGTTGATACGAAAAGTGGAGTTTGTGATTGCTTGGGATGACTAAAGGGTATGTTGATGACGGAGCATGATATGCAAAAGATGTTGACCTTGAACGCTGATGCTGACGAATAGTTGGAGTACACTTCGAAGATTCCTTGCAGTTTGGAGCTGATCCGAGCAAGAAGAATAGGCCAATGGACTGACGTGACTGTCGCGGAAGAATAGCTTGATTGAGGCTGTGGGAACATACGAGGTCAAGGGTTTCAACTTAGAGCGAGCACAGTGATTTCGGTGCTCGAAGAGACGGAAAAGCTTAGCAAGGAGGTCTGGCGAAAGACTAAGATGACGAAAGACCGTTCCTTCCAACGAGAATGACCCCTTGTGGTGAGAAATGCTCCGTGGCTGAAGTGAACTTGTTGGAATGGCGGCAGGAGACAGAAGCTGCTCCCACCGTTGCTAAGCCAGTGTCAGTGTGAACTGAAAAATCCCTCAAGCTTATTTCGTAGTTGCGAAGACCCTGTGAACAGTAAAACGACTAGCTTCCTCTGATGCTGCAAAGAGTGACGAAGTTGTGGCGGCTGGCTGAAGAATAGGTGACACCGTTGTGCTAACACCCGATAATTGCGGGTCAGCCGCGCCATGCACACGCTCAGGCAGATGATAGTAGAGTAAAACAGTCACTTGAAGGTGGAAGATATTGGATGACCGAGCGTGAAAAGATAGCTGAGTAGCGGAGCGTCGCCGCACACAGTGAACCTAAGAATAGCGGTCGAGCGGGAGAGGGTAACGCTATCCCCTTTCATGAAAGTGGCGTATCAGGAGTATGAGCCGAATGCCCAACCATATATGACGTTGAACGAGAGCAACGGGAGTAGGAGGAGATTGGAGAATATCAGCCAGCCGAGTACTAGTCGGCATGTGGCCTGAGAGGAGGGTTGCCGCAGTGCTGAGAAGGATGAATGTGGGATATACGGAATCATAGTCCGTTGGCTTCAAAACTGTGTCACCTCACTAGCACGTTGGATGAGGAGAAGCAGATTGCACTGCATCGAAAGCAGCAACATAGGACAGTGTCTAGCTCAATTTCGTTCAAGGGTGGAGTGGCCCCTCGGCCTCGGAGAGAGCCAAAGCCACATCTACAGCTCGATTAAGAGTGTACCGCTCTCTTTCAGTCTCGACAAACTGCGAAGATGCAGTAAACTGTACAGATCATTCATCGGAGCCCTCTTGGCCTGCCTCTTCGCATGCAGAGAACAAAGAGACCTGTCCGGCAAAAAAGACTGACGCAGCTATGACAGTCACGATTGTGAATGTGACAGCAACCTGAGTTGGTCGCGGCTTGTTAGCCATGGTCGTACAAGAGACAATAGCGGCACAACGCCGAAACGGAGTGTACTTACTTTCGCATTGTCATCCCACCACAGCTGAGGGCTCGATAGGGCAGTAGCGGCCCACACAACTATGAACATTCCGGTGACCATGCATACCACGCTCGCAGTCAAGAACAAGACGGCCAGCTGCCATGTGTAGACTTGAGCTCGTCGCGGGAGTTCTCTGCCTTCGGCATCCGTTTTCCCAGCGCTAAGGAGGAAACGGATTTCAGAGAGCGCGTCACGGTGTGTCGACAATCGATGGAGTCGGATCGTTTGGTCAGCGGCACAGAGAACCGACGTGAGGGAAAGTGCGATCCCGCAGTACCAGCAGCACCGGACTGACCAAGGAGATCTTTCGCCGTTCGGGAGGATGTTAGGCCAGGAACCAGTCGATGTCAGGCATCCGCAAACCAGGGCGCTCTAAGCAAGGACCAACGCGCGGTGAGCAATCAACAATGGCTTTAGATGCGCTAAGGGTAATCGGCATGAAGAAGAGTGGGTAGTGGCCGAACTTACAACGATGCCGACGAAATTCAACTCCGAAAGCTTGTTGTCGCGCCATTGCCTGGTCAACTTGTCACGCTCTTCTTTGTCTTCCGTGTTTAGGAGGATGAGTACCGGGTCGTAGGAGGTTGAGTCTGGGGCGAGAAGACCCGTGCGCATAAAGCGGAACAGAGTGGAAAAGGGATGCTCTCTTGCATGCTGTTCACCTCTAACCAGTAAGCCTCCCAGTATGGAATGTCACAGCACTGTGATCAGGAGGTGTATCGACCTTGATCGCACGTTTCCGAGAGCTCTTGGTGCGGATCAAGGGCGTCGTACTCGTACTTTCGAATGAGGTCATGGCTGGGGACTGTTGCTGAAGAACAGTCCGCAAATCGGGAGGATCGAGTACTTTGATCCGCTGGGAACAGTGCCGGCGGGATTTTAAAGAAGAATGCGAACAGTTAGAGCTCACGAACGAGACGAGCAGCCCTAATACCGACCCGATGTCGACGGGCTACGGAGGTTGCAAGTCTCCTGTTCTAGTCACGCGGACGTCGTCCATAGCCTTCAGTCAGACAGCCAAGACTGACGATGGGTCAAGAGATCCGGCTCCAGATAACAGACGCTGGCTACGGTGGCTACGCAGTCATTCAACTATTGTGTAGCAGTGCAAGATATCAAATGCAGTGTGCCTATCAAGGTGTGGATGACCGAACGATCAACCGCATGATGATGCTTGGTAAGCGCCGAAGCTTACAATACCAGCTTATCGAAGCTGCTGTCATGCCGTCGGCGATGTGATTCGGCGAACGGACAGATCCCTCCCGTCAGCACTCTATCGTATCGCAAGCAGCAAAATCTCAAGAAAAGTCGGTCTCCTTGCTACTCCTTAAGCTGACTGATGTCATCGCGGTGTTGAGGACCTTCGACCCAAGTACCAACTTGCCGTAATCACTGCTCCGCTTTGCAAAGGGTATATTCCGTCGACATGACTGATGGCCGGGCTTGACAGCTTCCCGAACAACCGATGTCCCGTGCCGAGCATCGGTCCCAGCTAAAGGCAGCCCATTTGCATCATAGCGGAGAACAAGCTCGTCTCAACTCCCGCCGCCGGACTTCACTAAACGTCCGGCTAGCTTGCGGCTCTGTGTTCTCTATCCTTACCGCAATTCAACCAGCATAAATAATCACTTGCGACGGGCGCGTGAAGCGGAATCAATCATTCCCGGTCACTACAATCTGACAGATCGGTGGCACATTCGATCGCGACTCAGCCGCAAGAGCCTGGACCCTTTCTCCGCCTTCTCTCCCACAGTCTCGGATACGAATAACCACCACTCGGCGCTTCCTCAAGCCATGTCCTGAGCGCTCTCAGCGCGTTACCCAACCTCCGCGGTGAAGCATGGAGGGTATACATGGCGTCGATGTCAGTTGGCTGCACCATACAAACAAGGGTAGGCGGACCACCACTGCGGGCACATTACAACTCTGGCGCAAGACTACTCTACTTATTATTGAGCCAGTAACTGACACACGCATCAGACCATCACCACAGGTTCCAAGCTCCATCATCGCCCGGCCTTCCTCGTGACGCCCCTCCTCCCACCTCCTCTCATGGCGGCCTGCCAACCCCGCGGATAGAGGAATCGATAGACCCCCTCGAAAAAGACCCGCAAAATGGCGCGCCTCCTCAAGTGCAGGAGCCTCCCAAACCTCAGCCTGAGAAGTCTGAAACACCCGTCACTCCGCCTCGATCAGGGCCTCGACGGCCAAGTTTGCTAGCCCGCGGCAACTCCGACAAGGCATCCAGCGGCGCATCACCAGGCTCTGGAAAACCTATGTCTCGGCGCAACTCGTGGTTGACAGGTCTCACCTCCAAGTTCTCCTCTTCACAAACACCCCAACAATCGAGTGGCGCAAATGGTTCTCAAGACGCAAAGACAAAACCAGACGATAAACCACTCTCAGTCAAGTTCACTGGTCCCAAATATCTATCACCAGCCCGCACCGACGCGGCGGCACAGGCGGAGAGCACCGAGCCCTATGTGCCCGCGCCACCGAAGGGTTCGAGCTCCTCATTCCTATCCACCGCATTTCGACGGTTATCATCCAGTGGTGGGCAGGGCGGCCTCCCCAAGGCTATTCCGAACGGGGGGATGTGCCCGAGAAAAGTGATGAACGTAGACCCCAACAGACAACGGTGTCTTGTGCCCGAACTTGATCAGTCGAAACTACGGCGGGTCGCATTCTGCGTAGACGTGGAGATAGCTGGCGGTCCACGATACAAGGAGGATGAGGACGACGAGACTGACGCCGCAGAGAAGAAACAAAAGACGAAGGACATGAAGCTGAAGGAGAAGGGTGAAGGAGCCGCTCTGAAGAATCCTCAAGCTGTGGCGGAAGAGAAGGACAAGGCCGGGGTTGTTGAAGTGAGCAAGGAGGTCGTGGGAACCGAGAATGCGCCAAATCCGGAGGGTACCGTCATTGATGGTGGAAAATCAACCAAGAAGAAGGAGAAAAAGAAGCGATCCGAAGCTGAGCGTAAGGAAAGAAAGGAAAAGAAGCGCAAGAAAGCGGAGGAAAGTGGGTCGCTACCGCTGGAGCTCACGCGCAATTCGGATGAGAGCAGCGCCCAGCCTACTCCTTTGCCCTCCGGCGTGACGACACCAAAACCACAGGACAAGCCCACCACCGACCCACTCAGAATATATCGAAGATGCTGTCAGCTAAGAGAATCACCAATACTAAAGCGGATTACCGAACAGCTTGGCGCAACCACAGACTGTGCTATGGCTGAGCCAGGTGTCGTTTCCAGTTTAGACCTGACAGGTTCCCGAATGCAGCTGGCGGATGTGGTAACGCTCAGTGACTGGTTAGCCGTGGTCCCTGTTAAGAGACTGATACTCGAAGACTCAGACCTGACCGATGAAGGAATCAGAGTGATTCTTGCCGGCTTGCTAGCTGCGAAAGCGCCTGAGTTCAGCAAAGGTCGCGTCAACTACTCAAACGGTCGGGCCAAGAACTCCAAAGTCGAGGATAGGTCTGGAGTAATAGAGAAGCTAAACCTCAAGAATAATCCTCGGGTCTCGCGCGACGGCTGGAAGCATATCAGCTTGTTCCTCTATATGTGTAAATCGATCAAAGCCATCGACGTTTCCATGATCCCATTTCCGGACACCCGTTCCTCGGATCTTGCCTCAGGAAACAACGCATCGGAGTCAACAGACACTGCCGAGATATTCTGCAAAGCGTTGTCCGAACGGCTGGCGGGATCCCATCTAGAGGAACTCCTCATGGCAGAGTGTTGCTTAAGCTCTCAGCATATCCGCAAGATCATTGACGGCATTACTATGAGCGGGCTCAAAAGGCTAAGCCTTGCCGGAAACAGTATAGACGACGAAGGGCTGGCGCATGTTGTCCGCTATGTTCACTCCGGCGTGTGCCATGGACTGGATCTTGGCGGCAACAACCTACGGGGCCGGCTCCGTCCACTCTGTGAGGCTATGAGCCAGAGCTGCCCTCTTTGGGCTTTGTGTCTGGCTGACTGCAGCCTCTTACCGGACTGTCTTAAGATACTCTTCCCGGCGCTCGTCAAACTTCCCGATTTCCGCTTTCTCGACTTGTCGCACAACAGAGACATCTTCGCCTCCCAACCAAGTGCTCTCAGCACACTCCGAATGTACCTTCCTCGACTCCAGGGTCTCAAACGATTACACCTTATGGATGTGTCCATGTCGCCCGCACAGGCCATTGGATTTGCAGAAGTGCTTCCCGAGAGCCCTCATCTCGCGCATCTCAACATTATGGAGAACCCAGAGCTATCCAGGCTTGCGTCTGCTACTGATGAAGCTGGGCAAGAAGAGGCTTGTGCACTCTATGCATCATTGATGGCTGCAGCCCGTGTCTCGGACTCTATTATCTGCATAGATATCGATGTACCGAGTCAGCAGACTAGTGAAGTCGTCAAAGCGCTCGCGAAGCAAGTTGTTGCATACTGCTTGCGCAACATGGAGCGCTTTACGACCGCTGAAGCGATCAAGACGGCCGACACCGAAACCGCCAAGAGGCTCAGCGTAGACAAGGAGGTTGAGGTTCCTGACGTCCTCTTCCACCTTGTCGGCCACGTTGAAGGCAACCATGAGAACCATGATGACGACGAGCCAGCGCCCGACGACGACTACATTGTGGGCGGTACTGGCGTTGTCAAGGCGCTGAGCTACTGTCTGTCAGAAAAAGCAGCTGACTTGCGACGGGCATCGCTACCTCGGAGTGGAACAACGACGCCGAGGAATCATGTCCTGCAGACCGAAACTGGCCAAGCTAAAGCGAGGAACATGTCAAAGCACCTGCTCGACAGTGCCCGCAAAATCCGGGCACGCTTGCAGCCTGCTCTGGCTCGTGAAGCGAGAACTGGTGACGACATGGCATACAGTACGTCCTGTACTCGCACTCTTGTATCATTTTGCATCGTACTGACATAGTATGCAGGGCGTCTCCTCTTCCTGGACAACACCCTCCAAGGCATGATCCAGCGCTTCGAAGACGAATACCCCGAAACCCGGCTCCCAGCTCTACCCACCAAGGCTCCCACCCAGCCCTCTGACGCCGCAACCGCCTACTCCGCCTCGCCGACCGACTCCCTCGTCAGCGCCAGCGAGCTCGCCAACTCTCTCACCTCCGTAGGCACAGACACCATCCCCAGCGCCCTCAACCACCCCGACTCCGACCTCTCCGACGACGACCACTCCTTCCGCGACCGGCACAACTCCGACGTCTCGCTAGCCGCGAAAGCGCTGTCCAACGAAGAAGGCCGCATCCACCGGCTCGGCCAGCGCGTGCGTCGCGACATCCTGCACGCACACGGCAGCGGCGGCAGCGGCAGCGCGAGCAACGAGCAGCCGGAGCCGCCACACCTGGCGGCGCTGCGGGATAAGTTCGAGGCCCTGACTGGGCCGGAGATCAGGGAGGAGGTTGCGCGCGAGGGGTGGGAGGAGACGGCCAGGAAGCTCAGCGCGAATGCGGAGGAGTTGGCACGGCTGGAGAGGGAGAGGCCCGAGGAGTTTGCTGCGTTTAGGGAGGCGCAGTGGGCGGCGCAGGTTAATACTCAGCAGAGTGGGTTGGGGTTTAGGTAGGGTGATGGAAAGGAAGAGGAGTTGATTGGAGAGGGCAGATGGCCTTGGAGGGAGGGAAAGCACCGGCAAGGTTCTGGTTTACAGGTTTGCTCATCTTGGCTCAAGTTTGGAGACTATGTGACGCGCGGGGTGGAGAACTTTTCATTGGCCGGAGAAGTCCGCTGATCTACTGCAAAATCTGGCTGGCATTTCGTTTTTCCAACGACGCTTACGAGCATTTCGGCCACGAGGGCCACTGTCTTTACCGGCACTGTAGTTTTCTCACGATCCTTCACGAGAGCATGGCAGCGCATCACGATCAGCGTGTATTGGGTTCTGTGTCTCATTGGTCCTGTATATCATCTTCCGACCTTCGATGCCCCGTACACGAGTATCTTGCAGTCTTCACGTGAAGATATCCACTCCGCGTTAAAGCTGTCCCACGCGTTGTCACCGCATCAGGGAGACGATGCCTTCACGTCTTCCTGCAGATCCTTCCACCGCATCTCGTACCCGAACACCGTCCGCCGCAACAGCTCATCCTGCATGCTACCGTCAGCCTCGCTTCTCTACGATGTCCTATCGATGTAGTCGCGGACCGGGAGTCTTAGGAGGAGCCCCTTCAAGCAGAGACAGCGGAAGAACCTACCCCCCTATCCCCCTCAAACATAACCCTCTCCATAACCCACTCTCCCACCTTCTCCACCACTAGCCCTCCTTCCGCCGCCAAGCGAAAGAAATCCACATCCTTCTCAAGCAACCACGGCCGATGCGGCGTGAAGAACACCAGCGCCCTTGCATCCCCCGTCCGCCTTAGTGTCGCCTGCACCGTCTTGACAAGCTTCCCATGCTCCGAGTGATTGAACAGCAGATCCGCCAATACCAGCACATCGAAGCCTCTGCTGCCCGGCTCGACTTCTTCCCCCTCTTTCCTGGCCGCGGCGTCGAGATGCGCCAGCAGCGGACTGGGGTCAGCGCCCCACAGATACCCCTCCGCCACGGCCTTCCCGCCCGCAGGAATCCGTGCAGCGGTGGCGGCGATGTTGTGGCGCAGGTTGGCGATCAGGTCCGCGTCGGGGTAGTCGGTTATTACGACTGGGGAGGCGCCGTGGAGCGCGGCGACGAGGGAGGGGAGGCCGGCGCCGGCGCCGAGCTCGAGGATCGATTTGTTGGTCAGGGGGTGGGTGGTGGTGCTGGGGGAGTTTGGGAGGGTTTCGAGGTAGGTGGAGAGGGTTGTGGCGGCGTGCCAGAGGTGATGGCCCTGGTAGGGGGTTGGGTGTTAGGGGGTGTGAGAGAAGGGGGTTGAGTGCTGCTGGGAAGCAAGGGAGAAGATGTTTGGGGTATGCCGAGAGCGATGGAGGTGTTGGAAGCGTGTACGAGTAGAGGTAGGTGTGGAAAGGACTCAGAATACAGGGAATACTTGTTGTGTCTGAGGTTTGGCTTCGAGGAGCGCTGTGGCCTCAGCAAACGCAGCTTGATCGTGGGAAAAGCAACAGATGGTAGCGTAAGAATACAACCATGTTTGATAGACCCTTGTAATGCTCTAGAGAAGGGGGCGACGGAAATCTGAATTTGGGAGGACGAGTAAGGATTAATAGAAATAATTATACCTTACCCACAGCGGACTGTGCCCGACAAGACGCACTGTCAGCGCGTCTCCGTTGAGCAGCTTGTGCGTAGCAAAGGTAGCCTCCTTCTCTGGCTCGTAAAAGTCCGCCGGTTCATCAAACATGCTGAGGCCATCGTCCTCTTGATCTGACATGGCTCGCCGCAGATTGCTGTGCCTTTATTGCACGAAGGTAGTTGCTAGACGGTGCTAATTGTGTCAACAGATTCTCCTTCTGACTTTAAGAAGACAGTCTGATCACAACGTTTAAGTGTAGCTGGTACAGCCGCAATGGGTAAATTTCTTTGATAGCATGTCATGTGCCGGCGCAGCCCTACGGTATCGAAACGCCACTCGCGCCACTCGCTTATGCAGGGTCCGAGGTACAGAAGCCCTCACCTCCATTATGAATAGCACAAAGGAGGGGCCAACCTCAATATCTGGAGCGGAGAGTCAGAATTGGAGTGCAGTGTCTTCCCGCGAGTCGCGAACGCTACTTGACAACGCCAGCCGCCGCTGAAGCATCCTCGACCACTGAGGAGTGCGGCGACTCGGCTTCCGTAAAACTCGCTCACCTGCATGATCCGCTTTACGGAGTATGTGCCGGCATCTGCCACAACCCTCGACCCATCGTCGTGTCTAAGCGCACTGAGGCTCTGTTCTGTCGACGCCGCAAGCCTCTTGGGACTCTGCTTCACCATTTGACTTGACTCTGTTGCCATAGCAGATCATCAGCCATCTCGTCGAGTTCTCACACCATTAAAGGTGAATATCCCTGCAGAGCACCAGTCCTGGTGTGCCTGCGCTACTAGCGCGCTTATCACATCAACTCGCTCTTTCTTGCTCAAATCTGCCAGCCAAACTCCCTCTCTGTCTTCCACTCTGCACTCTGTAGCACCTCGTCAGCCATTCCTTTGCAGCATCTGACTGCGGCGCTACAAGCCCTCTTCCGTCATCGGATCCGCGCCAGAACACAGTGCAGCCGCAAGGCGCATTCCCGGTTCCACTTGCTTCGCCCACCTGGGGAGACCTCGTACGTCCTCTATATCCTGTTTGTTTCTCACACGCTACATGCACGCTCCCTCTTTTGGCACTTCGGTTGCCGCAATCTCTGTGTCCAAACGAAGACTCTCCTCCAATCTCACGCACCTGTCGGCTTACAACATGGCAGAGCCTGCGAGGAAGCGTTCAGTTGGGAGACCGCTGTCTTGTGCGCCTCACATCCACGAAGACCATGCCGGTCATTGAGGTTAATGGCGTGAGGAAGAAGGTCGCGTGGTAAGCCCATTTCGTTCCGAGTTCTTGAGATTAAGTTGCGCTCGAGCTGGCAGCACAGGTACTACAGTTTCAAGAATACCAACACTGCTCTCACGCGTGCAATATCTTGGGTAATCAGTTAAAGAAGGGGTCAAGCTGTTAAGTGATCTCTCAAACCCTTGCGTCAGATCGGTCTAGTTTTCTACCACACTATCAAGCATGACTTCATACCACGCGCAACTGTAACCACTTCAATCTCCCTCTTCTTGAGTATTGAGCCGCTTGCCTTCACTATTACCTCCATTGTACAGGCTTCAGTACGCTAACACTGTCGTCAGTGGACCATGCATTCGCGGTCATCGATCAACCAAATGCGACCACAAGGACCGTATCTTGCTCGAAGTTCGCAAACCCGGACGACCCTTGAGTAGTTGTCCGCATACAACCGACAGCTGCAGTTGTAGCAGGGTCGCTTTCACTTACGCTCTCCCTAAGAGTAAGCTTCCCGCTTACTCCAACAAACCCTAGCTAACTGGGTAGACGTATCCCAATGCGCGTGCCCAAGCACAAGCGAAACGGATCCCTTAAATGAAACCGCTCCATCGCCTACGACTCCGCCGAATCGAGTACAGAAGAGCAGGCACAAAAAGTCTATCAGCACTCGCTTTCCTGGCACTCTGGAGAGGGCACTAAAAGCCAGCGAAGATGCCGAGAGGGCAGCGAGCAATACAGACACGGCTTCTCTTGCAGGAGAGATCTTAGACCAGACGAAACCGAGACTAGACAGTGGCGCTTTGCCCCAAATCAGCAACGGTCCGGACTCTGACGTTATAGATACTTTTCCGGACCGGGATAGTCAGGATGCGAGTGTCCCGCCGCAGCTCTCGACTACATACACACAACAGCCGCCAGCCGAACCGCCTTCTAACAGTGTGATGAGTAGTTGCTGCTCATCTCGTCCTAAGGCTGTCAGGGCCACCACCGAGCCTATCCAGGTTCAACAAGCCCAAAAGACAGAGTTGTTAAATGCAGCCCAGCAGCATCCGACGCAGGTCCCCTCTAGCACCATTGAGAATGGACAACCCACGAAGCGTTCCTGTTGCTCCGATGGAAAAGCCGCCAATCAGGCCGATACCCTTACACAGCTGTCACAAACCGAACTGAGTCCATTGAATGGGGATGACCTGCGCCACGCACAAGCATCCAGTATAGGAGCGGCGTACCCCTTAGCCAACGGCCATAATGGCATTCTTGCCCACAACCAACAGTTCTCATACGGGAATAATATCCAAGCGGCAACATATAGCACATCGGCGGCGTTTGCTCTTGATCATTCCGCATTCGCACCCGTTATATATCAACATCACCAGGGCTCAGGCATGCCACACCTCCCGTTAAGCCCACTAGACGGCGGTGTCAACAACGGCTTGCTCCACAACTGCACTTGCGGAGACGCATGCGCTTGTCTCGGATGTGCTGCCCACCCTCGGAACGACACTACAATAAACTACATTCGCCAAATGGCCGATTTCATGATGCACCAAACCCCGGCACAGACGCCATACATGGTACAACAGCCACCATACGTGTTACCGTCACCGCTTCAGCAGCAATTCGGCGGAACCGTACCGCAGATGATGCCTTACGTACCGCTCGGGGCACCCTTCTACACCAACCACGCGCCGCCTCTTCCTACATACAGCCATATTCCGAACGGGGGCACTGCACTGCATCAGGCGACACCACCGGTCTCACACCCGCAATTCGACCCCATGCAGGCACAGCTCCAGCTCCCGACCTACACCGCCCTCTACCCAGTCCAAGCCACCGCCACCGCCTCAGTCTCCGACGCGCCTCGAGCCGGCCACGCAACACCACCTGCCCACCCGATCGCCAATCCATCAACCCAGGAGTCGCCCGCCACACCGGAGAAAGAAGCCTTCTCCAACACGCTCCTCTCGCCCACCTCCTTCTTCTTCAACGAGCTTGTCCTCGGCTGCAGCGACGCGACCGGGCTGTGTCAGTGCGGGGATGGGTGTACTTGTGTCGGGTGTCTGACGCATGGGGGACATAATGGCGTGCCGCTTGAGCCGCCAAATGGAGGCGAGATTGGGGATATGGGGTTTACGGGAGGGCTGCCGGGGGGATGAGTGAGGGAAGAGGGAGGGTGGTCGGAGTTTTGCTCTAGAGGCACTAGAGGTAAGAGGATAAAAGGGGGAAAGGGGCTTACAAAATGAGCATGCTACCATTGTTTTTGCTGAGCGAATAGAGCGGGTTTGCGGCGTCCCCATGGGCATTGACGAGAGTGTCCTCGGTGTGGCCGCTTTTGCTGCGGACTGGGTCATGGCACAGAAATGGACTCGTTTGGGAGCTATAGCGCCGCTGGTAGCATGATGCCGTTCCACAGCAGCAACAATCTATGCGGTCTGATCCCTTGGACGCGCCTCATTCTGCCTATCTGCCACTCAACCCCCCGCAAGGCCTGTCTCGCGTAGCGTTCTAAATCATGTACTTCAACGTGTCCCGCTCCTGGTTGAGAAGAGACATGTGGGGTTGAATTTGTGGTTCTCTAGGTCAGGCACTTTGCCGTGTCGCGAACAAGGGTCTCCTTAAATTTATCGAAAGATACCCAATGCTCAGTATCATCGACAGCCGATGACGATGAGAAAAGACTGTGATCTGGACGTCCTGGCGCGGGGGGTAGGACGTGGAATGGGCGTTGAAAACGAGGAGTGAGGTTCACGTCAGGGACTGCATTGTCGACTTTGGCGACTCCCCGAATCGACGCAGTGTGTGTGTGTGTGTGTGTGTGTGTGTGTGCTTTGCCTCATCAAAGGATATCTATCACACGCCCTTCCCGCAACCTATGGAATCAAGTTCACGCTGGTATAGCGATGCACAGAGAACCTCCTAAATCCAACCAGTCGCTCCCGCAGTCTATCCCTACCCAACCCCCCGACACCAGCAGAAATGGACAGTCGAAATAAATCCCCTTCCCCGCCAGCCCCCTGCCACTCCACCTACGAGCTCGGATCCACATGCGTCTTCCTTATAAGCAGCGGCTGTGGCGTCTGGTACCCCGTCGCAGGTGTCGACGTCCCCGTCGTATTCGGGCTCCCAAGACTCCCCAGCGGCGACACGGTCCCGCTGGGCGGGACGGGGATCTGGAGGTCCTGGGGACTGCCGGGGATCATGCTGTCGGGGAGCTCGGGGATGTGGATGCGCTTTGCTTCATTGTTGTAGCTTGCGGGGATGATCTGTAGAGAGTGGTGTGAGTGAGATTTGCGGTGTGTGTTTAGGGGAAGGGGGGCGGACGTTGCGGGTAGGGATAGGGATGGGGTGGGGAGGAGGAAAAGGGGAGGGGAAAGTACCTCGATGATCTCGTCACGCGGAAAGTCGAGCTTGGGGATGTCGGTCGCGTTGCAGGCCATGAGGTAGCCGTAGAGGACGCGGAGAACGCTCTCGTGCGCGATGATGAGGAGGTCGTTTTGCTCGCGCTCGAGCTCGAGGATTATGGGCTCTAGGCGGACTGCTAGGTCGTGGTAGGACTAGGGATGTTAGTACTGATTAGGTACTCTGAGCGTGGCGCATGGCAAGTGACATACCTCAGCTCTCGGGTATCGATGATGGTACGGATCGGCCTCGTGCTTGGCTACTTCTTCGGGATATTCCAGCCTGATCTTGTGCTCCGACATCTTCTCGCATACGCCTGGGTTCATCTGGCTCATCTGGGACCGCTGCCTAACTCGATAACCGAGATTGGCCAAATAGTTCGAGGTCTCAACCGTCCGACGACGCGTAGAGGTCCACACCGTCAGCGGCTTCAATGCATTGTCGGGCCCGCCCTGGTCGATAATAGCCTGCCGTTCATACTCGCGGTGCCGTATCAGCGTGTCGCCCATCTTCTTCGCGTAATCTACGCCTTCTGGAGACAGCGAAGCGTCGGCCTTGTAAGCGTTCTCTTCCTTGGTCGTGCCTGCTCGTGCGAAGTACGTTCTTCGCGACTTGATGTGCAGGTTCAGGAGGTAGAAGACAATTCGTTGCGACAGGTACCCAAAAGCGCAGTTGTTAACAACGACTCGTTCGCCTGCATTAATGAGCTTGATCCAGTGCAGCTCAGGCTCCTCCATGGTCTCGAAATGCGGGATGCGCGAAGATATCCTGGCGAGGTAGTCCTTTATTGCGTCTTCGTCTGACCAGCCTGCGTAGTCTGGAGAGGAAATCTTGACACTCCGAACGTTCTCTTCAATGATTCTCTCATCATTGCACTGCGACTCAATAAAGAGGGTCTGAATGTTGTGCTTCGCAAACTCCTTGGCTAAGGACCTACGTCCTGCGGATATGGCGTTCACCGCGTCGTAGATGGCGATCTGACCATTCTCGTGCTCCAGGAAATGGTAGATGTCCTCTCGGCATTTCTTGAGGATCTTGTTGCGCAGCAGCACCGACGATGGCGAGGCGTTGATGAAGAAGTAGTCGTCTGGCACGTCCTTTCCTGGGCCCACGGTTGCTCTTCGATAGTCACCAAGGTGGAAAACGTGGGTCTTGACGCCGAGCCAGCGCAGATACCGCGCCACCGCGACGGAGATGTGCGTCTTCCCTCGAGCGGGCAGGCCAACAGTTGCGATCACTATCCTGCCTGAGTGGAAGAGTCGTCCAGATTCTGTGCTGTACAGCTGCGCGGGCGCCATGGATTCTCTCAGCGGTAGGTCGTGTATTGCGTCCTCAAAGGTGCTCGAACGCCGCCGAAAGCGCGGCGAGTTGGCAGCCACATCAGCGGTTCTGAATGGGCAGTCAGATAAGAGATTTCACTTCACTGGCATGAGCGTTCACGAGAATAATTGTGATAGCAGCCTTATCTACAGATCTTGAGGCAAGAAACAGGTTCTACGTACAATAGAGTGTCCATGGTGAAATAAGGCTTCCAGTCCAACGTGACCACTTAGGCCTCGCACACTTTACTTGCTTCACTGTAGTGGGGATATCAGGATCGACCAGCGTTTTGATACTGGTAAGGCCGCCGGAGATGCCAAGACTAAAGGTTGGGGCCAGTTTGAGGGTCTGCTCAGCCTTTTATGAGTAAGGTCCGGCGACAACTCAGCGCGGTTGTTGGAAGGTGCAGCAGCAGAAAACGTGTTTGAAGGGATGCAAGGAACGTAAAAGAAGGTACAAAAAGCAAACACAAGGTCAGTTCGTGCTATCTACAAGGGCATATCACAGCAGGCGACGGCGTAGGTAATGCGGAAGACAAACGCCTGGAGAGCGGCGGAGAAACGGTTGATCCGCAGCTCTCCTGGAAAATGTCCCAGCTGGCATCGGAGCTCATGCAGTCGGAGGCCTCGTTGACATAACCATCCCATCCACCCGTCCTGCATCAGCACTTGCTCCCTCCGAATCGCGCCGCAATTCTCGGAGCCATCACCATCACCCACCCCACCCATCACAATCCGCCGAGCCTGCCATGGCCACAGTAAAACCGGACCAGGCTGCGCTGGATGCCTTTACTGGGAACGCGCTTGTCAGGCGGCTGAGCGACTTATACATCTCTTTCTCGGAGAGGAGGGAAGCATTAGGGCTGTCGACGCCCGTCACCGTCGACAATATTGCGAAGGAGGTCCAGCGCGATGTGTTCCTAAACAACCTCACCTTCTCCGGCCTGCGGGCGGACCTGACCAAAGCCTTCTCTGTCGCGCCGCTGTTCCAGGTGTCACATGCGCTGTCAATGGGATCGCAGGGGCTACCGCCCTATGCATATGCTGCGCTGTACGGATCACCAAAGGTTTGTCAGAGGATCTTCATCCGCCGTGGCGAGAGAGACGGCTGACGAGAATCAGGTCTTCTTGCAAGCCAATCTCGATAACGAGCTCCAGCTCTCTGGCCGATTCAACTACCGATGGAACACTGCGTTAGTAACGAAAACAAGCGTTCAGCTTGCGCCCGGCGCGGGACAAGCCATGCTCTCGCTCGAGCAAGACTACACTGGTGCCGACTTCAACGCAAGCATCAAGGCCATGAATCCATCGATGCTCGACGGTGGCCTGACGGGCATCTTCGTCGGAAGCTACATGCAGTCCGTGACCCCGCGACTCGCTCTGGGCTTGGAAGGCGTCTGGCAGCGGGCAGCGGTGGACCACGGGCCGGAGATGGCGATGTCATACGCGGCGCGATACAGAGGAGAAGACTGGGTTGGAAGCGCACAGATGCTCGCGCAGGGTGGTGTCCAGGCTTCATACTGGCGAAGGTTGACAGAAAAGGTCGAGGCCGGTGTCGACGTCACTCTGCAGTTCGCCGGACTCAATGGAGGGATGATGGGCGGACGAGGAGGGAAGGAAGGCGTCACGACGCTCGGAGCAAAGTACGACTTCAGGGCATCGTCTTTCCGGGCACAAGTCGACAGCCAGGGCCGGCTTGGATGTTTGCTGGAGAAGAGGGTTGCACCGCCTGTGCAGGTAACTTTCGCGGGAGAGATCGACCATGCCAAGGTATGTCATGCGCTCACTCTATCCTTCATTGTCAACTTGCTAACCCAGCTCGACAGAACCAAGCCAAGGTTGGCCTGGCCGTATCAATCGAAGCCGCCGATGAGGAAGTCATGGCCCAGCAAGAGACCGCCGGCGCCTCCTTGCCACCGCCGTTCTAAACCCTCCCCTCCACCTTCTATCCGCCTCTACTAACCCATACCGCTTTACACCAACACCTCTTTCCGCTGTATCACCATAGTCCTGCATCGGGCGCTGTCATTAGCGCTGCTTTCTCTTCGCCGCCTTCCTGCGAGACCGGCGGTCGGGTAGGGATAGACTGGGCTTCTACGTTGCGCGCGTCGCATGTCTGTGTAATGGGTGTCACGCTTCAGCCTGGCGAAGCGGGGACGCTTTCGTAGTTGCTCTGTTGCGCGTTTGCTGATGAGCGTAGCGCTGTGGGATATTGTACATATAGCATGCAGATGATGTATCTTTTCTCCTCTGGCATGATCTTGCTGCGGAATGATCTTTTGTTGATGATGAACTGATTAGGACAACAAATCATGCTCATACAGAGTCGAGATCTATACTACAAGCGTGAATCGCAACAGAACAAGGAAGGGCCCAGACCAATACCCCCCCTATCAACCGCTGCCCAGCTATTATATACACGAACCCGCCTCATCGTGAAACAGTGCAAAAACGTACACTACACCTGAAACCCCTCTCACAGCGCCGGACGCGCCTGCGTAGACGATCCCGGAGTTATGACCTGTGCCCATCGATGAGCCTTTCATCTCCCATCCCCATCCCTCCCGTGTTCCGACTCACCTCATTAGCAATCTGCTGCTGCTTCATCTCCCTCTCCATCTCGACCATCTGCTGCTCCTCGGCATACGCGAGCGCCCACGGCACGCCCAGCAACAGCGCGCTCGTGCTCACGACCCAGAGCGCCTTCCCGCCAAACACGGCCCCGGACTTGAACCACGCGGATGCTGAGGAGAAGGTGCTGGAGAGCAGCCGGCGGTTGCGGGGGGAGACCATGTCTTGCAGGGCCTGGATGCGCTCGTAGAGGGTCTCGTCTTCGGGGATGGAGAGCTCGGACTCGAGGTCGGATTCTAGGAGGGGGCCAGGGGGTTAATTTGAGGGGCTAAGGAGGGTAATGGAGGGAGGACGGATGGGGGAGGAGGGAATGGGGGCTTACCACTGTCGGTGTCCCAGTCGCCTTCTTCGTCTAGGGGGCCCGGCTGGTCGGCGATGAGGGCCTCGTCGGGGACTTCTTCCAGCTTGACCATGGTGTCGGATTGGGGTCTGAGGATTCGGATACGGGGTTGAGGCGATGTTGCGACGGAGGTGATTCGGTATGTTATGAGAGATGCGATGCGATGCGATGCGATGATGCTCTAGATGGGGAGCTTGCTGCCATACATCTCGCAACTTTTCGAGCTACGGCCTGGGGCGGGAGAAACGTTTGGCCGCGTGTACAACGCGCGCTTGGGTCACGCTTCCAAGTTCCTCTCAACACCAGGGCATTGTTCGAGAACAGGGGGCGTTCTATACATCATTGCGTCGTATTGATGCCATCTGGATTTGGCCGAGGAACTACAGGCAGCTGAGATAGCCGTCACTAATACAGATTGTCGGTGGTTGCAACGCCCGAGCAACTTCTGGTTTATAGCCGCATTGACAATCAACGACTGCACCTGTGACAGGATCGGGTCAGTCCTCATACGGCTAGGAAGATGCTGTATGCGTCTGGAGGTTTGCTGGGTTGGCACGAGCTAACGGCGTCTGATATGTCGCACGGTTTGTTAGCCATTGCTTTTTGTCAGACTGTTGCTGGACGCCATGGTATTCTTTAATAACCTCTTCGCTTCTGTTATATTTCACACACCCGTTGTTGTAAGGATCTTTGGTTGAAGCCTATACTACTGAATCTTTCACGTTAGACCGCTTGACTATCTAGGCGGATTTCTAGTCAGATCCTATTGCGATCCTTCAAAACCGGATATCGAGACTTTGATGTCTCTAGTCTCGTTCTCTCTAGTAATGAGTAGAAGAAGTTCTGGTGCCCAGTTCCGATTCTGTCTCTTGCACCGTAAGCGGCCAAACGTCCTCTAGTTCGCTTCAGAACCTCTGCTTGGCCAGCGATCTTATGGGTGGCCGTTAGAGGGTGAGAGTATGAAGTGGATAGCACGGAAGGGTTGTAGATGCAATCTTCATCTTGTTAGAGGCCTGAAAGCGACGACAAGTCTATCCGCACCGCACGCCCCGGTGACTGCCCAGCTCCGCCTCTCAGGCAAGGTTCCTGAGTGCCCTTCCATAAGCTGAAACCAGCGCCTTTTCCCCAGCGCCGAACGCCAGCGCTTTGGCAATCCGAAAAAATAGAGGCTCGAAAGTGTAAACCGTATCCGCCCTATCCGCTTCCTCATCCCAACCCGTCCCCCTTCTCAAACCTCACCCCCACAACCCACTCGCTCCCAAACCTGATCCCTCTCCCCTTCTTCGCATCCAGCCCCGCTAAGCCCCCCGGACTCGGCCCATGCGTCCTCCACGGCCTATTGATCCCAATGTCCACGACCCAAATATGCCAAAGGGGGTCACCGAGGCCATGCCCCTTCTCGAGCGCCCTCAGCAACCCCACCCTCGGCGCACCCAAACTCACGACATGGTTCGCGCGAATCTCAAACGGCTCGCCCTCAAGAATCCCCACCTCGCCCGTACTGCCATTGACGCCGCTCGGCCCCTCGACCGCGAGCACCTGCGCGCGGCTCTTGTTCGCCCAGCCTACACACTCCATCGTCGTGGCCCTGTCCTCCGCTCCCAAGGCCTCAAACTCCCTCCCGCGGCCCAACAGCGCATCGACGATGAGTTCGGGCGGCGCGTCCAGTTTTCGCAACGCCGATTTGACCGTCTCCCACCCCTTGACCAGCCCGCCCATCGCCCTGAACAAGGCGACCTGCCGCCGCAGATCCTTGTCCCAGTCCGCCTGGCGCTCGTAGCCGAGGACGCAGACCATGACGCGCGGGCCGCGGGCATGGAGATGGCGAGCCGCGGCTGTGGCGCGCGCGCCTGAACGATGGTTTCCTGCGAGCACGACGATGACGGGTTTGGCGTTTAGCGCGAGGGTCTCGCGCGCGAGGCGGCGGCCGCCGGGGTTGATGGCGGAGAGTGCGACCTCTGCGATCCCGCGCGCGCTGTTTTCGGCCATGATGTCTTCGGTGAGCCCGTATTCGATCTCCGCGGCTTCTTCGACGGCTTGCATGCCGCCCGGCGTGATGGTGTTGCAGATGCGGTCGGTGGAGGCAAGACGCAGGGTTGCGTGCCCTGTGGCGGGCTGGGAGAGGAGCGAGGGGGACATTGGCGGGGTGGGGCGGTGGGCGGAAGGCTTGGGGCTGTTGGACAGGTGGGATGGGGAGTAGACGGTTCGGGTTAGGGTGCGGTTGCTGCGGTTTAGGAGGGCGGTGGGAAGGCTGCCGGAGAAGGAGCCAGAGGTGGGGACGGGAGGGAGAGGCTCATCCTGAACGCCGCTGCCGGAGCGGTAGGGTGGGCGCTTCATGGAGGCGCGGGAGGCGGACCGTCGGGATACTCTGCCGCTGTCGAAGTCGGAGTCGTCTTCTTCGGTAGAGGTGAAGTCGTCGCTTCGGCCCCGAGGGGTGGGTTTGTCTAGGACATTCTCTGTAGGATGGAGGTTCTTGCCGCCATACGTACCAGGTCTCGCCGGCGGTAGTCTGTTGTGACTTACCAGTCGATCCTCATCCGCAGTAGTGTCTTCGTTCCTGATCTGGTTGAACACAGTCCGCTTGTCAAATTTTGACAAGTTGGCCTCGAAGTCGAACTCTGGCAGTTCTTGAACATCAGTCGCGTCTTCAGTGGCCCAGCCGTTCGTCGCCTCCACAGCCTGTTGACGGCGGGTCTTACGGTTCGAGCTCGTGACAGCCTCGCGACCAATGCGGCCACCGATCACTCCGGGCGTGCGCGGCGACATGGTTGGTTCATCTTGCAGTATCGGTGTCTGTCGCCAGCCTTTTCCGCGCAGGTTTCCATTAGGGCCCGCCTTGCGAGCGACTTCAGGCGATGACTCGAGAGCTTCAGCGTCATTTCCACCAGGAAAGGCGCCATGCTGAGAACCCCTCCTCTTGCCCTTGCCACCGCGCCTTGTGCGTTTCATTGTATCCCCGGGCTTCGACGACATGTCCATCGGCAGTCCAGATCTCGTCTTAGTCAAGCTCGCTCGTCGTACAGAACCGCCAATGACTGTAGGTTCGTCTGTGTCATCCAGCACCTCATCAGCTGGGCCAAGGTCCATTCCAGAGAACGGAGCTGTGAGCGTCGCGGCTGCATCGCCTCGTCGTTTTTCAGCTGACCTGACTTGCGATGGTCTCCGCGCTTCGCCCACGAAAGGCGAGGTGTTTGAGGGTAGGGCAGCAGCCGCGGCAGCCGCTAAGTGTTTGACGGGCGTCGCGGGCGCTTCTTGAGGCCTAGGTATCGCTTGTGTGACAACATCATTGACTGCTTTGGCCGGTGTACCTGTGGGTCGCTTCCCATAGCTGAGGATTGCTGGGTCCACGAAAGCTTGCCGTTGTTGCGGTACTCCAACGCTCGCCGCAGCAGCTGGCACGGAAGACGTACGGTTGGGAACGTTTGCAAGTGGGTGTAAGGACGGCAGACTGCCTTGGTCTTGCTGTAAAGGCGGATGGACATGTGCATGCGCTGGCACAGACGGTTCGGGTTGACCACTCTTGACTTCCAAATCCGCAATCTGCGTGCCCTCAACCCTAATTCCACCTGGAGGATAGTAGCCGTTCGCGGTGTAGAATGCTGCCGCAGAGATTAGCACTCCACCGAAGACAATGCAGAAGAGATCTATTCAAGGCTCACCATTCTGCAGGAGTAATGTAGCGGTCTCCGGAATGACATTGGCAACAACGCCCTGGACTGAGGTGTTAGGTGGGTGACGGAGCGTCACTAGGACAGTCAATCCGATGAATGCAGACGCCATGGCTGAGTCGACGGGTTATCCTAGATACTCTCGATCATTGAGGAGAACTATGGGGCTGTCCAAATGCTTGTGTCATCGAAAAGGCGTTTCCAGTGAACAGGCGCGTCCGCCAATGCAATGCGCGGCTCGTAGGGCTTATCGATAACGCGGAGATTTAAGAGTGACCTGCAGATGAACTGGGATCCCATCTGAAGGTCGAGGAAAAGGCTAAGGTCCGTAGCGAGGTTAGTTAGGAACACTTACTTGCTGTGTTGAAAGTCAGCGGTTCATTAAGCTGCAAGACTTGTGTGTTAAGGTAGGCCTTCGTGACATTTGTTCGTCAAGGTACTTGTACTACAGAGGCTCGTCGTGCGCAATAAAAGCCTCACCGCGAAACCCATGCTTCATCAACCATTGTCTACACTACCGCCTATATCAGGCTGCAAGAAGTACGGAAGAGCCATCTAATTAAACCTCATTGCATGTTCTATCTTTATAAGAGTTTTGTTGTTTTATTGGAAGGGGGCGTGGCGATGGTAAAGCGAGGCATGGTCAGATAAACATGAGTTTCACAGCGAGATTTCCGCGGTGAGGCTTTTATCGCGCACGACGAGAGAGGGTAGCAAAGCAAGAGATACATGGCGCAGCAGAGCAAGCGAGTTGGACTCGTTGACATTCAGAGGTACCTAATCAGGTCCTCCACTCATTATGTGAGCTATTTCGACCAGCTCTGTGCTACATACAAACAAGAAGCAGAGGTTTCGTAAGCTCAAAGCAGCCGGGTATTCCTGAGACGCCTTGTCATTTTATGGCGCTTCAAGCCATCAGTACTCCGATGTAGGAGTAGAGTCGTTAGCCGCCGGCCAAATACTCCACCATTTATGGCCGGTACTCCTTCTCCGCCGCTGAATCCATCCTCTCAGGGCTGTTGTTTGTATCATCCCTGTGTACCACCGCACCCTTCTCAGCATCCACATTGCCCCTCTCCAGCTGACTAACTTGCTTCGTCGTGACCCTAGTCTTCCACGCCGGGGTGCCGATGTTCTTGATGCCGTCCGGATCCAGGAACATGCCCTCGACCTCCTCCAGCGTCTTGCCCGCTGTCTCCGGGAACAAGAAGAAGACATGAATGAACATGGAGACGCAGAAAACGCCAAAGATGAGATAGGTTCGCCACTGAATATTCACAAACGCCGGTGGGACGAAGTAGCCGAGCGCGAAGTTCATGATCCAGTTCGCTGACGTCGAGAGCGCGACCGCCTTTCCACGAACGCGGAGCGGGTAGAGCTCAGGCGGGTAGATCCACGAGACCGGACCCCAAGTAGTTGCAAATGAGGCGACAAAGAGATAGGAGCACGCGATGACGGCCTTGCTCGGCGGGCCGCTCACCTCCCACGATGCTTCCTTCACGCCGCCTACACCGCCTGGAGGTGCTGGCCTTCCACGGGCGGCGAGGACACCGGCGTTAGTGAAGAGCCATGTGGCCATCAGCGCGGCGCCGACGAGGAGAGTCGGACGACGGCCCCAGCGGTCGACGTAAAGAAGGGCTGGTATGGTCATCAAGACGTTGATCACGTACTGGATCGACGAGGAAACGAGGAGAGTGTCGCCGGTCAGACCAGCCATGGCAAAGACGTAAGTGATGTAGTACATCATCACGTTCATACCGGTCAGCTGACTCCAAATCTGCGTGAAGACGCCGATGTGGGTGCGGTTAATCATCCGGGGCTTGAGAAGCTCCCAATACGTGACATCGGCGTTGTGGCGCTCAAACTCGCAGGTTTCTTTGATCTCAGCGAGCTCTTTAGCCACGAAAGGCGAGTGGGGGTCCCCGTGGCCATGGACTAGGATCAAGACGCGCTCGCAGTCGTCCCAGCGGTTTTTGCGCGCCAGCCAGCGAGGAGACTCCGGGAGGAAGAGCATTCCGACGAAGAGCATGATTGCTGGGACAGCTTGGACCGCCCAGGGGATGCGGAAAGCGGAGGTGTTCTTGATCTTGGAGCAGCCCTGCGCAAGGGGTTAGCTGCTGTCGAGAACGCGAGAGCGGCAGAGCCTACATAGGAGATGTAGAACATAATCATTATTCCCCAAGTGATAGCCCACTGCTGCGCACCAACGAGACGACCTCGCTTGGACGGGGGCGCTAGCTCGGAGATGTAGACGGGAACTTGAGCGGAGCAGATACCGACGCAGACGCCATTGATGAAGCGGCCTACGACGAGCATGCCGATGTTCTGAGAGGCAGAAACGATTACACAACCGATGCACCTAGGGAGAAGTCAGCAATGGTCGAGAAAACACTCAAGGCGGACGGGCCCACCAGATGACGGCTCCGATCATGATGGCTTTCTTCCTGCCAAAGATGTCGCTGAGAAATCCGGAGACGAGTGCGCCGACGAATGAGCCTCCTGGCATAGAGGCAGTGATACCGCCTTGGACGTCTGATCGCGGACCGACGCATGTTCCTTGCTCGTTGAGGCCACCTTGATTGAAGTAACAGAGATATTCTTGCGTGGCTATGCTGTATCGGTGGTCAGTATAATTCGAGGAAATGGATTACTAGAACCATTGCCAACTAACGTGCCTCTGACGAACTTACATAGCGGACATGGAAGAGATGTCGAAACCGAACAGACCACCGCCAAGGACGGCGATGGCCGCGATGAAGTAGATGTTTCCGACTGTCATGTTGAGATATTTCTGAAGCTAGAGATTTATTCTTTGGAAGTCACGGTGCTGACAGAGCCACTGGATGGGTCTCCGCTGTACTGTTTCAACCATGCAGCAACGGTAGAGGAGGTTGTGCAAGGCCAAAAGTTGTGCGGGCACACACGAAGTCTTTATGTTTCAGGTTGAGGCGGGCAACGTTCGGATGACAACCGATCGTGAGCGCCGCATGACCTCAGGAAAGCCACGGTCAGGTGCATGAGGTTGGAGTTTCAAGGATGACACCGCACCTCCTCTCTGCTTCTTCACCACCGCCCATCCCAGCATTGCAAGGGCAGGTCAATGCAGCCTTGTCCTTGCTTGCTGACTTTATGTGCTTGCAAAGCCGCGTTGCGCACGTTGGAGGCCTGACAATGGAGTCTGGTGGGGAGGGTGTAACATGCGACGATCAACAGCCATTTCTGATCCACTCACCACTTGAATCCTGCGGCGGATGGCTGCAACCGCACTGCAAGACGTCGAAGGAAGCTCTGCAGGGCTAGCTAGCAACGGGCGCTAACGTCAGCGGCGCTCCCGCGAATCCTCAACCCTGCCGCGCCGTCGTCCGTCGTACAGCAGCATCTTGTCGTGCCAAAGAATTCTTCGCAAAAGGCCGTAAACTGCTTGTGCACATGCGCACTCTCCGCTTCATGACTCTTTCATTCTTTCGCATCAACTAACACCGCTTGTCTTTTCCTCTCCGGGATGCCACATCATGCAAACACGGACTCCCCAAGCTTTTCTGCCAAGCGCGCATGGCCGCCAACGTAACATCCGCTAACGCAAGCCCCCCGCACTCCCTTCCCCAGCTACCTGCCTTGCCTGAAAACGCTGCATGACCAATGAAGCGACAGGTATGTTTATGCGACCTGAGCGTTGATGCCAATCAACATTGGCAACACGTCTACTCATGCCGGCTTCCGGGGTGTTTCTGTTACCTGAGACATTGCCGCTGTTTCTGTATCGTCCCATATCCGGATATTGCGGTATGCGGAAGTGAAGGCAGTTAGTGAGACTACGCAGGGCAAGAGGTTAAGAAGATAGCAATTCAGCAGGACAGTAAAATAGCGGGGGAGAAGGACAGGAGGACAGCAAGACTATGGTAACGTTTTACAAGAACAGCTACATTACCGGTTTGGGGGGGCGAGGAGCTGTCCGTAGATCGAGCAGACGGAGACTGGTACGCAAAACCGTGAGAGTGAACAGGAGCTTGTCAAAGAAGCGTGCTTTTGATTGTTAGATTGTAATAAACATGTCTACTTTATCGCCCTCACATCCATGCTGCCTTAGCCATCTGTCTAAGTGACCGTCGCCCTGACCATTCATGCCCTCATTCGCCATAATCAATGCATAACCGGGTATGACAATAAAGTGTGGAAGCTCTCTGCTCGTGCAAAACGTTTACTGGGACGAACCGCCGGAGATGGTGATAACTTGGCCTGTGGGGTTGACGTTAGATAACTGTACTCCGCCAAAGGCAATGGAGAATTAGTGCAGAGAGGCGATCACTCACCATTGACCCAGCTGCCATCCTCACTCGCCAAGAACGCAACCACCCTCGCAACATCCTCGGGCACGGCACACCGGCCCAATGGGCAATGCTGCGCCATGAGCGTCTCGATCTTCTCCGCCGGCCAGTCTGGGCTGCCACCCGGGATATAGTGCCACGCGTTCTGGGTGAACATATCCGACTTGATACCGCCAGGCGCGACGCCGTTGACAGTGATACCCCTGACGCCAAAATCCGTCGCAAACGCCTTGATCATGCCGATAACAGCCATCTTGCTAGCATTGTACAGCGCGTGATTCTTGACGCCCAGCAGACCAGCCGCAATGGACGACATAAGGATAAGACGACCATTATCCTCAAGGTGGCGGAATGCAGCCTGCCCGACGAAGAACTGAGCCCGCGCGTTCAGATTGAAGACGTGGTCGTACTTCTCCTCCGTCACCTCGAGCGTCGGGTCCCAGCTCTCGGTCCCGGAGTTGCTCATCACGATGTCGACTTTCCCGAACGCCTTCTTGGCTTCCTCGAATAGCCGGTTGATCTCGGATACTTTGGATACGTCGGCTTGGATACTGATTGCTTTTGCGCCGTTGCCGAAATCCTCGATGATTTTGCAGACCTCCTCCGCGGGGCCCTTGGAGGAGACGTAGTTGACGACTACGGAGGCGCCGCGTTTGCCGAGCTCGATGGCACAGCCGCGACCGATGCCTCGACCGGCGCCGGTGATGAGGGCGACCTGGTGGTAGATGGGTTGGTGGACTGCCTTTTGGGGAGGAGGCTCCTGCTCGAAGGGGGATAGCTTACCTTGCCCTCTAGAGAGGCGGTGGGGACTACGACGACCATTTTGAATGGGTTGGAGGTGAGTTATTCTCTGAAGGTAGTGTGTTAGTACGGCTGTGTATGCTGGTGCTGTCCAGCGATCTTGTGAGAGCAATTGAGGTCCTACCGCGATAGAAGTAGCTGGAGAGACTAGAGATGGTCACGTAGAAAGGCTCCCGAGCGGTCTGAAGCAGCAGGAGGTATATGAGAGGAGAAATGGAGTGGTCTGGGGGGCATGGATGGCTATATAAACAGACCTCTCAGCCAAACTTTGCCGGAGAGCGGGGATCCGACCACCGGATTCGCGCTTTTGTAAGTGCCGACTCGGCCTCCATTTCTAAATCTGATCACTTCACACAAGCCCGAGAGGACGCTGTCATGCTCGGGATTTGACGTGGTAGCTGGAGACTGATTGTTTGGGCCGCATCCGCCTTCGCGGAGCCGTGAGCGGCATGCCAGTGGTGACACCCCTCGTCGTCCTAGCAGGATGCCGGAGCTCAAGACAGGATGCTTACGAGGACCCGACCTCGAGAGCTTCCGGTGCAATAGCTGTTCTTCGAATGTTTATGACAGTGGTACCTGCAGATCTCCGGCGCGGACCTGAACCGTGGAAAGTTTGCGATGCTGCAGGGCGACATGACGCAAGGCTGGAAGGCTGGAAGCGGAAATCCCGAGCCGTCCCGCATCCTCCTTGGCTTTATCGATTGCTACGGCGGGCGACAAAGCGGATAGCGCAGATATCAAACCGCAATAGCCGGGCAAACCGAAGGCAAGCCGCAGGACGCTTCAGCCGTAACAAACAGCCAGTCGGGACATATATAGAGGCTTCTCCAACATGCATATTCTTGCAAGTACAGCTCCTCACTCTCCTGACTGAACCGCTCTTACAGACCTCCGCAGGTCGTCAACGATGACGGGCCCCCGTCGAACCAGAGCTCGCCCTACGTCCACAGCTTCGTGTCCGCACTGCAAAGAGCCGGCCACACCGTTTCAGTAGTCTTGCCACACACCCAGCGGTCCTGGATTGGTAAAGCCCACATCGTTGGTCAGGCCATCAAGCCGACATACTTTCGGCCCGGTACACTGCACGAAGTGCGTAGTCCGTCCGTTGAGTTCAGCCAGCCTACTTGGCGGCGAAAGCTCTCCTAGACAAGTACCATATCAGCTGATGCAAGGAGTAGGACGACGGCGTAGCAACAACCCACCCCCTCCCCGCCGACTCCTCCGAGGAAGAATGGATCCTCATCGACAGCACGCCTGCCAGCTGCGTCCAGATCGGGCTATACCACTACTTCAAGTCGCGCGGTCCGATTGATCTCGTGATCTCCGGTCCCAACTACGGCCGCAATACCACCGCCGTCTTCGCGCTCAGCTCCGGGACGCTGGGCGGGGCGATGGAGGCCGCAATCTGCGGCGTCAAGGCTATCGCGCTGAGCTATGCGTTCTTCGACCGGAACCATGATCCAGAGATTATTGGGGCCGCAAGCGAGGTCAGCGTGCAGCTGGTGGAGAAGCTGATGAGAGATTGGAAAGAAGAAAGCGGGGTACAGCTGTATAGTATCAACGTACCGCTGAAGCCGGATGTGCGGGAGAGCAAGATCGTGTGGACGAGAATGCTGCAAAATCAATGGACCAGTGGAAGTTGCTTCCAAGAGATTGAAGTGCCGGACGATGAAGATCAGGGACCGGAAGAGAGGGAGATGGAGATTCGAGAGGGTGGAGAGAATAACGGGAACAATACTCCGAAAGAGGACGGTCATATACGGTTTATGCATAAGCACTTCAAGTGGGCGCCAAGATTCAAGGATGTGTACGATAGCGTGGAGAAGAACGGACCGGGTAGCGACGGATGGGCAGTGCAGCGAGGCATGATCAGGTACGTCGGTATCTCCTCGGTGCTGGTTGCTTGGGGACAAATCGTGCATAGGAACAACCTGCTGATCCGTTGATTCAGTGTCACTCCTCTTCGCGCCAACTTCATGCACGTGGACGCCATGGAAGGCGAACTGAAGCTGTGAAGGCGTTGCGTTTTGCGGCGAATGCCGGCACCCAGCGCTTTGTTTCGCATAGACTTCACAGCGCTGTGGGTACCAAAACGCTTAGACTCGTCGTTAACTTTAAATTTCACTAGTTGCCATCATACACCCCAATCTTTCACACGTATACTGTCATTCACCACTGGCTACCTGCGGTCAGACTGCATGTTTCGCGATGACCTGCATCTGCTAGCGCGTGAATCTATTTCACCTTCAAAGAAGCGCTTCACTTCCAGACCATAGGAGCATCCTCATTTCTTTCCACCTTCCACCATTTCAACTATATCTATGCTTCGAACCACTTTTCCTTGCTGCAACAGGCGAAGAATCTGTCAGTCTTAAATCTCTTCTTGACGCTGCCAGCACCACAAGAGACGCCGCAAGAAAGCAACTGCGCAACTCCCGCTGAGCTCCACTATCCGTACTGAACGATCAAGTTCATCCTCACGACAGTTACACAGACTCCACGATGGTCAAGGCTTTCGTAGTAGAACCCATTCGCGAAGCCAACGGAGATATATTGATAGCGCTGTCGAATCGCAAATGCGACCACCTACATCTTCAGAGCACCGTACTAAAGCACAGCACATACTTTGGTCCGCGTCTCTCTGGCCGCTGGTCAAATACGGCGTCCTTTGAGGTCGTCCACCCTTGCACGGGCGAGTCGACGAAGATATGGAAGTTCGGCTTGGTCGGTGACGGAGACGACGCGGCTTGTGCTGAACTCCAAAAGGCGGATCTGGCTAGTGGTACGTGGATGCTTCAAAGCGGAGTAAGTTGGATCTCCAGGGGCTTCCCGCAAGCCGTCGGACAGACACGCGAGGAAATCGCCGGACTCGTAAACTACCGGACTTACAACTCACTCCTAAATCACCGAAATCTATCGGATTCACTACGTCTCTAAAGATGTTTACTCTAGCCATCCTACTTTCAGGTATAGCTTGCATATATTTATATGGCAGCATACCATAAAGGATTAGGCCTATTCATTATCTGCTTAAGCCGACTGAAGACCTATCTGTTTTTCGGAGTCCGGCAATTTCTGTCACAGTGTCACCCAGGTGACAGGTTAAAGATGCTTAGTAATTTCATGCTTATTTGCTACAGGTTCCGGACGCAGACTTGCCAGACTGGGTAGAGATCAATGAGTCCCATGCCGACAAGCTCAGCCACGTGTCGTATTCCTATCCAAGCATTACCGGCGAGCGGTTCTATCGCTCGGACTATGCATCGGGCTTCCCCATGCGGGGTGATGCACGTTACTTCCCTCTCGGACAACTGCAGCGTTGGGCCGTCATCGCTCACAAACTCCTCTTTCGGCTCGTCTACGGGCTCGACATCGATCTACGCGCGCTCCCGGCCACCGATGCAGTCGAGGTGCTGGCCGATGTTGTAGCTTATGAGGTCCCATCTCGCGGAGCTCACGTCGTCACGTAATGAGAATCCCGAAGCGCCCTACCCGTACTTCGCCGTAAGGTCGTGGGAGGTCGGTGTGGGTGACTGGTACACCGATGATGGACATTTCGGTCCCTGCGGTCAACAATGGAGATTATCCATCCTAGCCCGGGCGAAGGTGGATTTTGTTCCGGCATCTCAGGCTTGGACAAGCGTTTTAGGGCTACTAGAAGATGGTGGCTTGTGATTTGAGTTTACGGTCTGCTCTTCGTCGGCTTCATGGAGGATTTTATGAGACAAGTTTGGACACATTGTTTCGACAACAAGGAGCGGCTGTGGCGTTGGGTTTTTTGTACTCAGTGAGGAAGCTCTGGCATAGCAGTACTGTGCGACACCATTGCTGGTCGGACTGCTCGGGAACGTAATATAAGGTGATCACCTTGAAGCTGACCACGAAACCATTTCGGCCATTCTTGGAAATTAAAAGCAGTCGTAATACTTTGATTCGTATGCAAACCCCATGAGCGCTTAAACACTTCTGGCGTATATGACGATATCAATGTGAGATCGTTTATGTCGAGCATTGATGTAGTAATTGTCCTTGGTCGGCTGTTCTCAACTTCTCGTGAGGATCATCGCGCTGAAACTTTTGCAATCACGTTATAAGATAAGCCGCACTTGAAATATTCACCCAAGTGACGTTGTGAGATCCTTCTCAGAAGATTTCAGAGAATCTGACACTTGGTGGTAAGGATGTCGTCGGGAGGATCTCCTCCAATCATCGGAGAAACGTTTCCCGGACATGGGCATGTGGACGACATCTCATCCAGCTCCACAGTGTTAAGTCCAAAATCAGATAAATGTAAGATGAAAAATGTCTCTTGTGCCAAGTTCTCATAGGGGCATCGTGCACCGCTTTTACGGCAAAGGTGTCGCCTTTGAACACCTTCTCACGTTGGAAACCCCGAGTAGCCGTAACACTCTCATCTGGATCGGGGGCCTCGGCGATGGCCTGCTCACCGTAACTTACCCAACGAAACTGGCTGAAAAACTACCTCCAAACTGGTGCATAGTGCAAGCCTTACTCTCCTCCTCATATAGCGGCTGGGGCACGAGTTCCCTCAAGCGCGATGCGAAGGAGCTTGCCCGCTGCGTCGACTACTTCCTCAAGCAGCGACCAGGGGGTAAAGTTGTGCTCATGGGCCACTCCACTGGGTCCCAGGATGTCATGGAGTATCTTGTTGGCGAAGGCAGCCAGAGTCGACCTCCAATATCTGGAGCCATCTTCCAAGCTGGCATAAGCGACCGCGAGGCTTTGGTGCAGCACATGCCGGCCGAGTTGTACCAGAGCAGCTGCAGCCTTGCGCAGGAGTGGGTGCGAGATGGTCGCGGCGACGAAATACTACCAAAGTCTGCCACGAACAACATTCTTGGTGCTCCCGTCACCGCATATAGATGGCTCAGCCTTGCGGCTAAGGGAGGAGATGATGATTACTTTAGCAGTGATCTCGACGACCAGCAGTTGAAGAAAACTCTTGGGGCATTGAAACCGGAGACGCCTGTTATGTTCCTCCTCAGCGGCTGCGACGAGCATATGCCGGACTTCGTTGACAAGGATGCCCTCATCGCCAAATGGTCCAATATCATCAAGGAGGCCGGAGGAGCCGTTGATGAGGAGCATGGCGGCGTTATCGAAGAAGCCTTTCATAACTTGGAAGGCGATCCGGACGAGGTTGTGCAGGATTTGATCAGACGGGTTAATGGGTTTCTGATGACGATTGACTCGGGAGATAGGAAGGACTCTTCGAATCTTTGAATCATGTAGGTTAGCTTCGGACTCTACGCCTCACCAGATCGTTTCTGCTTCTACCCTCCGTGCCAATCCGTGTATATCGTTTGCGCCCGTGTACTAAAGCCGTTTGAAGTAGTATATGTAACGATCTGCTATTCGCCGGCTCCGCATGTACATCGTGCCAGTGGTTCATACCTACGATCCACAGCTGTTCATACCCAGTAGCTGCCAACCGAGCCTCCCTTACCTCAACCGCACCATCAAGCCATCGTCTTGCTCAGCTTCATGATCGCGAACCGTCCGGTGTCCACCCCCGCCCTCCGGCGTGGCAGAGTGTTGAACGGATAGGACCGCACGCCACCCCAGACCACAGATAGTGTTGCATGCTCCTGCAAATTGCTGGCAAGGCGAAGAGAAAGGCTCGTGTGACGAGATGGGAAATGTTGCTTGCCGGACAGTCATGCCACGCACATCCCAGAGACAAGACGCGCCTTCTTGCGGCGAACAGATGACCAGTGTGACGATGGATTCTGCATTCCGTGGGCGATCGCACTTGCCAGCCGCTGTCCTGATGCTTCCAATGTATCCACTTTCAACTGTGGAATCGACGCACATCGCCCTGTATCGTCGTTGCTGGTCTTGTCGCTGTTGCTGAAGAAGAAGAAGAGAAACGATGGGCATGGAGAGAGACTGGACTGCTGGTGCCGCAAAGTCCCGTGATTCCGCCATATGGACGGTCCTGCCTGCGGAAAACGGATACTGCCCGATGTGGAAATGCACGCTCAACCGTAGGACAGCTAAGAAAATGCTGTGCAGCCACGGGCAAGCATTGATATCTTCAATGATGTGCACGAGATGTAAATGCTGCAACTGCAACGGAGAGCAAAGAGCAAGCAAGAACCTGTGGTGCAGCCGAGAAAAGGCATTATTTGATTTGCAAAGTTCACTGTTTCACCTCAGCGGGATGTGGCCTGATGGGTAAGGAACTCGGTGCATACTAATTAGGACAGTGCTCGACACACTGGTATCGAAAGGGCACCGCCGATGTTTCCTTACCCCTCTCACGAGCCACCCTCGTCCGTCGAGTTCGAGCTCGGGGCGGACCCAAAAACAGATGGGGCGTGTCAGCGCTGCTACCGCCCCAAATGATGTTCTCGCCTTCCACGTTAGTGGTCGGTTGTCTTAGAGTTTTGCCATTTTGGTTGACGAATCTTCTCTTTTCGTGTTTGTGTCGTTTCACATGTCTGTTTCTAAGTTTTATGGTTCTTGTCTTGACTATGCATGATTTAAGTGTTGCTTTCGGCTATACGAAGGAAAGGGTATGTATCAAAGAAGCGGCGGCGGCTTAACCACCCTCTAATACCATTAACAAACATCAATCAACGGTTTATACGATTAGCACCTGGACCTTCTATTGACTGAAGATGTATATAACGAGCCAGTCCACCTCAATAAGTATTGGACTACTATGTTGAGGGGCTTTGTGGTTATGCGCCGTCAAGCGGCCGCTTCCTCAATACATACCCCATCCTTCGTATGAAGAGAGGAAGGGTTTCATCATCTGGATAATAGATCTTTCTTCCATATATTCTGCTTTGTTTAAGCCTTCACCGCACCGCACGTATGAGGGGTGATTCGTTAGTGTGCCTTCTGGGTTTCTACTATTGACAATCTGCAGCCTCAGGCTGACCCCGGTATCACGCGATGGGACCGTTCTGGACTAATCACGGTTTTGAGTTTCTTAATAGCTGCTGCGCTCTCTTGACCAGTCTTTCGGGGTTCTTCAAATGGAACGCAACGCGACTCCGTCACCCATTGGGGAAGGCGCGTCCCTGCTGCAACAACAGAGTTAGACTCTCTGCCACCGGTCATGCCCGAAAACAACGCAGAGCTATAGATCTTAGACTCGCGCCAAACTTCGTTTACTTATTCATTTTTCTCCGAGACGATTTAAAATACGTGCTTCATGCCGCTGCCAGCTGCGCTTTGCCGCGCGAACGCAACATGCTCCTTACTGGTTGCACTCATATTTGCAACCCGACCTCTCAGGGTAGCGCCCTTTGAGGCTCTACCACGATGAAACGTCGCTCGCACATCCACTAGTTGGATTCGCCATAGTAGAATAGCATGTCATAAGAACGCGGCTGGAGTAGTAACCCCATGGAGATAGCACGTTTGAACTCTAAGGATTCACACCGCAAATTGTTCGCAATGCTCTATGCTGCATATAAACCACGTCTGCCAGTACCAAAACCGAGCTGATTGCGCCCTCGACTCAAAACAAAGCACACGTCATGCCTCCCTCGACCGCTCACCTTTCTCGGCCTCGGCCTCCCCATCCTCCTCCTTCCTCTTCCCCCAATTCCACACCTCCCAGATCTGATCCATAATCAGCCCACCATACCCTCTCCCCTCATCAATAGCCTCCTGCTCCTCCCTCAGCCTCCGCTCCTTCCACCCCTCCGTCTCACCCCCCATCCACACCTTCTCCAGCACGCCCTTCTGCCTCTCCTTCTCCCTCCCCTCAAGCTGTCCCGTAAACGCCTCCTGCGCAGATTTCAGCCCCGCAGCTCGCTCTTTCTCCTCCCTCCCCCGCCTCGCAATCTCCTCCCGCTCTTCCCGCACGCGCTTCTGGAACTCCCGCGCCTGCTCCGTTGGGAGCTCACTGCCGTTCACGGTACCCATGCCGTGTCGTAGGTGCCCCAATACTGACCGTCCGCTGTGGTAGGCGATCATGTGGTTCGCGGATAGGCCCCATATCCCGGCGAGCCCGAAGGTGTAGAGGTCAAGCTTGCGGGGTGGGAGCAGCGCGATGGCGGGGCAGAGGAAGAGGCATGCGAGGGCGGTATTGTGGGCGAGGCGCCCGTATTGGTCGTGCTGTTCTGGGCTGGCTGAGAGGGGCTTTTGGGGGGTGGTCGTCATGTTGGTGTGTGTGTGTGTGTGGAGGTTGCGGTGCGGAAGCGTGGGCGCTGCTGTGGGGGGATTTTGGGGTGCGCCGAGTATATAGTTGGACGCGGTGATAGCGGTGATAGGAGGGCGCGCAGTCCAAGACTGAGGGGGCTTTGTGTCGTTGACGGATGGAGAAGACGATTGAAGCGTCATGGACTTTAGAAGCTCGAGGTTGGAGGTGCTCCGCAAATGGAGCTTCGTGATTGGTGGAGGTCAAGCACGTTCTTAACTAGCTAGTAAAGATATTTATTATAAAGTATATCATATTCTAGGAGGCTATGCGTTTATATTATCATCTCTAGCGTCTCCTTTCCCGCAGTACTGTAAGCTTCATTTGCGAGTTCATCTCTTCTTGCTCTTCTTCAATTCCTCTGTGCATGCTGTCCTGAGGACAGGTGTTTCAGACGCTCCAAGTCATTTTGACCGCGGGATCCTGCAGGTGCAAGGCTGTGTTGCTTCTCCGCAACCAAGTTCGGCGTCAAGACCGTTCCGCTCTCCGTCTTATATACAGCATCCAAACCGTGGAAAGCCTCAGCGGGCTTACGGATTGACTCACGGCTTCTCATTGACCACTCGTTTAAACAGAGAGACCATCGCCATGGCAGACGATGGAGAAGTTGTATTCACCTCGGTCAAGGACCGCATCGCCGCGATGAAGCTGAACGAAGTCGGCCGGTCACCTATCGTACCGCAACCGCATGGCCAACCCGGACCTCCGCGAGTGCGGCCTCCACCTCCAGCGGTTCCAGCACGGCCAGCTGCGTCCCGCGTACAATCCACAAATGTGCCCCCGGTACAAAGCAACGCTCCGACAACAGCCAGGCATATTGGCAACCAGCCTACACCAGTTACCAACCGCCCTATTCTACCTCCGCCGCAAATCAAGAAAACCATTGGTGATACCGAAGAGCGACCCTCACTCCCAGCGAGACCATCCCAGGAATCGGCAAAGACGCCCCCATTACCGCCTCGTACACCGTCTGAGCACAGCGTGAGTAGACGAGACTCAATCGAATCGGTATCGTCTGTACGGTCAGGCCAATCTTCCTTCTCCGCCGCCTCGACACACAGCACAAGCTTCAGCGGCGCATCACGAAGACCATCCAACGATGCGCAGTCAAGCAGAGTCAAGGCTCCCCCTTTCGACCCCTCGAAGCTGCCCGTCATACTGGCCAAGAAAGAAGAGGAGACAAAAGAGCAGGCTAGAGCTCCCCTCAAGCCCACGTACTCGGCCCCCAATGTTATACCGAAGCCGCAACCATCGCCCTTTACTCAGTCTCCGCCTCCTTTACCCAGTCGGCCTCCTCTCCCAGCGCGCCTCTCGGCAAAGCCCACTCAACCTGCCCCGCCGAAGCGCTCGGCTCTTGACTTCGCCATGAACAGAAGTACCGAGACACCTCCCCCCGTGCCCGCAGCCCGACCTGCCTCCACCGCCAACGGCGCCCCCCCGCCCATCCCGCTCTTGACCCGCCCCGACCTCATCGCTCTCCAAGCCTCGAAACCCAGCTCCACCAGCCCAGGCACCTGCCTCAAATGCCGGGACTTTACCGCCGCCGACACCCACGCCACCCGCTTTCCTCGCGAGTCCCTCCCAACCCACGATCTCGCCAGGCTCGCTTCCCAACTCACATTCCCCTTCCCTTCCTTGACCGACAAGGCCCGCGTGATATTCACCTGGCTCCACCACAACATCGCCTACAACGTCGCCGACTTCTCGGCCGGGACCGTCAAGCCTTCCACCCCCGCCAGCACCCTCGGCACGGGGCTGGCCGTCTGCGAAGGCTACGCAGGCCTCTTCGCCGCGCTAGCCATGCATGCAGGTCTCGAGGCCATGGTCGTAGGCGGGCACGGCAAGGGCACGGGATATGCGGCGCCCGCGCCAGGTGCGAGGTTGCCGCCTCCCAACCCCACCGGCCACGCCTGGAACGCCGTCCGCATCGACGGCGGGGCGTGGAAGCTCATCGACTGCTGCTGGGGCGCCGGCGCCGTGAACGGGAAGGGCTGTCCGTACGTGAAGCGCTTCGCGGCTGAGTGGTTCACGATGTCCAACGAGGAGTTTGGGGAGAAGCATTTCCCCGAGGATGGCGGGGAGTGGTTTCGGAGCAATGGGAGGAGGCTGGCGTGGGACGAGTATCTCTTGCTTGACGCGGTGGAGCGGCCGCTGGTGTATACGGGCGTGGATAAGGAGCATGGGCTCGGTGAGCGCACGTTCTTGCCCGGGGAGAAGAAGATCAGGGTGAATGATGCTGCACAGCCGGCGGTGGTGAGGTTTCAGTTCGGCAAGATTTGTGAGCATTGGGATCATGAGGCCAGGGGGCTGGGAAAGCCGTATCTGTTCCTGCTCAAGATCGGGGGTAGAGATGGCAGGGCGGAGGAGTATCTGCCGTTTCGGTTCAATGGGAATGGGCAGGTGTGGTGGGTGGACTGTCCGAGGGTGGAGCTGGGCGCGCCGGGCATGCAGGTCCTTGTGTATACGTTCAGGGAGCTAAATGGGAAGGATATGAGGGGTGCAACGGTGGGGGATTGGGAGGGGAGGAAGAGGTGTATCAATGGGAAGGGTGCGAGTTGGGGCTTTGGAGGTGTGGCGATGTGGGAGTTGGTGTAGTGGAAGAAGATGTGGTGAGTTTGTTTTTGGGCTGGCGTTTTTGGGGGGATACCCTTGATGTTGCAACTGGCTCCCATCACGCTGCGGTGGAAGCTTTGTGGACTATTCATAGGAGTTGCTATAACAGTGGACTTAGGTGAAGCACTCTCGCAGTACAACTGCTCATCCTCTGCATCGTTTCCTTGCTGAGAAAAGCACTTTTGGGTATCAAAGAACAACGAAAGCGCGAGACTCAGAAAACTCAGAAACACACTGCGAGACCGTATCCTCAAAGCGCCGCGCACATACCAGGACGATCAACGGCATCCCATGCTAGTGTTTTGTGTCCTTTCGCGTATCTCGTAGGTCACGAGCTTCGTCCAATCGCACAGCATCCTCCACCACGTCTCCTCACTCCCTATTCAACGCCTCAACCCCCTTCTCCACCCTCCCAAGCACATCCTCCAGCAGCCTCAACTCCGCCAACCCCATCTTCGCCCCCTCCTCCCCCTCCTCATCCGCCAACTGCCCACCCTCCTCCAACCCCTCCCTAAAGCGCCCCACCGCCTGCCTCAACGGCCACAGATACGACCCGCCGATATCGTTCTCCTGATGCATGCCCGGGACGTCCAGCGGCTTGTGGAGGTGTTTCGCGCAGAGGAGTAAGTAGTAAAAATTCAGCGTCGCGAGACAAAAGGACAGCGAGGTCTTGAAGTTTGTGTAGCTTTCCACCAGACTCGGGGCAGCGAGGTCGTGGGTCAGGTCTGGGAAGAGGTGCGGAGCTACGGTTGAGAGGGCGAGCGGGGTGGTGAAGATGGAGGGGTCCTTTGCTTCCTGATCGGTTGACAGTGGTGCCGGGGACTCGGAAGAGAGTTCTGCTGCTGGTGCTGATGCTGACGCTGACGCGGGGAGAGGTGTGGGCGGGTTCGCTTCGATAATTTCGCCTTTCAGCCAGCCGACGGCGCACGCTTTGAGGTTCTCGTAGGGGCAGTGCTCGAGGGTGTCGCGGATGAAGGAGAGGCGGACGGTGTCGGAGGGGTGGGAGCGGAGGACGGAGGCGGTGAGGTAGTGAGCGTGGTAGCGGAGGGTTGGGGAGGGAGAATTGGCGGAAAGGAGGGAGGTGCTTTGGAGATATAGAGTGAACTGCTCATCGGAATCTGGCTCGCCAATGTTGTTTTTCGACAGAGAGAGTAGGCCGAGAGCGATAATGGTGTCGATTATGGCTTCCTCCTGCGTGCCGATGGTCGCGGGGTCGGCAACGTCGATGTAGTTTTGAAGCACGGTGGCGTGCTGTGGAAAGATGTTTATGGGCGGGGCGGTAGGGCGCGCACCATGCAAGACTTCCGAGACTTCTCGCGCAGTGAACATAAACAGAGCGCCGTGCTTGGAGAGCGATATATCCTGAGCTGACGCCGGGGGATCGTCCTCCTCGGAAGGCAGACCGGTAGGTTCAGCAGTGGTATCGAGGATAGTAGCCAGTAACTCCTCTGACGTGATCTCGAGGTCTAGCCCGAGAGCCGCCAGTTGCCCAATGATAGAGATCCTCTCCTGAAGCTCGGGTGAGTTGGCGAATCTCTCCGCATACGTCGTCTTTCCGGGAATGATTCTTTCAGGATACAGCTTCTCTTGCGCCCTAGCTGACCAAGCCATCCCTGGAACATCATCTGGAGACGACAAAAGAAGCATGTGTTCCTCGAAAACATGCGTAAGAAATGACTGCAGAAGACGGTGTGTCAGGGCGGCCTCGTCTGCTGAGGGCGGCTCCGCCTGTGCTTCGGGATCAGGCGCTGTTTGAGAAATCACTGGCTTAAGCGCGAGAATGCTGCCCCTTCGAGGCGGTAGGTGCGGCCGCTTCGTACCTGATAGAGTCTTGACGAAATTGACGACAGTAGCTGAGAGTTCGTTGATGTGTGTGCTGCCTTCATCATAAGCGACGAGTATCGCCTGGAGCGTCGTTGACAGAAATCGGCTGGGATATCTGGTTTTGATGCGTAGATGAAGAGTTGATAGCATGGATAGCAGTACTTGGAACTGGTTTATTGATAGGGGGAGCCCCGTTACGGCCTCGGTAGCCTTGCCGTTATCTGGTCCGCCTTCGTGGCCTTGGTTTCCTGAGCTGGCGGAAAGATCCACTCGTTCCATAGCACCAGTTGCGGTGTCATTTTCTGCTGGAGCAATATAGTCTCCACATATTGCGAGAAGTCTCAGCGCTTCTGTGACTTTCAGGACTACCTCACGGGGGTTTCCTAATCGTGCAATGTCCTGGAGGCATGGCTCGGAAGCGGGCAGAAGCGGGATCAGTAGGTGGACCAGGTCCCAGCCAATGTTTGCTGTAAGTATTGGATCTTGCAAGACCTCATGAAGCGTGGAGAGGTTCTCTTTACTGAGGTTGTATTCGACTATGGTGAGATAGGTCAAGTAGTCCGTAGCAGGAGGAAGGGCCTCCAGCAGCGGATTCTTCCCGTCCGCCATGCTGTACAGCGTCCCTTCGGAAAGAGGGTTGCATAGACTGATGTTCGTTAACCTCGGAATATATGCCCATCGATCGGCTGAAACTCCGGCTGAAGCTTTTCCCTTGGGAGCAACGTCATTCACCACAGCCGTATCTCAGCTCGAATCACGTGCGCACCGACCTGCCATTGTCGCGATCCGAAGATAGCAGGAGTGCAGAATGCGTGTAAATTGCCGGCTATTGGCTCGCGCAATATATAGTAATGTTACATGATCTAACAGCCGAGAGAAGAGCCGTATGATCATGTACATGGTTGCGGCCCCTCCAACCTCCTGTCCCCGGAGGTCCCACAAATACTGTACAACTAGCAACCACAGCGCCGTACCGTAGTGACAGCAACACCGTTCATCCCAGTATGTTCAACAATCGCTCTGTGGCGATCTACTCCGTGTGAAGTAAGGTGTTCGCTCACCTCTTCGAAGCTGCCCTCATCGCTGATCGGAACAGTCCCGGAGCTAATACCTGGTACCTGATACAATCGATGGTTCCAGCAGCAAACCCTTCTGTAAACGATCTCAAGTCATTTAGCGCGACCTAGGTTAATCAGAGCTGCTCCTGGCACCATGATGAGCCGCAGCCGTCCGCATCAACTCCTCCATATGATCCACCGGCGCCTTCTCCTCTACTGGAGCCTGCTGACCAGAGCGGCCAGCACGCCACCTAGGAGGCTTAGCCAACTGCAGAGGTATGCTGTCCACCGGAAGCGCGTCCAAACGTTTTCTAGCATGAGAAGCCTTGATCTTCTCTCTTGAGTGATTGATGAACGCGACGCTACCACCGCTGACGGCATAAGACACGCGCCTCGGCGCAAACGTCCCCATCTTCCGCAGGAAATCCGACGCCTCTCCGCGCTCCCAGTCCGTGTCACGATTCTTCCACTTACTGGCGCTGCCGAGGTACAGGCGGGTCCAGCGGCGGACGAACATATGGTTGCGCCGTTTGATGAGCCAGAGGAGTTCGAGGTTCCGCTTCATTCGTGCAAGCGATTGCCACGTGACTGCACCATGTTCATGCGCTTTCGACGCCTCCAAGTATCCCTGTCTGGCTCGGTGATACGACACGATCGATTTACGGTAAAGACGATGGCCCTCCTGGATTCTCGGTCCCACGTCCTCCCAAGCCCGGTACCGCCTTGTCATGTTCTTGATAAGGCGGTTGTACATGGGCATTGTTGGCTTGATGTTGTATGGCTCCGAGGTCATAGTCTTCCATAGCTCTTCGACTGCCTTGCCTGGCAGCTGGCCCTCTTTTTGGCCCGGTATTAGCTTTCTGCCTGAGCGTGGCAAGGACAGGACGAAAGTCCACTGGAGAAGCTGCTCCCACGTATCGCGCGATATGGTAATGTTGTAGTTTCGGGAGATGAAGTCGACGACGCGCAGCGCGGTAGGGATGTCGTTGTTGATGCCAAAGCAGTGAGCAACCATGAATAAGAGATACTGGCTAGGGTATAATGGCGACTCTTGCGGATATGGGGTGACCTGGAGGTTCTTGTGCTTGTCTTTGCCTCTGCCCATGATCGCGCCTACATCGACATTCCAGACCTTCTTCAGGATGGACTTGACACCTGCTACATCGCCTTCGCGGGCCAGGCCGGACATCATCAGGGTGAAGGTTCTCTCATTAGGCATGTTGCCTTTGCGGAGCATCTCGTTGAACACTTTGGTGACCTCGTCTTTGATCCCACCAGGCCCCATCCTGAATGAGTCGAACGCCCACTGAATCTTCAGCCACCGACGCCAGCCCTGGGCACTGCGGATGGCAATGTTATTCTGTATGACGCGGATCTTGTGTCGAGCTCTCGCCCGGTAATGCCGATGCCAGATGACACTGGTTAGATAGTAATTGTAACAGTCTGTGTCCGGTATGTGGCCATCCTGATGCAGATCCTCCCACATGCCTTTCGCGGCGTCCTTGTTGCCTACGGCGCTGGCACACTTCAGTAGAAGCTTGTAGTCCCTAAGTCCCAGCTCAACGCCTGCGGACTTTCGTACCGCGGTTACATCTCGTACGATGCGTATGAAATCGGCCAATACCTCGTGTACCGGGTATACATGCAGCTGTTTTGCGTAGTGGGCGCTCAGCTCGTTGTGAACAAGCTTCACGCCTTCGATAAAGTGGGTAGAGTCGATTGTGCGCAGGAGCTCAGTGAAGGTAGCGGGCGGGATATCTCGGACGTAGTCGGTGTCTTCTGCAGCGGCGAGGAAGGCTCGTACAGCTGCGTCGGGATCACCTCGCGCCAGTGCGATTGGCAGCTCAGCCCGGTAGTCGATGCCGTCGCTTCCGTACAGATACCGCTTGCTGTAGGAATATCGCGATGGCGAGTCTGTTGAGCGCTCTTCCGTAACGACGGTAGGGGGTTGAAGTGCCTGAGCCTCGGGCTTCACCCGGCGAACGCGCTCCCATAGAGAGTCTACTGTCCTCCAGGAATTGCCAATTGCTTCTTCTGTCCGCTCGAATCCTCCTCGCGCCGAGCCTTGTTCAAGCTTGCCGTCGAGGTTTTGTCCGGCGTCGGCGGTGGTGAGAGGCCGCCGCTGGGCCCCTCTGTGGCGGCAGTCTGCACATATCCAGTTGCGCTTTCGAGGTGGATGAGGTACGCGTGCTGTCGAGGCGATTCTGGACTCGATTGGCCCCAGCCGACTGAAGAGAGTGGTCATGAACCGCGGCGTGAGTGCATAGCTTGAGGAGTAAGTTGAAGCCTGGGGAAATTTTAGGGACGTGACGGGACCCTGCAGGCAGAGCTGCTGATGACTAATCACTAACAACTTCGATAAACTCACTGTAATCCAGTTTGGACAGCTTTATTGACGCGACATAACAAGAGGCAGCCCCAAGTCGGACAGACATGGCCGATCCGGATGACACCGCCTCCGCGCCCGTGAATGAACCTCTCGATCTTGTGCGCCTATGCCTTGACGAGGTGGTCTTCGTCAAACTCCGAGGCGATCGCGAACTGAAAGGTCGACTTCACGCAAGTCACTCGCAGAAGCCCCTAAGCCCGGCGCAAAGCTGACTGGATCCCAGGCCTACGACAGTCACTGCAATCTGGTGCTAGGGGACGTGGAAGAGACGGTCTACATTGTTGAAGAGGATGATGAGGAAGAGGACACAGTAAGGGTGGGTTGGATATCTCAAAGAGGGGGGTTTTTTGGATGTGGGCTGATTGACTGGCAGACGGTGAAGAAGCAGTCTGAGATGCTGTTTGTTCGAGGTATGTCACGTCAAGAGCGCCGTAGAAGACGAGTGGGCTTATACTTGCTAGGTGATTCGGTAGTCCTGATCTCGCCGCAACCGCCGTCGTGATCTCGAAAGCTGTTGCCTGCTCGAACACTAGGAGGGGGGAAACATGAAAAGCAGCTTATGGATTGGTAAGAGCTCTAAGGCCTAGGGGCTGCGTTGAACGACTGAAGCGGTTGAAGCGGTTGAAGGCATCAGGACGAGACGGGCATGCAGTGCGCCTTGGCTTGTCGTCTTGAGGTAAATGCCGTTATCCTCAGTATCGGAAGGGAAATGGAGGACCAGATTTGGAGAGTGCATTCATCTACGCAGCGGAGTAGGGGAAGGTTATGTGGTTGCTGAGATTCTTCCAAGAGTGGCGGTCTAATGAGAGACGCGATTCTCTCAGGGACGGCTTGATGATACACAACTCACCGATCCGTTAGCAATGGTCTTTCAATCCATAGAGTCCGTGCATGTTTTCACAAGTCTCAGCATCCAGCATGGAGTGTGATGGTATATGCTTTATCGCTATTGACCAATCTAGACCCATCCATGTATAGGTATCCGACAGAAAACCCCGCATGCAGCCTCCAACACCAACAACCAACCGTTCGCCTCCCGCAACCGCCAAACTCACACGCTTTCGACTCAACAAGGAAAATGAGCGGCCTGCATTGCAAGCACACGGATTAGGTAGTCATCAACATCGTGACATCGTGGAGTAACCCGTCCCCTCCTCTCTAGCCACGCTCGATCTGATAAAGGGGCTGGGATAAAGCAAAGAGACCATGTGACAGTGAAGGAAATGAAGATGCAGCAGTGCTAATTCAGAATCCAACTCCTGTACACACCCAAACACAAGTGGGGAGACCTGGACTGAGGGGAATTGCAGGTTATAGAGGGCCTTGATGTGGCATTGAACCCCAGTAAGAAAGCTGACGAGGTGGTGGTCCGCCAAGCTAGCCTGTTAAGTTGTTCCTACAAGAATGACAAAAGAAACAAGATCCTGGGTCTCCTGGAAATAGAGCAGGCTCATCTTCGTCGCCATGACTGAGCGCAGCCAGAAGAGGTCTCGCCAGAGGCGAAAGGGAGCTGAAACCCGTTGGCCAGCTCGCCTTCGACGAAGCGGGAGGCCTTCTTATAGCGCTTGTCGGCATACTTGTCGTAGACGGCGGAGTGATGCTTCTGGGGGTGCTCGCAGCACTCTAGCATAACCGAGAGGAGATGTCGGAGCTGGGAGAGGGTGTAGTTGGAGTAGTATACGTGTGCCGGAGACTAGGGGATGTTAGTATAACGGCAGTGGGGAATGACGTTTTCGGGACCACGTACCCAGTCGCCCTTTCTCAGCATAAAACGAGCAAGACAGTGCGCCGCAGCTGCCGTGAAGCTAGGCGCGCAGCCAACGAACCGCTCATCCATGATGGTGATCTCGAGGAAGTACTTGGCTAGCGTCCGGGTTTCCAGGTCGTAGTCGTCGGCTTTGCTGATCCTTCGCAGGAAGCTCATTGGTCCCGGCCATCCAAGCTCGAATTGCAGCATGCTCAGCATGAAGCGCTCAGCCTTGAGGATCTCATCCACCGAGTAGCCACTGTCGACCATGTACACGATCTCCTGGACCGATGGGCAGTTGATTTCCTCATATTTGGCGGCAACAAAGATGGCTGTGGCACCGACAAGCTGGAGCTTGTTGAGGGAAACAACCTTGCAGGAGAGGAAGCGATCGACATAGTTAACGCTGAGGAAGAGAGTCTCTGGAAGGAGGTTGAAGCGGTGGTGAACTTGCACGAGCCAGTCCATCAGGACTGACCTCATGGACCACTGGATTTCAGCTTGGTTGTCCATGTAGTAGGGGTTGGGTCGCATGCGCTCCTAATCACATGTCAGTCTTTGCGTTTTCAATTTAAGGGATCGAATAAGACTGTAGGGGGGGTCGCAGCGATAAACGTGGAGTAAACTAACCTCCAACTGCCTCATGTAGTCAAAGATCTCGTCGCCGTACTCTGCGACCATGGAGGTATCCCAAGCCTCGTCTTCGATATCTTCAGCGGTCTTGGTGCTCTCCACGAAGTCCTTGGCGGCCACGAGCTCCCTCTCAACTTTTGCCGTCACGCGCGGCGCAAGAACGATCGTGACGCCACCAGTCGTGTTGTCGCCCCGTGATGGAAGTGACCTCGCGGTCGTATAGCCGTCAGCTTCGTAGTACTCCTCTTCCTCTTCTTCTTCCCAGTACTCTTCTGGCTCAGGCCTTGGTTGACTTTGCGACTGCAACCGCGCAAGCTCCTCGTTCCGTTCGTACTCCACTAGGATCGCCTGCTCTTCAAGAGTCTGCAAATACTCAACTTGGTCATGAGAGTGTACGGGGGCTGAATAATACGCGTCATGTGACTCCAATGAGGCTTCCGCGTGAGGGTAGCTTCGCTGTTCATCGGTCTTCGTCGGGATTGATGAGTCCTTAATGGATTCGACAAGGGTGGTGGAAGCGTCAGCGAACGTGTCGCGTCCAGTCTCCTCGGGAGCGTTTTGTTTCGCGTCTGTGACTGTGACCGCCACTGTTTCTGTCGTGATGCTCTTTGCTTGCTCTTCATCAGCTTCTGGTACGGGGTTCTCGCGAACGGGAGGTAAGGTGTGCTGAATCGGCGCGGTCAATGCTCGCGAACGCGTCTCTTTCACGTCGGAAAGGTGCGGCAGCTCTTCGACGGGTGGACTAAGCTCCTTGAAGATGGTCGTGCTGCGTTTCGAAAGCACTTTCCGGATGTTGGCGGCGATTGATGAGTCAGCTACCACGAGCTTCTGCGCTGCTGATGCGTTTGTCGGTGGATTATTGACGGCATTCTTTGCTGTAATCGTTGAGAGTGGTCGTTGGGCCGGGCGCAATAACGCGGTTGATTTCGTGAACTCTTGAACTGAGACTTCAGCCGCTTTCTTTGCCAGGTCGTATGTCCCCTTCGCTGGTAGGATCATATCATCCTTCGCCGGTTGTGCCGTTCTGACCGTGTTGCTCACGTCGGCAAACACTGTCCTCTTCGGTCCAGGTTTAACACCTCCGTATTGTGCCAATGTGGATAGGGCTGAGGTAGATTTGTTCCGCTGGTGGAGGGACTTTGTTTGAGCAGCGGCCGGTACGGCATTCTCATCGCGCACGCGCAAGGCGCGCAGTGGTCGTTGGGGCTGTCAAGGAGGTCATAAGTTAGCCAACGATTGATTGAATCACTTGACTCTTTGTTCATGTGATAAGGCGCGCAGAGGTTTACAGATGGACGTGGATGGCATGGAACGGGAGAACAGGCGTCGCAATGGTGAAGATGATGGAGCAAATTTGCGGAAGGGAGAAGAGGCATTGCATACCTTCGCGTCCATGTCGACGGCCACACTGATCGAGCAACGAAGGTGTTGCTGCGTTTGTCGAGGGATGTGGATAAAAGCTCAAGCCGACGGAGATGAGCTACGGCAGGACCAGGCCAGCTCAGGAACGCGAACCGTGGAAGGGGATTGGAGGCCGAGCTCGAGAAGCATTCGAAGAGATGGCTCTGCTGGACAGCAATAACAGTACTCTGTAGACGTGTTGCTGGAACGATGGTCAACGAAAGCAGCTTCGATGACGGAGAGAGGGAGTTGTATAGGTTCCAAGCCAAGGTATGAAAGCAGGCGCGCAGAGAGCTCTTTTCCGCCAAGAGTTGTTATGGTAAACAGGGAGAATACCGGTACGCTAGCGTCAGACGTCCGTGTCCACCAAGCCTTCGGTAGCCGGCGCTGCTCCGGCTTGCCCGGCGTCCGCATACGTACGAGAACGCCCTGCGAGCAAGTCTGCACGGCATGATGTCTTCATGAAGGACGCAGAGACCATCAGGATGCGACGATGAGTGCCGTACATTTAGGTGTCATCAACGCGGGCCAACTCTCATCTTGCAGCGGCAAGCTGGATGCGAACATGTCAGCGCCGCGACGGCCTATCGATGTTCCACTCCCGATCTTCTTGGCACAGGCAGCACCGCGTCATGTCACGGCACTCCAGCACTGCGAAGTTTTGCATGTCAGCCAGCAATAACTTGAAGAGTGGTCGACTCGTTCTTTCAGACTGGCCAGTATGAGCTTCAACGCCACAAGCTTGCCTATCCGTTTCAAAGATGGGAAAGCCCGTCGCAGACTTGCGAATTGTTGCACTCGCTCCAGATGATATGGACTCACTCTTTGTTTACGCGTCGCTACGCGTAGAAGCACGACAACACGTGATACAGGGTCGACTCTGTTTCCACTTCGAACGGAGCCTTCTTCGTTCTTGTGACACAACCAACACACACTGCTCACAAGTCCAAACACGACGATGCATCTGCAAGAGTGTCGGAGCAAAGATGCAGCGTCAAAGTTCGTCTGGTCTATCGCCGACGAAACCGAGTTGGCGCCTCGGCCAGCCTATCATCTTGGATCGCATCCGCTCCCCTCAAACTCGAAATCTCAGCGACCTCACGGTGTGCGACTTTGCTTGCGCTACCTCCCAACCATTTCCGCCGACCACGATTTGCACGTCTTTGGCTTCTCCATCACGAGCGCTACCTGCCGCTCGGTTTTGAGGCTCTAAGATCGACTTGCGACATGTCTGACGTCTTGTATCCTTAGCCCACCTGCAGGAGCCCCGGATACCCAGTATCAACTGCAAGATGGATCTCTGGGTGCCCAGTGGTATCTGCAAGCAGCTGGGCAATGTTTCTTCCGTCTCCAGGCTTTGCAGCTTGCTCCTTGCGGTTCTAGCAAGCCGTCCGTACATCGGCGTAGCTGACTGAGTACACCCCTTCTGAGACGCCACTAAAACCTTCTCAGAATATGAGATTAACATCGCGGCCTCATTAGGGTTATCTACATTGAGGCACATTCTATGGGTGGATCACTTATGGTATCTCTTAGCCTCACAGCTGGCAGGAAGTTCGGCGCAAAGCAGACTTGCGGATGCGGACTCGACGTGAAAGAACGACTTCGTTGCAAGCCACGCACATTCACTCCTCAATTGCAAACTCGTCAACTCTGTAGAGTACTATCGGTACAACACTGCGTGGCATTTGCGACTTTCGCCGCACATGTACAGACAGCTCCGCCTTGCAACGGCCATGGGCGGTGTCAGAGTGTCAATCCGTCCTGAGCGGAAAGCCTGCTGCTCGCGACCTGAAATGAATAGAAATCCATGTCAGTTGGTCCAATTAGTGGATGATGGCAAATGAATGCAGTATCCACAGAGAGGATCTTTCCCCAAGCAGCGCAAAACCGCTGCGGCGCATCGCTTCATTGGCCGTGGCGCCGAAGCTCCACCTGCGCATCCGGCGGCCATTCTGCGTTTCTGGTTGCGAGGGACTTTGTCTGGCATGCACCGGCGATGCACCAGCGGATTGGTCGGCCGCGATGCGCTCGGGAAGCTGTCGAATTCATGGCACGCACCCGAAGGCCGGACCCAGTCCTGCTCAGCCATGTTCAGGAAGCTGTGGACAAAGTCGTATCGCCAGCTACGGGAGAGAAGTACCAATGACCGTAGGGGCGCGAGCACTCATCAAGACCCGGAAGTCCTTTGGGGGCATGATTCATAGCTGCTGAATGCAAGTCTACCCTGGAAGAAGCGGTTAAGTGTTCAAAGTCTTCTCTAGTAAGCCCACCGAGTGCGCCCTGAAGTGTGATTCTGCCCCCAAATCCTTGATTAATGTTAGCATGCGCAGTAGTCGGTGTGTCTGATAACTCATGCCGCTTGGCCCTCGAGATATCGCGCCATTAGCGGCCGGCCAGCTGACATGCGGCACAGGAAGCGTTCAAGCGCTGCATGGAAATGAACCCTTCGGACTGAGTAGTGGGGATATTCAAATTGATAGCTAAACTGTGAGGATCCACCGTTACATGTACCGCTATTGTTAAATGTACTGTGTGGCTCCTAGCCGTTGTTGAGCGCAAAGTCACTGTAAACTGCGTCTGGCTGGCTTCGCTTGTCTCGCTCCAAGCCTTCCCATCTCCACCACCACCTGGACTCTTCCGCTCCACTCCAGGCCAACAACACCACCAAGGTCCAGAGAGAGAGATGTAAGTCTACTGTCGTCTTCGCTCTGTGCTCCGACTACCCGCAATCGCCGAGAGATACTCACCCTCAGGAAGTCTGATCAGCCGTCCGCCAGCAGACCCTCCCAGCGCCTCTCGAGACCACTGCACTGACACGAGGATCCTCTTGGTATTTCAGGTAAGTGGAAGCCTTCTTTGATATCATGCGACCGGCTTTGGAGGCATTCTGGCTCATACGCTTCCGTTGTGTTGATGTTCTGGCCCCGATGCCGTTGTGCTTCTCCACCCTGTGCTCCTCATGGGCGCAAGCCTGTTAGCTGCAGCGACACGCACAACCAACAGTCCATTATACGTCGGATACTAAGATCATACTGTGGGCCTCTTAGCTGACTTGTTCTCTTCATCAGTCCGGAAGCTCGGCTTCAGCGCAACGCCCTTGGACACCGGCAGGATCCGTGTCTGCTCCTCATCACCGCTCCCCGATACACTAGACTTCGGGTTAGAGGAATACTGCAAGTCCTGCTGATACAAGACTCTCGCTATGGATGTCTCGAATCTCCTTACCGGTAACAAGCCTGGCCCTCCGGCCAGTGATGCTGAAGCCCGTCATCAGGCCTCGCGGCAGGCGTTCGCTGGGCACAATGGGGCCGTAGTGGGCCATGATACCATGGCGGGCATGATGTCTCAGGCAGGCCCTCCGGGTGCCAGTGGACCAAACCCTGGATACGCCATGTCGCCCAATGGTCGGCCATGCAAGCAGGTCTCTTTCGAACTGCGCTACGATGACCCTACGAGGCGTAGCCGTATCCCAATGCGTGTCAACATCTATCCACACGACACCACTGACTCTATTGTCACCACGGTCAAGAACTTCCACGGTCTCTACGGTCGTCGAGGTGTCATTTTTGAGGACAGTAACGGTAGCATCCTCATCGCCCGGTACGAGAACTTTGACAACGGTATGACCGTCTTCGTTCGAGCAGCCCCTGGAGAACCAGAGGTCGTGAGCGAATATGCTCAGACACAGCATTCGATGTCTCCCAGGAAGCCTCGCCTAGGTGCGCCTTTCGAGATGCTGCCTCCGCAGCTGCAGCTTCAGCCTGGATCCAGGCCAGCTTCTCGCACCGCTGGGAAGAGAAGCATATCTCCTCAGTCAAGTCGCAGTCACCGTAGCGGCTCGGCTATTACCAACGCAAAGATACGGTCGCGACCAGGATTGAAGACTCGAGGGAACAACTCCTTCGACAGTGTCACCGATGTGAAGATCGAGGGTGCAGATGACTACAGCGATAGCGATGGTGGCAATGCTTCGGTGACAAGCTCTCGCCGTTCAAAGAATGAAGTCGTTGCAAGCGCAGATATTGATGTCAAGAACATTGTCGAAGGTGGCAGGCGAAAGAGGGCCAAGTTCGATAGCTCGGTATGGGAATCTTTCCCCTTCTCTCTAACCATACCAGCAAGGCGTAAATACTAATACAGACTTCTTGATCAGGAGCTTCCTCTTTTTGTGCCTCCTCAGGTTCCAATCACCACCTCTACCTCCTCAGTGTCCCCTCAGCGACGGATCGGAAGCCACAATGGAGCCTCTCCTTACTCCCACTCGAACCAACACACTTTCTCCTATACGCAGCCTCTGCCATCTCCACAGAGCTACGGGTATGCAGACATGTCCCACATGTCGGGTGGTCAGATGAGTACGCCGTTTCCCCAACCTCAGGGCGGCCGCGTGCGCACACGTGGCTCAGTACAGTATGTACCTACGCGACATTGTGGTAGCGGCACCTCTGGCATTCTGCCAACCCCAGACCCGACTATTGGCGGTAGCGTCATCTCCGACGAGGATGTCGCTCTGCAGCTGATGCGTCTGGGAGATGCGTCCAACTTCTCTACTCACGGTCGCACTTCCACCTCGACTGTGGACGATGCCTTGAGTGGGAAAGCCGAGCTCGCTTCCTCAGATGAGGATAGCGAGGACGGCAGCGACGCAGAGGGCAATGACCTCCCTACCCTTCCAGCTCATGCTAACACCCACGGACACGCGCACCCAGCTAGCTTTGACAGCGGGGAGACCAGCGCAGACGACTACGACGACAACAAGGACGGCTCCTTCGAAGGCGACAGCGATGAGCTGATGCCCGACGAGCACGGCATCCTGCGGCCATCCGGCAAGTCCAAGTCCTCTACCAAGGGCCGCTCCACCTCTATCTCCAAGCCATCGATCTTCAAGCCCGGAAAACCACGCCCCTCGTCCTCGCTCTCTAAGCACCACAAGAGCAAGTCTACTTCGAGCAAGCAACCGATCTCGCCCACCTCCCTCCCGCCGCAGTCGCGCAAGACATCGAGCGCATCGCTCAACTTCCAGCACCAGCTTGGTGTTGACGAGGAAGATATGTCTGCGAAGCCGCGCTGCCAGCGCTGCAGGAAGAGCAAGAAGGGATGTGATAGGCAGCGTCCGTGCCAGCGGTGCAAGGATGCGGGGATTGGGATCGAGGGCTGTGTCAGCGAGGACGAGGGCAACGGGAGGAAGGGACGGTATGGGCGCCATATGGGCGTGCCGGTTAAGAAGGGAGATCCTGGGTGGATGGGAGACGCGGCGGTGGATGGGATAGTGGCGGCGACGATGGGGTATATGCCGCCGCCGCCGCTTGTGGGGGACAAGAGCAAGAAGAGGAAGCGGTAGCGGGAATGAGGGACAATCTGCTGCGCGGCAGCTTTGGGACGCGCAATACACAGGATCTGGTATGCCACCAACACAGAAGAGCAGGTCCATATATGGGTACAAGAATAAGAATAAGAAAACAGGCGCGTGAGAGCGGCTGGATACACCTGTTAACCCCCTTCACCACCTTTGCGCACTTTTCATGTTTTGCTGTTGGCGAGGCTGAATTTGGATTTACTGCTTTTTAACTGTTCTGCGGGATTTTTGGAGGGAGCTGTGGGAGAGCAGGTACGCACTGATATTTGGGAGAATCGTGGGGCGCGAGAGAGACGATACTACGAGTTTCCTTCTCTTGTCTTCTCGTCTTTATATCAGGCACCGTTTACAACCTGCCTGAACCCCTTCTCTCGCACCACGCCTCTCTAGTAAACTGACGAAGTGGTTAACACTCTGTCTCCGTCTTCGTTTGTTCTAAAATATGTGCGCGGTTGAGAACCTCCACCTTTCCGCAAAATTTTTCAATATGTCTTGGGACGCAGAATGGCAGGCCGTGGCCTGGACTGGCAGCAAATTGCAGCCCTGCCATACCTATCGTGTGGTCTCTCGACTAACTGTTTCTCTTTGGTCGCTGGGATTGTTCGAAATACCTATAGTTGGCGCGCAGTACTCTCAAACCAGAATCACAGACATCAAAATAGTAGATATCAAAACAGCTAATTATACTAAGGACTAACACGCGTGGGTCAGAAATGCCAATTGAACAATAAGCAAGTCTTGATCTATTGATGTTAGCTGCGGAGCGGGTATTCTTGGGCGCCTCCGCCAACGGGAATAGTAACGCAAGACATTGAGAAGCATAGATGCTCTGTCGTTGTTGCTGCAGGTACACCTTTCCTCACAGTCCCCGCTCCAGTCATGTTCCGAGGCCAAGTGTCCGTTCTGCTTTACAAATCTCAGTCCCAGTCAATCAGATGCCCGATTATGCTCAAGCCGTCTTCGGCGATATCAGTGGCCCGGGCGGATGGCGCGATGTTGGGCGTTGCTCGAAGTCTGGGCGGGAATCAGGTCGCGAATCTACATCTGTCAGTACATAGGTAACTCCACAGCGGAAGGAAAGAACACACCACCGTTCCAGCGATATTCAGATGGGATGATCTGTCCAAGGGAGGGAGATCCCAACAACGACGGTTCACCTAGCCGAGCGGCGGCCTATAAGAAAGCTCACTGCCGCGACTAACACGTAACCTACGAGCCAAAGGCCTGCCTTCTCGCCGAGAACAAAGGTGCAGTTGTTAAACATCGTATAAGTTCCGCCACCAACAACTGGAATGGAATCAATGTGAAGAGGGGCCTATGTTCTTTTTACTCTCTCTACAACTATCTGACCGGTGACAAGTACTGGTGAAGAGGGATGGTTTCCGCGAGAGATAGATGTGCTGTGGCATATGCGCACAGGCGCCGAGGAAGGTGTTACGTTCATTCTGTTGTGATGGGAGGTATAGGGAGGAGGTGCGCACTTTGTAAAGTGCAGATATGGTAGAGTGGAGAGGGGTACTTGCGATGTTTGGTTATGTCTACCGTGGTTGAGCAGCGTGAGTAATGGGTTTGCTTCCTAAAGGGCAAGGGCTATCCCAAAGGACCGTTGCCGCATCTTTGCTCCAGCTTGTTGAGTATCTAATTCACAACTGAACTGGAATTATGGTCTTGTCAGTCCTAGAGCAGCTATACAGTTCCATACGATAGAAAGCGAAAGATTTCACAGCAGTTTAGCTGTCTAATGCGCCGGTCACCTGAGGCGTCTTCGATCTTTGGGCTGTGTGCTTAGGCTTCCACCTCCAGAGTCACGAGTAGCTTTCCATGCGGCAACGGATTTTTCGGACAGCCGTTGGCTCCCAAACCTCAATGGACGGATGAAGGGAGTAGCCCCGGAGACCCTTAACAGAAGCCCCACGATGCGGTTACGTCATCTATGCGGGGAAACTTAAGCTTATCGATCTGACGCGGGTCGGCCCGCGCTAGGAACGGATGACGGCCCGACATTAACCGAACGAGGAAAGTTCACCTGCAGTCGGGATTTCCGGAACTGACGCTTTCGCTCATAACACCACATACAAATAAGCTGCCATGGGTAGTAGTCCGCAGCTAGGAGACGCCATAGGCGATGCGGAAGCTCGTCTGCAAGCTGCAGCTCAGGCATATCCATCCCAGAACGGTCCAGATGCAGCCACTCTCTCTGCAGAACCGTGGCGGATGGTAGGCCATATACCAATCCACTCTGGCGTCTGACTGACACGCATTGCAGCTCATCGATGCTCATGTAGCAAATTTACACAGTCATAATGGCATCATCAAGGAAATGTACAGGCTCGCCTCTCTTGGCCTGCCAGGAGCAGTACTACTGTTTCAGGATCTGAATAACGTACGCTCGCGAGCTGAGAGGATGCTGGAAGATGCTACTAAAGCCCGCAACGCTGTTGTATGCATACAACACTTCCGCAGAATTGCGAATTACTTACTGGTTGACAGGACGAGTACCTCCGAGCTCCCACTAAAGCCTCCCAGCACGGCGAGGTAAACAAGACAGCACAGGCTACGGCCCATGGTTCGAAGAATGAAACAACCCAACCTGCATTAGCCAAGTATCCTGAGAATATCGAGCACGAATCATCGCGTTCTCCAAGTCAGCCGTACACAAACCCTTACTTCTACGTTGAAACCCAGTCTGCACCTGCGTCCGCTACAGAGCACAGCGCGTCGACGACGACCAAGCCCAACAGCGATGCACATCAAGGTGAAGATGCCAGTTCGAGACTTCATCTAGGCAACTGCCCATATCAAGCCACCGTCGATGACTTCAGGACATTTTTCACGGGGTATCAAACGTGAGTTCCGGTGGTCGACAGTGGGTGAGGTTCTGTTTGTTCTCATATCTAAGTTGAGTCACAGGCAGGCGATCAATGTACCCGTCAATCCTCGCACTCAGAGGGCTGTCGGATACGCCTTTGTCACCCTTCGCAGTGCCGCAGAAGCACAGCGTGCTGTTGCTGAGTTGAACGGCAAAACCATGTTCGAGCGTAAGATCGGCGTTCAGATAGCACGGCCAGGTCCGAACGACATGCCCAAAGCGAGCCGGACCCGCTCCCCATCCTTTCTTCCGGGAGCCTCAGATTCGTCTCCTGACAGCGGCCGCGCCACACCAGCTCCCGCAGCCGGGCCAGGGACCCATAGACCAAACCAGCAATATGTACCAGGAGTGCAGGATATCAGCGCGACTGTCTACATGTGCAACCTGCCCGTTCGCACCGACACCGACGACATCGTCCCCTTCTTCGCCCTCACAGGATATCATGTGTAAGCCCGCTCAGCGCCAACACCATGAAAAACTGTTGATTCCCTCACTGACTCCCTTCTGCAGCCGCAACGTAGACACACATTGCAGGTTCCACGCAACACACGAGTCCTACTACGCCTTCGTGACTCTCCGCGACGCAGACGAGGTTCAATGCGCCATCGCAGAGCTTCACTACGTGAACCTTGAGGGCCGCCGTGCACTTCTCGAACCCGCGAGTCTTCACATGTGGCCGAGGATCGGACCGCAGCGTCCAACCAACAGCGGTGTCGAACGGGCACCAACACCAGCCGTGGAATACGACGACATCACGGGGGAAGTCAACGCCCGTCTCGCCGCGACCCGGCAGCGCAAGAGGGAGGCGCATACCCAGAAGAGGGAAAGGAAGAGGAAGCGCGTGTCTGGCGACTCGGTGATCTCAGATCCTGCTGCCGGCAACGCGGACTTTCACGCCCTGCCGCCGTTACCGAAGAGACCTCGTCAGTTTTGGGGTGGTAGTTTGCCGCTGTACTCGCAGGACGAAACGCATGGCAGGCTATCGCCGGTGGATGGGTATACGCCGCATCGTGTGGCGAAGAGGGAGTGGGATGATGGGTACGGTGCCGAGAGTCCGGCTGCGAAGAGGGTTAAGGTGGAGCCGGTCTGATAGGGCTGATAGCAGGGGGGGTTTGCTCATACCGAGAACGCCGGTTTTCAGTTCCGTGTATGCTGAGTCGTTATCCATGCAAGGGGATAGAGCACAGCACAGGCTAGCTGGAAATGGTTTAGGTGTTACACAGGTGTAGGGCTTTTCTCAGCAAACGAGAGTGATTGAAAGGGTAGTAGGCGCAGACATTATGGATACCCTAGCTACTAGCGCTCGATTGTAGCAGGAGAGGGTTGTCACCGGACGGGCACGGGATTCATAGCTGAGGTGCACAACAGACAGACATGACTTCGCATGAAGCAGTATTCAATAGCAATAGGAGCAAACCGTCTGAACATGGACGATGACGAGTGCATATCATGCAAAAAGACCCACCCAACCCGAGCCAATGGCGCGTCCAGACATGCAAGCAACCACAGCGATCCTCCCATAAGCAGCAAGCTACAACCCATGCCAACACCAGCAAAGAAGACTCCCACAGCGCCAGCCCGCACCCAACGCTCGCCCTGCCTCACCAAAGCGCGACATCTCTATCGAACCTGACAAGCTCCTTCCCCGCATCCTCAACATCCTTCTTCGCCTTCATGCGCATGTAGAAGATGGGACAATCCCTACTGCTACAGATGACCTCGTTATGCACACTTCCCTGACAGCGCTGACACTGCGTCCACAGTCTTGCGAACCGAACTTCCAGGTCGCTGACCTTGCCCAGCGTCTTCTGGTACAGTTCGCCGAAACGTGGACGGCAGTTCTCACACACCGCGCCGTCCTTCTCCTGTGCGGATCTCATGGGCTTCTTGCAGCCCATGCATGTCGACGTCTTTTGCGCAAACTTCATCAGGCCACCCATCGTGGGCGCCGCGACGGATATACTCCGTGTATGCTCACCCGTAAGCAGCTGCGAAGCTTTTTTCTGGCCGAGGATGGGCTCGAAGATGCGCTCCAACGGCTTCGCGAGCTGGTTGTCGAGATAGTACTTAGTATCGATCGGGAGATTGTTCTCGAGGACGTAGAGTGGGTCTTCGGATTTCTCGTAGTTCTTGGAGCCGGCGGCGTTCTTGACGATCACGTAGGCGACGCGGTCGCCGAGGCCGGGCGCGGAGCCCGCGTCGCGCTTCTTCATGCGCTCGGCGAGCTCGACGTGCGCTTGTTTCGCTGCGTAGTCGGATTTAGCCAGGGCTTTCGTGATGACGAGGTTGGACATGTCGACTTTGTTTTGCAGGAGGTCGGAGATGGTCTCTTTAACGAACCTGGATCATGGTTAGTGAGAGCAGTGGTATGGGAGCAGGGCCGACTTACTCTTGGGCGCCATTGACATCCCTGTCGATCAGAAGCATGCGCAGAGATGTCTCGATGACCGTTTGCACCAGGCGGCAGTTGTCGCGGCGCACCGTCTCGATACCTTTAGAGTCCATTTTGTCCCACTTATTCGGATTCGTCCAGTACAGCCCAGCGTATCGCTTCTTGTTAATGAGGAGGTACGGAAAGTAGACCTTTTCGAACTCAAGCTTGATCGGCTTGATGAATTTTGAGGACACGTATTGGGCTGCCTCTCGACCAAGCTCCATGGCCTTCTCCAGCTCACTCGGCCCGAACTTCACCATGACGGAATCAGTGTCGCCGTAAATAACCTGCGCATCATGGCTGTAGCCGTTGACGATCGTGTACTTCTTCTCGACCTCCCCTTTGGTCAGCTCAATCATTTGACGACCGTAGCTGGTGGTACTGCTGGCAATAGCCAGACACGGCAGCTTTCCGACGGTGGCGCCAGTGATGCCGTATACACTGTTTGCGCTAATTTTCAGAGCTAACTGACGGCCGTTCAGTACCGCCTTCTTGAACGGGTCGGTCTCAACTGCTAGCTCTCTCTTCGCTCGCTTTCTCGCGCCTAGCAATTCCTCTAGAATTTGAGAAAGAAGTCCCTTGCGGACTTTCGCTGTGCAGAACATGTCGCCATTGGGCGTGACTATGTAGTCTTCATCCTTTTTCAGCCCGAGCTTATCCACAGCCGTCTTGTTGAGCAGCGTTGTGTAGCAGAGGTTGTGCGCTTGAATGATACTGGGGTATAGGGATGCAAAATCAAGTGTAGCGATTGGTACATCATAATAACCACGGGACGGCTCGATGACTGTAGCTCCTTCGTACTGTTCCTCGGAGCTGTCGGTTCGGAGATTCGGAATGACGAGTTGTTGCTCAAGGGCTTTGCGGAAGAGCTGGCTGATGAACTTGACTTGCTGACCTCGAGCAAGTAGGTAGTTGAAGGGCACACCCGTGACTCTGGCCATTTCGGTATAGTTGACGAGACACATGAGTTTGTCCATAAGTCGTTGTGGTAGGTACGCATCCTTGAGACAGTAGACAGCTAGACGCCGCCTTGACCCGGAGTCGCCATTGAAGAGCTCTGTGATCATGGTGTGATGAACATCCTCCTTCTGCTCGTTCAGGAAGTGTGCGCAGACAGAGTTGAGCGTGTAGCTTCGAAGTTGGTGATCTCGCTGCACAAGCTGGAGAAGATCCAGCTGCAGCCGGCCATTCGTATTTGTGGCCTTCGTATCTCGACTACCCATCTGCTTGCTGGAGAAGTTGGTGTCCTTGGCGTGCGACAAGACGTTCTTCATCCGCGTCCAGTAGGGGAACTTTGAGCACTTCAAATGCTTTGCGCGATCGAGGAGGTATGGAAAATCGAAGTTGGCAATATTGTACCCGATGATTACATCCGGATCCACCTCTTCAAGAAAGTCTCTCCATCCCATCAACAGCTTTTCCTCCGCATCATATTCCAGGATTTGCGTGTTAACGATCAGGCTGCAGGTGTCCAGACAGAACACATTCCGTATGAAGGGCTTCTCTTCGCCATATCGAGTAACGACGTTCGCAATCTGGATCACCGGATCCTGGTTCGCTTCGGGAAAGATACCTTTGCGGCCGGCGCATTCGATGTCAAAGGAAAGGATACGCAACGGCGCCATCTTCGCCCACTCGCCGTCCACCGGGTGTGCAATAAGATCTCGGTAGTGTACATGGGCTTCGATTTGGCAGTTCGATTGACGGTCTCTTTCAGGAATCATGTGATACTTTGACGGCGGGACCTCGACCCAGGACATGCCGGCAATCTACAATTTGTTAGCGGGTGATGCTTCTGTCGGGGGGGCTTGAAAACACACCTTGCAGTCGATCATGAACCGCAATACATATTGTATACTATCGAACGTCAATACGCCACCATCGGCTCCTTTCCAAAAGCCCTTGTAATTTGCGTTGCCACTCTCGATCGCTGTCCGCAGCTTGTTGATGTGCTTCGGATCGGCGACGGTGATTTTCAGATAGGGGCTCTTCTGGTTTCCCTGAAATCCGAATATGTTCTCACGCAACACCATCTGGACCGAGTGAATGATAGGTTGATACTGGCCTATCTGAGTCTCGAGGTAGGCTTTGAATCCATCGCAGTCATTCTTCGCAAATGACACGGGCGCGGCGACATAGAGATAGTGCATGAAATCCGTGACGTGGAGGAGGACCGAATGTCCAGTCTAAGTTTACTTTACATTAGTGTTGTATAGATGTCACGGATGCGGGCGGCGAACCTCCGTAACGCCGAAGAGCCTAACTGTCGTCTTTCCACCATGAAGAGTCCCCTCCTCAGCTTCAATCTGTTGGAAACATAGGCGATCGGTCCGCTCATCGAAGTCGTCCAGACTAGGCCGTCCCCAATGCTGGTCGCGTTCTGAGTTCCTCTGCTTCAGGCCGTTGATGTCTTGTGTCAACTTCTCCAATACCTCTTCGAATTGACTCTTCGGCTGACTGGAACCGCTATTTCCACCTTTAGTTCTGCTGGGTGTCTTGAGTCTTGCTATAGGTGATTCATCGAGCTTGCGCTTCTTCGGTGAGCGAGGGGATGCTGTAATGTTTCGCCGGGTGCTTGTGGTTTCGGCCAGAGCCCGCTTCATCGGCGTGCGAGAAAGAGTAGCGGCAGACATCGCAGTGGAGAAGTTTGTCGCTATACAGAGGGCATGAGTAGCGGGATTGCTGTTGACGGCGGACTGAGAAGATGACAATCAATTTACCAGAGAGTCACTACGCGTCACAGCGCGCCGCATCACTTCGCGCGACAGCGGGTGCAAGTTCTTCCGGCCGGTTGGAGCTGACATCCTGTCTTGCACGTGATACTTCAAGCAGCACCTCACCCATCCAGCAGTCAAATCATCCTTCCTGCACGTTGTATGCAACTGAAGTTGCGGATGCACATCCCATTGACAGATGCTGCAGAGAGACTCAAGACACAAAGCTCCTGAATTTGCCAAGAACCCTGTAGTATAAACACATGTTCCGGTAGCTCCAGAGCAGTATATCATGGGTGTTTTTATCCTTAATGGAGATTCTAGCAGAATGCCCTCCCAGACTGGTGTCCTACGACCCAGGCGAAGAAAGGTCCGAACAGCTGCGCTCTCCGGATACAAGACTCTTAGCAGAAGATTACTCGAGGGCTTATGAATGCAGCTGGATTATGAGTAGCTTCTAGGCTTCTTACGGCGCGCTGAGCCTCGTACCATGAATCATGAGGCAGCAATGGGAAGACGCCTGACTTGCTGGGCACACGTCCGCCTTGCCCGGCTGCGAACCGAAGATACCTGCTTGTTGGGATCGTATCATGAGGTTCTCAATACCGCGCTTCCAAGTGGTTTACACTTGTTTATGCTGGCTGTCAATGCGATGTTGCCCGGCACGCGCCGAAATGTTTCAAATCAATCTGCGATCAGCGACCTCCAGCCGCACAGCACGGTGCATGTGCCAATGGCCGGATGATGGTGGCTGGAGGGCTCAAACTTTGGCTGTGGAGTTGGTGCGGCGCTTTGGCGCTAGCGTCAGGGGTAGATCGACACCGGGAGACGCCAGCAGGAAACTCGCGCAACCATCCAGGTTATCAATGCCCTGAGATGGTTCGCTCGAGGCCTTGGAGCGCGCCTCGCGGAATGCTTTTGCCAGAAAAGGCCGCGAGAAGTCTTTGCCCAGGCTTGGGCTGACCTGAAATAGTATCAACATACGAGCGCCATACCCGGATACGGAGTGCGTCAAGCGACCAGGAGAAATTGCGACACTACCGATCTTGGCAAGGAGCGCATCTTTTACATTTCTTCCTCTGTCCCCACCCTATTTGACAATGTTCAGCTCTGTCGACTTTTTTCCATAGCCCTCTGAAGATGTTTTGATCTTCGTCCATTCGCTTTTCGTTAAACCATAGCCACTCTTTGATCAATCTGTTTTCTGTCCTGCTGTAGCCCGTCATGCGCGGTACCTTTCTCGCTGGCCTTGCGGCCAGTCTTCTTGCAGCTGGAGCCAGTGCGGCTTGTAGCTCTGCTCTTCTGATCGACAACTTCTCTAAATACTCGACTAATACTAACAGCTTGAACTCCTGGACAAGTGGTAAGGAGAATCCGTCCATGCGCGAGCCAGCTGCTAACTTATAATCCTTTAGACGATGGGTCAATGACATCGATATCTGCCGCGAGCAACAAATTGTCCTTTAAGCCGAAGGCAGGCTCGTACTTCTACGAGACCTTCGCATGCCAAGCTGCGTCCACCGACGGCTACAACTCGATTCAGTTCTCTATCAAAGGCCCAGCAGGGGGATCGCTCACTCTCGAAATCCAAACTAAGACAGCTTGCACAGCCTCAGCATATACGAGCAAGTACTTTGTGGTGAGTGGCCTTACGGGAGCTACTCAGACCGTCACTGTCCCGTTCACATCATTTGCTGGAGCCAATGCCAACGCTGTTACTGCTTTCGTGTGGAGTGCATTTTCTAGCACAACCGCAACATGGGAGATGAGCCAGGTACAATTTGCTTGCGGCGCGGCAACAGTATCATCCGCGACTTCAAGGCCTGCATCGAGCAGTGTAGCAGTCTCGAGCACAGCACCCGTAGTCTCAAGCAGAGCAAGCTCGGTTGTTCCCACCACTACGCGCGCCTCATCCATGACTACGGTCGTGGCCACCAGCAGCGCTGCCACTCCATCCGGTCAGTGCAAAAACCTGCTTATTGACGACTGGACCTCTCAATCTCGGTTGACCTTCCTATACTACAACGCCATGCTCGAGCCCAGCTCCGACGACGGCACATTCCAGTCCATCGTAGTTGGCTCTCCGGCCGCAAACAGAGTTACGCTCACGCCGAAGGATGCTGGCTCTTACTTCTATAGCCAGACTGGGTGCACCAATGCCAAGAATGTCTATGGTGGCATCTCCCTCCGCATCAAGGCCGCTGCTGGAACTATCTTCGGCATTGAGATGTCCTCGGCTGCGACATGCGGAGGCGCAGATAATGTATGGGCGTATCAGACCACTGCCCAGCTCGGATGGACGTTTGACGGCACGGAGAAGCTTTACACTATCCCGTTCACAAGCTTTCCTACCCTGGATACAAGCAAGGTCACGCACATCCTCTTCAGCAACCTAAACAGAGCCATCAGCCTGGGGCCTATGTCGTTCTACTGTGGAAACACCGTCAGTGAGTACGTGGTAACGACATCAACACCAGCGAGCCCGAGCTCAACTGTTCCGGCGCCGAGGGGCACAGCTACCGCACTCATCATCGACGAGTTTGCCAGCTCTGCAACCAATGCACTGGGCAACTGGCATGGCGGTGATGATGGTATGACCATGACTTGGGGCACCAAGAAGCTCACTATCAAGTCCACCGACGCGGATTACTCTTTCTATACTCAGCTCTCCGGCAGCTGCAGAGACATGACCAGCTACGACGGTTCCTACTTGCACATCGCCTACACTGGGTCCAATGCCTTCACCGTTGCGCTGCAGCAACACAACTCGCAATGCAACTCAGCAGTTGCGCCGTACCCAGAGACCTGGGACTCCATTGAAGCCGCACGCTACGCCTCTGCTACGGACATCTACATCCCGATGTCTCACTTCAATATCCAGCGTAGCCGTGTCATCGGCGTCGCCCTCAAAGGCTTTTACAAAGCCGATCCCGTGACCTTGACCAAGATTGAGATCGTTCCTTCCATCCCCGCTGGCTTCACTATCCCAGCCAAACTCCCCACCGGCAACCTCGTCTTCAGCTGCAAGCGGCCCAACAGCTTCGCCTTCGCCATCGATGACGGCGTTCCCGAGTTCGCGCAGGAAGTCCTCAAGATCATCAAAGAAGAGAACATCAAAGTCACTTTCTTCACCGTCGGCGCGCCGCTGCTAGACGCAGGCACCAACCTGAGCAACGTGTACAACGAGATGATCTCCCAGGGCCACCAAATTGCGCTACACAGCTTCACGCATCCGAAGATGGAGGGCTTGCCCGACTATGCTGCCATCGACTGGGAGTACAACGAGGACATCAAGGCCGTCAAGCAGACGCTCAATGGTCTCACCACGCCCTACTTCCGCCCGCCGTTCGGCAACGAGGGTGCGCGCATGCGGCAGCGCCTAGCAGTCACGACGGGCACGGACAACCCGTACATCGTGAACTGGTCAGTGGATGTGGAGGACTGGCTGTGGGCGACGAGCAGCACGCCGGAGAAGCAGATGGATGCATTCCAGAGGGATGTTGATAAGGGTGGCAATTTGGTCGTGCTGCACTACTTGTATCCGAGCACGGTGGGCTATCTGAGGCAGTTCATTCAGAGGGCGAAGGCGACGGGGAAGCAGCTTATGAGGGTCGATCAGTGCATGATGGATCCGAACGCGCCGCCATTGTAGAGTGTCTGGTTAGGATGTATGGATGATCCAAAAGGATGGGGCAGTTGTGGTAATGTAATTTACAAGTATAACTGCGACGTAGATCTAAGCAGTAGTTCATGATCTGTGTTGTCAATAATCTTTCAGTCGAGTTGCTCGTAGCTTTGTACGCTCGTGTCAACCTACAGGTCTGTGAACCACAGAGCGTACAGCCTTACCACGTGAGCAGCGGATGAGTGTTCTTCCCCAGCGTCTAATTTCTTCCCCATCTGGGGTCCCCGCAGCCCCAAGTAGACCCTGCATTCATCCTCCACCACTGCCGGCCACCCTACACAGTCCGGGATTAAGATAACAGAAAGCCTCCGTAGCCCGTATAAGTGATATGCCTGCCATGGAGTCCCTCCCTAAGCCCGAAGGCGCTTGTCCAACCTTACTCCATCGACATTATGGCAACAGGCTCGAACAGAAACCTCTACCTCGCGGCAACGGTAGCATGCTTAACAGGAGCCCTCTTCGGCTACTCCGTTGGCTTCATCGGCGGCATTCTCGTCTTGCCCTCCTTCCAGCACCACTTTCGCCTTGACAAACTCCCAGCACCCGACCTCGCCGCGGCTCAGGCCAGCACCGTTACCATATGGCTTGTAGGAGCACTGTTTGGCGTGCCTCTGGGCATGCCGGTCTGTTCGAGCTTGGGCAGACGACGATGTCTCAGCTTCTGTGCGCTGTTGTACGTACTGGGAGCTGTTCTACAACTGGTGGACGTCAGTAGCAGCCTAGCTGTGTTCAATGCGGGAAGGCTGCTGAACGGGCTGGGTGTGGGCGCTGGGACGCTGGTATCGCCCATGTAGTGAGTGACGCAAACTCTCCGCTCATACACGTCTTTACTGACAACGTGGAAGCATCTCCGAAATATCTACTCCCTCCGCGCGCGGCATGCTCCTATCGGGTTACCAGACAGCAATCCAACTGGCAGCGCTTGCGGGCTTCTGGGCGGCATTCGCAGCTCACGCAACCCTCGCAGATTCCTCTGCTTTGCAGTGGGAGATCCCTGTGGCCGTCCAGCTTGTTCCAGGTGTCCTGCTCCTCCTCGGAACCTTGTTCATCCCGGAAGCACCCAGATACCTCGTAGATACTGGAAAGGATGATGCAGCGCAAGATGCACTAGCATGGCTCAGGTCACTACCACGCGAAGACCCCGATATCCAGGACGAGCTCAGCGAGCTCCAAGAAACAACACCGGCCAGCGACGTCCCCACCCCCAGCCTCCTCGCCATCGTCAAACAGCCCAGCATCCGCAAGCGCCTCGGCGTCGGTATCGGCCTGATGATCGCACAAAACATGGTCGGTCTCAATGCCCTAAACTATTGTAAGCCACCTTCCCTATCCTCTACATAAGAGCTCTTGTATTAACCGACCTCCCCAGACGCCCCCGTAATCTTCATGTCCGCCGGCTTCAACACCGTCTCCTCCTCCCTCTTCCTAACCGGCCTATTCGGCCTCACGAAGCTCTTCTCCGCCATTTCCTTCATGTTCGTTTTCGTTCGTCTGCGCGGGAACCGCTTCTGGCTGCAGCTCGGATCAGGCATCTGTGGGATCTCCATGGTGATCCTAGCTATCTGTGTGCGGAGCCTGCTCTCCTCTAGTTCCTCAACCGAAGCGCACCTCACAGTCCAGGGCGTCATCTCTGTGCTAATGGTCTACATCTTCGCCTTCGCGTTCGGCATCAGCCTCGGCCCGATCAGCTGGAACGTGTGCAGTGAGATCTTCCCCGCGGCTGCGAAGGCGAAGTGCTGTGGCATCACGACGTGTGTGCAGTGGTTGTTTCAGATTGTGATTGCGGGCATCACGCCGCATTTGCTGGCGAATGTGGGCTGGGCGACGTATCTGGTGTATGCGGCGTGCTGCGCGGCGTCGTTTGTGTGGGTGAGGATCGCGGTACCGGAGACGAAGGGTGTCAAGTTGGGGAGGGAAATGGATGAGCTGTTTAGCGTTGGGGATAAGGACGAGCTGCTGAGGTTCGAGGAGGGTGAGACGGAGGAGAGGAGGGCGTTGTTGGGTGAGAGGGCGATGCGGACGGGCAGGAGGGACTCGGTTGGGTTCCCTGTGTGAGGCGGCTGAGGGTGCGTTGTGTGGGGTGATGAGAGGTTGTGGATGGTCGACATTCATGGTTTGCTTATAAATATCCCCACTGCGAGGTTGGTTCCGCATTGTTTTATATCGTATCATCTCAGAAGTCTCTCGCCATTCTATAGGGTGTATTGGCCTTTCTATGACTTCGGGCATGCTACCAAGGGTCTAGTTACTCCTTGCACCTCATGACATCCGAACATACCAGTTCAGTCTCTCGTTTCCGCTTGCGATCATTATCGCTATCCTCATTCGCCGCGTACAGGCCCAGCCCACCAACTCCAAGCTGTAAGAGAAGAAGAGGAACACCGAGTAACTGTCGAGGAGCCGCCCTCGGACAAGTCGGAATCAAGATCTATGCCTTTATCGCTCTTCATCCTCCGCTCTATCAAGCTTTCAACCGCTGTATTGTGTAGGATTACGTCCTGAAAGCAAAGACATGTCCATAGATCTCCCAGCTCCCCTCATTATCCCATCTCTCCTTAAAGCGCTGGCTGAACGGATTCGCAGCCTGCAACTCCCTGTGCGTGAAACGGAAGACCTTGCTTCCAATCTGCTCATCCATGTCTCCAAACCCAAAGATGAACTCGAATGCGTTCACCTGGTCCTTGATGGCCGCTCTGACGGCGTTCCCAATCTGGGCTGAGATGCCGTTGATGGCGTCTTCCGAGATATCCGGACTCGTGATGGTGACTTGGCGCAGTAGCTCCGACAGCTTGGTCGCGACGTTCGTGCGCAGAGCCTCGTAGCCTGCGAGAATCGCCTGGTTGGGGGTGTTGTCTTCTTCCATCAGGATGGCGATGCAGCCGATCATGCCACCGGTCTGCGTCATGCCGAGCAGCGGTTTCGAGAAGGGTATCGGCTTCAGGATAGTGTTGTACTGGCCAATAGAAGCTGGAATAAAAACACTTTCACCGTCGCTCACGTCAGTGTTGTTGAGGTTGCCTTGCGAGCCGCTCGTGGCCTTGACTGTGGCTCTTGGCGGGATTGTGATATTGAAAGGGCGGCCCAGCCGTGTTTCCAGGCGCAAGGTGTCGGTGTTGAAGGTCACGGAGTCGCCGTCGACTTTGAAGAAGACAGTCCAGAGGTAGGGCTCCGCGTCACCTGGGCCGTCGCCTTCGTCGTAGCAGTGGACGACGTCTAAGCTTAGTTTGACGTTTGTGTTGATGAGATCCATGATTGACGGCTGTTTCGACGAAGTTTTACGCTGACACGACAGAGACTGAGAACGGACTATAAAGATGGAGGGGAAACAGATTGGGATGCCGAGGGACAAGCAGTATTGATATGACTTTTCTTCAACGGCAGAACCACAGCTCAGCCCCCCCAGCTGAACTTACAAGGCAGCAAGTGTGTGTACAGCTCAGCCTCAGCTGAATCTGCAGGTACACATGATTACTGTTGCCTGTCGTAGCAGCTGTAGCAAATCTCAAGACTTTACATTGTATACGTGTGGAAAGCGATCTCTGTCTGTTGTAAAGATGCTCAATGTAACAACGTGCAATCTCCACGCTCGCCGGCTCACGATGTCAGCTGCCCGGGCATGCTGAGATCTTGGCGTTCGTAGCCAGCCCGCCTCAGTCTCGACTCAAGATACTCTCATGCAATGCTCGATTGACTTCACAAAACTTCTGGTAGGTCTATAGCTACATCAATGCTGAAAGCATTTTCTTCGGCCCCGCACGTAGTTCTCTCACCTGCCTTCTACCACACCCCAGCACCTTCAAATCCTTGCGACATCAGGACAATACACTCATCTCCCACCGGTTCTAGCCCGCAATCCCTAATCGCAAGCTTTCTAGCTGTGTTACCATCAAGCCACTCCAACTTACTTTCCGCCTCTGACAGGGACCTCGCGGGTGGACGGCGGCTTGGAAAACCCCTTGACTCTCATCATGTTCTTCCAATTCGATGCCCAGTTAGGCTTCGAGCTATCCTCCGATGTGTCCCGAATCCGGATCCAGACCGCGTCATCGATGGCCCAAGAGATAGCAGAGGAGAAGATACCTCCTCCGTTCCTTCGTTGTCGCCTTCCCCTCATCCGTTGTGCTCGCAGGTATTGAATATGTGGTAGAAGTCAATGGTCTCCGTGAAGGGGGACCACATGCGACGCACCAGCTGCAGCGGCTTCTTGTTCCACTCGTCCTCGTAGATCTTCTTCCGCTCTGCCGGCGTTAGGTGCAGCATCTCTACCGGCGGCGACTCTGCGAGCTTCTTCTCTCGGATCCTCGTAGCCAAGAACAGGACGTAGTTGGTAAGTATAGCGCCCTGCCACTTACACGCGAGTTTGTTGTCCGTATGTCTTGCGGCTTTCGCTTGGAACGTCGAGTCGGGGATGTCCTGGTGGAGCGCCTCGATCGTGTCTTCGCTGAGGTCGTGTTCCAAGAAGTATGCGAGATACTTCACTGTGAGTGCTGCCGCTGTCTTGTCTACAGAAGGTTAATGTGGCATCGTTTATACGCGTGCTGCAAGACCGCACCTCCATGAGTGCCGCTCGTGCCGACGTTTCAACGCTGGAAACCTTGAGACCAACCGGCATCCCTTGCAAATCTAATGACATGCTCTTCCTGGACCGCGCCCAGCGTCGTCCAAATCCTCACCTTCACCGGCGTCATACTCCCACCAACACTTTACTGTGCCGGCTGGCCAGATCTTCAGCGGCGCCGGAACGATGGCCGCTTGGCGTGCGGCCTCAACCCTCTGCACTTCTTCGGTAGGTTGAGCTTCTTCGGCGACCTTTTGTTCGGCACGGTGAGTCTCTTCGCCTTGGAGTTTGGGCTCAAGCGTCATCTTCGGACATCTGCTGAAGACCAATCAGAGGGAATTTAGTAAGAGGAAGGTCTTAAGACGAATCTCTTCAGAGATCCTTAAGGAAGGGCGAGTGCGCAAAGTGCGCCTCCAATGACTTACGGGTACTTCGAGGATGCAGTCGCGGAACTTTGTAGGCTTCCGAGAGACTTCATGCGCGCGTGCCTTAGATCAGAAGCGGTGAGTGCGGGACTTGAGGTGTCGTCGGGCGGTAGGTGATTGATGCCAAGCGGAGACGGAAGAAGAGGTTGTCGGAAGCTAGGAGCGAAGGGGATGGTGGAAGAATTTGCAAAAAGGGTTTCGCAGAGGGACTCAAACTAGGACTTTTGTGGTCTGCAGGCGATATATGAAGCTGGTGAAACGGTCTACAAGCAAAGCCGAGGAACTGGGCTGGTGCAAAGCAAAAGTCAATGGAGAAAGACGCCAACAACAGTTGTTTTGAAAGCCGTTCATGATGACGACGGCGGAAGTGCCTCACGTGAGATGAGAGGGTTGGTAGTGATGCATGACTTCTTCTTTGGAGCCGCATCACGCAATCTACACGCTTGTTGCTCCGCTTGTGATCCGCAGCGCGGATTCGAGGGGATATCCGGTTCCAGCGCGGTGAATTTTGTCGAGAGAGAGTCCTCAGCCATTCAATAGATCATCCAGATTCGTGTCATCACCCAAGTCCCCCGTGCCACCGAGACCATCCCAGCTGAAAATGTCGTCAAAAGTCGAGTCCTGGCCAAACGTGTCATTGTCAGTTTGATGCAACTGATTCTGGGCCTGAGACATGTCTGTACTCCCCGGCAGATCGACCATGCCAAAGTCATTCGAGGAGCCCGAGTCGTTGTTGGCGTAGCTCTCAAGGCCAGGGAGGAGTGAGGAGAAGTCATACTCGTCGTTGGCATTGTTGTTTGCGCCTGCAGTGATGTCGTCTGCTACGGTGGTAGGAGGGAAAGTCGAGTCGCCGTTCGTGAAGTCGTCAAAGTTCATGTGCTCAAGATCCAGATTGTTGCTGCCGGCCGCTGTAGGCGAGCCGCCAAAGAGATCGTGATCGTCGATTGCATCGTCGGTGATTGTAGCGGCTACGGGTGCTTCGGGCTCAGAGGTCTGCTGTTGGGCTGTAACATCGCTGGGCGCAGGGCCCGGAAGCGTGGTCTCTTCGTTCGAAGCTTCCGGTGCTGCCACTGCAGGCTTCGCACTCTGCGCCGAGGGTTGCGTTGTCATGTCGCTTCTGTTCGTCTGAGGTTCTGTGTGTATGTCGTCCTCATTCCCGGCCACGGACTCGTCTATCATGATTATGTCCTGCCCCTTGGTCTCCGTCGTGTCTGTCTTTGGCGCACTGCTTGGAAGAACTTCCTGCTTCGGAGATGGCACACGCTTGGTAATGGTCGGCGATAGCTTGGCCTCGTGTCGGCTTCTCTCCGCTGCCTCTGCTTGCTCCCGCCGTACTCGGCTCGCTTGACACAGTGCGAGGTCCCTTCGCATGACCGCCTGCGCTCGGGACTGCGATGGGCCGTCGTTAGCTATTGTACTCGAGAATCTCCAGTCATTCTTACAAGCTCCGAGTCCAGACTGTCTAGCGACTCGTGAAAGCGATGAAGAGCGCCGGTCAAGTGCTTCTTGGTGTCGATCTGGGCCTGACTGCCTGGCTCACGCCTTACAGGGTCTTTGAAGGTGTGTGCCGTGGCCATTAGCTGCAAGCATGAGTGAGCTCCCATTCAACTTGGACCTCTCTTCCACTGCGCATGATGCCTACCACCAGATTCAGCATGTCCTGCAGCTGGTCCATTGGGTCCTTGGCGGCCGGGTGCAGCTGTTGAGATGCCATACTGAAGTGTGCTAACGCAGGTGCACCGAGAGATAGACGGGGAAGCTGTTAGACACAGCAGGGTAAAGGTGCAGACAGGCAGGGTCCAGGTATGAACGATCAGCGCCGTGGTGGAGTGACCTTGAACCTTACGTTAACTACTCTTAACTAACTTAGAGTAACGTGCAGGCGAAGGCGGCTTCAGCGGGCGGAAGCAACCGGCACTAAGCCCCGAGAACGCCAAGGAAACTGCCGCCAATTTCTCGCTAGCTCTGCCGCAGAAAGTCGCGCGCCGCCCAAAGAGAGACCCTCTCCTTCCTCGCTGCCTCACTCCATCTCCCCCACACCTTTACCCGGCACCAAGCGTCCATCGAAGGCAACTCGCCCTGGCTTCGCTCCCAGTCGAGCTTTCCGCTTTCTTCTCTTTTCCTTGATTTCCTTGGCCTCGGTTTCCCTCCCGTTTCCGACTTGTGTGGAGTTGTGTCCTTCATACGCCAGTTTTTCCCTACACCGGCCACCGTTCTTGTGCGCTTGGACTCAACACGCGATATACTTCCCATCTATCGCACCACGAGCTGCTCTTCATCACGACACCACTATTCGGTCATCAGCTTTCTCCACGTTCTTGGCGCTGTAGTTCTTCTGTACGAGTATTGCCTGGCCCTTCCCGAAGCCTGTTTCGTCGCTAGCGAGTACTCGACTCCGGCTCCACCGTTCACAGCTTCACCCGTCGCTGTCTCCGTACCCGATAACATCGACGTCTTCATTCAGCCGTGAGACAAAGAAGGCCGCTGTAGCTACATGTCTGACTCAGGCGCCCCTCCCATGGCCTCTGCTGGCGCCCCCGGCTATGATGGCAATACTCAGGGCAACGGCACTTCGCACATGCCGCCTCCGCCGCTCGCACCGATGATCATCCCTCAGAACACCAACCCGATCCCTACCGCCGTCGGTTCGCCCATGTCGGGCGGTGGCATGTCGCCGTCCAGCGCCGGCGGCTTCGTCCGCCGCGCAGCCCCTGAGCCGAACAAGCGGGCTTTATATGTTGGTGGATTGGACCCGCGGGTCACCGAGGACGTTCTGCGTCAGATTTTTGAAACCACTGGCCACGTTCAAAATGTCAAGATTATTCCTGATAAGAATGTAGGTCAAGATAGTGTCCGTCCAATCTCTTTACACCCTCTCGAGTGTTTTGCCAAGCACCTGAACTACTTACACCCGCCCCATCCTGCCGTCCGTTTGCTCTCATGTCTCAAGCGACGCGTTCTGTCGCGTCAGTGGCTCTGCGACTGTCGCCCGGAAAGACGCGCGCGGGTCATGTGCGGCTGCGCGCAGTTTCTTGCTACACTTTGCGGTCGACGCGTTCACTCGATCTTTCACTCGCCACTTCCTCTCCCCTTGGGCAGCGACAAGCTAACAAAACTATTCAAGTTCCAGTCGAAAGGGTTCAACTACGGCTTCGTCGAGTACGACGATCCAGGTGCTGCTGAGCGAGCAATGCAGACTCTCAACGGCAGACGCGTCCACCAATCCGTAAGTTTGCTCTTTCGTCCTACTTCCACGCGGACGCTCACGATGCGCAGGAAATTCGCGTCAACTGGGCGTACCAGTCTAACAATGCCACCAAGGAGGATACATCTAACCATTTCCACATCTTTGTCGGCGATCTCTCAAACGAAGTCAATGATGAGGTTCTCCTGCAAGCCTTCTCTGCTTTTGGCCAAGTCTCTGAAGCCCGCGTCATGTGGGATATGAAGACCGGCCGCTCCCGCGGGTATGGGTTCGTGGCGTTCCGCGACAAAGACGACGCCCAGAAGGCTCTGAGCTCTATGGATGGAGAGTGGCTCGGCTCCCGCGCAATCCGCTGCAACTGGGCCAACCAGAAGGGTCAGCCGTCGGTCTCCCAACAACAGGCTATGGCTCAGATGGGCATGTCGCCAGCGACGCCATTCGGACACCACCATTTCCCGACCAACGGCGTTCAAAGCTACGAGATGATCGTCCAGCAGACGCCAGAGTGGCAGACAACCTGTTACGTCGGCAACCTCACGCCATACACAACTCAGTCTGATCTTGTACCGCTGTTCTCGAACTTTGGTTACGTTGTTGAGACCCGTTTCCAGTCCGACCGCGGGTTCGCATTCATCAAGATGGACACCCATCAGCACGCTGCTATGGCCATTTGCAGCTTGAATCAGTATCAAGTGAACGGCCGCCCTCTCAAGTGCAGCGTGCGTATTAACCTTGGTCTGCCTCCGATCACGTGCTAATCTTCTGTTAGTGGGGCAAAGATCGTCCTCCTACGGGCCAGTATGACCAGCAACAGCAGTTCTCTCCGGCTCAGGGCCCCAACTCCGGCTATCCACCTACTCCCAGCGCATACTTCCCGCAGTACGGTGGCCCAGGCCCGATGTCTCCCCAAGGTGTGTACATCTTAGCCACTGCAATCGGCTCGCATTGGACTCACACATCTATCTAGGCCCACCCCAAGGCGTTCAGCCCTACGCCCAGCAACAAGGCGGCTACGGCGGTCCCGGCATGGCTCAGCCGTACCAGCAGATGCCTCAGAGCGCTGGTGGCTACGGCCGTGGTCAGCCGCAGGGTGGTCAGTGGGGTCAGCCGCAGCCAGCTGCCTATGGCAACAATGGCTATGGCGGGTACCAGGGCTAGACACCACGTGCTTCACATAGTGGGATCGCTGCAGTTTCTGTCACAGTCGCTGGCCATGAGCCTTTTCGCACACTTTGGATAATTTGTCAGTCTGGTGGTACGGGCGGTGTCTGCTAGGTTGTTCGTAGCCACGTCTGGTGCAGTGGCTTGGGTCTTTGTTACAGCTCGCTCGCTCACGAGCCTCCGTCATGTCTTTCATAGGCTGGCAATCTTGCAATGGGGTTGTCTGCATCTCCGCTGCGTGTCATGACTCTCTGTCCGCGATACTGTGATCGTCTTCCCTCTATCCAAGTGATATTCTCCACGCATCTCGCAAAGTCTCTCACATCTAGTCGGCTCACTTTGCATCTCTATCCACTACTTCCCTTTACATACCCCTCCCACGTTTCATTGTAGGTATCTGTGCTGCGATGGCTCTGTCGAAAAGGCGTGGGTTTATTTGATTTGACGAGTATATCTCGTAGCGGTGCGTATATCTCATCTCTACTAAACGGCCCGATGGTCGTTTGCTTCTAGTTAGATTTGAATAACGACGCGAAGTCAGGGATATCACTACGGATCGACAATCCGGTCATCAGAGCAGTATGTTGTCGTTTCCCGCCCCTGCCCCGCATGGTGAGCATGAGGTTGAGTTCTGACCCACCTCGGAGAGCGGGAGAGATGGCATCACGCACCTAGCATCCAGAAGTGAAACCAAACCGGCCCAACGCTGCTGCTTTTGTGTTATTACTTTCTGCACAAGCCCCACATGAACCGCCTTCGACGCCTACTCCGTCTCTGCCCTTCGCACTACCCATCTCATTACTCGTATCAACCCGTTGACTCAGCGCTGCTGGTACGGCGCTCAGAACCGGCCCAAAAAAACGCCTCCCAAATGCACGCAAAGATACAAAAGTGCCGCCCGCATGCGATTGATGGTCAGTCAAAGACGACTACTGCGCACGCCTTCCACTCCTGTCTCGCCACTCCTCACAGCATCTCCATCCTGCCTCTCCAGTTCTCACACCATCCCCCCACCAAGCACCCATCCCAGCGCAGCGAACGAAACTCCCCACACCCACATCCCCATCCCTCGACTGCGGCCCGCTGCCCCGTTCTGACCGACATCAAGCAAACTGCCCCCGCCGCCCCCGCCGGTCTGCCTCGCCTCCGCACTACTGCTACTCGCGGCCGTCGGTCGGACTCCAGATGCGATACCGGTGTCCACCAGCGCGGCCGTCGTGGTTGGAGCCGCCGTGCTCGTCGGCGCTGCGGACGTCGTGATGGATTCTTCCGATGAGGACGGACTGGAGGAGGCCGTGCTACTCCGCGTCCGCACCGGCGACGGCGAGGTCTCGACCAGCAGCCCCGTCGCCGAGCTCGTCACCTCAGACAGGCGCAGCGTGCTCGAGCCGATCGTGGGGCCGGGGTAACCCGGGACCGAGTGCGAGATCGTGGCTGCAGGCGGCGTGCCGACAAGGCGCTTCGTCTGCGGACACACGGTCCGGATCCCCAGCCCGGCGAGGAAGAGGCCGATGATCGTGTCGGCCTCTACGTCGTCGTCTGCGCAGGCGGTCTGGACGAGCGATTCGATTGCTAGCACGCCGGCGAGGCAACGCGTGCTGCAGATTGAGACGGAGAGGTCGTGGAAGTCGGTCGGGGTGCAGGCGGTGATTTGTTGTGTGTAGACGGAGGCGCATCCGGGGGTGAGGTTGGTGTTGCGCGGGGAGAAGTCGGAGAGGGATACCGCGGTTGAAAGGCTGGGGAGGAGGGCGGTCGGGTAGGTGAGTCGCATTGTTGTGGATGTTGGATGGCTGGTCGGAAAGCGAGTGGAGGTGATACCGGCGAGTTGCGCGCTCGAGGCACAGTGTGAAGGATAGCGATAGCGGAACTCTTATTGCGAGAGAAGAAATCGGTGTAGCGACAGTAAGTGACGTGCGAGAGAGAGAGCGAGGGTTGTGTAATTGCGGCAAAGGGCTCCTTCCGTGTCTTGATAGTCGCAAGGCCAACAACAACGACCCCAACCCCCCTCTCGTCTGATGTCAGCGACCGTATGCGCCTTGCAGCAGCAGCAGCGCACGCTCTCTTCTCAACGGCCGGCAGCAGCCCGCGCCTGCGGTGGTCACGCAAGGAGATAGCGAAGGCGAGGAGACACGAGGAAACAAAAAGTGAGGGGAAAGCACAGCACCAGCTGGGGCGCGACGCAGCGACAACGAAGGGAACGGCACCAGGCCCGCAGGGAGAGGAGAGCACAGGAGAGGCAGAGATCACACGTTTGCAGCGGAGAGTTGGGAGGAGAATGCCCTTCTGGCGTTGTAGACAGCAACAAGCGCTTGTGCTGCTGCTCTAGACTACTGTATCAGCCTCGCGGTTACGGCTTCAATGGAGATATGCTCGCGGCAACGACAGTGCCAGCTCCGGCTCCCCATTCGGTCGCATCTCGCGCCCATGCTCGGCCTCGGCGAGGAATGGAGATGGTGCACGATGAGGCACGACGGGGTTCGTTAGCTTGAAAGGCTGGCTGCAGCTTCACGTCGCAGGGCTGGGATCATGAAACGCTGCTGACGTTGGATCGTCCCGCGAGCCGCCCATTGGCTCAAAACCAGCCCCCTGTGTTCCGGCAGCGCATCCCCGGCGAGCTTGTCTCCTGGGTGTCGATGCCTCTGTGAGATGGGCGTTTTGTGCGACTCGGCGCTTGCTGATGACGCTGAAACGAGATCAGGAGTTTGACTTCAGGCTCCATCTACTCATCTGGCAATTGCGAGTACAACGTAATTTTTAAAATAGAAGGGTTTACGCGTATCTCAACCCTCGAGAGCTTGTCCGTTCATCATTACCTAGGCAAGGACTATGTGACCGCTGGTTGTCCTAGACAACAGTCCGCTACGAAACATGATACCTAGTTAACCGACCCAGAACGCTCGCATGCGTTCACCCGCCTCATTCCATAACAAGCACACTGCGGAACCTCACGCCTCCAGACAGCATCCGCTCTACGGCGTCCTCGACTTTGTCCAGCGGGAATTTCTCCACCATGCACTTGACATCTTGGTGCTGGGCAAACGAGATCGCCTCTTCGCTATCGAGCGCGTGTCCAGAAGGCCAGCCGTGCACCGATATGCCCTTCATTATCATCGGAATGGTGTTCACCGAGACTTCACCAACAGCTGTAGCAGAGTGTCAGACCCGCTTCAGTGATGACACGGATCCAAGCTTGAAAAAGAGGAAGAGCACTTACGTGACAGAACGAGCACCTTTCCACCAGGAGCGCAAGCGTTTACCAAAGGACCAATGATCTTCGGATTGGGCGCGGTGACGACGACCAGCGCCGCACCCCCCATCTTCTGGAGTGCCTCTGCAGTGTCCTCTTTGCTGCCGTCGACGTAGTCAGTTGCGCCGAGTTGCATCGCAAAATCTTTCTTAGCGCCACTGCTCGACAAGGCGACAGTGCGGTATCCCATGCGGCGCGCATACTGGATCGCAAGATGGCCGAGGCCACCAAGACCCTGCACCGCAACGGTATCGCCCTGAACAATGCCCATCTTGCGGATACCGTTGAAGACGGTTACGCCTGCGCAGAGGAGTGGTGCGTAGTCGGCGGGATCAACATCGGACGGGATGCTGACAGTTGCTTCGGAGCGAAGAGTGCAGTATTCGGAATCTGCGAGGACATTGTCAGCATCTGGCCCAACGCTCTGAAGCGCCGCGTCGTGACCTACATCCACCGTTCCTTGTCACGCCGTTGATGGCTTCGTTGCTGCACATCTGGAACAAGCCGCGGTTGCAAGCCTTGCACGTCCCGTCGTGTCCACCGTGCCATGGTCCGCCAACTCTATCGCCCTCCTTCCACCTCTTCTCGCCTTCTCCTACTGCGACAACGGTGCCGATCATTTCATGGCCAGGCACGATCGGATATGGGATCCTACCGATGTGTTACCTTCTATTTTGACTAGGCGCTACTTGCGATTTGCACTCACCCAGGAAATTGGCCCTCCTGCACCGCACAGTCCGAGTGGCAGACACCGCACGCATGGACCTTGATCAGCACTTCACCGGCCTTTGGCTGCTCGACCGGGACTTCTTTGATCGCCCATGGGGCGCCGGCTTTCTCGAGGACGACCGCTTTGCAGGTCTTGGGGATGCTGGGTGCCATTTTGGGGACGACGGTGTTTTGGGGTATGTGCGGTTGGGAATGTTTGTACGGCGCCGGTATCTCTCGAATGCCGAGCTAACAGGACGATGACAGAGGAGGTGAGCTAGGAGGAGCGGTTACGCGTTCTCCTGGCGGCGCATCAGGGCCTTTAAACCGTCGTCTTGCTGCAGGGCCGGCCCATCGCAGCTCGCAAAGGCGCGAGAGTTAAACTCCGAGCCGCCGTCGACTGATCCGATCCACCGACTCTGCCAGCGCCCCTCGCGCCTTCATCATGCAGTTGAGAGTGTCTAAACGCTGACTGATAGCGACTCTGTCATTATCAATTGGTTGTGGCTGCGACAGGATCCAGCACATGCCTGTCGGTGCAGCTGGCCGGCTTGACATCACCCCGCATTGGACTTGAAGTGCCCCTCCATAAGGGACCTGACTAAGCCGGATGCACGTCTGGGCGGCGCTTGATCATCACGCTAAGGAATGTGATGCGGCGGTCACTTTCTCGAGTCCTCATAACCTCAGCGAACTCGAGACGGTGAGGGCCTCTTTGTAAGGGCGATGCAGGTCGCTTGTCAGCGCTCCAAAGCCAGCGAGACCGGTCGTCAGGACAACATACCTGGCCGCGTGATGATCGTCTTCATTGTTAAAATTACGCAGTTGCGAACTGCATCGCATTGCCAGTCACAGGGAAAGGAATCATATTGACCACGGTAGTGCTTGTCGTCATCAGAATTGTCAAGCTTTCTAACACCTCGGGAACGTAGTTGCCAAACTCAAGTCTAGGCGGAACAGAGCCTTCAATGTCCAGATGGAGGGTAAATCTCTATGAGTCACCAGGTATTTGCTCGATACTTTGGCCATCTCCAGGTATCTGTTCAACGCGGAAGGAACGATGCCGAGGTGATGCGGCCTTGAATCTAAGGTTTGGCACAGGAACTGGTGAACAGGACGCGCTCGGATCAGGTTGGACACGCTCGTTGATGTGGCTTCGAAGATCTGGGACCAACTTCAATATCAATCATGACACCTGTCGCATCTCCAAGTTTCTCGGCTTGATATGGGAAGTCGAGAGCGCTGGTACGGCACCATCCGTCTGCTCGATCGTGAACGCCAACATCGTCATTTCGATTAGTCGGGCAGCGTTCGTTACTTCAAGCATTCATCATTCTCTCACTGCATGAAACGGCATTTAGGAGCCGCCGTCAAGTGCTCTGCATTGATTGGCCTTCCTATCTGAAGTCAACTCTGTACGATGCTTCTAGAAGCTGTCAGTTCCAAGCCATCAAAGCCATTGAGTGCCTTATCTTGCATCCTTTCACTCAAGACCGGCATAGAGGCGTCCTCCGTTTGCAGTGCGTAATTTCCCGTAAGATACGTTCAATTCAACTCACTGGCTAGGCAGCAGTACGTAGAACGTTGCTCGAGTAACCAATATATTCTCAATGGTGAAGCTGACTGCACTTCTCTCTCCAACTCCAGCTGGACTAACGCTTCCTTACGCCTCACAGCCGCATGAGACGCTTCCAACGTATCGAAAGCAATCACTCCGATTCTTTATTTGCCGCCCAGCCCGTCAACATCGTCACCATGGGAGACTCTGAGGAGCGGATTGAGGAATGTGAGCCGAGCCCTCAGTGCATCGACGAAGTGGGAACATGTCCGAAAGGCCTCACCGAAGAATCACGACGGTTCATTAAGGATGCAAAGTTGCGTATGGAGGCATCGGAATGGGGCCTTGGCGAAGCACAACGGCGCCTTGGAGAATCCCAACGGTGCAATGACGAAGCACAGCGACGCCTTGGAGAATCACAACGGACCGTCAAAGAACAACAACGACTGCTTGTAGGAGCACAATCGGACTTCAGCAAGGCGGCGTGGCTCCTCAAGGCAGATCTCGAAGCAGCACAGACCGGCACTGAAGAAGAACAGATGCGTCGCCAATCGGTGCACGATCATATTCTCCTTGGACAGGGCAAACTTGGAAAACTAAATCTTGCACTTGAAGAGGTACAAGAGTCAGAACGGCGGGCCGGTGGGATGGTAGAGCGGCGTCTCGAAGCACTACAGAAGGCCGCTAAGAGAGAAGAACTGCGCGTCACGACAACATTCAAGGAGATCATGGACGAAACATTCCGCCTGGATTCGGTTGCCGCGAGCAGAAATCCCGATCCCTCATCAAAGACGACTCTTCGAACTCCTTGTCGTCAGCAGGAAGGTCCCCTCGTCTCTGACTCGCTTACAGAAAACATCATAAGCCGCCCTTTCTGCACCCAAAAGTGTCTGCTAGGGCTGGTCCGAGGGGAGTTGCTCGACAAGCAATGTCCTAACGTGTCTCTCCATTGCGGCAAGCGGACGGCGTGCGATCACCTACACAAACATCGGCTCAATCTTCAAGACTGGCTGGACATCTTGCACAAGCAGCTTACTGTATCGCTAGACGCTATCTGCGAGGGGCTAGGAAGAGAAGGTGACACGGGCTTTCTGTTGTACATCGCCCCAAATTTGCATGGATACACTCTTGTCGCGAAAGGCACTACCCGCGACAAAGTACCCTATCTCCGTCACGAAGCTACGGTCTATCAGCACATACGAGCGCTGCAAGGGATTTGCCTGCCGGTGTATCTGGGATCTCTTGATCTGATCCATGCACACGAGTGCGACCACATGTATGGACCTCAAGAACTCGTTCACTTGATGTTTCTGTCTTCGGCGGGAGAGGATTTGGATACAGATAATGCCTCGAAAGACGACATAGCGACCTGGACTCGGGAACTTCGCCGCACAGTCGAGGCGGTTAACAAAGCCGGCGTGATACACAACAGCCTCAAACCCAGCAATATGCTTTGGAACAAAGAGGTCGGTCGGCTCATGTTAGTGGATTTCGAGCGGGCAGAAATTTTGACGTCAAGCAAGCGAACGTGCACCGAAGATGATACTGATTGTGGACCTGAATGGAAGAAGCGCAAAGGTTCGCCCTACAAGTCTGGTCGGACAAGTGAGAAGGGACGGTTGAAGGGAGTATTTGGGTAGCGCTCTTTCCATGAGGTGTTGAGTTGCAGCTGGGACTGGTATGTTGGGAAGATTGGGACGACACCTTTAGTCTCGGGACTTCGTTTCTCCCGACATCCATAATGGTTCTGAGTTGGACCTGATGGCGGCTTCGCAGTCTCTCGTTATGCTTTGGCTAGTTCCTTTTTTACACCACTTGTGCCACGCTTTCATCCCAGTTTCTTGTTACTGGGTCGCGGTTGGTGGAACGCAGAAACCTGTAAGATAATTCACAGTCACGCAACAACAAAATCAAACAGCATCAAAGTTATGGAGGAGAGCCGATAGCTTCTCCAACTTTTTTCTAGTTTTTTTTGGCGAGCGCCAGCGCCCATTTTCACCTCCCTGTATCTGTCCCCTCCCATTCTCTATGCCCTCCTACCTCCATGCGTGGCCCTCAAAGCACACCATCTCACAACGGCACGTCCATCCGTCCCTTCTCCAAATCCCTCTCCGCATTCAAATCCGCCACCCAGTTCGCAACCCTCTCCTCTGGCGTCATCGCAACCCACTCTCTAGTCCTTGACTTCATCGTATGCAATCCACTCACTCTCAGTGTCGCGAATGGCAGCAGTGCATCTCCTGGAGGCCCCGGCGGCGCCACCCTTGCTGCTACTGGCCGCGGCACCTCCAACGCGACATGAGGTGTTTCGTTTCTGCGCGGAGCGGTCGGAAGCTGCTCAAACGCGACGTGAGGTTCTCCTGGCCTGCGCGGAGCTACCGGAGCGGCTGCAGCTACCGGAACGGTCGGAGCCGCCGGAGTGATCGGAGGCTGCATCTCGAGCGCAACTGTTATCGTCTCACGCTTACGGAGGGGGTTCAACTTACCAATCTTACTGCACAAGCGCTGCAGCTTCCGCTTCAGGGACGCCCAGAGCGGGTCCCAGAGTCTGGTACCGTTCTCAAGTCGCCTGAAAAGGATAATGAGCGTGACGGCGATGAACGCTAGCACGAACGGAATGAAGGTAGCGACGAACAACGCCAAGGACATGCGCCCTGCTACTTTTGAGGGTTCAGCTGCTGTGATTTTCTCCGCGCGTTGAATCAACGGGGCAGATAGAGTACTCACCCAAAACGCGGTCGTGTTGGTGCAGTTGTGCGGAGCCATGATTCCTGTAAGTTGGTTAGTGAGTAGACTGTTTGGGGGCTGGGGATGCTTTGTTGTTTGGTCGGTTCTGAGAAAATCCAGTTTTCTCAGGGCGCCAGTGATCTGAAGAAGACTCAGATGGGGAGCAAGCTGGATGGATGATAGGTGGGTATATATACCAGACACCTGCTGCTTGGGATTGTGATAGTTGGACAGCTGGCGCGGGAGACAATCTCATTGTATTCAGAACTATGCAATTGTAGATTTAGCGTTCAGCGTCCTACACAGCGAAGCTGAACAATGAAGCACAAAGCCTGCAGCTCATGTTCCAGCTTGGGAAGTCCCCGAGTCGCATGACATCGGCTGTAGCATTGTAGCCCGTCTTACTGAACGGTGTGTCGCCTTGCTGACCTGCGCATATACGCCATTGAAAGCTCAGAGTACCGGACATATTTGAGATTCAGTAGACCAAGCTGGATACGAGTGGCAGATGAAAGTGCGGAGTGGGTACTCGAGTAGTAAGGGGTCATTCCGTAACAGAGATGGAACCTCCCAAGGAATGGATCAATAAAGCTTGACGATTCAGAAAGACCTCGAGGCTAATGACTGAGCGAAGCGTCAAAACAAGAGACTGCGAACTCGATTACACCGACAATACTTAGCTGAAGGCCGAAGGGTATGCAACTGTACCATACAATGTCTGTCTAAGCATCCCATGGCGTATGACTCGAATTTATTCTTCCGTAATCATTTCACTTCGGTGGCACTGGTTCGCGTCTGCACTAGTAAGGATGCAACAATAAGTAGATCTCCTCTTCGAGTGTAATCTGGAGAAATGGGCCGCAGCTAAGATCACCAACTTATTTGTTCCGCTCTACCTTCAGCATTGACGCAATGAGCGAGATGTAAGTCTCCCTGAACCCTCGCATTGAAATTCAGAAAGAAGCCTCGAAATGAGTACCCCAAACGTAACACCAAATGACTAGACAGACAAAGAAAACTCCACCCTGGTGCTATTCCTACGTGAAATGCCGTTGCATCCTAGCCCAGACCTATCTACGATGCTGCATAGCGGGAGAGGGTCGGGGTGCGGACCTCGCGCTCGGTGCGCGCGGAAAGGCTTTCGAGGGTCGGGACCATATCGACTGTGGGTCTATCGCGAAAGAAGGCGTCTAGTACCGCCCTGATATTGCGATAGACCTGCAACTGGCAGCCAATTGGTCTACCTCTCTCGTCCGGCTTGAGACGGTCATCCCATGTGGACTGGCATGCAATAGTGTACACACCCCGCATGTAATTATGCCAGATCGGATGGTCGAAGGCGGCGCGGAGATCCACACCACGTTCGAGCGTTGCGTAGAGTTCGAAGGCAGTGTCCTATTGCCAGCGGGAGGAGTGCTGCCAGAAGGTCTTCTTGGGAGCGGTTGCGGCTTTCTGCGCATTGTAGTGCTCAACATTGCGGCGGACCGATGACTTGTCAGCTATGCTCCTCGAGAATGTCCCATGGACCTCACGCACAAAACTCAGAAAGAAGTCCTCACTCCAGATCTTGTGTTGCCAGTTATCACGCCATTAGAGTATGTTGTCTTCTTTCAGCGTATATCTATCTGCGGTGAAGTTGAACCCTACTAGCATCTCTACAATGTCGCGACCGCTAATCGTCATATTGCGAAAGTAGAACACTATAGCCACTAGGAGGAGGTTCTTATTGTCTTGGAAGAAGTTGGCAATGTAGGCATTAGTGGACCCTTGAGCGATGAATCCACTGTTACCTACAACAGTGGGGGTGCGGATTAGACTCCCATCAGCATTGCTACGCACACCTCCCCTCACATTCCTTAATATAGGATACTGCCTCTCATCCGGCTTGAGGCGGTGATCCTAAGTGGTCTGGCATGCAACGGTGTACACTCCTCGCATGTAATTATGCCAAATCGCATGGTCGAAGGTGACGCGTAGGGCTCGAAGGCAATATCTCACTGCCAGCGAGCGTTTCACGCACCATGCGCAGAAAGAACTCCACACTCTGGATCCTAGGTAGGAAAACAAGGGATCCAAACGGTACGTGATCCTTCAGTTACCCTTGTGCTGTGGTGCAATATGAGGCGCGTTCGTCATAGGGGCGGCGACATCGACGATTGTATAAAGCCAGCCACGAGCCGGAATTGCCTTCGGCTGATAGGCGTGTGAAGACTCGACTGTGACACACCGCTTAGCTTCGTAAGTTGTCTGGCCTGGCATGATTCAGATACAGCAGCATGCGTGCTGCAAACGACAAAGTTGGACAAATGCAAAGCGCAGGCGAGTTCCGATTGGGCCCAGAATCGGTCAATTTGAGCAACCATGGGCATTGCCTAGTTTCCACTTTGAATGGGAGAGCACGGTTGTTTCAAAAATTTTCAATCATACTGAGGAATAACAGGAATGGAAACTGAACTTATTGTTAAAACGCCGTAAACGCCTATAGAGCTGAGGCGGATGGACAAACGGTCGAATCGCAGGCTTGGCGGAACCCGTGAATGTGCAGCCGCCAGGAGGCTACGAAGGGATGAAGTGACTGGAGTTTTGACTACTGAACTGGAAGCGAAGGGACTACCTGCGGCTTGAATCTAAAATCCAACCCAACACTGTGCATACTAACCGCGCTCGCCCTCCTCGAATGCATCTTCCCGTCCCTTGCATTCTTGCAGCCTGTAGCGTCCATAAAAGCCGCCCAGCCCTGCATGCCATTTCCTTTGCCGGCCAGCAGGATCTTTGTGTCCCGCAGCTGGATATTCAACTGCTCATTTCTCTTTTCCAAGTCTGCTTTCTCCTTCCAGGCAGCCTCGCACTTCTTCATTGCTTCCTCGAAGAGGGCTGACGTGATGTGTTCTATCCGGGCATCCATCAGTTGTTTCTGGTCCTCGGCCCTTTTGAGGCGCTGACGCTCGGAACTGATCAGGTAGCATAGGCTAGCAAGACAGATGATAACCGTGAAAACCAGGGCGGCGATGGTTGCAAGAGGCTTAAAGTTGTGTGATTCGGTCTGAGCCAGTGGCTCAAGGTAAGGTGTGTAGAAGGCAGATGCCATGTGCGTGGCGGATGCCATGTACGCGACGCGGGCTGTTGCTGTTAAGCTAGGTGTGTATTTGAATGGGCCAGCAGGTGAAGGCGGTTCCAGGATCATAATGTGTTTCAATAAGATCAGCTCATGGAAGAGTGGACCGGACAAGGTGTAGTGTGGTTGCTGCAAGGCAGAAGGGCGGTGGGATTGGAGAAGGCCGAGAAGGAGGCCCGAGAGCATGCAGACATGGAACAAAGAGAGTCGAAAAAACAATGCTTTGATAATGCCGATCTATAACAAGAAATCCACAATGTCAAGGTAAATGAAATATGGCGCACTGTTCTTTGTTCGTGCAACAAAATTGTCCCGTCAAGCCTGGCGGAAGAGGCGAGCGAGCGGTAAATCCGGGCAGGTAGCACGCCAGCGTACCGACGCAGGATGCCCAGGAGTGGTGAATCGGGACAGATGGCACGCAATCATGCCGACGGAGCGGCGTAGGAGTGACAGAGCTGAGTCCATGGCAAGTACAGCGAACACATGAGCGGCTGGTGATTGAGTCGGTTGCCGACCGTGAATAAGTTGCTTCTATTTACGTAAATATTTTAATTGGGACGAGTAACCATCTGGCGGTGAAGTCGTGCAGCGACAAAGGAGATAATCTGCTCAGTGCAGAGGCTCGAAGAGAGAGTCGAGCAGCGTATCACCGCCCGTCACAAGATGGCCGTTGGCGTGGTCGAAGTTCGACTCAAGTCCCGAGCTCTGGAATCCTTTTTGATCCGTCGATGCATGTAGGTCCAGCCCTTCGTTTTCCGTAGTAAGTCTGATATCGGTATCGGGAGTTGTCGCTCGTGGCCCCTCTACGGGTGCTGTTGTATGATGGACGGTGTGCGGACTGATTGGCGGCCTGCTTAAAAGTTAGTGATGTGGACACCAGCAATATCGAAGCTGCCAGCACTAGTCGATGCGACCGTTATCAGCTTGCTTACGTTTCAGTCGATTTCGCCGCATGCTTCCGTAATTCGGCAAATTCCCTCTGAATGAGTTCCTTCAGGTCTTTGAAGTCCCGCTTGAAGAGGTCGAGACGGCTTGAGATGCCCAATAGTGCTGTCATGGGCTCATGCTGGGCTTGCGATCTCCACAAGCCCGGCGGATTGTGCTGGAAACCGGTGCCATCTGGGGTACCTGCAGAAGTTACAAACCCTGATGGACTCATATCACATGGCATCGGTGACATAGGCGTCTGATATGGATGAGACATGGGCGGTTGTCGCAATGCTGGCGTTGACTCTGTATGGCGTCCAGATGCAGGCCTCGACGTCGGTCGTGGCCTGGAGCGAGGCTTGGTCGGTCCTGATCTTGGATATGGATGCTGCCGCCATCTCAAATCACCCGACTGCACGGGAGCTTGTTGGGCTTGCGGAAACGGATGTTTGAGGCTCGATGGCCGGCCTATGAACTGCCCCGAGCTGCGATGGAAAGTGACTCCCTCCGGCGGCTGGCTTTGGGAGCGTCGCCGTCCAAGACTGCCTGAAGAAGGAAAGTCGGATCTAATACTGGCATTGTGCTGGTATGGGAGTGCCGTGCAAGGACCTGACAGTGTGTATGAAAAGTCAAAATCTGAGATGGCCTCATGGTTGGGAATGCTTTGGGGTGTTGACGACGGCGCTGTGAGAGTCAAGGAGGGGTCGACTGTGTTGAAGACGGATGGCTCGGAAAAGAGAGCGTCAAGCTCGGCGAAAGTGTGCTCTGTTTGGTGATGAAATGGACCATGGGAAGGGGCCTGTAGCGGATCGTCGAGCATTGCAAGGCTGGAGAGTAAATGGATAAGATTCAATTCAGACTACCTAGGGAAGTTGGTGAACGGCAGGGTGAAGATCAAAAGTCCATGCAGATGTATACTTGTTTTCTTTGTTCCACAGTTGCTGTAGATGCAAGACTAGTGCTGTTGCTGCGGTCGACCAACGCATCGCCGAACTGAGACAGCGTCTGAGACCGGAGAGTTGCATGTATACGGACGTATTGGATTGGGCATACCTTACCATACCTGCTCTCCGCCCTTGCAGGTAAGCTGAATTTCTCCAAGGATTACGTCCAACCAGCCCATCAAGGGCTAGTAATGTTAAGACTGAGCTTGAGCATGGGTCAGCTTACCGGATACCTTAGTGTTGTAGGAGAAACGGCTCAAGGGAGACTGAGCGCGGAGCGAGTGGTTGTTCCGGTCCATTGCGACGACCGCCAAGGTCCTGCGGCTTGGCTGCCAAATTGCCGACCGCCGACCGCGCCGTTGGTACGCGCACGCATCACAAGGCATCAGTTCAACCCCCAGCGGTATCGACGTTTCAACTTTTCCATAACCTTGATATCATGAAAAAAAATGAATCCCCATACTGCTATACGCAAAAAAGACTCTTTCGTATGGGTACAAAAGAGCTCGACAACGGCAAGACTCGAACTTGCGCCTCCGGAGAGATATGATTTCGATTTAATACGTTCGAGTCATACGCGTTAACCACTCCCTATTAAGATTAGCCGTATTCAAAGCTGCAGAATTTGATATAACATACGCCACGTTGTCTTGGAGGTAAAAGTTGGGTTTTGAATATATATACCTACAACGTAACAGCTCAAGCAACTCTCGTCGATACCCTAGGTCATATTTTCCACTCTTATGATTGGGTACCTAGTACAATAAGAGAATTCACAACTCTCTTTCTCTGCCTCTAGGTCCGCTTCGGAAGCTAGGTACCTAACTACTCCGCCTTGGTCTCCGGGAGGATTTATAGTAATGAAGGGTGTCGTTTCAGTTGTCACCCGCTAATTGAACAGCATCCTGTTAATGACGCACACGCGCAGGACCCCTTTGCCGTGTCGGCTCAAACAAAATCAGCAATCGAGCATAGACAATAATCTCACATGGTTTTAGCATCAATTGCCCTGCTTGATATCGATGCTGTCACCCGAAGACAAATAGTTTGCCAGGCAAATAGGCTGCGTTAACTCCTAACTAGCTTGAGCAGCGCTCGAAAAGCAGCTCGAAAGATATGTAGTGCTTGCGGCAGTCATGGATATCACATGGTGACACCTACCTAAGGTGTGCCAACACGCGGACCTCAGCACCAGGACCGCGGTGGAGATGCTCCTCGACTTTCGGCACACCAATGCCGAGGTAGACACCAGGCTCGGTGTCAGGCTTGCAAACAGGAATCTTCTCTAACCCGACGAGACTCTGGAGGTCGATATACCAGCGCTGCCCTAGAATCTCCTTGACTTCGTTGGGGATGAAGGTCATTAACTCTTCTGTCATTGCTTGGGGTGTGTAGGCATCGAGATGCGCCTTTTGCTCCTTATTAAGAGCACCCTCGGCTGCTGTACGAAAGGTGTAGATATCGTTTACGGCGCCCGCAAGGCGGGACTGGAAGCGCTAGGTCCCTCGCTCGAACCTTCACAAACACGAACACGGCCAGCTTCTTTGAGGACAACAAGAATGAGAAACCTCAAGTTATTCGGTTCAAGGGGCTTTGGGGTGCGGGGCTGGGGGTAGCACGTCTGCGCCTTAGCTAAGCGCTACCCACGCTGGTTCTGCATTTTATAAATCTAAGAAAATTTGTTCCAGTATCGACAGCGTTGGTGCTCGACGTCGTGGTGATCATTCACTAAACAGGTAGTGTCTTGCTAGTTCTGTAGAATCAAGAAGCTGCTCAAGCGCGATATTATATGAGTGAATTCACCGTGTCGATCGAGTAATCTGACTTGATACGATGTCAGCACCAATCTTCTAGATTCATGTCACGCTTCGTCCTATTATGCTGTGATTACGCCACTGAACGATTGTCGCGCCTTTGAGCACGCACCTGGATGACAACAATCGCTGACTCAAAACCGAACCGTGGCCTGGTAAATTACTGCGCCAACCATCGAATCGAAGCCGCTTTCTCAAATAGAACAATGCAGCTATGTAGAGTTGACAGGTAAACGGAGACGCTTATGAACTTTGTAAAGATATTGCAGGTAGGACCAGAGGCAGAGCGGTCACGGAAAGGATCTTGGTAGCCTGGTGAAGGGGGGAAAGTTTAGCGATTCTGGAGTCTGGCGACCTTTGGCAGTCTAGTGTACGCCTGACCGGAGGCTGAGGGGCCACAGTAATGGTCTTCGTAAGCGTGGTGAGTTCTGCAGCTTTGGTTAATCGAGGGGTCAGTTGGTTTCTGTCGCAATAGCGCCGCGTATCGAACCTATATGTGGCAGCAATAGATAGCAAGTAGTAAGATCCGCGCATAGAAAGATCACTCCTCGGACACCTCTGGAACATCCTCTAGCTCCTTCACTCCTTTCCCAGCCGCTGCAGCGCGGCTTCTTGCCGTTCTTAGTCGCGAGCGTTCTCTGTCTGCCTCAGTTCTGGCAGCCCACTTCTTCTCTCGCCGCTTTTTTTGAGTCCTCAAGGACCTTGCCGTGCTCCTCCACGGATAGTATCCCTCTACTCTTGTTCTCCACGCTGGCAATCGGCTCTCTGACGTTGGCCGGGAGGAACGGAACAAGAGGGACGGAACGGCGGCTGAAGTGGCGGGCAAAGAGCTCTGGCCGCACTTCATCGGGAATAGTGTTGAGCAGGTTCGCCATAACCTGCTCTATGAAGAAGATTTTTGCTCCGAGAGCTGGCTCGGGCTTTGTTACGTGTCACTCTCTATTCACAGTTAAATGTCGTCTGAAGGAATTCGAAACGCATCGTCACTCTCATTCAGCTTGTTGTCAATGATAGTTTTATACTTATAGTGCTGTACTACGTGCGAGCAGCTGATATGCCGACGCTGGGTATCCCATCTCAACGCTTCTTCCCACAAGTGATGGTACAAGGTATCTCCGCTATGCAATGCAGTGCAAAACGCTCACAAAATCCCCTCCAACGCTATCAACAATGACCGCAGTACCCTACTCCCTTCCCGCCATCTCCCCACCAGCCTGTCCACCCTCCCCACTCGCCTTCACACCCCCGCCTATGCCCTCCAGCCCTTCAAGCATCCCTCCAGTCGCCGTCGCCGGATCCTCATACAGCGCAAAAAAGTTCGAAGCCGGGGATGTCGGCATAAGCCCGCCCAAGTCATCGAACTCAAAATTCCCCAAATCGAACTGCGCGCCCGACTCATCGACCGGAAGCGATCCAAAATCGAAGTTGCGCGAGGGCGAATCTGCCATCGGGGCTTTGCCGAGCAGCTGAGTAATTGCCGCGGTGTACGGCGTCATTGCCTGTGCAGGAGATTTCGCGTTCCGAGATGGTGTAGTGGGCAGGAATAGAGCTGTAGTGGCGGACTTGGATCCTGATGAGCCGTTGGTGCGGGACGAGAGGGGAGAGCGCGAGGGCGTCTTCATCAGGTCGAGGTAGTCCCGCGTGGTCTTCGGTGTCATTTGCACGTTGATGAGTCCTTCGTCGAAAAGGTACGACATCTCGTCTGGTTCGTTTATGGCCGGCGGACAGTTCTCCTTGTTCTGGTCTGGCTCGGGATTGCTGGTTTGTTGAGCAGAGGGTGTGACTTGCGGTAGCTGTGACTTAGCCGGACTGGGAGTGACAGACGGCGCGCCCTCTAGTGATTTAAATTCGCCATCTTTCCGTGGAGAGGGAAATATGAGACGTGTGGTGTTCTTTTCCGGCGACATGATCTCAATAGGGCTTGCCTCACTCCCAGGCACTCGCCCGACCGGGCTTGATTGGATGCCTCGGTTCAATGCCGAGGACGCTGCTGTTCTGGCCTTCTTCGACTGGGCTTTCCTCTGAGGCTGCACACTCGACGATCGAGGCCTCTTGGCCGGGCGTTTCAAAGAAGCTTTAGTTGTGTTTTCCACCGTTCCTTGGGGTTGATCGTCGGGCAAATCTGAATTTGCGACATCGGCAATGTCTGAGGTAGGTTGAGGATTGACACCGGTGCGCTTCCCGCCAGCCCTGCCTCGCCCTCTCCTGCGCACAGCCGTATCGTCCGCATCCACAGGCCCCCACAGGTGTTCGGGACGCATGCCACCCTTCGCGGGGACCCAGAGACCGCAGGGGTTGCAAAGTTGAAGGACCTCAAACAGCTGATGCTCCTGCTCGTAGGGACTGATGATTTTCTTGTATATGCGATGGCCTGTCACATGGCCCATTACTTCATCACGGACCGGCTCGAAGCCGACAATGGGATATGGTTCCTTTGGGTCTTGAGAATCGAGCAGGTCTTTTCGCGGCTCGCCAGCCACTACTCGCGTGTATATCTTACGCCACGTCACGGTCTTGATTTCACCGCAGTTGCCGCAGAATGGCGGCATCTTGCCCGCTTCGAGTGACATCTTCAGTGTTGCCTGTATTTGGTGTTTGCGCCTTGCTCCGGATGAGCTACCCGGCGGCGGGCGCGAGATGGAACGCGTAGGCTGGCAAGGTCCGTCAGATGGCACATCTAGTGGTGATTTGGCCGCCGCCGGTTGAAGGCCGGCTGATCCTTGCGCGTTTGGATTGCGTTCTTGTTGGTGGGGAGGTGGAGGTGAATTAGCGCCGGAAAGGCCAGGTATTCCAAGCTGCGATGTTGAGGTAGCCGACCTCGAAAAGCTTTCATTGCTCTCGTTAGCCTTCGGTAGAGCGAGGCTTGAAGTTGCAAGTCCTGGATGATGCTCTGCCGTAGCGTTTGGGGTCGGCGCGGTCCAGCTTGAATCGCCGCTAGCTCGCTCGGTCACATCTACAGACGCTGCTGTTTGAGCCATGGCCTCTCGCCGGCGCTGTTCGCGATAATGGGGTCGCGGTGGCACAACCTTTGTTGGTAACCTGTCGCGAGGGCCTGGCTCGACTTCCACCCAAGCTCTGTTCGTGTCGTAATTGGGGACTCTCTGTTGTTGGTCCGACTGCTGCGGTTGTGTGGACTGTTGCTGCGCAGGAGCCCCCCATGGAAACTCATCACCGACGCTCGGAAAAACTCCAATGTCTCCAACCTCCGCCGGCCAGTCGCTCAAGTACCCAGAATCGGACGGACCCTGGTCGGTATAAGATAGAGCCGGCAGCTCTGGACTCGAAAGAACCGTCATGTCGTCAGGAATGGGGAATATCGGTGGTGATGAATTGTAGGTTGTCTCAAACTCTCCTCTACCCAGTTCGTCTATATCTGCAGGGGAAGTCGTGAATGAGCTATTAGAGACGTCATCAGCCTGGACCGAAAAGCCGTCCGATCCCATAGTTGAACCGCGTCGGAGAAAGCTTCCGAGTTGAGGCTGAGCACGAGGTTGTGAGAAGCCCGGATTGGTGGGGCGAGGAGTAGGTGCCCTAGCAGGTGGTTCCGACGAGATTGAACCACCAGGTCTTACTGCGATAGGACGGTGGCCTCGGATTGAGGCGGCAGTGCTAGCAGCAACGCGAAGGGAGTCGGCAGTAGAGTGCACTCCAAACGCCGTCTTCCCAGTCCAATCAGCCTGGGTGACTTTGACCCGCTTCCTAGTAGGCCCCTCCTCATTGGCTTGCTGGTTGGAGAAACTAGCGTCGAACGATCCACGCTGTCCATGTGTAGGACGCTCGCTTCTGATGGACGTACGTGATGCCGGTCGGGAATAAGTGGCTTGGGTCACTTGTTGTAGAGCTTCATTGGTCGACCTGATGCTAGGCGTAGGGCTGCTGGTTCTGCTTGGTTGAAGACTGTGTCCACCCATTGACGCAGCGTACATACTGTGAGCCGGAGCCCATTGTTGTGGAGGAGGGTGCCAGGCGTGTGGGTTGAAGCTCCCTGAGAAGCTGTTCGGGTGGTGTATGTTGTCGGTGGGAAGCGGCACGAGCTTGATCTTGACCTCCAATGTTTCCTGGATCCCGTTTGTCATGAAACCGATGAAGTTTTTGCACACCCGTCCAGTGATCATGACGTCTTGTTGGTGCGCAGCCGCAGAAGGCACCAGGATGGAGGATAGCATGCCTTGGCCGACAAGCGGAGCTTCGTGTTCAGAGTAGTCGTGGGCGTAGACGGTGTAATCCTGGCCTGACTTCGCGAGCAGTTCAGGGCTTGCCTGGATGATGGCTTTAATGCACGATCTGAGCTCCATGAGGCCGATTTCCGTGCTTTCGTTGATGAAAGCAGTCTGCATGTTGACCGCATTCTGCAATCGGGTAAGGCAATTCGTCTTCCCATCGCCAGAGTAGAGGACTTTCACTATCCGATGTCAGGAAACGCATGCTTGGAGCACAACTCATCCTAGAGATCTACCAACCTTGTAGAAGTCGATGCGGTACGCCCGCACCCGTTCCGCGCTCCATCGAAAAAGGCACGAAGTTCTATTCGCAAGAGAGTTGTGCCTTCTCGATAGTAACTGAAAGGGTGCGGTCAACGCGTAGAGTAGAACGCGTGATGAGGTCGGTGGTTGGTCCATTAAGATGCCCCGTGCTGGTTTTTCCGTTCCGGCCGCATCGCGCGTGCAGAACTTCGTGACATCGCGCAGCAGCAGGCCCCCACACCACAGCTCCAACATGGCGGACGTAAAGATACAGTGAGTCACGTATGGCCCTTGCTGTCGCGAAAATCCGCTAATAGCTCACAGAGAGCTCCTGCAAAAGCCCCGCAACGAGCTGACCGAGTACGAAATCGCCCAGCTCGAGGAATATGAGTTCACGTCCGGCCCTCTCTCCATCCTCCAGACGGCGGTTCGCCAGCATACACAAGTCCTGATCTCCTGCCGCAACAACCGCAAACTCCTCGCGCGCGTGAAGGCGTTTGATCGGCATTGCAACATGGTTCTAGAGAATGTGAAGGAGATGTGGACGGAGACGCCGAGATTGGCGTCGGGGAAGAAGGGAAAGCCGATGAATAAGGACCGCTTTATCAGCAAGATGTGAGTCATGGGCCGCAATTTTCACCAAAGGCGCACCGGGGAGCACTGAAGCTGACTGCTGGCGCTTAGGTTTCTACGGGGCGACTCAGTCATACTTGTTCTGCTGAGTTGAGCTTGGCTACGGAGAATCGCGAGGTTTTGCATAGGCCGAGCTGAGACGGAACGGAGTTTGGCGTTGGGAAGCGATTGCGCAAAGTCTGGAAGGTCTTAACCACGAATCAGACACGAAGCGACCTTACATCATCAAGCTTAACAGCCGCTCAAGGGTATGGGAAACAGCTCTATAATTGGCAAGCGCGCGAGCTTTCTCATTCCATCAAACACAAATCCGCTCACGTGATCCCCGCACAAATCTACGCAAATCACCGTAGCCCCTCACTCAAGCCCATTAGAAACTCAGCCAGCCCGTGTGCGCCGGGATCAGGGACACCCTGCCAGCCTTCTCCACCGACATAAACCGTCCGCCCAAGACTGGCCTTCATTCCTTTCGTGCCCTTTGCGCCCTCCTGCGCCGCCTCGGCCGCGGCATGGACGTCCTTAGTCTCCGCGAGCTTTTCGACGAACGGATACAGCGCGTCCATGAGCGTCCTGTCGCCCGGCTTCGCAGGTGTGTAATTGGTCAGCGCCTCGAGCGATGAGTTTAGCGCATTAGCCCAGATCTCGACCGTGACCGGCGCGGGTGAAGACGGACTCTGTGTTCGCAGGCCATGCGCCAACGCATTGAGGAAGATGGCGTAGATGGCGCCTGAGGTACCGTCCATGGAGTTTTCCACGCTCTGTGTGATCTTGTACAGGAAGATGCCAGCGTCGTCTGTAGCCTTTGATTTCTCCAGCAGCTTGAGGATTGATTCTGCCCCTCGCCTAAGACCAATGCCGCAGTCACCGTCTCCGACGATGGTGTCGTAGTTGGTGATGTCGGATTCAGCGGCGATGACACGGTTGAGTCCGCTCGTCAATGCTGTCTTAGCCAGATCCGGATCTATCTGGAGATTGCTCGGTTTGGCCTCTTCGGTATCTCCAGCCTTGTCCATCGTTGCGCTGGGCTTCTCCTGCCAGGTCTTTGTAGGTATCGCCGCTGACCAACCAGTCACCTCAGCCGGTGCATCCAGCAGCTCTAACATCGACTTCCCTGACCCGAGGCCGGTATCCTTAACCTTCAGGAGCGAGATGCTGAATCCTAGCCCGTTCAGACTCGTCATGTATGTGCCGGACAGTATCCTGACTGGCTTGATCTGATAGTCTTTCTCGAGCTGGTCTACGACCTCGTTCGTGATACCGCCCATCTCCAGCACACTGACGCCGCCTAAGTTGTTCACTAGGAGGACTGTGTCATCGTCCGAAGAGACCTCCAGAAAGCCGCGGTCCTTGTCTGACGGATCGAGCATGTACGCTAGCATGGTCTTGACCAGCTCCGGAAGTTCAATCGTCTTCCGTTCTGAACCAGCTTCGTTATGGATCCCCATGCCAATCTCCACCTCGTTTTCTTTGAGATCCTCCTCGCTTGGCTCCGCGACCGACCGACCCGGCACATGCACATGGGACAACGAGCTACCAATCGAGACGATATTATCCGCCGTCAATCTCGCCACATCGTACACTTCCTTCAGCGACGCCCTATACCTCAGTCAGCCATTGTAGTTCTCAGCCAAATAACCTTCCCTTCTCCCGGCATCCACAACTCACCCACTTTGCGCCAACGCCCCCGCAACCTTCAAAACCAACACCGTCCCCGCAATCCCTCTCCTCCCCACCTTTCCCCCCTGCTTCCTCCCCACGCCCACATCATCCCCCACAACGAGCATCTCCGTCTCCAACCCCCCCGCTTTCGCCTTCTCAACCCCCATGCCAAAGTTCAGCACATCCCCCGTATAGTTCATGACAATAACCAGCACGCCCTTCGCGCCATCGACCCGCTGCAGAATCGCGCGCCGCACCTGCTCAGCAGACGGCGAGGCGAAGATCGTGCCGGCTACGGAGGCGGTGAGGAAGCCCGGTCCGACGAGGGACGCGAAGGAGGGTTCATGGCCGGAGCCGCCGCCGGAGATGAGCGAGACGGTGCTGCCATTGTTGGAGGTGGAGGTGGGGCGCTGGTATATGATTTTGTTGGAGGCGTCGAGGGCGACGGCGGGGTTGGTTAGGGTGATGGAGTGGAGAGCGGTTTGGACAAGGTGGGTTGGGTCGTTGATGAAGTGCTTGGCTGGTGGGATTGAGGTGTTTGTTAGTGGTATGGTTGGTGATGAAGCGGGAGCAATTGAGTGGGGGACGTGTTACCGGACATGGTGATGGGTCAGTCGGGCGGTAGGTCAGTGGTGTAGGAGAGGAGCAGAGACACGTAGGGAGACATGTTGTTATGGGCGGATGGAGCGCTGCATGTGGCAGAGTGTGGGGTTGAGAGGAGTTGCGGATGCGGGGAGGAGGACTGAGTCGGTACATCCCGGGCCGAACGGATTGCCTATTTGGGATCATGGCTCAAGGCTGGCCTCGAGATGTAGGTATTGTATCAGTGCATTATTAGCGGAATATAGTCCGTGATTTGCTGGAATCTTAGATCCGCTGCTGCTTAATGACATTGATCAATATCCTCGTCAAGCACATAGAGTTTATCACTGAACGCCTTCAACGGACTCGGTATACTACAGCTTGTATCCAGACTGGAAACGCGGAATATCTTTGGCCAAACACTTTTGAGGGCTTGCACTAGCTGTCACAGCATCCATTTGTCGTCCCGTTTGTCGTAACTAGCTGAGAGGCCGTGTTCTTATTGGACGGAACATCGATTGACGGATTCGCCGTAAAGAAGTCGGCCGGCCGCAAGTTGATCTGGAAGATGTCGACAGGCCTGTGTTATACACTTGTCAGCATGCTTTCCAGTATTAAAACTCCCATCAAAGACTCTTCAAATTGAGGTTGTGAGGCTCAAAGTAAGGGCAGGCAACTCACATAACAGGCCAGTCCTCAACTCGAGGATTGTGCGTCAACCCAAACACGTTCCAGACAACCACGTCTTCATCCATCACCGGATCTTTGCGCGCTGCGGCATCCGCCACGCCGTCGACCTCGCGCTCACTCTGCAGAGTATATCTGCCGCCGGCATAGAGCTCATCATCCTTGTACTTCGTGACCCACACGTGGTGCTGGGTGAACAAGGCACGCTTCGCCTGCACCGAGTCCGGATGGGCCAGCAGCTTCTGAGTTGCTGGAGGCGTGAACTTATAGCCCACTGGCTTCCCGCTGATTGGGTTGGTTTTGTGCGGATTGACAATCTTGAAAACGCGGTTGTGCTCCGGTGCCGCGTCGAGTCCGGCTGACGTTGGGATCACTGTCTTGCGAACTTCATAGTAATTTCCGAACGGATTCGTTGCCTTGTCCATTGGTGCTTGGTGTGATTCCTCATGCAAAACGGTGTTGTTGTGGCCATCAATGGCGGGATCTATGCGCGCGCAGAAGATATGTTGATGGTTCTGAGCCAGTACCCCTCCAGAGACGACATTGCCATAATCGCTGGTCTTGCCAGGGTCGATGTTGACAACACTGACAATTCCAGTAGCCCGGGTTTCTATTGTGATGCCTCCAGACTGGTCGAACTTGAAGGCAAAGATATACTCATAGTTTGCCAGGGTGATGATGAACTGAACAACCAGCTCGCGCCGGCGGGTTACCACCGCTCTGCCTGTTCGCCAGTTTGTATGCTTCCATTCAATGCCATTGTCTTGTTCATGGAGACAGATGACATTCGGGGTAACTCGTGGTTCTCCGTCAGAGCCGATAGTGACGCCATCGAAGTATTTGATGACGCCTAAGCAGTCGCAGCCGAGTGAGAGATTGTTCGCGTAGTTTCCAGCACCGCCGTCACCAAAATCGAAGGCCTGCTTGCGCTGGAAGGGATCCCGTGGGTCACCGTACGGTACGGTCATCTCGCTGATGCTGAGCCTATACAGCACGCTTCGTCCGTCGTAGTGCACATCATGGATGACAGCGCCTTCTCGGGGGTTGAATGAGACCCTGAACCGCCACTTCTGCCACTCAACCAGCGATTCGCCATTCACGTGGAAGGAAGGTCCCTCAGGCTGTGTGACGTTCAGAGGCTTCAGGTCTTTCCGTACACCGTTCTCTAAAAGCTCTGGAACGTACTCAGCCGGTTGGCAATGGTCGATGATGTTCCTCTTGTGTGTCTTTCCACTTAAAGGGTCACCCTTTCCGCCCGTCGCCAGACGATCAATGCGGATAATCTCCCGCTTTTGTGCATCCATGACGGGGATAAGTGGTAGAGGGTAGGCGTAGAAGTTGGAGTCATCATTCCCGTTCCTCGTGTCTTGAGCGAAGCACAGCCCCTGGAAATAGCGAAGATTGTCGGTGCCAGGATCAGGACCGCCGTACGGCCACGGCTCTACGATGACTTCGAAACCCTCAGGAAGGTCGAACTCCGCCATGGCTTTTTGAAACTCGGGCGAAGCCTTGCACACTTCGACAAGGGTTTCAAACTCACGCCTAACACGTGTCAGCATGTTGTCTTTTTGGCAATAATGTCCGCTCTTACATTGTGAGCATTGCGTGATGTTCCTTGCCAACGACCTCATGCGAAACGCGCTCCTTCCGCACCACATCCACGACAGATTCGTGGTATTCCGGAACCCTATCAGAGCCTATGACGTCGTACTGGCACTGTGCAAGGCGAGCGGGGCGTGGTGAATCTGACGACAGGCGACCGGAGTGTTCGAGTTCCAGGAACTCTTTCAACTCCACCTTTGCTGGCTCCTTGAGATGTATTTCCCGGAAGTCGACGACAGCGCCGGAGTGAGCAGCCAGAACGACATCTCGAGCTTGGCGTATCTCTTCGAGAGAGAGTATATCTAATGGATGCGGCGCCATGGCCTTTGGCTTCATTGGAATTTACACGCGGTGTGTATTAAGAAATTTGCGGGTAGATGAGTACACTGAGTGCTGAATGTAAGTGTCCAAGGCAAGCTCTTGAAGACGAATACGACTAGAAGATATTCTTGGTGGACGGGGCAGTTTCAGGTAAAGGATGAGGTTTGCGATTGGGAGGAAAGAAACATGAGACAGTCCAGAAGATATACGGCGACCCCACCGTTTATATAACCATCGACATTCAGAGGTCCCTGCATTTGAGCTGATGCCAACCCTGTCCTGACCAGGAGCGTGGTCAGTAGCCACGCAGAGGATCTCTCCGATAGGGACTATTTCGGTAGCTGCTCGAGATCGTCGTCCGACGAGATGGCCAACCATTCGAGCTAGGGTCCAACCCCTATGACTCCCATTGGAGCCGGCTTTGAACCCATAATCATAACAAGGTCGTCGCGGAAGGAGTTCGGTGAGCGATTGCATGTTGTTCCATAAGGCGTCCCATGTTCGCATGGACATTCCTAATGAGACTAGACTGCCTGCGGAACCCTTCCGCACCTGACCTCAACTGCTGCGAACTCTCCATCCTGGCAGGCTTCCAAACGCATTTCTAAAGCTTCAGTCTTATCTGTGAATATTCAGGTGCCAATGGCGTGCTACTCGCTGTACTGCGTATCGATTCCGCATAACCAGTGTGCTGCTTAGCGGAGATCTAATCGAACACGTCTTACACGAAGACGTATGCATGACACTCTGGCACAAGCACCGATGCAATATTATAGCTGTTGGCATCTTATCAATGATCCAAGGTCTCTCCCATGGAAGATTTAGAACCCCGAGCTGATCAACCTGGAAAAGTTCCCGGCCTCAATGCAGACGCTTCGATCTCAGCTTAGCTACTCTGAATTACTCACTTCTGGATCCATGCCCGACGACGTACTGCTTGAATGCCCCTATTTTTGCCTCGAAGATCCACCAATCTTGTAGTAACCCCGAGGTTGATCTAGATTTTTGTTGTTGTTCTACGAGCGTCTTCCCACTTCCCGATACGGCAGTCCAGATATCTACCGCAGAACGCTATTGCACCTTCACATATCACATCAGATATCACAGCATCGGATGGTAGCAATGGCCGTGAGAGCTTTCTGATTATTCTTGGTGTCTTTCCCTATTGCAGCCGTTCTGCGGATGCTCCCTTGACCCAAATATAGTAACATTCATCCCATCCGGCAGCATATCTCTACCTTTTCACTTTCTGAGTCAATGAAAACAGTAACAATATCCACCAGTATGATTCATGTAGTTATACCAGTTTGAACTAGGGAGCTATATCCTGAGGGCTTCTGCCTTGCAATGACCGCTGGCGGAAGAGCCGAACTCAATAGCGTTCTAGCTCCCTTTCCCACAATCACTCCTCGGCTCAGAACGGTGCTCATCAACCCCCTCTAATCTACTAAAGGGAAGTAAGAACCCCGCCTACTACGCGCTGTGGGAAGCACATAGCCTCTATGAGAAGATGCCGCTGCAAGTGATGCAAGTACTCAAGGTGACGCCTCGCACAGCAGCTTGTGTTTGGTTCATTTCCCTAAACGCCGGCCACATGCATCATGAAATCGTTCGACCCAGTCATAGCCATCTTCACCCTTCTCCAATACAGCAGGCCCTCAACCCTGTGCTTCCGCCGCCGGCTGCTCTCGACGTTGCACTTCTCTCACACTGAACACCTTGTGTTTCACCTCAGCAGCCAGCAGTCCCGTCCGCTCTTCCGCAGCAATCTTGCTGCTCGCCCGGACAACCTTCTCCAGCTGTGTATCCTTGCCCCCCGACGACTGAAGGGCCTGCGCTCCCCTCCGATGCGCCGACGTGTCTGCCTGGCGAACCTTCTGCGCCAGATCCCGAATCTGGTTTGTGCCGTATTCGCGGTTCGTGAAGAGAGGGCTAGACGATAGCGTGCCGACCCAGTACTTGTTCCACAGTGACTCTAATAGCGTCGCATCTAGCGAGGACTTGAAGTGCGAGACCTCCAAGCTGTAGTAGCGACTGCTGTGCGCGCCGAAATCTTCGATCTTCGCAAGGGGAATGGTCTGGAAGCCGTCCTCACTCGTAGCCGCGGGCTTGTAGTCTTGCGGGTATGTCCTGAATGCGCCGATCTCGACTTTGCCGGCGCTGATAGTGCGGTCTGGATCGATGACGACAGCTAAAAAGGGATCCGAGAAAGTCTGTTGCTGGAACTGCGTTCCGACATCGATGCCACTAAGCCAGCAGCCGTAGCCAGGATGTGAGTGGTACCAGCCGACCGCATTCTCCAATTGCCCGACGTCTCGCGCTCGCTGTAGGTATTGCACCATGTACTCATTTGCCTCGTCCTGCGCATTGACGCGTGTCTCAGTTCCCTCGACAGGTAGGCGGAAAGCGTCGGTGACGATGAAGGTGTCGCCTTGGACGGAGCCTTGCATCAAGCCCATAACTTCTATCGAGCCGCCGGATCGAGCATGCATGACCATTTTGAGTAGCGCGACGGCGGAGATCCGCACGTTCTTGAAGTAGTTGGGATCTTTCTTCCATGGCTTCGCGGCGTTGATGGCCTTTTGCTCGTCGGGATCGTAGTTGTAGAGGGCGTCTCGTGTGGGATCGACGAGCTTGACGACGTTCTCGAGCTCTAGATTCTGTCTGTCAGCTCGGTTGAGAGGTGAGCAGCTGACGGCGAAGACTGTGCAGCTTACCCCAGGTTTTCTGAGCGGCACTCATCTTGCTAGACGTTAAGTAAAGCAATGTATCAGACGTAGAGGTTACGTTGATCGTAAGGTGGGTTGTAGCTCGGAAGCCGAGCGTTATCGATAGGCAAACGCGCGTTTGGTGCGTCAAACGCGCCCAGCCGGAAGAAAGTTAATGCGCCCCCTCAACGTGTTTAGAAACTAGCGCATCGCGTGAACATACATGAGGTTGGTCGAGAGGAGTATATCGGCCAGAACTGGAGTCATGCTCGGGCGGACTTTGGTAGAGAAAGGCGGTCGTTTGAGTGCCGCACCGAACAGCCCCGAAACCTTCCAGATGTTTTTCCTGCGCCGCAAGCTCTTAGGAGCTTTTGGCCTGCGTCGACACTGCGCCTGTAACTAGCTTGAGCTAGCTGGAGACATGAGTGCGGTCGCGGTCGCGGCCTCAGCTTTACTGTACAAGACTGCCGCTCAAGGGGCCCACTGCTCTATGGATGCCTCGTGGAAGTGAGCTCCACAAGTCTCCAATGGCTCCTCGATAGCTCTAGTGTTTCCATCGCTGGAGTCCCTGCCACTCCTAAGGGCCCAACTTCCGCAAAGTCTCCTCACGACCCAGAAGTTCCATCACCTCGAACATGCTCGGCCCATGCTGGCCATGTGCCATCATAGACCTGAGGAAGTGCAGAACTTTGCCGTTGACAACCTTCTGCATATTCTTGATATCTGCCTCCTTGGCAGCCTCCCTTTCCGCGATCGCCGCGATCACATCGGCGATAATCTTCTCAACTCTGGCCTTTAGACTCGTCGCGTTCCACTGATCCGCGGGTATCTCATACAGGCCGCGGATAACCATTGCAAGATCTGTAGTACTGAGGCCTTGAAATGAAACCGGTCTTGGCGCAGGGTTGCCCGAGCCGAAGAGGTACGAGTTACGCTTGACGAAGTCGGCGGCCGTGGAGTAGTTCTTTGCGTCAGCTCGGAGGATAGCGGTGACGTAGTCCTCAAGTGTCCGACCGCGGAGCATAATCTCGTAGTCTTGTGTTTCAGGCGTGCTCTTAACCAGCTTGACAATACTCTTGACCATATCGTCGATCTCCCCGGATTCTATGCGTCGCATTGCGTGCTTGTGCTGCAGGAACCACAGCTTGTCCAGCTTGACTTTGGCATTCCCCTTTGTGAATTTGGTGTGGAACCGCTCTACCAGCTGTTCCATGTCCATGCAGTCGTTCCCATGGTTGTGACTCCAGCCCAGAAGCGCTACGAAATTCACCAGCGTCTCCGGAAAGACTCCGATCTTGTCCCTGTAGCTTGCGATGTCCACATCGAAGTTCCTCTTACTGAGCTTCGCCCCTTTTTCATCAACCAGCAGAGCAACATGCGCGAATTGCGGCGGTTCCCAGCCAAAGGCTTCGTACATGGCTAGATGTTTTGGCGTCGCTGGTAACCACTCGTCCCCTCTGATCACATGCGTGATCTTCATGTGGTGGTCGTCTACCACATTCGCCAGATGATAAGTTGGCAAGCCGTCCGTCTTCAGCAATATGGGATCGTCGTACGCCACGATATCTTGCCGACGCTTCTTCTTCCCTCTTCCAACGTGACCATAGACGAGGTCCTGGAACTCTGGATAGTCTTCTGGCACAAGGAGGCGTATCACATGCTGTTCGCCCTTGGCTGCACGCTCGTCTGACTCCTCTTTAGGTATACTGGCGCAGGTGCGGTCGTAGTCTGTTGCGACACCCAGGGCGGCGCGCTGCTCGGCGAGCTGGTGTAGACGTTCTGCTGAGCAGAAGCAGCGGTAGGCATGGCCGCTGTCGAGGAGTTTGTGTGCGTGGGTCTGGTAGAGGGGCGTGCGTTCGGACTGTCTGTAGGGACCGTACGGACCCCCTACTTCAGGCCCTGTGTATAAGGTTAGACTGGCACGCATGCAAGCTGGTTATGCTCGGCCTGAAGTACCTTCATCCCATTGCAAGCCAGCCCATCTTAGGTCCTCGTACAGACGTTTCTCGGCATCCGGTATTGTCCTTTTCTTCGTCTGTCAGTATATCATGCTTCGTTGACAGGCATGGAGGTGCCAACCCTATCTGTGTCCTCTATGCGGAGGAGAAACTGCCCACCGGTGGCTTTGGCGAGAAGGTAGTTGAACAGTGCTGTGCGTAATGATCCGAGGTGGAGATACCCAGTCGGCGACGGCGCGAAACGCGTTCTTGCGGGTTTTTCTGGGAGAGGGAGCTTCGGAGTGGATTTCCGGGGAGGGTGTAGTTTTGCAGGTGTCGAAGCGCCGTTAGCTGTTGATAGATGCCGTCTCGACCGCTTTTCCAGTCTCTTGAAGCATGCCGCGCATGTGTATTGCCATCTTGACGGGCTCTGCCGCCAGGGGATAGGAAATAACATTGATGTGGAGGAAGACGTCGAGCTCAAAGTGCAGATCAATACAATATGACCGGGGAAGCTTGGGACGACCTCCGTGCACGCCCTGGCACCCTCCTCCGCAACCTCCGCAACCTCCGCAACCTCCGCAAGAAACCCCTCTATCCTCTGCCCACTTCAGCGCTGACAGCGGCGGATCTGAGCCGCATGGGCAAACCAACATGAGCTCCTGGCTGGCCGAGTACAGCGCGTCCCTCGACCTCCGCGATGCCCGGGAAAAGGCGCAAATAACCTACACTAACGCCTGTATGTCCCCGTAGACCCCCTTTGCCCCCGCCGGACACGACTCAAAACGATAAAACATGCACTGACGTATCTTTACAGACACCAAACTCGCCGACCGAACCGCAGCAGCCGAAGCCCGCGCCGCACAAGCTCCTTCAGCCCTGTCTTCCTCCCCCGTACCAGCCAGCGCCGCCAGACCAAGCACACCCCTACGAGGCAAGAGCTCCCCGCGCGGTAAACAAGAAGACTCCACATCCTCTCCAGACGACGCCCTCTCCCGCATCCGCGCCGACTTAGCCTCCACCCAGCGGTCCCGCGCCGAGCTCCAAGCCAAGCTAGCCCCGCTCACCACCGAGCTCGAGACACTCAAGAAGCAATCCACCCTCTCAGACAGGCGCATCGCCGAGCTGACCCGTGAGAAGATCATGCTGGAGAGGAAGCTCCGCGACCGATACGACGAGACTAAAGGCAAGAGCAAGCTGGTCGAGGAAGTGCAGGATGAGATGGTGAGCCTGAACCTGCAGCTGAACATGGCGGAGCAACGGGCGGAGAAGCTGGAGGGGGAGAATCGGGAGTTGGTTGAGCGGTGGATGGTTCGGATGGGGAAGGAGGCCGAGGAGATGAATAGGAGGAGTAGGTGGGAGTGAGGCGTCATTCGGGGAAAACGTCACGAAGCAGAAGCGCAATGAGTTCACGTAAGTAATCGCGGAAGCTACCTATATGCAGCGGAGAGTACACAAGAAGGAAGGAAGACTGCGCCGCCAGGTCAACTGAAGAAACCTGGAGAGGGCAGCCAAGGCCTCGCGCGACCTCTCTATAACCCCTGACCACCAACGCCGTCGCCAGCAAAGCAATTAAAGCCGTCTACTGCGTCGCGCATTGGGGTTGAGCCCCTTCCTCGTCCTCATCCTCCCACTCGGCTCCTGCTCTGGGATCGCCTGAGCCAGCGCCAAAGTCGTCCAAGGTTGCCGTGTCATCGTACTCTACTTCATCAACGACATCCGCCTTGATCGCTGGCTCAGGTCCCGGAAGCACCTCCCGAATCTTGTTGAGCATCGCCTCGTCCTGCACCCAGCCATCTTCCGGGAAGTCGATCTTCACGACGAGGTAGAGGTCGCCCTTGTGATCGCTCTTCTTGTGCGGCATCCCCTCGCCAGCAACCTTGAGCACCTGATCCGGCCGTAATATCTTGCCCTTCGGCTGTTTCACCTTCAGCTGTATGCCTCGCCCATCAAGATGCGTCAGCACCACCCGGTCAAAACCAGTCAGCGCCTCAGCGAGGGTGATGTGCAGATCCGCCTGCAGATCCGCGCCTGCTCTCCTAAAGACATCATGCGGTACCTCCGATAGCTCGAAGATGATGTCGCCGGGCTCTTGGTCAGGTAGCTGGTCCGCTTCGCCTGGTAGAACGATCTTGTCGCCTTCGCGGGAGCCGCGCGGTATGTAGAGCTCCAGCACCTTGCGCGCCTCGACGACCTTGGCTCCTTTGCATTTCTTGCACCTGTCCTTGTCTTTGAAGACTTTACCGGAGCCTTTGCAGGTGCCGCAGGTGGTGGTTTCTTGGGTTACGAGGCCGGGGCCTACGGAGCGGAGGCCGGTTGTCATACCTGTAGACAGAGAGATTGTTAGCTATTGTCGTATTCAGACAATATCTGCAGAGGTTCTTCAAACGTACCACGTCCGCCGCAGACACCGCACGGATGACTCTTCGCCCTCTCCTTCCCCCCACTCCCCTTACACACCGCACACACCACATTCTTCGTGCTCGCAAATCTTGTCGTTTTCCCCTTATACAGCTCTTCCAGCGTGACCTCGTACTCCTGCTCCTCATTACGCCCCTTCCTGGGCACCTGCCTGCCGCCCGGCGCGCCGCCCATCCCAGGGGGCATCCCGGGCATCCCGCCCATACCCATGCCAAACATCTGCTGCAATATGTCGTCCAGATCCACACCCTCGCCCGGCATGCCAGAGTTGGCGCCCGAGAAGGCAGACATGCCGTGCGTGTCGTAGAGGTGGCGCTGCTGGTCATCGGAGAGGATCTCGTAGGCGCGAGATATGGATTTGAATTTTATCTCGGCGGCTTGACGGTCTTCTTCGGCGACTTTGTCGGGGTGGGAGGATAGGGCTGCCTGTGGGGATAGTTAGAAGGATGGGCGCGTGGAGGAGGGTAGGGGAAACGTACTTTGTGGTAGGCCTTTTTGATCTCATTCTTGGAGGCGCTGCTGCTTATGCCGAGGACCTCTTTGTATATTAGTGAGGCCTAGGAGAAGTGGGAACGGGGCTAGGTGGACGTACCATAGAGGTCTATTTCTTCTGCGGCGCCGTCCATGGTTGCGCAAGGTTTGGGGTCTGGTGGCGGGTTGTTCAGATGTGGGGCGGAGTATGAGACGGCTTAGGGCAATGACGGGAGGAACTCAGAAGAAAGTTTGGACAAGAAGTGGTTGAAAGCGCAGCGTGGTTATTCGCATGAACGGCAAATCTTTGGACAAACGACAAGCGGCGCGGAAGCTTTACTTATCGTTGACAGCGCCAAGGCCGAGGCCGGGGGCGGAGCGGAATTGGATCTTCTGCGTGCGGGCTGACCTAGCTCACCTAGGTACAAGCTTCAAGTTCCTCTTCCGAATTGCTCTATCACGTCAATCTTCACCTTGCTGTACTAGATTTCGAGCTCCATGTGTATCATCACCGTCTCTACGGCCAAAGTTGTACCAAGTCGATAATGTATAACCGGCATCTAGGGCCTCCAGCCCAAGCACTCTACCGCGTCTTCGTTCAGCCCGCACTATCCGCACCATTACCACGCCCAATCTGTCGCTCTCCTCCTCCCACTATCCCTCGACCTCCGCTGTTCCAGGTCCGATATGCAGGGAAATACCGCCCACCCGTCGCCCGCACCCAAAAATACGACGAAGAGATCGGGTCCCCCTACATCAATCTCGTCGACGACTCGGGGACCTTCCACCAGTCCGTCCGCATGCGCGACGTCCTTCGAGACTTCAACCGCGACACCCACCACCTCGTCGCCGTCTCTCCCGCAGACCCAAACGACCCGTCTTCGCTGCCCACCTGCAAGATCCTGTCGAAAGAGTCACTCAGGGAAGCCCAGCGCGCGAAAGCAAAGCCGAAGAAGACGGTTGCGGATTTAATGAAGCAGCTCGAGCTTAATTGGGCGATAGACGCGAACGATCTGAATCATCGGCTGAAGAAGATGGGGGAGTTTCTGGCGAAGGGGATGAGGGTCGAAGTGGTGTTCGCGCCGAAGAAGAGGGGGAGGAAGGCTACGGCTGCGGAGATTGAGGATGTGGTTAAGAAGGTGCGGAGTGCCGCTGCTGAGTCCAAGGGGGAGGAAATGAAGAAGCCGGAGGGAAAGCTGGGGGAGGTGTTGACAATGTTCTTCGAGGGAAAGGGGGCTAAGGGGAAAAGCTAAGGGCTACTACGGGATCTAAAACGGGATTTGACAATAAGAGGTGGTAGGGAACTCAGAGACTTCAAAGCAGGATCCAGCATACGCGCTTCGTGTACGAGCGACTCCTTAACGACGACGATAAAGGATACAAGCATGACACAGGCGCGGGCCAAGTCGGTGGCCAATCTGTCATCAATACGTCAAGAGTTGCGGCGGGAGAGCTGAAGCCATTGAAAGACTTTATAGCGAGTACAAATGTAGATAGGAGGCTGTGTGCTGACGAGGCTACAGACGCGGCGGTGGCGATGGTCAGACACCGAACCGCACGCCGTTGATTGTGGTATCAACTGCGTAGATGTATATAACAACTCACCGCTTCAAAACAACCATTCCAAAGCGATGGTCAGCCGAGGCACAACAGAACAATAGAGCTCCCGCGATGCTGGCCTGAAGTGTGCCCGAAGCATGCCGCCTGTGAGGTAGCTCAGTTCTCAGCGGGCCGCGCCTCATTCACAGTAGCTGTTAAGCTGACTGCCTAGAATCGTACACAGGCAGCTCGAAGGTCCGTTCGTAGCTGTAGAGCAGATACAACGACCAGGCATGCATCGCTGTCCCTTATCCGACATTTACAAGGTCCACTGGCAGGGGTCGGTCAGTTGTGACTCTAGACTAACTGCTCAGACGTAATATTCGGATAGCATTGTCTCCCAGGACACCCTTCGCTCCGTCTGCGTCGTCTCCAAAAGCGCCGGTGATGGCTCGGTAGTTGGTTTTCACACTCAACCACTCGGTCTCCCCACCCAGTGGCGGGAAGAAGGGGTTGTCGGTACCTATGCATGCGTCAGCAGAAGCCCGCTGGAGGCCGTGCAGCAAGTCCGTCCGTACCAAACAATAGCCTGTCCTTGCCGCTCGCATCGATTGCGGCTTTCAGTCCGACCTCAGAGTAGATCACAGCATCAAGATAAATGTTCGTCTTCAACACATCCCACACGCTTCTCCTGCCTTCCAGCTTTTCGTCCTTGGCCAGATGACCGTCGTGCAGGATGCAGCTCTCAATCCTGCCCGCCAGGAAGGGCAGCGTGCCGCCCGAATGCGCGATCAGGACCTGCAAGCTCTGGAACCGGTCCCAGACAGCAGACAAAAGCATCCTCGTCACCGCAATCGTCGTCTCAAGCGGAAACCCAAGTGCCAGCGGCAGCACGTGCCCATACTCGTTCGCGCGCGGCCCGTAGACAGACCATGGGAGTCCGTAGTGCGGGTGCAGGAAGACAAGCTGTTGGTGCTTCTCGAGCGCTGCGTAGATGGGATCGAGAGAGGGATCGTCGAGTCCTTCTCCAAGCCCTGAAGTACCCATGATGATGCCTCGCATGCGACTAAGGCCGGCTAACCGCTCGATCTCTGCCACGACAACCTCGGCCGGAGCTGAGAGAGGGAGGGCACCGAATGCGTACAGTCTTCCGGGATGCTGCTCGCAGAGCTCGTTGACTTCGTCGTTGATCTTTCTTGCGGTCTCGCCTGCTTCACTCGGGTCTAGGAAGTCAAGCCATGGGTTTGCGAGTGAGATGACAGATACATCGATGCCGTGGGTGTCCATGAACGAGATTTTTTGTTTGATGTCATAGTACTCTGGTCCTACGGGCCTGCCGCGGGCGGTTGACGGTGTTGCAGGATCATCTTCTCCGGGTAGAATGATTAGGCGTGAGGTATCTGGAGCGTCGGGAAAGGTGCGTACATAGGGAACGGTGTTGCGGGAGCGGAGGAGGGACATGTAGGAGGGGGGGTAGACGTGCGTGTGGATGTCCACCACCGGCATCGTAACCCTTTGCTGAGCGTGGTGCTGAGGTGATGTGAGTGTCAAGATGCTAGTAGTCGAATCTTGCCGTACTCTGAAGGGGAGAACGAGATTGACTCCTAAATAGTGAGCCCCGTGTGGGACTGATGCTCCTTCCCAATCTACTCTCAGACCAGCCGGACTTGCCTCATGACTCTGACCTACACCTTTTTCGACTACTTCTTCTGGCACTTTTACTGAGTGTGATTTACACTCCGGCTCTGGCGAATGATTTCTCCTATCAGAACCCATGCGTGAAGCACCTGCATGCCCCACCATGTCGGCGAGATAAGCCCCTCATCTGCTTATCACGGACTGCCTCTCTAGGCTGCAGCAACCCCCTTGCTCCCAAACGGCACAAGGTGTGTCTCTGCCGTCCAGGCTGCTCCGGTGGGTAGGGAATCCGTGTGCCGCAGTCTCAATTAAGCTCTTTAACCTTGTAGATCGGCCTTGTCCTTTCTTCTACACTTTCTCTCTTACTCAACCATTTCTTCCGGGATCGCCAATCGCTATCAAGCCTCCAATTAAGTCAAGCTGTCTCTTTCACTTTATCCAAGTCAGCATAAATGGACCCAGTGCCCATGAACTCCGCCGCCGAGCGCGACAACTCCTTCATCCCAGTACCCCACCCCCAGCTCCGCCATCACAATAACACAAAGTCCTAACACCCCCCAGCTCATCGATTTCTCCCCCTTCCTCAACCCCAACACCTCAACCGCCAAACAAACCACCGCCGCCGCCATCCTCCACGGCTTCCGCACCGCCGGCTTCATCTACCTCCGCAACGCGGGCATCTCTCCCCAAACCATCTCCCGCGTCTTCGCCCTCTCCGCCTCCTTCTTCCGGCGCCCCCAGGCCCAGAAAGATGCGCTCGCGTGGTACAGCCCCGAGGCCAACAGGGGCTACACCGCGCAGGGCCGTGAAAAAGTGACCGATCTGGTGGACAAGGTGGATGTGGAGAAATTGAGAGAGGAGGTGCCGGATCTGAAGGAGAGTCTAGAGATTGGGCGGGATGACGAGGCGCAGTTTCCGAATTGCTGGCCGGATCCGTTTGATGAGGAGGGCGGGGTGTTTCGGGAGGTGATGAACGAGTTCTTCGAGGAGTGTAAGGGGCTGCATCGGGAGATTATGAGGGCGGTGGCGTTGGGAATGGGGCTGGAGGAGGGATGGTTCGATGGGTATACGGATGGGGGCGATAATACGCTGAGGTTGCTGCATTATCCGGAGGTTGGGAGGGGGGTGTTTCGGGAGAGGAAGGGGCAGGTTAGGGCGGGGGCGCATACGGACTATGGTGGGTATTTCGTTCCGAATGGTCTTTGGGGAGGATGTCGGGGTATGGGGTGGGTAAATGCTGATGCATCGGACTAGGATCGATCACGCTGCTGTTCCAGGATGATCGCGGCGGCTTGCAGGTCCAGTTGCCGGATGGCACGTTCGTGGATGCGACGCCGATACCGGATACGATTGTCATCAACGCTGGTGATCTGCTTGCGCGCTGGTCGAACGACATGATCAAATCCACCAAGCACAGAGTGGTTGAGCCGCCATTAAAGCCGGGCGAAGAGGTTGGTGACAAGTATCCGGCTCGGTACAGCGTGGCGTACTTTTGTAATCCGAACTTCGATAGGTGGATTGATGCTATTCCGGGAACGTTCGAGGCGGAGGGGAAGAAGTATCCAGGAGTAAACAGCGGCGAGTATCTGGTGCAGCGGCTGGCCGCAACGTATTGACAGGACGATACGGCACAACCAAGAAGAGGCGAATACATGATAATACGGAGAGAGACACACTAGCAATACTGACGTGTTGTATTCCTATGTAGCGAGAAAGAAGTGAGTAATATATCACAATAAGTTGAAAAGCCTTGCCAGTTGTGCTTCCATCTACCTGCGGTGAGTGGAAGGGAAGGGCGAATTTAGCAATAGTGTGACTGGACCTTTTAGTGCAGCAATGTTGCAATTATAGCAGCCCTCAACAGTCTAGTCTGCATGACCGCCATAGCCTAGTCCTACCAGTCCGTCTCCCTCCCCAGAATCTCCCACCCAAGCAATCGCCACAGCTCCTCCTTGAACCAATCGCCCGTCTGCTGCTCGTCGAACTTCGGTGGCGCAGATATCGGTGGGAAACGAGCAGGCATCCTCAGACAGTCCATGAAGTCGCTGTCCTCATCGCAGCCGAACATCGCATTCACGAGCGTACGCTGCAGCTTGTCTTTTGCATTGAGACTTAACCCAGTCTTTCCAGTCGAGCCACCCGTTCTCCCTGTAGCTTGCTTGGTAGCCCCTGTTGCTCTCCTCGAGGCCTGTGAAGCGGCCACCACGGGCTGAGCGGCCATGTGTGCGGGCGCTACAGCCATTGCTCGTTCCAAGACGGCGAGCAGATTCGGCGCTTCAATGTTCATAGTCTTCTTTTCGAGCTCTTTCTTCGCCCCTGCGCCGGCAGAGCCAAGAGTCATTGGCGGAGAGATGTCATGCTCAATGGTGGCGCTACGCTCGCGGTTGAAGGTGTAGACGTAAAGTCGCTTAGCGGTTCGCTCGAGGAGGACGAACATGAAGCCTTCGAAGAGCTCGCGGTGAGCGGCATCGGAGGCGTCAAGGTATGAAATAAGAGCTGCGAGAAACGTGGAAACGGCGCGAGGGACGCTTTCCTCTTTTGCTGTCTTGAGTATTTTGCTTTTGGTTTTGGACTTTTGCACTCCGGTTGAGGACGTCTCTGCCTCTGCGGCCGCGAGTTCCTTCTCGGCGCGGGCGAGAGAGGCTTCGGTGATGCAGTCGAGCATGACAGTGAAGGCTTTAGTGAAGGCGTAAACGATGGGGCCAGACCTCATCCGGTCAGCATCTCCATTGGTGATCTTAGTCAGTCCGTGCAACAGAGAGCTGAACGCGCGAGCAGAGGCACGGAAGATAGCAGCCAAGTCAGCAGCCTGCTTAGACTGTAACGCGGCAGCAACTGGGACTGAAAGCTGGCCAACTATAGCGGTACTTGAACCGCCTACAGCTGAATTCTGCTTGCACACGGCTGAAATGACCGTAGCCAAGCTCGAGGCGGCCTGACAGAGGTGATAGGCCAGGCCGTCATACTCTTGGGAGCTCTGCTGAAAGAGCTTGTGTAGTCGATAGAGATGCTGGACCGTGATAGCACCAGCTAGCACACTGTCAGCGCCGGCGATCGCAAGAGTGAGATACAGACCTTTGCCAGCGAGGTTGACTGTGTCGAAGTCTTCTGCGAAAGTGTCCGGTGGCAGTCGTTCAGCTTCACCCTCGATAAGATCCTTCCCAGGCTTTGGTCTCTTGCTAGATTTGCTAGAAGTGCCGTTGTCGGCCGTCGCTCTCTTGCGCTTGCCACCTGATGCGGCACCCACTTCGTTGGTAGAATATGTATTCAGCTTCAGCTGCCTCTCAAGCAGATCAATCTTTCGCTCGAGTCCAGCAGTCTTAGCTTGGGAGTCTGCGAATGCAACCTCCAGCTGAGCATGCTGATCCCTCCAGAAGGCGGAGCTGTCGAGGTGGCGACTCTTCGCATGCCGGCCGCTCTTCCGTTGGCCTGCTGCGAGATGTTGATGTAGCTTAAGAATATAGTCTAGGAGATGGATCTTTGTGAGCATTTTGAGTAATGCGAACGTCTGCGAGAAACGTACCTGTTACAGAGAGGCCATTTGGCGTGGACTTGACCACAGCAATAGCGAGCGCTAAGTGCAATCTAGATGGACGACCAGAAGTCGCCGCCCCGTGGCCCTTTGAAGGCGCCATCCGCTCGGTGGTTTTGGGCTTGTCAATGAGATGTGGTTGGAAATGTCGAGTCCTGACGTTCTCTCGCTTCCCGGATGCTTGTACGCCTGCAACGACAATCATCTACAAACAGAGAAGCCGGCTACGAGGAGGCCGGCTTCGTGGTTAAGAATGATAGGTAGAGTAAATTAGGCTGTATAACACATGAGACTTTACTGCGATAACATAGCGGAGCGCTCAAGCGCGCTCACGGAAAACCATAAAGCCTCCTATACCTACACATCCGCGTCACGATGCGGAGATGAATCTATACATATGATACAGGAACACCCTATACCCTCTCGGATTTCCACCTTACCGGTACCTAGCTCCGTCCTTCTTCTTGTAAGGCAGCGGCTCAATCTTCTTCCTCTTGAACTCGATATCCGCGCCTTCGATGTCCGCCCGCTTCATCACGCCCTCCGTCCACTCATCCCACTTGCTCCTGAACAACCCAACGCCGACGGGCTTCAGAAGATGCCTATCAACGAAGCTGCGTAAGACGAATCCGTGCCTCTCGGTATTTTCCTTCACTGCAGCAACGTCGACAATCTTGCCTTCCCGCTGCTGCAAGATGAAAACCGACATGCGCTGCCACGGCGCCCCCTTCTGCGCGAACGGCGGCTGCCACGGCAGCACCACGTTCTCCTTCGGCATGGTGCCTAACGGCATTGACGGTGTGACAGGCGAGAGCGGAACGTTGCAAGCCAAGAAATGACACCTGAAATCAAACGCATCCTTCTCCACATTTGGCACGTCAGAATCTATGACTGCAACGGTGACAAGCCGCTCGCCCTTGTCGAACACTTGTACACGCAGTGTGGGCGGTTTCTCAGTCCGGCGCGATTCCACGACGTCGCCGGGCTGTACGATGCGCTGACTGAAGGCGACGTCCACATCGGCTACTGGGTCCATGTTCGGCAGAACGTCCGGGACGATGTTGTGCTGGGTGATGCGCTGATCTAGAATTAGGCGCTTGTACTGGCGCCACTTGCGGTCTGCGAGGTAGCGGTAGATGGGTCGGTTCATGTTGCCTTGTGCAGAGTGTTAGCACTTCGTCCCAGGCGTTCCCAAGGACAAGTGCAAACCTACCCAATCCATCTTCAAACCTCTTCTTGATTAACGGATCATTGATATCCGCCAGGATCTTCAACTCCTCCAGATGCCTCCTCATGCTATCCAACCGGTTCTTCTTGTACAGCTCGCCGCCACTGACAGCAGCATCTTGAGCCTCTAGCCTGGCTATCCGAGCCCGCTGTACTTCAATCTGGTGGATCTTCTCTTCCCTGTCCGCCTGTAATATCTTCCGCGCCTCCTGGAAGCATTGGTAGGGGAGCTGCTCGAAGGGGATTTGGCTGGAGGTCTTGAGGGCGGCGCGTCGGCGGCGAGAACCCACGATGGGGACGCCCTTTTTACCGAGGCGCTTTTCTTCGCTGCGGAGGGCGCGGATGCTGATATGAGGAGGAGGGGATGAGGGGGCTGGAGATGCGCTTTGCTGGACCTGTGCCTCTTGGGGGCTAGGTGTGGTTGTGGTGAAGCATCTTACGGGCAATGCCTGGATCGTCCTACGTTGCAGACAGGTAGAACATGTCTGAAGCGGTCTCGCGACCTGCTTGAATGTCGGCATGCTCTTCGAACGAGGGTGTTGGTGATGCTGCTCGAAGATGGCACATTTGGATCCCTCGATCGTTAATGCGCGGCTTGGCGAGGCCGGAACTTTTCGAAGCCCGCAACACCCCCGACCTTCATCATCAACGGCACAAGCGCGACATCCCTTGTCTTAACGCAGCACATATACAATGGCCTCAAAGGGCGCCTCGGTGCCTCTAAAGGCTGCTGTAAGCTGTGCGGCTCGAGCGAGCTCGCGGCCAAATGTAGCGGTATGTCCACAACACCAGACCCCTCTCCTTCAAACCCACTAACACACCTCCCAGCAACCCTTCCACCTCCCCATCAGCCGCTCAATGGCCACCGAAACCCACCTCCCCACCAAATACACTCCCTCCCCCTCCTCCGCCGCCCTCACACCCGCGGGCGTCCTCCCCCTGGAAGCCCAATCCGTCCTCACAACGATCTACCGCTTCCCAACCATGGAGCCCCTCCGCTACACCACCTACCCAGCAACGCACCTCCGGCTGCCCCTCCGACGGGACCTGCTCCACCGCGCCGTCGTCTTCGAGGGCGACGCCACGCGCCAGGGCACCGCATCTACGAAGACGCGGTATGAGGTGCACGGCAGCAACAGGAAGATTCGTCCGCAGAAGGGGACGGGCAGGGCGCGGTTGGGGGATAAGAAGAGTCCGATGCTTAGGGGAGGGGGGGTGGCGCATGGGCCGAAGCCCAGAGATTTTAGTACCGAGTTACCACGGAAGATGTATGATTTGGCGTGGCGGACCGCGCTGTCGTATCGGTACAGCAGGGGCGAGTTGATCGTGGTCGACAGTTTTGGGGAGACGTTGAAGGAGGGCGTGCCGCCGGGGAACTGGTTCAAGGCGAGTGGGTGGGGGAGGCCGGGGGATGGGAAGAGCCTTGTGATTACGATGGAGGGGTGGAAGATGTGGTTGGAGAAGATGAAGGGCGCGAGTATGAGCAGTACGATCAAGACGGTAGGGACTGTGGATGTCAAGGATCTGCTGAAGTTGGCGAGGGTTATTGTGGAGAAGCGGGCGCTGGATAATATTCTGAAGGAGCATCGGAGTGATCTGACGAGGGTGCGGAGGGGCCGGGTACCGAGGGTACTGAGCAGTGCTCCACTGCCACTGGCGAGCGAATCGGCGCTCTCAAATGAGGCGACGGAAATAAATGAGATGGAGGGCGAGCATGAGTCCATGGAGGCAGATGAGTGGGTGGGGGTGGAAGACCGGGAGCAGGAAGGTGAGTCAACACAGGCAAGCGAGCTAGAAACCACAGAAGGATCGCAGAAGGCAAGAGGGCCAGAGACAAGCACCTAGCTTGGGGGAAGTGCTTCCACTGTGTATATCATGTAACATTGAACATTGATACTTCTACTTCAGCACTTGCCTTAAGTGCATGTTGTTAGCTTTTACTCGAGTATGACTGCAAACTAAGGCAACGTAGTCCAAAGGCTGATGCATCCTTCTTGATGCTGTAGCGTGCTGCCCTTTTAGAAGATGTTGCTCTAAAATAGTTTCGAGCTGGGCGCCCATGTGTGTATTGGTGCCATGTGGATAATTGCTCAGCAGCAAACGATCTTCGAGTACGTGCAATATGTTGAGATCCCGAATGTCATCAAAAAAGGTATATAACAAGGCAGGCGTAATTCAGGAAGCGGCAAAGCTCGCCCGTCAAGAAAGCAAGATATCCCCCTTAGCATAGTGGGCCAAGTGATACCCGTTGCGATTGTGCTTCCGATGCTCGACAGGAGATATCTGTTACTACAAAGCAAAGGCATCCATAACCAAGCCAGCAAATCCAGCAAAAGACGCACCGCCAAAGCCACTGCTCCCCGCCGCGCCAGTCGAGGCACCCGCCGCAGCCGAGCTGGCAGATGTAGCAGAATTTTGGGCGCTGGATGCTCCAGCGATTGTTGATGTACCTACGCCCAATTAGCCAGGCCCCGTTTTAACCAGAATAGAACGGGACAAACTCACTCCTAACAAGCGTCAAGCTCAACTCCGCCGTGCTCCCAGCACTACTCCCCGTCGACGTGACCGTCGCCGTCGTGACTGCCACACCAGCACTAGCAAGCAGCTCCACACCCGCTGTTACTACTATTGGGACGGTTTCCACCCCATCCGCTGTAGCAAACGTCGTAGTCGTCGCCGGCGGCGTTTCGGTCGCTGCCGAAACGCACGACCCAAATACAGCGGAGGAGCCCTCGGAGTCGGACGCCGTGCCCGCCTGTTGGGTGCAGGATGGCGCGGCCAGGCTCTCAATGATCGCCCGGCCGCCCCGCGTGGCCGTGCATGTCGCGCTGGCGTCGCCACCCACAGTACACTCTGCGGAGTACATCAGAACGGCTGTGTTCTGCTGGACGAGGGTCGTAGCGTAGCCGAAGTAGTCGGACGCGAAGGTCATTGTGAGATCGCCTATGATACTGCAGGTTCTGGTCTCGGAGGGCTCGGCACAGGCGACGGCGAGGGTGGTACGGCCGTTCCCGACATTTACGACGGATGCGTTGAAGGGGCCATCTATCGGGGTGTCAGGCCACCACACGCTTACGGTTGAGGAAGTAGGCGAGGCGGAGCTCTGAGCGTAGACGGCTGCGAGGAAGAAGGGGAGTGTTATTGGTAGGGACTTCATGCTTGACGCGCTGTGGTGGAGTAGGAACTGGTGATTTTCTGGTTGCTCGAGCGTGTAGACAGAGGACAATTCAACTGGGGTTTGCACAGCTGTAGGCTCGAAATCAAAGCTGATATCAGGCAGACGGCAATAGAACAGAGAGAGGCACAACTTTGAGAGTAGATATCGGAGGAAGCTCCCTCTTGTCTTATGAACCTACATGCCGTCAATTGGGGCAGTGACGCACCGGGCACAGCCCCATTATAGTAACTCGCCGTTACGGCGCTGGGTGAGGTCAGAGGGCCGGAGAAGGATGCTGAAGGACTCCTGGAGATTGGGTGTTTTTTCTTGGCAGGGGCTTGGGCTCGGGTACCCAGGCAAGCGGCGCCTCTCAGCCAGCGTTATTTAGCGGCAGAGGCTGACACCACCAACACCCTGTCGTGCTGCTTGTACGGAGTACGGCAATGCTGTATGGCAATGTGATCCTATGTTTGAGCTCAACTTACGGCCGAGAATGCTACGGGGTGCCTTGCATTGCTTCTGGGTCATTGTCATGCGGGACGGTTCATTCCCCCACGGCCCCGGGCAACGCCGCAACACACAATTCCCACTGAAAGAGGTAGACAAAAAATCCTTGTGCGTGCTGCGGTCGGTCTGCAACTGGGGATGAAACAAGCAGGGGTGCGGGTTTAGTGGACTTGAGGATCTGAAGCATGACTTCCGCCACACTGCCAGTGTCCCTCCCACTTCTGTGCCAGCATCCGTATGAGATCCTGACTGCCAGGTTCGAGATACTGGAGACGGCTGATTCTGTACCAGCCGGCGAAGCGGAAGCCGCGGGAGGCGCGGCGAACTTGCTCAAAGACGGCTATAGGCTCAGAAGCTAGGCTATCTTGCGTAGGGATGGAACCTGTGTTCTGTGTGCTTGCAGCTCCTGACTGCTGTTGATGATTTTGTGCTTCCTGATGATCTAGGGAACTCTGATTCTGCGGCAAAGATGGCTTTGCAGGGCCGGCATCCAGCATGACCTCGCATGGCGACTGTTGTGGCAACAGGTTGAGATTCGACTTCACGAAGATAGTCCGATCAGAAGTCCAGCGTGGGTTGGCGTAGTGAAAGAGAAGAATCCAAGCCAGCTTGTCGGGCGTCGCCGTAGAGTCGTTGAGAGTCGCTCGCTGTTTGAGAGGAGTAAATGGCAACTCGTCTACGAAGCGTGATGTTCATGGTCGGAGTCGGGGTACTTTTGGCAACGACGTGCTTGCTAAGAAAACGGCACCAGCCATGTAGGGTGAAAACTCGCCGCGTACTTTTGAGATGGCCCTTGATCCATTCGCTTGAAGTATGCCTGCTTAGAGAAGCATCCAGCCTTAATCTCGCTTCACGAAGATACAAGCGGGTTCGGAGATAGGAGCCCTGGCGGGCCCAGGATTGAAGTATTCGTCTTCCGTGTCTGCTTCGTGATAGCAGAGCCAATGCGTAACGCAAGCTAGATAAGGATGGATGCTCCACGCTGATTTAGCGTAAAGGTGGCGCACTGACAAACTCGTAATAGACGACGAAGTACCGCTTCGGCATTCGCATTTTCTGACATGACTGGAGTACCACTTTCTATGGCGGCGCGGCGTACCCTGAGGCAAATCAGCAAAGCGTCGCAACATTGCAGCCATTCAGACTTACGCTCTTCATCCAGCAAGGTCTTCTCCTTCCAGCTGTCATGCACCCAATCCACCGTGACAACGCGTGGCAGAGGCGAATGCCTGTTCCAAGATACGTCAGTAATACGGCTAGTCTACATTTGATTGGGCAAACTCACCGCTGTAGGCCTCGTCGAATGGCTTTCACCCTGGTATGGTCTCTGCCGACCACAACATGGGTGATATGCTTGCCGTGGAGATCATCAGAGAGCTTGCCTCCTGCAAATGTGATAATTTGTCCAGCAAGCTGAAGACTCAGGTCCGCCGAGTGTGGTTGCACGCGTTCGCCGTTTCTTTCGTCCAACATATCGTTGGTCGTATCTGCTCTATCGAGATAGATAACAAGGCCGTGGAACATCCAACCTGGCAGCTGGTCAAACTCAAGCTCTCCGTCTTCAGTTTCGTTTAGGAAAGCCGCCGTGTCAAACCCGTTTCTGCCGCTCGAGGACATGCCCTTGAATATACGTCTGAGCTCATTCACGGTTACATCTTGCGCGAAGCTGTCGCCATATTCATCAACATTGGCCTCAATCTGGCCGAGTTCATCCGGCAGCGTCCAGAGCATGTGATTCGGTTCGTACGGAAGTAGCAGACTAGGCTGGTCCACGTCCGCCTCACTTTGCCTGATGCAGTCAAAGAGCCAGGACGGACGGATAATGCTGCGATTGGCTGACTTCTGCATTGATACAACAGGCACCAGCCGCTTTTCGGCGATGCAGACGAGACCGTTGACGCCTGTGTCTTTCTGGACAATCTTACCGCCATTGGCTTTGACGAGCTGCTCCAGCTCCGCTTTGCACTTTCTCTCAGGCATTGTCGAGTCAGTCATAATGTAGAATGTAAGTCCTTCAAAAATCTTAGTTATAAGGCCAGCGTACGGCGTCCGGACGACCTCCTCGCTGCCTACAACGGTAAGCGCCTTCTTCTTGGTGGTCCGCTGCCGCTTGCGTCTACTGTCGTCAACCTTGAACTCTTTCTCTTTCTGCACTTGCTCGGCGTTGTTCTTCAGGTCCACGAAGCCTTGGACGGAGAGTGCGGATCTCCAGTCCTTGTCTGTGCGAAGTTTTTTAAACCGAGGGAAGCGCAAGGTTAAGCCCATTCGGTAGTCTTCAGTGGTGGCGACGGAAGCAGCTTTGACTGAAAACACGACTGATTCGTCTGGTCTGATCCATACGTCCGGTCTTTCCTTTTGTACCTTGTCGCCTCCTGCGAGCTCGATGTACTCAGATGGTGGTTTCTTTGGATCCCAGACATGCCACTTGCCGTCCGTGTGATGTCTGATCGCAGCGTAATCATCGGCAGTCATGCCGCCACCAACCTTGAAGAAAGAGAAGCACTTCATCGGGTTGGCGCCTTGCTGTATCTGGTTTTGATCCATTCGCAGACCGCAGAGAAAGCTGGATAGCTTGCCGCCTCTGTGGCCGGAGCCGTAATAGCCACCGATCACGATGCAGTCAAGAGCCTCCCCAAACTCCGTCATGTACTCGGGTTTGACCTTGATCCAGTCGTCGTTGCGCTCGTTGAGTCGATATGGTGATCGAGGGTTCTTAATGACGAGACCCTCAGATGCTTCGGAGACGACCTGACGAAGTAACGGCTCAATCTCAGCAGCGCTATGTGCCTCGACATACGTGTGTATCTCGAGCCGTCTGTGAGCCGGGTGCGTTGTTGCTTCCAGTGCCCTGCGGCGGTCACGTAGTGTATAGTTTGTGAGTGCTTCATCATTTAGATACAGACAATCGAAGACCCGGTACAAAGGTCGTTGACCAGTAGAAAATGGGTTTCTCTGTTCAGATAGGGCGGCCGTCTTCAAGGTGCCGAAAGGTACCATTGCATCTTGCTCCATGTCCCACGTGATCATCTCGCCATCCAGGATGATATTACGGACGCCATCTCCGAACGCCTCTTTAATGTGTCTGGTTAAAGCGCTGTTCTCATCCTCGAAGGTCCCGCCATACAAGTAGGTGTAATCCTTTGCTTTCCGTGACCAGAAAGCGAAGGATTTCCGGCCGGGTTTGCTGTCATCCTCAGCCATATGCAGCTGCATGCGCTCGCCATCCAGCTTCTCCTCGATCCAGAATGCGTCGTCGTCTTCAGTCTGCTTCATCTTGCCGACCATCTTCTCGAAAGAATGCATCTGAAAGGCGGCCAGCTGCGGCTGAAAGCATTGCATGAGCGAGATACCACGATCGTCGCCCTCGAGGCGGATGGCCGGATCGTACAGTTCCCAGCAAACTCGGCGCAAGCTTGAGGAGACATTGAACAAACTCTCTGCATCTGGATGCCAGATGTCAAAGATCGTTTTCTCTGTAGCCCCTATCTTCATCTGTCGGAGGATCATTCGGATAAGCCATAGCAGTTCGTCAGCGTTCATTCGGCGGTAGAATTCCTCAAAGATTAACCTCTGGTCCTCTTCTACGGAAACGATGGACAGCTTGTCAAGCATCTCGTTGACTTCAGCAATGGTCATGTCCCCAGGGGTGATTCTGATCGGTCTCTTCAAAATGACTTCAAAACACCGTCCGGCGAAGTCACCGGCCATGGCTGTCCTGACATTCTGGCCCGGTAGTTTCCAGTTCAGCAGGTTGTAGCCGTCTTCGGAATCTTTGTCGATTCTCAAGATCTTAACCAGGATTTTGCCGATGGTCTTCTCTTTCAAGCCGTACATACCTCGGTCACGGTCTTTCTCAGGCAGGATAAGCCGGAAGGCCGGGTAGATGTCGTTGCCGACTTCTTTTCGCCATCTCGAGATGAAACGGTTGATGATGTCGCGACGAAGCTCATGCGGCGACAGGTTGACTGGCCCATGTTTACCTTGCTTCTTACGTGCAGTGACCGGACCGGCTGGCCTCTTCCTGTACTCATTGAGTAGGTTGAACAAAGCGAGATACAGCTCGTGGAAAGGTAGCGTCTTCGAATGATTCCTGGGTCGGTTGGGGTATCTAGTAGAACATCAATAGATCCGTCCGCAAAGGCTTCGGTAACAGCCTACTTTGCATTCAGCTCCTCCTCAGTTATCACGCCGTGGCCGTATTGACGCTCATCCTCCTCAATCGCCTCGGCATCCCTCATCCCGGTGTCTGAAGCCATTATGGATAGGAGTCGAGCGTGAACAAAGCTGCTGCTGCTCGGTTTTCAGATCTCTACAAGATTTGCTCTGTGCTATGTCTTTGATACGGTCCCGCAGTGTTCCCCGTTCATCGAGGCATTGAACTTTCGTGAAGATGCCTTTTGGCATATACGGTCTGCCAGGGGAAAGACGCGCGATTCGGGGGTCACATTGCTTAGGTATCCGGAGGTGACGTCTCTGGATACTGTGACATGCAGGCAACCGTGAAGGACCTGATGCGCGAAGTCACATGACAGTGGGAAATGGGAGATGCGGGTGGCTGACATAAGCACTGCAACATTCGAGGTGGTCAGCTTTCAACAAATGCCACACGAGAAAAGTGATTCTCTTTCCTTCGCGACAGCCATTCCGCTCGGGACCCACAGTCACGTACAGGAAGAACCGGGAGCTCACATAATATCGCGATCATCAATCTTCTCGGTATCGCCTCAATTAAACTGTGCTCATGTCACAAAACAGAAAGGGCTGCGTACACTCTAATTCCAATGCGTCATCTAATCTTCTGGGTATATAACAACACCATCTTCACATTCAGGGTCAAAGGTGTTATTCTCATCGTAGGGAGTGCAACCTGAATGTGCGCAATTGAGATGCTGCCCAGGGTTAACTTGAGTCCGCTTGTCCGCTACTAGCTATGCTTCCTCCATTCCAATTTATAGGTCACGGTTTATGTTACCATATATTATCTCCACCCCGGACATCCCAGTATATTGGGATGTCACTATAGATACGGCTTTACTTGCTTCTCACTCCAAGCCCAAAATCTCTCAGCAGTCCCAGTCCCACCTTCCGCTTCCGTCTTCGCCGCTTGCTCGAGGTCGTTCCGAAGTGGTGCGAAGCGACCCCATGGAATAACTGGAACTCATATTAATAGTGGTCTTATGAGAATGGAATGGAAGGCGCGGAACATACCCCAGACACCAGTCTTTTCGATCGTAATCTCAGGAGACAAACCAGCGAAGAGCTCAGTGTATGCGCCGTAGATTGGAGGATGCACCAGAATCTTCGTGAGTATCGTCAACCAGAACCCGAGATTGCTTGAGAGCTCAGTTCGTAAGTTTCCCGGATTAAGGCACTGGCCAGGGGAACCGTTAACCTTCATTCCGCAAGACGGCATGGTAACTGACATACCACACTAACGATTCCGTCCTCTTGGTGCTGCTTTGCATACTCTTTGCAGTGGAAAATATTCCCCACTTTGCTGACCGCGTATTTGTAATGAATCGACTTGTCACTCCGATAATCTAAGTTGCTCATATCCAAGCCACCGTTGGGAGATTGCAGTTCGGCAGCGGAGGACGAAACCCAAGCGACTCTGACGGATTCTGCTGACTTCGCCGTCTGACACAGCAGCGGAGTGAGAAGCTTGGTGAATAGGAACGGCCCAAGAGCATTCGTGCCCAGTTGCAGCTCGTAGCCCTGCTTGGTCACCGAGCCTTCCGGTGGAGCCATGACTGCCGCGTTATTCCAGAGGACATCCAGCCGCTGCTCCTTGCTTAGAAAGTCGTTGGCGGATTTCTTGACTTGGGTGAGGTCGGCGAGATCGAGGTAAAGGAAGATCAATTCCCCTTCTGACTCCGGATATTTCGCTTTTGTTTGCGCGATCATAGTCGATGCTTTCTCAGCGGATCGTGCGGCGACATAAACTTTTGCATTGCGGGAATAGAGGATTTGGGCGAGCTCTTTGCCGACACCTGCAGTGGAGCCAGTGATAACAAAGACCTTGGACAGTATGTTACGAACTGATAGCTGTCTAACGATATGGGTTACATACCTTGTCCGCTTGATTTGTGACTTCTTCCTCTGTAAACGCGGGAGCTGGAGGCCAGGCTTGACTGAAAGCATTACCCATGGCGGCTCTAATTTGTATGTATCATACACAAAGCTGCAAAGGATGTGGTCCGACAGAAGGTGGACTGATATATGCACGGATCGTCGAAATTGCACCATGCAGTCATTCGATACTCGAGCGTACACGAGGACAGAAACCAGGGCTTAGATCAGGGCTCGACTCATGATTGGTACTCACTACTGATGTATCATGGTAGATCATCCACAGTCTTACCCGTAATCCACTTCTCATCCTACGCTGCGTCCGAGTCGGCGGAGGAAGCGAAGGTAAAATTCGGACCTTCACGCATGTTCATCCGACCCTCGGCGGACGAACGTGGGGCCGGGGGATGAGCACCGTCTGCAGGGATTGTCAAATTTTGGACAGTCTCACAAGTATCGCCCATGCTGCTTCGTTTACGCATTGGATGTAAAAGAGGCGCGGTCTTGATCCTAAGAATACTCCTTCGGTCCCATACGTCAGACACGAGAGGTTTACGTCCACATGACCTTACTCTTTATCGCAGCTTCATATCCAATCACCATTTAGATCTGTGTAAAGCAGGCTATCGAAGAAAACCGATTCCGTACCCGTCCCTTCCCAACCTCCCATCAGTGCCTCCAGGCCCAGCGATGGGAGCTGGCTGTTCGGAAAGGGGATGACTGGTGGTCTGACAGTACTCTGATCTACCGGTGGGGAATGCCAATTCTGTGCGTCTACGACGGTGCCAGTCGCAGCCTGATGCTGTTGCTGCACGGCTATGGGCATCCTCTCGTCCAAGGTTTCAAGAGTGACAAGATTGTGATCAATGCTGATAGTACCGAAATGGGGTATTGTGACACGCAAGTCCCCAACAGTCCGCCCTGCAGGGTCATCCGTAAGAAGGAGAGTTTTGATCACATCAACGCTTTGCGCAGCTACTTGCTCTCTTTTGTTGGCCGACAATGTCTCCATTGAGGTCACCACTTGCAGAATCATAGTCTTGTCTTCTTCTCTCTGCTGTTGGGCTTCGAGGCTCTCCGTGCCTAGAGAGGAGTTCACTGAGCCAATGACTAGTATGACAGTTGCAGTAAAGGCGGCGAAATCTGCGACTCGGCAGCAAAGCTGTGTGTTGTTGGCGCGCCTCAAGGCCAGGTATCGAAGGATCAACTGTCGTGAAGCTTTCAGACAGCAGAATTTACTGTATTCGCATCGGCGTTCTGTTGCTGCGCGGAGCATGAACGGAAGATGGACCAGCGTCGCGAGCTGGTAATACCACAGCTGTAGAAGAAGACGGTCGAACTGCTCACCAACTTCAACGGAGCGCTGTGCTCCAACAAGCTGCGGGATGGCCCACCATGATTGTGGCATTTCCTTTGCTAGGCTCTCCAGCTCTTCGTCAATTACTTGGGTGGCGACAAAATTACGAGTGGATCCTCCTTGGTTGCGCTTGATTATACGGCCCGCTATGATGGATACTCTCCGGGTGAAAAGCCAGTCGAGGTCAATATTTGGTTCATTCGGAGCACCGTCCGGCCCCGTACAACCATCTTCTGCACCGCAGGGCAGTCCAAGAATCACTCCGAGGTAGCGGTCGGCCATGATTATCTGGTCCCACATTTGTCTTTTCGGAAGCGATGAGGTTGCACTGGGTCCCAGCGGCGGGTTGCTCGAATCAGTATGGAACCCCATGAGCTGTGCAACGTTCAATGCCCTCCGAAATGATAACCAGGCCCGTCGCAGGTTTCCGGCATTGATGTGGAAGAGACCCAGAAGAAGAAGACACTCCAGGCCTTCCATTCTGCACACGAGATCGTCATCAGACGTTACCAGAGTTACGACAGTAGACATATATTGAACCAGAACTGCATCGACGTCCGAGATGTGCAACTGTGTCATACCAAAATCGGGAGGAAGCTGTTGAATGCAGATGGCAATGTATAGGAGGGTTCGAGCAACGACAGTCGGATGTTGTTGAGCTACTGCAGCTAAGTTGAATGAGCATGTTGGATCGTCGTCGTTGAAAAGTTCGTTTGGTTGAGTGCAGAGAACCGATACGAGAGCCCACGCATTCGTGGCCCTACCAATTACATCTGCATCCTGTTGTAATGGCAGCATTCTTGCTAAAGTTTGGCGAAGATTCTCCTCCTTTGAGGATAATCTGGGAGCTGAAGCGCTAGCGGGCACATTGGAAGAGGGCCGATTCTGCCGATTTGCAACCTCTCGATGACCGAGCTAGTAAGATCAGCTTGTGCAGCATTGCGTGTACGCGGTTACTAACGACAACGTTATCGGAAACAGAGAGCGCAGGGTGAGTCCCATAGCTCTCTAAGCTGACCAAAGAGCGTGGAGTAAGGACCCCAAATGTATTCCCTTGAATTTCGGATGAGCGTTGCATATCGGATCTGTGAGATTCAAACTTCGTGGCTAGGTCCTGCAGCATGATCTCTAATCGACCAATTCTTTCGCCAAGTTGAGTGTTACCAGATGCAGCATGTTCTTCTGGGTACTCCTGGCTCACACACGCAGTCCCTCGACTGACACATCCGGCGCAGATAGTGGCATTGTGAGGATTCACCTCACAGCGAACCTTTCGTCGTTTGCCTGGCGTTGGTTGGCCGGTAAGAATAGCAGACGATGGCTGTACCATAACACGTGGAAACTTACATTCCCAGCAAGAATTAGTACCCTTTCGAAGCCTCTTCCTGCGATGGTTGTCGGCATCGAGAGTAGTGCTGGACATTTTTGCAAATCAGGGATTATTGAACGTATCATAACCAATACAAGCCGCTCTTCAGAAATAGATTGGCAAAAACAACCAGCGGCTCATCGCCTAGTCTTCATCGGGATACGACACGGAAAGAATGTTCCGCGTCCAAACGCCTGACCGCCCTTGAGGTGGTAGAATGGCGGCAACGAGAGGTGGTCATGCAGTCGGCTACGTGCACCTTCAGGTGCTGAGCGGCTGACTAAGCCCAATCCGCCTTTTGTTCCGCCGATACGGCGGAGGAAATAGTGCTCGGCGCTGCGTTGAAAGCAAGCGATGACTCTGAAGGATGAACGATGAAGGATTCGTGCTACGCTGGCACGGACTTAGCCATCTTCAACCTTTCTCCAGTGCGACGTTGAATGGATCATGCGGCGATAAACTGGGTTGTCTCGCTCGTGCGGTAGTGCTGCGCGAATAATATGTAAAGACGTGCGCAATATCACACTCCATCTCCTTCGTATACCTTTTGGAAGCTTTCGAAGCCAGCTAGTCTGCAGATAAGATCTTCTTCTCTTCTCATCGCATTCGCAGTCGCGGCGACTTCTGGAGCCAACCATCATATCGGGGACGAATATGAAGTTAATCCTCACTGGTTGTACCGGCTACATAGGGAGCGAGGTGTTGCACCAAAGTCTCAGAAATCCAGCCATAACTTCTATCGTTGCGCTATCGCGTCGTGAACTACCACACCTAGCCAGCAATCCAAAGATGAAAGTTGTCGTGCTGAAAGACTTCACTACCTACCCCGAAACTGTCCTACAAGAGCTATCAGACGCAGGTGCATGTATTTGGTAAGTGCTCCTCCCTTCACCTGCAACTTGAAATGGATACGTACCTAATTCGTATGTAGGTCAATGGGCACTTATGCAGGTGATCATGCAGTGGATGTCGAGTACCCGCTTGCATTCGCGACCTCTTTTGCGAAAACGCTACTTGGACGTACGAAGAAGTTCCGCTTGTTATTTTTGAGTGGTGCTCTCGCAGAGCAGGACCAAAACAAGACCTTGTGGTTCTATCAAGCCGCGCGACGGGCAAAGGTATTTTACGACACAATAGTCCCTCTTCGCGCGACCTCAGATTATGTAGCTTAGAGTTATTCGAGCTTGGATTTTTGCTGATCTCAGTTCTTTCTTTGCAGGGCTTGGCCGAGGTGGGATTGATGCAGTTTGCCAGACAAGCAGGCTGTGAAGAACTATGGGAAACGTATGTCGTGAGGCCGGGTTGGGTCATGTCTGATACCGCATATGGTTTCTTGACTTGGGGGCTGGGAAGCAAGTACTGTATTTGGGCCGACGAGATGGCGGCAACTATGTTGGATACTGTGTTGAATGGATCCGAAAACCAAGTTCTGGACAATCAGACGATGGCCCTAAGAGGTCGCCAGTTGCTTCGGAGAGTCTGAAGGTATCGTAATCGGGAATGCTGCTATTGCGAAAGTTGTACATTAATCAGGAGGGTCGTTTGACTTACATGTTAGCCCTGGAACTCCTTAAAAAGAAGAGCAAATGGAGGTGAATCTTGAATGGATGATGCCTGCCGCTTAGGTGTAAAGCATTTCACCCTTTACATGGATGTCTGACCAAATTCCTCGTCGACCTTTATACGGCAGAAAGTATATACCTATCCGGCTTAGCATATATCCTGAGGATGACTGACTGACATAAGTACAGCAACGGTCAGCTCCGGGTTTCAGCCTTGAGGGCTGAGGAGTCACGTGATACACTCACAACCTCCTATGAACCATTGGTGAGATCAGTCCGCTCATTCTGGTGCTCCTAAACCCGTATCAGAATTTACAGAGCTCTGCAAACCGCTTGTATGCTCCTGCAATCATTC